ATTTGAGTTTTGTTTTTGTTTAGTTTTATTGGTGATAGAAAAAATGGTTGATAGGAAGTGTACAGATAAAACCAGAGTTCGTATTATTTTTATCTGATAGAAATGAAATCATATGTTATCACGATCTTTCATTATCATTTTTCATCAACTGCTAAAAAGATCATCTTACCGAGTGTTGCCAAGTTGATCTTCTATAAACATAATAATTTTCAGATTATCATATTTTTGTCGAAATTTGGAAGTCTTTTTGGTACTTTAACCAAAGAACTTTACCCAGTCGCTTAAGCAAATATTTGTTTTTGCTGGTCGAACTTTTTTTTACGATGAATGTATAACAAACCAAGGAAACATTCTAGTTTAATACATTTCTTCTGACATTGAAAATATTGAGAATTCTTCTGAAGTTTTGTCTGATATTTTGTTAAAAAATTTGTTCGAATTTTGACCGTTTGGTCAAATCTCTTTTTACGGTGTTTTCTTAACTGCACTTGTTTTTATATCGTTAGGGACGTTCCTTTTTCGTATATTAATTTGTTCGTATCATTGTAATTTTGTTGAATAAGTTAAGCTAAGTGGTTAATCCTCTAACCGTTCCAGATTCCAACATCAAGCTTGAGTCTTGGTGGAAACAGAACGCCTTTGACCAGCGAAGTAGCCATAGTTGTCAAGCATAGCAAACGCGGAACCCAAGGTACCAGATTCTTATCGTTATGTCATTTTTAAATTGAAAGCTTGTTTCCTATGATTTCAACCCCTTTGTCAGTCACGGCCCTCTCTTCATCTCTTCTGTGACCCAACCCTGCATTTCAGCTGTCTCGTTAGTTCTCAGAAAGCCTAAATTTCCCAAATCATCATTTAAACTGGTCATGTTTATCACCCCTTCACCTTTCGTACCCCTGTAAACAAAAGTAGTTCTGGCTTCTTCCTCAAAGTGTCTTCACGCGCTAGCAACGTTTGATATCTGGTTTATGTTTATATCTTTCTGACATTTTGTATCAGGATAACTGACCAAGGATAAACATTACTTAAGCAAACTTTGTTGATATAAATTAGCAAAGAAGCATTTTTACTTAAATTTACTGATTCTCTATTTAATGTTTTTAGTGTGGTCTGTCGAGAAATTGAAGAACAAACTATACGGAATGCGCGATCTGTATCAGCAGACAGTTATGGAGAGCTCAGCTAGTCCCGTAAGTCAAATAGCCTAATATTCTATATTTCTTAATAAAGCAGATGGTATTACGTCGGCCTTCCCACAGATAAACATGTTGATCACGAAGAACAAAGCTGTTTTCTTTTTCGGCATTCTCGCATTTTACTGCTAAGAAAGCCAACAAACCGGATAGGTGTTTAAAAAAAACAGTTGATCACTCAGTTGAAGAAGAAAATCTCTGCATTCGCACGTTCGTACTTTCAATCAATTACGTCAAAACAAGAAAAGTTGTAGCCGGAAACAAAAATGCTCTCATCCAAAAAATATTTATCTCCTTTGGACGGATGCACGCACAGCGCAGGCAAGGGTCAATTCTCTTTGCAAATTTCTTAAAATACAGCAGAAAGCAAAATATTCACATATAAGCAGGGGTGTCTTCGTTTGGTGAAGAAAGTGTGAATTACCTAGACAAGAGGAAAATCTCATTATTTCTCTAGACAGTCTTGCCAAATTGAAGTTAGCACACATTATTTACCTATTTTCGAATCACTTGCTTTTCTTTAGATATTTCTAAATATTCAGCTAGTTTTATGCCGAATAAGAATCGGGCACTTTCGGAGTAGATGGTCTTTGCTTCTTAAAGACTGGATTTATTAAAACGTGTTTGTTATGCTTGTGACGTCATTAACTATAGGTTTCAAAACTTAAGAATCTCACAGCGGCATGCCATGATAGGAAAAATTTGCTACCTGTAACTCCTCTAATGGGCCTCAGGTTTTCGACTGTTTTAAAGTGGCGATAATTATGAACTATTTTTCCAATTGGCTTCCAACAAAAAGAAAACTAGACTATTGGAAGTAGAGTTCGATTTAAGATCTATATTTAGTATAGACCAGTAAATATTTAGTTTTTCTACTCAACCGAGGTCAATCTAAATGTTAATTGCTTTGTCATTACCATAACTATCTCTTGGTCACGTTAAAGACTCATTGCTAACAATGAGCCATTGCGCTACTCAAGCATCCCATAATGCATTTTCAGACTGTCTGAAATCAATTTTGGTTAATCCGTAGAAGTTTACTGCCATTGTTTGGATCGTCTCCACGCTCGCAAAGGCTCATTGTTAGCAATGAGTCTTTTAGTCAGACCTTCAAAGGGTTAAAGGAAATGGTCTGACTTAGCAGATGTCCGACCTATTCGGAGTACAACTTTTGACTTGACTAGGGTAGTCCAATAAAAATATAATTAAATTTGAAATGCTATCCGTCTTAATCAGTGGCGGATTTAAGGGGAGCAACTAGGGGCAGTTGCCCCTCCCTTAACGAGTTGAAGCAAGTCTGGCGCCCCTTTTTTGGAAATTTTGCGCCCCTTTTGAAGAATGAGAATCAGCTGAAAAAGGTTCTGGGACCGATAGGTTAATTTGCTTCAAGGATTACCTCAAAGTTATGTTGTTTATTCTGTAAAGGTATCTGAGAATGTTGTAGACAGCGTACTCTCGTAACCAGTTTTTGAAAATTGGCGCCCCCACTACCAACTGTCCCTCCTTCAAATTTGCTCTTGATCCGCCCCTGGTCTTAATGAAAATCCGAGTTATCTGGGGTACTACTAATTTAAACATATTTATCTGTACATTTATTTTGCGATGTTTAACTCGAGTTCTCGTTTACAGGACAGCGATAGTTTTGATGACGATGGACTGTTTTATGAAGTTGAATGTCATACGCTGATTGGTGTTGCCACCATATGGCTCGAGTGTCTGTTCGAAAGTGTCCCATTAGACTATGCTGCCCCAATCATCAGCCAACAAGGAGAGGTAAATCATTCATCGAATCACTTTATTGCATCACTCATGCTGGATCTTTTGTTGCCTGGATATTTCAATAAAGCAAAACTGAAAATTGAAAGAGGTCATAAGAAAATTAGAAATAGTTTTCTTGTCTTTCATCCTTTCACAAGGTTATCCTCCTTGCAGGTTTGTGGGAAGCTCATGGTTGACATAAGGCGCCTTCATGGTATGTATATATATAAGTCTAAGATTTATAGTCGCTTCTATAACGTAATGGATATCAATGCTGCCTCTTGCCTCAGTGGACAGATACGTGCTGGTTGAACTCTTCGAGCTTCTCTCGCTGCACACGTAACGTTAATCAGGAAAGGAGCCAGGAAGGCCTAGCTACCTTGAAACAAATACGCCTTTATCTTGACAATCATTAACACCCTTGTTATAGCACCAAGAATGTTTCTCTTCATGACATAAATTCACTTGCGTCATAGAAGAAGTTTCTAAAAAAATCAAGCGAAATGTCTACGAGATTCTATAGAATCCTCGTCCTCTCCTTAAAGGCAATCGACTCATGCTAAAATGGCTTAGGCCATCTGTCAATCAAGCATTGGCCAATCAAAAAGCGTGACGCCACTCATACGCTTATTGATTGGTCAATGGTTGATATGGCGCTTGCCACTTGCACCACTTGAGCCACTTGAGTATCTTTCGATATCGAAGCAAGAAGATGTGTTAGCACAAAGCCATAGTGATACGATTTCTGGCCTGCATTTTTTTAGGTGTCTTTATCTGACTTAAGACTATCTGGAACCGCAAACTAACTACTGGAAATATTAAATTTTTTTTACAAGTAGCTGCAAAGAAAACGATTGCAGTTAAATATTCGTGTTTGTAGTTTCGATACTAGATTTTTAATAGTTTAATGTGATTGTGTAGTGGTAGGGATTCATTGACTGCAAATTCGTTTCTTGTGCTCGATGCACGGTTCAACTTGTGCTATCAATTATTTAACAGACGGGAGTGATAGTGAGAGTCAGTCATCGGGTGACAGCGAATCTGATGTTGAACAACAGTTTGAAGTTGGAAGAACGATACAGGTTCAGGTGAGCAAACATGTTTCTGTAGTTTCAATTTTTCTTTGTATTGTGAAATTCACTGCCCATTTTTTCACATTTTTTCATCTAGCTTATTTTCGCTCATGAACTCATATTTGCTTTGATCAACTAATTATGTTATATATGTTTTCATTAAAATACGATTTGACTTATTATTTTAAGACATCGGGAATGTTTTTCTTTGACAGCTGGAAACCTTCAACCCTTTTCTCCCTCTGCTACCATTTGAATTTTTTTCTACCTCGTATGTTGGCCTTTTCTCAAAACTTAGGTTTTACTCGCCCACACATTACTTAGATCAGTCACGTGTCCTGTACCTCTGCTTCTGCAACAATGCATACCATGTTTTTACACAGGTAACCATTCATGAAGCCACTGGATTGCCACCAACTCTCTGTAACTACGTCTTTTGCCAATACAACCTGTACGACCAACCTCTGACTGTCGTTCCACCGATCAATGTAGCCGTATCTGCTGATGGTGTGCCCAAATCTAATGCAATGCAATTCAAACATTCACAGGTATGTTTTGGCAGTACCAGTTTTGTACTCAAGCTCTGCCGTGTACACGAATGCTATCTAGGATGGCCTAACGCTGTCAGTTTTTCAAGAGAAGCATTACGATAATAATCAACTATTCTGGCTGTTACATTTCAGACGTCATTTATTTATGAACGGAAGGATTAGACAGGCGACGATGATAATTTTAATATTCATCATATTGGTTGCATTTAATAATCGATGTTAATTGGCAATCATTATTAGTAGATATAAAAGGTAATATTTAGTTAAGACACGACGCAACAGAAATAAACTTGAAAAATATTAGACATGAATGGTAGAGACATTAATAAGTAATTTTATTCAAAACGTTTCGAAACTAGGTTTGCCATCAGAGAATTCTTATTTGTGAATAATATGTGTGACAGTTTATGTCTTAGAAATCAAACTAAAAGCAAATTGTTACCTTGTGTTTTCATTTTATAAATTTTATATTAGAAATAGGCATAATGTCTTAGAAATTAATATCCTAGAAATTTTGATGTATTCATTTGCTAAACGAGGGCAATCGCTTTGTACCCAGTCACGATCCTTTCAGTCAATTATTGCTTTTTGCAGTCCTTAAATGCGAACCTTCAAGTACTTATTGATTTTTTTGCAGATCTTCAACTTTGAGATAAATGATGACTTTCTCGAGTATATTTCTGAATCGTCTTTGGCCATAGAGGTATATGGAAACCGAAGTCAGGGTTACGAGTCGCCAGAAAGATACAATTGGAAAATACCCACTGACCAAGATGACACTAAAACACCAGCGGAGAGGTATTTATCAAGTGTGCCTTACCTTACTCTAAAATCCTTTTTAACCATCAAAATAAAAATTTACGTTTTAAAATAATGACAACTCAGCAGACGGCTAATAGATATTTATAAAGTTCACGTTTATTTAAAAAATGTTTATAGTTTTTAAAGATCAGTTTTCTTTCAATAAAAGTAGTTATGTTAGTGTAAAAAAATTGTTTCCTCTAAAATTTACATTTTCCCTTAAATCGATATTCTAGAGTAATTGTTTCCTGATGAAGGGTTAAAATTTCATTTTGTCACAATAACATTTAAAATTTTTTGAGAAATATAAAAGTATTGTGAGATTTAAGACAAGCTGCCCTGTAAATCTAATCAACATGTTAAAAGAAAATATCAAAAAAATCAAATTGGTCACAATAACTTTTATAATGATGAGTTTTAAGCATCTTCAAACGGTAATGCTCAGGTTGGTAGTCTGAATACGTTTATGATAAATTTGGAAGTACAGTAGAACCTCCATATAACAGGCACTGTTTGGACATGTGTCATTGTCTGTTTAATTAGAGGAGTACGTTGTACAGACATCCCTTTAAGATCGTTTTGACCATTTGGGACAAAAAATGTCCGTTGCTGAGTGGTGTCCGATAGATTGAGGTTTCTGTTAATGGAGGTTTTACTGTACGCAATTAAAGTAAATTCTGTTAGCTTTGATCAAAAGGAGAGTAGCATGACAATGAAACAGACACCAGTGGTCGACTTCCGTATTTGATGACATTACATTTTCAGCGTCATAATGATTTTTGAGAAAGCTGTGTTTGTATCCATGTGTTGCATCTGTGAGTTAACCTTTGTCAGCTGTGATTAGGTTTTAGGCCATTTTTCATGCCACCGTCTCTTTCCCTAGCTTCCGTCTTCTTCTCTCCTAATTCTGACATTTTTCTCTCTTAATATTTTTATATCTTGTTCATTTATTTATATACTTTTTTGTGGTCCGTGTCATGAATTCGCTGCATTCTGCATTTCCGACAACTGATTTCTCCAACTATCTTTCTTTATCTATCTTTGAAAGATAGATATTTTTGTCCATCAAATCTTTCATAACACCACAACACGTTAAATTATTTTGTATGGTTTGTGTTTGGGTGTTTGGATGTTTGGATGTTTGGATATTTGGACGTTTGGGCAAAACACCAGGGATTTACTTCTCACTTGTTAGCCTTAACGTGCTACAGTCCCTCTAATTTACAATAAAGAAGTTTAGAAGTGCTTCAAAATAATGCAGATTTTTTTATGGTTTTATGAATAAGTTTGCGTCGGACCTTAAGGTGCCAGTTTTCAAGAACAAATTAGTATGTCGATTGACAGTCTGCGCTGGTATGAATGTGGTCATATCGAGTCCATGAAGTAAATAGCTATGTCACAACTATATTTTTCGAGGATTTTTTCAGTTGGGGATGACGATGATAAACCCTGGTGAATCATTATTTAAGACTCTGCGTCATTTAAAGTTGTCTAGGTGACAGTTTCATTTGAGACATTTTGGAATTAAGGAGAAGATGCGATAGAAAAGCAGGAAGTTTGGATAAATTTTATTAAGCAATTAATAAACAACAATTGATTTGTGGTCAATTGTTGCACACAAAGATAACCTTTCATAAATGTTTACTTATTGATCTTTTTTTTGTCATTTTGATTCTCTATCTTTGTCCTTTTGTTATTGTGATGATGCTTGCTGTCTAGAGGCATCTTTTGTCTGTATCAAGTTTTGCTGCATGTGGCCTTTTTTAATTCACCCCAACCAACTTTTGTGCTAAATACAAATCAATACTTTTGTTTGCAAAAATTAAAACAATTCCTTTTTTTGATAAATTCTAAATGGTGTGTGATTTTTTAAACCTATAGAGGTGTGATTTTTTGTTAAATCGTCAATGAATTGCATTTAAAATAATAATTGTAATATTAAATATATAAAACTTTTTTTCTGCTATTACTTTTTTTGCTCCTGTTGTTACTTATATTTTATTTCTCTACCTTCCTGTTACTTTTTAAGGCCCCAAAAAGTTGTAGCTGAAGGACTTCCTATTTTAAGGAAAACATTACACCAGAATTTGTTGCTGCAAGTCCCGATTTTTTAATTGGTTTCTTTTACCCGTAATCCTTGGAGAATACCGTATTTCCTCAAAAGGACGCCGCGGCGTTTATTACAAACTCCAAATTTTGGATGCGGCGCTCAATAGAGGGCAGCGTTTATCAGAGGGAGGCGTTCATTAAAGGAAATACGGTATATTTGGTTCTAGATGTTTGTTGCTCGGCCTATTCCCCACACAAGAATCGAGAAACTTTTTCTGTGAAGATTTAGGACCTTTGTGTGTCTTTATTTTTGATTATGTTTTCTATCGTTGTTTGTGCTATGATTTTTATGTCTTTGCTGTCATTTTATATAAGTGCTTATTTTGTTTTATCTACACAAGCACTTTACCCAAAGTTCAAGTCATACATCGAATAAGGTAATTTTAGATCTGTAATATGTTGGGGTTTGCCTTTAGTTGTGTTTGTGTTTATCTTATACTTACCGTTCGCGTGTATTTATTCATTTTTTTATTATAGCATTCTTTGAATTGTTTTGGATGTTGATTATTCTTGGTTTATTTTATAAAATTAGTTTAGTTTTTCTTTCAAAATTTCATTTGTTCCTACCTGTATTTTATTTTTTTTTAATAATGGAAGCATTTTTACAAGGCCTATTTCCAAATGCGATTTTGTGTTCTTTATAAGTCGTAATTCATTTTTCTTTGTATCTATCTTTGTATTTGGGAAGAATCATTTCAAGTGTATTTTTCATGTTCTTTATTTGGTCTAGAGGCTGTTTTTACTGCGAAAATTTGATTATGGTTGTTGAAAATATATGTTGAAAATTTTCCTCGATATAATTAGCTTCGTGAATTATTGTGCTCCGCCTTGTCGTTATCGTCACACCACAATTTTTGAGATACTAATAGAATCCTTTTCCTAATGCTTTTTGTCAATAGTCTCATTTTGTTCACTTCATCATCATTTGTATCATTACTGCTTTTGCACCTTCTAATAAAATAATAATAGCCCTTGAAGATCTTGCCTTTTTTGTTTCATGAGATTAGATCGCATCTTAGATTCTTTAATTTCATATCACTAAGAAATAGAGCTCTGCCGATTTTTAACAACAAAAGTTTGTTAATTTTGAGTTGTGATTTTTAGCTTGTCTGTGATTTATACACGTGGTAGTGCTGATGTTTTTCGATATTATCTATACTAATTTTTATTTGTGTTACTTATAAGGTTTCAGTTTCGGCATTATAAGTATGCAAGGCAGTGCATCTTCTTCTATATTTTATAAAGACGCTTCTAACTTGTAGTTTCATGACATAGTTTCTAAAATACATACCTGTCTAGAGTTATGACTGACTGCAGCTTTGCCTACTAGATTTAACAAAATGCTACACACTTATTGATAACTAGTACTGTCTAATCTGATAACTGGCCCGATCTTCTGATAGTGTTTGCTAGCGATAGCCTCAGCATAGAAGACTTTTTACAGTTGTTCTAGTTAAAGGAATCTGAGCTACTGAAATTTGAAGAGTGTTAACTTCAAAAGGCAGCAATATTTACTTAAACCTTCCAATATTATTTAGCCAGTATGACTGTCCCTTATTAATGCCTTCGGTTGAGGAAACTCTGGAGTGGCCACTCCATTAAGTTGTGCATATATGCTACGTATAATGGAATTTGATGCTTTTGGATTCAGCAGTCTTCACCAAATCACCATTGCTAATTATTCTTGTCGGATTAGTTTTAGTGTAGTTATTCAAAGCTTTCTTTAACTCATAACAACTTTTGATGCGGTTACTTGATTTGTCTACTGTTATTATGTGGTAGATAAAAACAGCTAATAATTAATATTTAATAACAACCCAGTAGACAGTAATTTTCATAACACTCTAACGAACTAATGCAACTAACTATTCGCTTTAAAAGCTTTTAATTAGCAGTTGCCTGATCCGTTTGCAGTCCTCTGTTATTCTTTGTTTTTGCTTGTATGCAACAACGTTGACAACCGCTCTTCACTTCTGATACAATTAACCCTATTCGTCAACTTTTCTAAATCCCTTCTTGTGCTAATTTTATACCCGTGGCTGATTAATTTCATATAGAGCTGATTTTGAGCAGTTTGGGAATTTTTACTCATTTGACTTTCCGGATAACATCAAGTTGAGCTTTATTCATTTTTCAATTTAGCCCAACACTCATCCTGCTATATACAAACCCAAAACAACTTGGCGCGTATCTGATTCTGAAGAGTGTCTGCTAACATATATTTTACAGGCTGTCTTGTCTTCTAACATTAATAACATTAATATCTGTTTTTCTTGTTTGGATTATGTAAATAAATAGACATAGGTTGAATCTGAATTAAATAGACCTGATCATCGATGTAATTTTCAACCAGATTTTGAATCTTTTCGTGTAGGTGGAATGAGCTGGTCCGAAAGATTGAGCTTTGGGCAGAAATTCACGAACTGAACGAGCAAGGGACGTACTCTCCAGTTGAACTACAAACCAGGGATGCAACTGAATGTGGTGGCGTCTTTCAGCTAAGGCAGGGCTTTTCTAGACGAATAGTCGTGCAGGTTGCTGTTCCAAAGCAGGGTCAGCTGCCAGTTGTGTTAGAACGAATTAAAGGAATAGCTATTGGGAGTGTCAAAGTTCGAGTGAAAATCCAGAAGGGCCTAGACAGCTACCAAGAACGTGATTTGCAAAGGTTTGAAATAGAACCATCCCTTACAATATATGATTTGTCGTAATATTGAACGTCGTAGATTAAGGAAATCATGCTCAGTTAAATGAAGTTCTATAATAGTTATTACACTAGCGAGGTACATATTCTGCTTCCTTTATCTTTCAAATGACATGCGTAGTGGCCAATAACATTGCTAGCTACTATCGACATTTGTCTGCAAGAAAAACAACAACCATAATTTAGGAAGATTATCGCTTTTTTCAGTTTCTCAGTTGTAGCTCTAAGTTGTGGTAAACATGGAGCAAAGGGAGTAGAAACAGCACAGACACCGTAGTGTAGTGATATTTATTTTGAAGGCAAAGTTATACATTTACCTATGCAAGAAGAATAGAATACATTTACCTATGCAAGAATCTTATTTTTATGTTTTGGCTATGCTGTATCGATACTGGGTGCATTTCAAATTTTCCTTGACAGTTTAATGTTTATGTGTTTAAAGGTATGGAAGAAGACTGTTTTCTCCCAGTATTCAAGTCTCGTGACTTGATACATGATTTAGTTATTAGTTACATTGATGTCAAAGAGCTACCTTGCGTTTTCCTATCAGCCCAGAATAATGCAGTGGTATTTCTGTCTTCGACTAAGCTTTCCTTCGAAATTTCTGTCATAGTTTCCTGAGAACATCCCAGCAACAACTCCTTTTTTGCACCAAAAAATTGATCAATCGCACCGTTTTTCCATAGATTGCGTGATAAATGGTCCAGTTCCCTTTTGAAAAGACGAGAGTACCTGGATGAAAAAATACAAGGTTTGATCAATAAAAAAGGTAAATCCAAAAAGTTTTTTTTATCGATAAATGAGTATGCTTTGTATAAGGTTTTGATCTTTAAATGTTAAGATTATTTCCATATTTTATTATTAGATCATTTTGTAAAAACTTACCTTGGATGACATCACTTTGCTGGCATCTACTGGCTTGCTCTTCCATTGATTAGATTTGTCTCGACCGATACGTTCTATGCAGACCTATTGGTATACCATCATAGTTCCGTGCCTATGGTTTCTTGAGTCTGAAAATTTCAAGTATATTGTAGATGATGAGCTTCTCGCTTTGTTTACAGATAAAAGTGTCGCTGATAAGGAAAGAGAAGGCCTATTAATTGACCAATGGGTTTCTCTGACAGAGGAACGAAACAATGTCTTATGCCCTGCCCCCGGAAGTGGTGTGCCAGGAGCACCTATTGACTGGTATGTTTTTACCATATTCAGCTGTTAATAAAAGTATTTCAAAATGGCTTTGAAAAAAGCAAACATTCAGTAAACTAAAGCTTTTCGTCTGACACTCTTCAGAGTTTAAAACATCAGAACATAGACCGAAAACTCTACGCTAGGAAATATATATACCCAGTTGTGGATCGAAATAGGCCAATCAGAAACACGAGAATATGACTGTTGACGTTGACCAATCAGTGCCGCTTGCCTATTGGGAATGTTACCAGTATTTCAAAATTAAAAGTATTTCAAGAAACCTCCTTTGCCAGATCTCAAGATACTCCCTTTTAAGAGTGTGTGTTTATAATAACAGCTCAAACAACTCATATCTCACATTTTTGTTCTCAAGGAACCCGTGTCCTGGAATGGAAAAGCACATTCCGCTCATTTTTCTGAATTTAGATGGTACGTTTGCTGTTTAATCTTATTTCAATTATATTTCTCTTCTTTTTTGCTAAAATTTACATGTGAAAATTCTCTTATATCATTAGCTTTATGTTTTGTACGTATTAGAATATATTTTAAGCAAGGCTATTCTTCTACAAATTCCTTTTTTTCGATGATCTTAACAAATTTTCGATACCACTCCTGAAATTCATTCACTGACTTTACTGAGGTGTGTCTGCGGGTCTTTCCTGGAGCTAAAAAGACCTTTTTGCAGGGGCAATTTTATACAAAGCTGCTTCATTATAAGAGTATGATTGAAAATCTCCTTAAAATTTTGTCACCTCCAATTTATCTCCAATTATCAATGGAAAGGCTTTAATGGAAATAACAAGCATAGTAGATTAGCTCCATACTTGCAATGGGTGCGGTGAAGATGTTATCAAATTGCTGGGTTACTCCTTCGTTTGAATTCTTCCTGCGTGTTTTTAGAGGACTTTATATATAGTTTGGTGAAGATTTACTTTTATTTTCAGAGAATGTCTTAGGAGGCTGCCCTGATCTGGAGCCTGAACCAGCAGGTCTCAAATCTTTGATTCAGCTAGAGGAACCAGATCGAATGATTGACCTCAACATCTTGCGTTATGATCAGCAGAAAGTTATTGCATATGCTTCCTGGGACTCTTCCATGCATGATTCCCTCTACTTGAACCGAGTCACGCAGAACAACGAAAGGATCTATTTGATTGTCAAGGTCTGTTAACACTCTTTATTGCCATTTCTGTTATTTAAGTGAATGGTTTCATATGCTACATTGTTTTTTAAATTTCGAGAACAAAATTCAGAAGTATACTGTTTTCTCGACTATTTAAAAGGCTGTTTTGCCCGGCCAACTGTCTCTAAACCTAGTATATTTTCTCTTACTACTGTTAAGGCTATCCGCTATCTTGTGGCACTTATTCTTTATCCAGCATATATTTATTTTTGGTTTATTTTATCCAGTTTCGTTATCTTTGTGCAGACTTTTAAAGGAATTTGTTCAATACAGGGTATAAGATTCATTTTGGCTACTTAAGTGCTATTGACAAATACTATAATGGCTTAAGCCACCTGTCAATCAAAATTGACCAATCAATAAGCGTAATAGCACTCACACGTTCATTGATTGGCCAGCAATTGATTGAAAGCTCGAGCCACTTCAGTATCCCCCGATCGTATCTGTACCCAATGATATTTGAATATGGCTAACTTCTCCTTCGCAGGTTACGTTACGTTTGTGTAGCCCTGCAGTTATGGATCTGGTATTAAGGAAACGAATATGCGTTAAGATCTACAAGAAGCAAGGCTTTAAGGAAAGTCTTATGAAGAGATTTATTCGACCCACAGTAAGTCCATACTCTCAAGTTTGTTTCACTTGACGAAACACAACGCTATCACTTTTGTTGTATTTAAGTTCGTAGCTTTAGAAGAGACTAACAATATTGGTAAATGCAGTTATTTGCTCTTAAATTAATGGAAAAGATTTCATCAGAATTTTTAGACAAATGAATGTGAAATTATCAGATATATTTTGTATTAAATCTGTTAATTTGAAAATCATAGACTGGTTTCAAATTCGCCTGTTCTCCGTTTTAAAAAGTCAAGTACAGTCGAGCTTCAAAACGTGAGATTTTACAATTATCAATCGCTTTTTTAGAACGTGTTGTCAAGAAACGGTGTAACGTTCCAGTTGGTTTCTCATATTCCAAAGGTAAGACCGATATTGTCATTATTTTTATTAAACTTTAATACAAAAAATGATAGTTATGACATTTCAGTGTGATTACATATCAATTGAACCTTTCAAGCAACATTTTTTACATCAAAAGTGCAAAAAATTTTGGAATCAACATAAAGCAAAAATTAAAAGCAAATGTGTTTTTTACCGGATGCCGAGTAAATTCGTGTGTCAATTTCAAAAAGTGTTTTTCTGCTATTGAGTTAGCAGAATCAAGTAGCAATAGTTCTACCCCCAGTAGAGTCATTGAGTTAATTATTGTACTTTCCCTCGTTTCTTTTGTATTCTTCTATTGTTGTGTCTGCCATTTGAAGTTGCTACTTCATTGCATCATTTCCTTGGCAGCTACAGCAGCAATAGAGTATTTATATCCAGCACAAGTTGTTCTTGATTGTTATGAAAAAGGTTATAATATGGTTGCTTCGTACGTCAAAATTTGTTGCTGCCAAATCTTCATTTGAGTATTTTTGTTGTTGGTGTGAACAAGACATAAAATAATAGCCCTTTGATCGAATTCTGTAAATGGAATATACAATAGTACAGCCCTTTTATGTATGCAAACAGTTCTTGTTTCTGAACTTTATATATGAAAATCATGTGACTTATAGTTCTTTTTTGCGCGCTACAGGTGATCCTTACATTCAGCGATCATTCTTTATTTTATTGTATTGTATTTTCTTAATGGTATGGCATTAGATTAATGATTTTTTAACATCAAAATAGCAATCAGGCGAAGAAACCGAGGAGCGTCAAGACTTAGCCCGCAAGGCTGCCGATGCTATGACGTCAGAACAAGAAATATTCGACGGAGATGCAATTGAAAAGTACAATAAAGGTGTAACACGTGTAACGAATATTCTCAATTTGCACAAGCTGCGGCAAAGAGTTTTGCTGGAAGAGAAGCTAGCAACAGTTGGCCGATCTAATCAATCACTCAAGAAATATGCAAGCACGCCGAATTTGTTCAATGCAAATCGAACGGTATGTATTCATAATATATTTATCAAATATTTCACTACCAAGTATTTTGCAAGCTGTCTAACTGTTGGGTAACATGTTAATGCCCTTTTTTAAGCCATAGTGAGGGACAGAAGGACCTGAGCCACCAGGGAGAGTGCCCCTTTTTCTGAGACAGTCCCCAACTTTGAAATGCTTTCCACATCCCTGGCAGTAGTCAACAGTTTCTACAACTTGAAAGGACGTTATTTTACTCATTTTATTTTAATGAATTCTACGCAAAAGCTCCAATGGTCAAGTTGCTTTATTATATGGATGACGTTAATGCTATTCAGTTGCTAGTTGATTCTCAGAAATCATATTTTATAATGTGCTGCAATACAACAGGTTTCCTGAGTCTACTACATTTTATCTTTAAGTTCTTTTTGCCAGTCACTTCCAGAAAACCTCTATCGTCTTTCGTGTGCTGTTGATTTAATAAAATGAAGCTGTTTAAAGTTCGTTTCCAAGATTGTATTTAAATTTTTCAAGTTTGATTAAGAAGAGATTTTTCTGATATTCTGCTTTCTATGTTCTGTTTTCTAGCAAAGTCTCACCAACCTGTTTAAAGCTTCAACCACTTTTGGCGTAAGTTGAAACTACTCTGTTCAGTTTTGTTTCTCAGTGCATAAGTTTGTGTTGTAACCCAATGGAAGATTGATTTTTATTATGACGAATTAGCTTGTTCTTCCAATGCATAATGTTTTCCAAGGGATTTTAGCATTTAACGATCTTTTAGGGACTATTTTGCCTCCTTATTTGTATACCCGACTAAAATCTTTTTTGTTTTGAGCGTCCTTCCTTTGCCTTCGATTGCCAAAATCTTTCTTCATTTTTTTGGTTCCAAAGCAGCGGCAATTTTCACAAGCAAGGTAACCAGGCTATGATAGCATCTTGTCTGCAGGCTATACTTTTGGACCTAAATACGTTTCAATGTTGAGCAAAATAAAGTACATTTGTTCTTATTAAATGTTTGTTGATCGTTTTTAAAATTTCTTCTTTAGTCAAACTCTGAACTCGCTGAAAAAGACGAAGGTAAATCGACAGAAAAGGAAAGGAGAAATGAGCTAGAAGTCCCTGTAAGTTACTGAAAAGTGTAAAAATTGCATAAAATATTATTATTTTCTAAGACACGTAAAGTAAATTCATTTCTCGCTTTAATAAACTATTGTGCTTGTATGTTGATCTTGTTGAATTCATATTTAACTAAATATTTGGAAATTTTCAGGTGCCATAGACCTTCCTTCACTTGATAGTAACTTCAGACATGTCTTGCCAATTTTAAACAAATCTTTTCATGAATTCACACAAGCTATAGCTATTCCCTGATTATTCAATTGCATATATATCTATTATATCCATCATTTTGCTAATGTCTTGTGTATGCATACAGCTCGCTTCAAGATCAATGAACGCAGGAGAGGCTGTTGTTAGGCGGAATCGATCAGGACCTCGTATTCCAGCGAACAGACACAGTTTCTATGGTTTTGAATCGACTAGCCTGATCCAGTCTCGCGAAATCGTGGCCGAGTCACCGCCAGCAAAACTTCGGCTACCAGACACGCAGTTCTTGAATACCAATAATTTGTCCAGTACGCCAGTTTCAAAAGTCCTGCACCCACTCATTGAGGATGATAGCCCAACATCCCCGTTTAAATCGCAAAAAGCTTTATTCGACAAAGATTTAGGAAAAGACGAGGCCGTTGAAATCTCTCAGAATAGCGTAGATTTGTCTTCTATTATTATTGAGGGACCAGATGATGATTTTGCAGAGAATGATATAAACGAACAGAATTCAAATGAACGAGAAAGTGTTCAGTTGTCAGAGAATACGGAGCAGGACGTTAATGATAAAGATAAAAGTAGGAACAGTATTGAAATTAATTCGAATAAAAACGAACGTGTCGTGGCCGAGATAGCAGAGGAAGGTCAGTTATTGTCACGCGAGGAGGAGGAGAGTTTAGTAGAAGATGAGATGACGCAAGGCTTAAAAATCGGTGACAAGATCAATCTTGGCGGGGATAACACCGGTCAGGTGCGGTTTGTTGGAAAAACTGAGTTTGCAGATGGCATGTGGGCTGGAGTGGAATTAACCAGCCCGAATGGTGAGTCACTCTAGTTCTTATACATCTCCTGCATGCGTTGTTTTTTTTCTGCATGAAAACAAAGACTTGCATGTTAATACGATTATTTCTAGCTTACGTTTTTCTTAATCGTGTTGTCGTTGACAAAGGTATCATCCTAAAGCACAAGTTCTTAAAATTGCACATTTAGTCTCATCATTATTAGATTTTTTTTTAGGCCGTAGAAATGTTGTTTTGGTGTATAGTTGTTTTGTTGAAAATAGAACAGCTTCTCTGTAACCATATCATATCATACATCATATCATATCATATCATATCATACATCATATATCATATATCATATATCATATCATATCATATCATATCATATCATATCATATCATATTATATCATATCATATCATATCATATCATATCATATCATATCATATCATATCATATCATATCATATCATATCATATTATATCATATATCATATTATATCATATATCATATCATATCATATCATACCATACATCATATCATATCATACCATACATCATATCATACATCATATCATACATCATATCATACATAATATCATATCATATATCATATCATACATCATATCATATCATATCATATCATATCATACATCATATATCATATATCATATCATATCATATCATATCATATCATATCATATCATATCATATCATATCATATTATATCATATATCATATATCATATTATATCATATATCATATATCATATTATATCATATATCATATCATATCATACCATACATCATATCATACATCATATCATACATCATATCATATCATACATCATATCATATCATACATAATATCATATCATACATAATATCATATCATACATCATATCATATCATACATCATATCATATCATACATAATATCATATCATACATAATATCATATCATACATCATATCATATCATACATCATATCATATCATACATAATATCATATCATACATAATATCATATCATACATCATATCATATCATACATCATATCATATCATACATAATATCATATCATACATAATATCATATCATACATCATATCATATCATACATCATATCATATCATACATAATATCATATCATACATAATATCATATCATACATCATATCATATCATACATCATATCATATCATACATAATATCATATCATACATAATATCATATCATACATCATATCATATCATACATCATATCATATCATACATAATATCATATCATACATAATATCATATCATACATCATATCATATCATACATCATATCATATCATACATAATATCATATCATACATAATATCATATCATACATCATATCATATCATACATCATACATCATATCATACATCATATCATAAATCATATCATACATCATATCATACATCATATCATATCATATTATATTATATTATATTATGTTTTATTATATTATATTATATTATATTATATTATTTTATATTATATTATATTTTATTTTATTCAATCATATTTTTTTAGGTAAAAATGATGGCTCTGTCAATGGAGTGTCATATTTCAAATGCGATGACAAACATGGACTATTTATAAGACTCGAAAAACTAATGTCTCTAGTACATTCTAGATGAAGTAGTAAAATTATTAGTATCTTAATTTAAAATTTGTCAACTGTTTTAGCAAAAACGACTCTTTATTAGTGCAGGCAGTTTGGCTTTGCGATTGATCCCCGGATAGTTTTATTCCTTCTAGAAAATAGTTTAAATTTGTAGTTTTATGTCAAACATGTGTCATTTTATGATAAATTATCGGCGATCTTAAACACCCAATAATTCCATCAAATTCAAATTAACAGAGTTTCTTCTGGTGTTGGCTGCAATGATATGTTGACAATAATATGTTAATTAAATTAAATTTTTGATATAAAGCGTAATACATTTGCTAAATTACCAGGCATTACCAATATATTTTACACGGCACCTGAGTTACATTTAGCAGTTTCCATAAAATCTAACCCACCAGCTGACATAATTTGTTATGTGTTCCAAGTCTTCTGTATATGTTATAACCCATTGAAAGTATGCATATCGTTCGAATTAAAACATTTAGGTCTTATATTCAATTGCCTGCAAAATTATAGATAGGCTGCTATTATTTGTCCAAGAAAACATACTCTTTTATATTCCAAGATTTTTACGTATATTAAGTCTACAAAAGGCTACATGACTCTGCTAATAAATATTAAAGGGATGAGCATCTTTAAGTTTTTGCTTCAATGTGCGATAGGTCTATTGGGTACATGCAGAAAATAGAAGGCATTGTTTTGAATTAGCATTTTTCTGTTGGATGGAATTCAATACAATTTTTGCTTGACATATTTGCAAAACCAGCTTTGTGCTTTTCATAGGGTTTTTTTTAAACCCAGAGATGCTTAGATGTTAACCTAATTCAAAACAATACCAGAAGGACAATGAAATTCAAAACAACACCAGAGTATAAATTGTTATTTGAAAGTAGCACCAAATTTAATATGTTTTATCTTGGTTACTTGCAGTTACAGGCATTTGCGTAAATAATAGCCCCCCTCAACAACGCCAATGTGGACACGCCTTTTGATAAGAACACAATTCTCTAGCGAAACTATGGTTTTCGGTTTTTTATAGTTCAACCTTAAACCTTATTCTGATATTTACTGTTTTAACCATCTATGTTATATTTCACTTTTAAGATATTAAGACGCACGCTTTTGTTTATATTACTGCAAATTTTTCAGCTTTACATTGTCGACAGCTTTTAAAACTTTTTTTAAGCAATTTTTTTCCATTAATGGTTTTCGTGTGTGATTTTAAATGCAAGGCACAGCTGACTTAAGGAAGGGAATAAAATAGTCTGTATTTTTTCAAGTTTAGTGCTCAGTTTTTCAAACATATTTTTGATTAAGAAATGGCCCTAAATGGTGCTTATTTTGAAAATAGTTATCGGTTGTAGCTTCAGCGTATTGGATGTAACCGAACTGGAGATTTTAAACAAATGTCAAAATGAGATATCCACGTCACATTGTTGGATTTTTTTCAGTCTAAGATCCTAAAACACGTGGCTAAATAATTCCATAATTTAATTTTCAATAAAATCATGATTAGCGTTGCGGAGCCTCTTCTAATGGATAAGAATATTAAGGTCGATATTGTGTTTGGTGTTGGATAATTTTAACCCTTTGTTCAGATTTTTGCAGAGTTTCGACATAGGATCTTATAGTGGCTGTTGATCAGTTTACAAATAACAAACGGCTTTGTTGTATCATTGGTTTTCTTACGAGGATCGTACTTTGAGTATTCGTTGACTTGTAATTGTCAAATTTTTATACTAAAGTCGTATTTTAAATTGATTTCATTTTTGTCGTAATTGGATGATTTGAAATAAGTGAATGGCTGTTTATGCCTAGTGTCACAAATTGCTTGTGATGATTACGTCTTGAACAATGTTATTTGTGAAATCTTAACTATCATGAATGTAATAATAAAGTGATTTAATTGTAAAAGCTTTGTATCGAGTTCATTTTATCGTCATCTTCTTTGATTTAACCACGGAATGTTTCGATTGCAATGCCTGTGATCCTAAACAAAGGTCTGCAGAATGCCCAGGGGTTCACTTGAACAATTTATGTATGTACGTCCAAAAATTATGGGAAGAATTTTCCTTGTGATCTGATATTTTTAGCCTGGGTCCCAGACCCCTAACATGAAAGTAGACCTCCACTTTCAAGTTAGGGGTCTGGAGCACAGGCTAATATTTTTGGGTACCTGATTTAACAATATACATTTTAATAATATTGGCTCAGCTACCACTTCTCGGCACTTTTTAGCTGATGATTTTGATCTGTAAAGTTTGTTTTGGATACTTTTAGGGGAAATTTGATAACTGCAGATGGACCTCCCCGCATATAAAAAGTTTGAGTTACTCCCCTGGGGAAGAATGGTTATCCTGTATCTGCCTTGGTTGAACCGTATATTGACATTGACTAGCGATGCAGTTCTGTGCTACTTATTCTGATACAGTGGAATCCCGATATAACGAACTCTGAAAAACCAGAAAATAGTTCGCTCTATCGGGAGTTCGTTAAACCGGGAGAAAACGTTTTTTAGGTCTTTTCGCAGTTCACGCCTAAAAACCTGCGATGGGCTTGTTTATGCTATCTCTAACTTCTGTGCACATTTAACTCCAAAAAACCAAGCTGAATTCAAATGTTACTAAAGATTAGTCATTTTAAATGAAAATCTTTATCTTCATCATATTATTTGGGACCAAGAGATTGACAAAGCTAGTATCACTTCACTTCTAGTTGGCGGCTGAATGACGTCTTCAGTTACTTCACATCCTTATTTGTCTTCTTCTGGTTTTCCATCTGGGTCTCTCAATAAATGTTTGTCGTCGCTCATTCTCATATGTAAAGAGGTATTCGTTATTGTCAACGTACTACTCATTTGCAGTAATTTCTGAAGCAATCAAATTTTCATCTTATACTCTGAATCTATCAACCAGTGCTTGAAATGTATCATCGGTATGTTTTGCCGATTATAAACATGATTTCTCACCAGATTAAGTGATAAATGAACACGCAAAATGAATAAATAGAAATAACAGATGAAAAATTTATAAAAAGTTTGTTGTATCGAGAGTAATTATGATGAAGGGACCAGACATACCGGGAAGTTCGTTATACCGGGAAGTTCGTTATACCGGGAAGTTCGTTACACCGGGAAGTTCGTTTACCGAGAAGTTCGTTATATCCAGGGTTCGTTGTATCGGGATTCCAGTGTTTGAATTTCATTTTTAATGCTAAAAATCGTGTAAATAACAAAGAAATATTCATTATTGCTTTATGTAGGCATATGTTAATCGCGTTGAGTTCCTTCGTGATGCTTTTTTCAAGCAGGCCCGTTGGAAGCGGGGGAGCTAAGGGGCTGGGGCCCCCCAATAGTTATCGAACTGTAGCATGTTTCCTTTATAACAGTGTACTGAACGAGAAGAAATACAATGGGCACCCCTCCCCCCACCCCCCAATATGAATTTCGTTCCGATGGCACTGCAGAGGTGGCGCCAGAAATCTTCCGACAGAGGGGCTGGAGCTTCCGACAGGGGGGCTAAAATGACTAAAAAAAGCAGTTTTCGTACATTCTTTTGTCAAAATTGCTCCGACAATAACCTAAAATTTCCTCCGATGGGGGAGTTAGATGCTTCCGACGGAGGGGCTGTAGCCTCCCCCAGTCCTCTCCTGGCGCCACCACTGTGGCACTGTGAAGGAAAGGTTTCTCTGAAAATTATGTACGGCAAATCCTCTATTTCACCAGTAACGTCCACGGCGTTTGTAAAATTCTTGCTATTTAACGGAGAGGCATTAGAGTATATCGTTGGTTTTCGGAAATGTTTTACTGAGAATTTCATGGAAATATAAGAAGTTAAAGAGAGAAGGTTCATTATATCTTGACTCTCTATGCCAGGGCCGCCGGAGCCAGGGGGGCCACGGGGGCACAGGCCCCCCTGCTTGCAAAAAGTATAACGAGTGCCCCTTCTCGAAAAATATATTGCGTGTATTTTTCACTGCCAGATATTCTGCCTTTAGAAACTAAGTAAAATAACATAACTCTGGACGTTGTTGGAGGACCATTCACTGAAAATTCCTTAAATTTTTACTTGGGCTTGATGCAAGAAGCGCAAGCTCCTGTGATGAACAATATCAACTGCGAAGGAGACTGCCAGTTTCGCGAGAAAATTTCCCTAGTATGTCTTCAGCAACAAAATCATTAGTGAAAGTCCCGATCAAGTCTCCGGTGGGCACAGTCAGTTGGTCCAATGTATATCGTGTGTGATCTTGAGTAAAAACTTGACCCCTATCTCTGATTCTGGGTTGAGTAAAATGTACCCTATTATGTGCCTTTACAAAAATTTTGTAACTTATTTCACTGAGAATATTTAAGCTTGAGCAGAGACTGCAAAGTTTTTTGTACTTCAATATGCCATTGATTTACCTAAAAAATTATCTGCATCATCATATCAGTAAATTCCTGCCCTTTTTGTGCTTCCTCTTACTGATTAAGAATGCAACCTAATTTTTAAGATTCTATGTCCCTGAATTTTAGCTTTTTCAAATTTTCGGAACTCACATGTTATACGTTTGACCAACTGACTCTGACTGAGCCGCCCAGATTAATTTTAAGGAGAGTTAAAAACTTGGTTCGTTCATAAGACTGATGAGATAAACCTAATCAATGTTACAAATTGAATTTGCTATGGCAGCGAAGAATGTGTCCGCACCTTCAGCCGATTGTGTGAAGATGACTTATCCATAAAATTTGTAGCTTATGAAAAATTTTATGGAGGCGAACAAATTTGTGTTTAAATGGGGATGGGAGGGTGCGAATACCAAGGGGGGCTAAATTTTTAAATATATATGTAAGAAAATTAAAATCATTATTCGAATGGGGCTGAAACTTTGTTTAGAAAGAGATAGGGACTGGAACTCGCTTTGAAGTACATAGAGACTAAGAATTCAAAAATTCCATTCAGTTCATATTTTGGGCTGGATTCGTTGGTATGTTGCAATAAATCTGAACATTTGTTGAGTATAATGCCCCTGCCACAAGTATGAAAGAAGGATGTGTGCCTGCTTCTTACCCAGGACCAAGTCCACTTACAATGCAAATTATAAGGAAAATAAGTACAGCGTATTGTAATAGAAGTATAAATCATACATGGAAGAGAGATTTACACTCTCAAAATGCTTTGAAGGCCATGAGATGGGAAGCTATACAATTAATCATAATTAAGAGTACGTGGTCTCTAAATGGAGTACATAGCCATGTCTGATTTCAGCAAAGATAAATTTCACTATATCCAACGTATGTAATTATTTTTATAAATGACTAAATTTCCGTGAGATCTGTACCATTTTGGCCCTTACTAAAGTTTCGGGAAAAAAATATTCGTGCCCTTTTTATTCGTTTTGGCCCCCCCTGTTCAAACCTGCGTCCGGCGGCCCTGTCTGCTGCTTATAAAGGAATAATTCATGTACTGATGAAAACCCCACTAAAAGCCCTGGACATTTTTATAGAGAGCCTTAATAAAGAGAGTTTGTGGATAAAGGGGGCACTAAAGAGGACATGGGCATTAACAATCACCTTTCTATTCGACAAATTCGTCGTTGTGAGAACGCTACCCCAACCGCACCTCTTGTACCACTGCGGTGGTGCAATTTGAAAAATCAACCGAGTAGAATCGATCGCTAGCCTTTCTGGCACGCGAAAGTTCCTCCATGACTTAATAACAAAAAAACTGATAAAAGTCTCGCAAGAACTTTAGCAACGGCATCGATCGTGTTATTTGTAATGGAGGTTGATGCAGGTAAGTTCTTTGTGAAATATCTTCATGCTAAACAAGGGTTCCTGTTGCCCCTTGGCCAGAACTCGTTCATACTAGGCCATACATTTTGGAAACAATAAACGAGAGATTGGTATAATATTAATACTATTCATGATACTCCTTCAGTTACAGACATGCTAAAAAATGAAAAGAGTTGGTGAGGTTACTGTTTGCTTATAAAGAGAGTCTGGTTAACAAATTTCTGATTTTCCACCAGAGATTTTCCATTGGGTTTAACAAAAGGCAACATCGGTCCTGTCAAGAATTAGGCAGGGGAAATGCCAATACCACAGAAAAATGCAGGAGAAACACAATTGGATTTAGCAATAAGTATAGATTGCTAATGTAAATCATTAGAGTTTGAAAATGTGTAAAGCAAATAAAGACAGAATACAATCATAGTAAGAGCTTGCTGCATGTTATTTTCCAAATGAAAGGGCCAATGGCATAGCAAAAGGGAGGCACAAGGGGCAGATGCCCCCCAATGGCAAAAGTCTCTTTGAAAGTGCATTTTCTGTCATTCAATGGGGTTTTGACCAGGGGCAGATCTAAGCAAAAATGATTGGGTGGTGTTAGACACTAATTTTGATGCCACACCCTTCAGGTCACTGGTAAATTATGGAAACGCCCATTTTTAAAATTCCGTTTTTAACCTTAAGATAAAGATGATAAGAAGCAGAGGCGTAGCCAGGTTTGGAAGATTGGAGGGGCAACAAGGAAAAATTCACACCGTTAAGAATTTAGGAAATTACCCCACTTTGCAAAAGCGTTTGGAAAAACTATGGCCTTTTTACTTGGCAATTTCGCTTTATACAACATCATATCTGGCTTTTTGTAGCTGACCCCAATCTACAACTGCCTATTTCCTTGACAATTCATCAAACGCTTACATTCTGAATTGTGTAAGGCAAGGACGCACTACATGTAAAAACTGATTCTCCACAGTTTTAATCAAATATCTAAAAATAACAAACAGGATTAAAATGTTTTAAACTAATTCTTTTCTCCTTGGAGCAAAATCCCCGACAAGCATTTCAGAATCCAATTTTTTTAAGGATTGAAGCGCTTTAGCATTTTAGTTTCTATTTTATCGAGATTGTCTAAAGAAATAAGCCCTTCAGATAAGCTTGAAATACAATTCAGAATATTTCTTACAGTTGTTGCAGTCTTTAAAAACATTTTAACATTGTTCGAATTATAAAGTCCCCTTTAAGGTACTAATTCTATTGCAAATTTGCATTTTTCTCAGACACCGACTTTCTGAGCGGCCGCTCCCCTTGCCTCCCCCCGCTACACTACTGATAAGAAGATAAATACTGATATTATGGAGATAAATAAAGTAGAATCTTGGCGTTAATTTGTTACTGCTGACTACCAAAAAATGGTTTTTTCCGAATGGAACCAAACTTACCGAAGGAAACACTCCCTACACCCCCTGCTAAGTCCATTCCTGGTTTTGACCCCCCCATTTTCCTTGGCTCAACTCAATCTTGCCCCCTCAAACTTGCCACCCTGGCTACATTACTGAATAGGGCCAGCAAAGAAATTTTGTTTAAAATAGCACTCCTATATTTTTAAAAAAACCGAGTCCAAACAGACTATTATTATCTAAATGTTAAATGGCAAATTGATGATAAAAATATAAAGAATTTTTCCCATAAACTACATGGCCTTTTATATCTCTTCTTACTGCAGCATATAGAGATGTCGCTTATAGGTTTGCAGCTTCGAATGGCCCCGATCTTATTTTTATTTGTGACCTACAGATTTGAAAATTGTTGTTTCAGCACCTTGACATATGAGATGGGTCTTATGTCTTGCTGTGTATCCTCTCTGTATGTGTTGCTGATTGCTGCTTTTGGCCGGTTATTACATATTTTGTAATTTTTGGACTTCTTATAAAGGCCCCCCCCCCCATGGAGTGCAGCAATTATCTCTTTTAAGAAACACACCTTGCAGCACTTTATTTGTAAATTTATAGCAGCCTGGACGTCTGGTATTTTCTCTAACAGTTTTCATAAGCCAACTCTGTGCATGGAAAAACAATCATAATGCAATGAAATATTGATAAGAGTGTCTAAATAACAGCAATTGTACTTCAAATTATGCATCTCACTTTCTCCCTATTTTTGTGTTGTTTCTGTTTTAGAAAAAAAGTTGTGTGTATTTTGCTTCAAACCTCCAAACCCTGTTTATGGAAAATTTTTCTCAGATCAAGAGTCAAATTTATCTGTCCATCAGTATTGTTTGGTGAGTTTATCTTGTCACTTTATTTCCATAAGAGTTATCTCTTCTTGTTCTGTGGAAAGGGATTTGACTGTGAAAAGTTACAAAAGATGTAAATAATTACATCTTTAGCAATTTTTGCAGTCAAATCCCTCAAACTTTATAAAAGCATGCCAGAGCAGGTGGGCTAGAGGGCTAGCGGTATCAAAGGTAATGGAAAAAATTACCACAAAAGTTTGCCAATCCGTGCATCAATTTAAAAAGGTTTATCCAAAGGCTATGGGTAAAGAAGCTTGAAGCTGAATAAGTTTTAGATGATTACTCAAAATTAGAGGTAAAGAATTTTACCTTTAATGTGATTACGAAACGTTTTCAAATGCCCCAACAAGGTTGTTAATTGAATATGTTTCCTTTTCCATCACATGCATGCAGCCCATGCCCTGGCTCCTTGGGTCACCAAGAAATATTTTGTTGGCACAGGTACCCAAGTTCCATTTGGTTTGGCGGGACAAATGCCTTGTCAATATTTGTTGCCTGCCATCAGATTCCAGCCAAACAAAATACGGATTTTACTCAGCCTCTCTCTTTGACCTCTCATAGATATTATAGATTTCAAGATTGATATCTTGAACCATTAATGGTAGTCTACTACTATTATGCATGCTGTGTGTCATTGGAATGTTTTAAATGTTGGTTTTTTCTTTCAGTTTTTAGTGATCTAGGTTTAGGCCCAAGAAGTGGAGGAGTGGGTCATGAAGATCTGCGTAGTTGGTTTTTTGATAAATGATTATAAAAAGAGTGAGATCGTTGACAAGCGTCATGGTGAGGTTTATTACTCTTGTTATGGATTTTTCATATTTTAAGCTGTTCTATGTAGATGTTGTTGCGTGCATCAAGAGGGATATAACTATGGAATGAGTACAGAATGAAATCTTTCAGTTACACCATTAAATCCTTAAATGCAAAATTTATTGGGTAGTTTTTGTTCGATGAAACTTGTGAAGATATTTGTGTAAGCATAAGCTAGTGACTAATGTTGTCAGGTACTTATTATATGCAATTTGTTGGCATCGCGTCGCTTTTCTTGGGGCGTGAGGCAATTCATTGGTTTTGGTGAATCTAGATGTAGAAGTGTGATAGTGATTTATAGATTGAAGATCGATGTACTTGATTCTATTGTTGTGAGATGTGACAATGGAAAACTGGGTTTGTAGGTGAGAGATTGTTTTGATTATCCTGAGCATTGGGCCGGATTTCTCTAGAAAATAACATGAATTATCTCAAAAGCGATGTTTCAATAAGTATAATGATTTTTTAAGTATCTTTCTTTCTCGCGGTTAAGACGGTATGCGCATTTGCAAGAGACAATAGGTGTTGGAATCTGGTCGGATTTTCTGTTATGCTCGGCGTGCAAAAGTCAAATACCACTATCTGGTGGATGGCCCATGATAATGGACACTGTGGAGGTTGAATATCATGTTCTGTGTTGTTGTCGGTAGGATAGGATGAGTTTAGTTTGTGTGTTTTTGCTGTTGTCACGTATAAGATGTAAACATGATAAGAGATGTGTTCAGTGTGGGTAGCTATTTCTGAAATATGTGGTTTATTGTGGCAGTCTCTAGTAGTTGGGCTTTAAGAGATGAAGAAAGCTTAAGCAAAAGAGTTTTTCTGGCGGTATTGTCGCTTTATTAATTGTGAGAGATATGGTAGAGAACCTTGTGGTGAGATCGTGTCCATGGTGTTGTGTGTGTGTATCATGTGAATGTGTCTGAATTGATAGGCAGAGTGGAGAGGAGTATTGTTGGACCATAACGGAAGCCACAGAGTGCTTATAGAAACTGGTATGTAGATGATGTATTAGTTTTTAATCAGTTTAGCACTATCCACCCCCCTCCTCACCCCGCCCCCGCATCTCTTCCCCGCTGGCAGCTGGTTTTTAGAGCAAACTTTCAATCCAGTGATTTAGTTCTTTTGTTTCACAATGTTCGTTTTTAAGGTGGATGTGAGAAGTAGTCGAGACGGCTGTTTGATTGTGTATGTTTTTTGTAGAGGTACTTAACTTGGCTGGAATATATTTTTTCACCTTGCTTTTTGACATTTCAGTGCCTTCTGTAAAGATCACAAGCCCATCCAGAAAGTACCAAGAAAGAGTATAGTGACGCGCATGAGCTGTGCGATATGTCTAGAGAAGGACTTGAATGATGATGTGGTTGGTGGTTTTCTAAAAGGACCATGTTGCAAAGATAGTTTTTTTCACAGAGATTGCTTACAGGTTTGTTTTATTTCATTCTAGTTGTCCCATCTGCATCTTCTGCTTTTTCTTTAAAACAGCCATCACAAGCAGCTGCCTAAACCGCCCGATTTCATACACAGCCAGATATCTTGTATGACAAAACCCTTTAAGATCAGACTTCTGACCTTCAATGATTGTTCTGTCACGTATTAAATCCCTTTCCACACACGTTCCCTTTGTTAAGACTATTGCTAGTCAAATCCAAAAATTCAATACCCCTATCTATACCAATTTTTTACAGGAAAATTGAATCCAATTCCCAGGTTTTTGGCATAGAAAAGAGTACCTATCTAGTGTTACACCCTAAGTTGCTGTAATGTGAAATAAAGGTATTTTTCCGCGCAGATCTACATTATTTTTCACCATGCAAAGCATGCCTGTTGCGCAATAGCCTTAATCGGTATATTTTCTATTTTTTAAGAAATACGCCTTGTCCAGCGGATACTTCTTTCGATGTCCAACTTGCAATAATGAAAAGGAATTCCTAACAGAGATGAAAATTTATGGTATCTACATCCCTGAAAGGTAAATGAGCTGCTTCTTTTTTTTAATATTCCGTTTATTGCCCTGGTCCTGACTAGTGAAAGCTCTCATATCCAAAGCGAGTTTCATCCTCAGGTGCACATAATTTGACGATACAAATAACTGCTATTCCACCAGAACATTTCACAACAAAACCAAGTAAAGACAATCCAAATTTGTGAAACTCGAAATTGGCACGTGATACGTATATAGATGTCACCGTGTAAAGGGTAGCCAGGGCTCATTAATAATATTTTGTGCCTGCGAGCGCAAAGCTGAGTAAAAATGTGCCTGCAAGTAAAATAGGGAGCAATTTATAATCATAAATTGCACCCTATAAATTGAGAACCTCCCTGTTACGCTCAGTGCTGCTACACCAACTTACGTTTGTCAAAAGCATATACCTTATCAATATCATCATTAACTACATGTAACTACATGCAAAACTGAACAGTTGACATAATAAATGCTACCAGTTTTTATCTACGGGTTGTTTCGGATTGTCAAGTAGCCCTATCGTTGTTATCGATTTCATCAAATAAAGACATCTTCAGTAAAAACGCTTCTCCATATCTTAAAAGCTTCACTTAAAAGCTTCATGCACGAGAGAGTTTTACAAATGATAACATATTACTCTGAGAGAAAGCGATACAATAGTTGTTAATGATTTCTTCCACCATGAGATAAGACAGGAAAAGAAACAAACAGCGAACTTGATTTTGAGAATCAAATGGCGCCTTTAGAATAAGGACCTTCTGTGGCAAACTGTTTCAATGGCAAAAAAGATGCTTGAATAAAACATGACTGTAATACAATAAAGGTAAATAAAAATCGATTCAGAAATGTGCCTGCAGAAATTCCTGAGGATGAACTTTGTGCCTGCAGCGCAGATTAATGAGGTCTGAGGGTAGTATATATTATAAAATCTTTTTGCACTCAATTGTTTAAATTTTTCTCTTATTCCTTCGTTTTAGAGATGCTCTTTGGGAAGATGGAGTCACTTATGCGGATCTTCTAGAAGTGAACCGTCGTTGTGATAGCAGACATTGTTACTGCCCGAAAGGAAGGCAGCATTTTGGTCAATGGGGGTTGGTATCTTTTGCTTTTGTGTACAGCTAAAAGTAGTGTGTCATTTAATTAGTATAATAGCTATGCATGTTCTTCAAGGCTCCTTACTGGGCCCTTTACTAGGCCTTTCTTTTAAAAGGAGCTTCAACAGGTAAAAACTTTTTATGACTGCACATCGGAGTCCAGCATAGTGTTTATATTTCCTTCGGACAATACTCAAAGCTTTTAAAACGATCCCTAGAAAAATAGTGGAAAGAAGACCAGTTTCAGACATAGTGCTTTAATTACCGTTATTTCCATTGGCCTTCCTTCCTTTCTTCAAACGCGATTTCGCAATTTTTCTGGGCTCTTCCCACTTAATAGAATAAGCGTATCATTTTTCTGAAGCGTTCTAGTTTGCCCCTTCTGGTAGATGTACGAATCCGCTTCCTTTACATTTTGTTTTACTTTTTAGGCGTTGGAAGTTATTTCGTTGTGAGATATGTGGGCATTCAGCTATTCACAAATACTGTGGCGATTCTCTTGAAATGCATATGTATCCATATAAATGTGACATTTGCCTTCTTGTGGAAAACAAGGGGAAGTTCGGAGATATGATCGAAAGTTACACTAAGAAATGTTTTGTTCGGTTGACAGATATTATGACTGATAAGGAAAAAAGCGAATTTAGGTGCGAAGGAACTTTAGTGGGCGGGAGCAACTCTTTCTCTAATTTGTTTCGCTCACATAGTAGAAAGCCTCGAGAGAAAAGTCTGAATCTTCTCGACGCTGGCAATAATTTAAACTTTGGAAAAACAGTTAAAAGAAAGTCTCCAAAAGCAAGACGACTCAAGCAGACGGCCGAGTTGAATAAAGAATGCGATGAAATGAGATCGATATTCCGTGAAAGTATTGATTTTCATAAAGGTTTTGAAGAATCCGCTAACGAGGCACGAGGTTCTTTAGGACTGTATCCGAATCACAATCTAAACTGCAAGGCATTATCAATGTCAAACAACAGTCGACAGGCCAAGTACCCTCGTTTTCAATGCGAGGGTTTGAAAGAGAACCAGCCCTCTGACACTGTGCGATTGAAATGTGCCCTTCATAAATACATAGAACATAGGCTTTCTCTAGTATAGTGTTTTTATTGACTGTTTCGATGCACAATTGTAATGTCATTTATTCACCCTTTATATAGTAGCGCCATGGTATCATTGAGGATCAATTGTGTTATATAGGCCATAAATTCCTATTGAAGCCAGGTAGATAATTTCATAACTGATTTGCAGTATTAGCTTAACTATTGTTATCAAAATTAGCAAAAGTACGAGTTACCAAAGCCTGTTATCGTATATAGAAGCCAATTAGTTTCAAAGTTTTCACGCTATTTAAAATATTTTCACTGTATTTTTTGGTTACAGAACAATTAAACCCTATATTATATCTGATGGCATATGTCAAATAATCCTAGCCAACTTCCTCTTGGCACAGTTTTTTCTGTCTTTTTTATGAAATTTTAAATAGGTACCCGTGTGCCAAGGTTTTCACCATTAACATGCAGATTTTACCTATGTCTCTTTGTCATCTCATCTGTCACTATGAACTCTTTGTCTGAAGCTTTTTTTATTTAAGCAAAAGCCCTTTTCATACCTAATTTTAAATTTCAGCAAGCCCTTTGGAAATTGAACCAAGCATTTAGCTGCCACCCCTAGATCCTTAGAATGCTGCGAAACCCTTGGCAAACACCTTTACCATCGTATAGGTGATGGTTAGCCAAGCAACCAGGAAGGATGTTAAAAGTTGTTTTCCCCTTAAGATAATACTTCAGCCGTTAAAAATTGTAATTTAGAGTTTTCTGCTTCTCAGATTTTCAGGATTAAGTTAGAGTAAATCACCGGGTGTATTAGAATGAATAATCAAAACGATGTGTTTCATCAAGCTGTTAGTAGCTAAGTTGCTATCGGATAAAATTTGTACATTTGTAGCACAATATCGTTAACTGGTCACTTTTTTTACTGCACTTGTATGATAATATGGCTTTTACCATTTAATTTATGTCAGATGTCTTTTGTATCATATGTTATCTTTGAAATTGAAAACGCTGTATAATTTTTCAATCTGTTTATCACCTTTTATCGTCGTAGTCTGCTTGCAGACTTTACAAATAGAGGACTCTACTCTTATCGCTAATTTAGTTGAAGTACTGCGGCGAATGTAACCATGGTATGAGGCATCCTGGTGCAAAAAATGTTTCCTCTAAAGAGCTGCCTCGCTTAATGTTTTAATAGTTTAGACATTTCTGTTAATTCTATGAATTGTTGTTTGAAGACAACTTGTTACGTACCCTCAAACTTTCGTCCCAGATCCCTTACTATACTGACAATACAATGAAAAGAAAAGACGTGATTCCTGTAGTGTACCAGGTCAGCTCTTATTTTCCTCCTTGTATCTTGTTCCTTGGATATTGGATAAACTAGATTACAATTACCCGTTCTAAAGTTACCAAATTGAATCGTCTTTACCTCGGACATTCCGCAAATTAAGACCCAACTGTATGCGGTAAATTTTCTTGATGCTGTCAGACATACTTCACATTTTTCCTCATCCAGATTTTTTCATTCCCACGGCTGCAGTGATTTATCTTGGCATTTCAAAAATGGTAATTAGAAATGTTTGAACCCTCGTAATGCCTTAAAGTGGCCTAAATTACTTAGTTACTTTATTTCTGCAAGTGGGGCTTTGGATATAAGGACCGCCTTTGCACCCTTTTATATTTTGGTTCAGGTAGTTTCTATTTTGTTTGTTTGTTAAGGCTGTCTTGTAATAATAATAGCTAAATTTACCTCTCATTTTTCCCCAACTCTTCAAATATTATCAACCCCTTGGTATTATAGACCTCGTACCAAGTAAGTTTTTCAGACTAGGCTCTTTCAAATGTGATCATGTACCACACTATTTTTTCTAAATACGTCCTTGATACCGCAAAATTTGAAGATGGATCCAGTATGCTATGTTTCCGCAATTTCATCCGCTATTTCATGTTATAACTTATTTTTCTTTACGCAATCCCTTTGTATGCAACTCGGTACTGAAATTGTTTCCAATTTAGGGAACACATTACACAGGTACTGAAGCTACGATAAGGGTTCTGAAGGTACTGAAGCTACAAAGCTAGAGCTGGTGAGGGTTATGCTGGCCTAAGTGACGATTTCATCCCATTAAGGATTTAGCATAGGAATCATACTACTTTGAAACTTTCATGGATGGACTATGAATGTACGAAATCTTCACTTTTATGGATGGACTATGAATGTACGAAATCTTCATTTTTATGGATGAACTATGAATGTACGAATGTACGAAATCCAATCATATACCGTGCAGAAACACAACCATCAATATTTCACTTGTCTTAAATTCTCATATGTCACAGTATCAAACTGTATCAATATCAACTGCCACATAGACCAATAGTTGGATTAAAACAGTATGATGCTGAGATGTGTGAGAATTTAGGATAAGTGAAATATTACAGTGAAAGTGGAATTATAAGACTATTTTGTGGGATATGTTCTTTTTGTGTTTTATTTACTTGATTATTGTAGTTCTGTTTTAATCACAAAATTATTTCTCTTCAAAGCTTCAAAATAGCTACTAGGTTCTAATGAAAACTAAGGAATTACTCGGAAAGTAGGATTTCATATGGGACAAAGCTTTATTATCAGCAACCAGCTCTTAAAACAATTTTTTCCCAAAAATCAACTAAGCCCGGTTGTAAGTTGCTTATAAAACACGTGTTCGCGTAAGAAGTGCCTTGAGTGTTATGAGATAGAGATAGGAGAAGCTCTTTATTTGATGTCCGTGACTTACAAATCAAGCCTGTCGTTAATGACCCTAGAGAATATCAACATCGTCCATTAAACTCAAAATAATTACATGATTCATTGTAAGGAAAACTTCAAATTACAGAAAGATGCTAATTTATTTTGTTTGCCTCAGAATTGTGTTTCAGTTTATCTTTTTCACGATATTAGTCATGCTAAATGTGCAAGCCAGTATTTGTTGATTTCTTAACCATTGTACAGAATTGTGAGCAAAGCCCAGTTAAGACCCGCTTAGAGGCTCAAAATACAAATATTCTTTGAGTCTGTGCGGTATACAAAGCTGATTTGCAGATCGTGTTTAGACAACCGTTGTGCCATGGCTGTTGCTCAAGATATTGTTTACAATACTGTTTCCCGCGTGAAAACATTTGCTTAACTGGTTTTGTTTCTGTACTTATCACATTTTTCTTTTAGTTTCTTAAAAACAAGGGTTGGACCAGTTTCCCAGATAAATCGTTTAAAAAGAATGCAAAGTTTGTTTTGATTTCGATGTAAATATGGTATCCTCGTTCAAAAGGACTAATATTCAAAGGGCTGTTAAAAAAATACCAACTATGAAAATGATATATACATTTTAAGTTTTAAAAATTTCAACAATAATTTATGAATTAGAAATAAGATATAAGCATCAATTTATCTCTATGGAAACCACATCAAGGAAGTCAAATGTTTTTTAAACTTAGAAGGATGTGCCCTGGGTGATTTAGCTTTTGGATAATTAACGGACAATTTACTAGGCAAGTCAGGTTAAATTTCTATTTCCTGAGATGGATGGGGGTAAAAGTTTCCCTTTTTTCACACCCTCTCCGTCAAAACACACCGTTGGATTGCTGCGTTAGAATATCTCTGGGGAGGCGCGCCCTTCTTACCATCCACCGCAGTCTTCTTGTAACGATTTCCATGGACATAACAGTCTTGGGGTTTGGAGTGTAAGCATTTTGTGGCAAAACAATGTCTTCGTTTGAAGTTTGCTTGAAAGGTGGAGGACCTTGGGGATTTCGCTTACATGGTGGAAAGGAATTTGGAACTCCTCTACGTATCTCCAAAGTAAGTAGCTATAAAGTATCTTGTCGTTTTGCATCGTAACTTTACAGCCCTCCATCGTTTAAATCTATAGCAACACAGTGCTAGGCCCATTTTATAACAGGCGTTCCAAGACAGGACAACTAGTTTAAAGTTTAACGCCTTGGACTGATTTGTTGGATGTGGATGTGAGTAGGCCGTTTACTTCAAAAGAATTGTTATTTACGTTTGAATAATTGTACAATCAAGGAGAAGTTATGGGCAGATCTGTTTGTTTGAACAGTATTATGTTAGAGTCAGATTTTATATTTACACAGGAGCGCTTATTTCAATTTCTTTGCTTTTGCACGGGTTTGTCGGATGATCAGTGATATTCCGATAAAGCTTTCTAGAAGACATGATAATAATACTCAAAGTTAAAATCTCTTCTGTTGTTGCGATCAAATCATTCATACTCGCAGCATGATTCATCATCGCGTATTTTGAATACCAGTTTGACGTTTACAGTACGTACTCTATCGCAGTTTGATAGATTTTCGTCGACAAGTACATTTGAAGAAATCCAGTTGGTGATTTTAGTACGTTTAAGATGGGGGGAAATTGGGTGCTATAACAAATAACCTTTTTGACTTCTCCTCATCTTCTTCTTTTTTTTAATCTAAGAGAAGAAATGCTAGTACTTTTTTTAATCTAAGATTATAAATTCTAGTACTTTCACTTACCGCGATGCCAGTGTTCTTATCCTGTACCTTCTTATGAAACAAGATGTTTGTTGGTTGGTTGACTGGAAGCTACCACAATCTGTAGATAGAAAATTTTAATGCCTCCACATTTTTATATCCAAACATTTTGTGGTATCAACATATTGTAGATAAAACAATAAGTATTAGAAATGTTATTATGAGAAGTATCTTCTATGATTGAATTAATTATTTTAAGGCAGTTTCTAAGATTCACTATGATACCTGTCAGTACTGAAGGACATTTATGAAATTATGAAACATTTAAACCATTTTAAACTCTATTAAACCATTTTAAACTCTGAAGCTGTATTCTTTTGGAAACACAGATAACATCATTGCTTGATACCACCAAATCTTTCTTTATTTCAATTTCCACAGTATCTCTTAGAAGCAACAACTTAAAAAAAATTTGCAATGGGGAGATTTATATGTAATGGTAGCTTGATTTGCAACAAAAATCATGCTATTTATGAAATAAAACTTTTGGAATAAGGCAATAAATTTGAATTACTGATGTAGAAATGAATTGTATTGAAACTTCAAATTATTTATTCTTATGTCACTATATAAATTGCAATTATTTCTACCCTGTTGATTTCTCACAACTTTATATATTAATTTGATCTTTTTACTTAGGTTTTAAAATTTTGTGAGTCACCATTAATTGTAATCTGAAATAGTTTCAAGATTTTTGAAGACTCCCTGCTTCTTATTTCAACCACCTAATTTAACTGATGAGGTAATATTGCATTCATAAATTTAAACAGGTATGGAATATTGTCATTGAATTTTCTCATTAAAGTGAATTTTCATTTGCAAGATAGAGGCCTTGGAATACAGCATGTAGCCTACAAATTTGTTTAATACTAAAAAGGTGGTCCCTGGCTGGGAAACCAGCACAGCTTTTTAAGTGATCTCCATCATATGGATTGTGGTCTCCCAAAATGGAACTCTGGTGAAGCTGCGAGACATTTACATAAAATTTGGCCACCCAGTGGTTACCCTGTCTCCTGGAAACACAGATAACATCATTGCTTGATACCACCAAATCTTTCTTTATTTCAATTTCGTATCTCTTAGAAGCAACAACTTAAAAAAAATTTGCAATGGGGAGATTTATATGTAATGGTAGCTTGATTTGCAACAAAAATCATGCTATTTATGAAATAAAACTTTTGGAATAAGGCAATAAATTTGAATTACTGATGTAGAAATGAATTGTATTGAAACTTCAAATTATTTATTCTTATGTCACTATATAAATTGCAATTATTTCTACCCTGTTGATTTCTCACAACTTTATATATTAATTTGATCTTTTTACTTAGGTTTTAAAATTTTGTGAGTCACCATTAATTGTAATCTGAAATAGTTTCAAGATTTTTGAAGACTCCCTGCTTCTTATTTCAACCACCTAATTTAACTGATGAGGTAATATTGCATTCATAAATTTAAACAGGTATGGAATATTGTCATTGAATTTTCTCATTAAAGTGAATTTTCATTTGCAAGATAGAGGCCTTGGAATACAGCATGTAGCCTACAAATTTGTTTAATACTAAAAAGGTGGTCCCTGGCTGGGAAACCAGCACAGCTTTTTAAGTGATCTCCATCATATGGATTGTGGTCTCCCAAAATGGAACTCTGGTGAAGCTGCTAGACATTTACATAAATTTGGCCACCCAGTGGTTACCCTGTGTAATGATAGGCAGTCTCCTGCAAATATGCACAATTTGTCCCAGTGCACATGAAACCAAATTGTCCATCCCTGCATTCGACTCTTATCTATCATGGCTGAGGTTGTAAACTAGTTAGGTTTTTTCTACCATCTGATTTTCTATATTTTGTTGAATGTTGGATGACTATCTTTTAAGTATGGAAACATTGCATATCTGCTTGCTATTTATCATCCTTGGGTTTAGAACATCTAATAGATGAGTAAGCTGCTGAATTTCCTATGTTTATTGGTTTTGTGACAATGATTGTTTTTTCCAGCTTGAGCAATACGGAAAGGCTGAAGCTGCTGGCTTGAAACTTAATGATGAAATTTTAGAAATAAACGGAAGAGACGTTGGAAAACTTTATCACACAGAAGCTCTAGTTGTTGTAAAAAAGGCAGCTAATGAACTAAGGATGGTTCTTTACAGGTAATCAATGCTTTGCATTTAGTATTCATATAAAGTAAACTATCAAGTCTTGCAAGAAAAACAGGGGATTTTAAAATTGTTTTCTTAAATGAGGATCAAATTTGAATTGGAGCAAACTTTTCAAGAGGCTATTTGTTACCATCTTTTGCTTCAAAGCTTGGATTTGGGTGCCTATTTTAATAAAAGTTAATGAAATTAATGGGCTTTGTAGTGAGACTGCAGCATATGGGACTCAATATATATAGGACTCATAACTTACTGTAATGAGACTGCAGGCTTCTGCAGCAACTTGCTGACTGCAAGTTGAAATACAGTTCTTTAAACTATATGCAAAAAACTATTAAAATTTGAAAAGCCCCTCAGCTTTTTATGTGTACATTTTGTTATGTCCAGTTTTTGAATTTTCATAAAGTATTTTCTTAGGAAAATGAAAAAGAATCCATGACATATGAAAACATGTTTTTATATGTTAGCAGTTATGGTATGATCCTAAAACTTATGGTATGATCGCAGATGGTTAGCAGTTATGGTATGATCTCAAATGGTTAGCACAAAAACGATGCTGGATAGAAATCCCAGTAATTATGTCTTTGCAGGCCTAACTTGAATACTTTCAAAGCATCTCAACTTAAGATTAGAGGACAAGGATAGGAATTGTTCTGCAACTATTTGTATGAATTAGGAAGAGTGCACAGTATTCTACCCTTTGCCATGAAATTTACAAAACTTTAACACAGACTTGTTGATTTTGTGAGCCTTTCTGCAAAATACCAGCTTTTTCTAAATCCCTGTTTTGAATTTGGTGCAAATTTTTTATTTGCTGTTTGAACTTGCTCAATTTTTAGTTGCACTATTAAATTGCTCAATTTTGTTATAAGGACAAGCTAATATTCAAAGATAATATTCAGAAACAAAGCAAAAAACAAGGAAAATCCATGTTGTGTAAAAGAATTTTAAAGTAAATTAAATTTAATGAAATATTAAGCACTGGTCAATGCATTTTCTTTCATCTATTCAATAAGAGCCTGCATCACACCAAATATGCCTCCTAACATAAAATTTATGGCTTCTTACATAAATATTGAGGCTAAAACAAATTTATTCATGCATAGTATAACACGAATGTTTAAGAGGTCATAAATATATTGCTTCTTTGTCCAACAAAGCATGTCTCTTTGCACATCTTGAGTATTAAGAGAAGTTTTGTTTTTTGATATGGAGATTTAGAATACAATTTCAATCTTTTGTTTGGATGTCTCCTCCAAACCTCTGTCAGTATGTTCTCACCCATAATGGTTTTCTAGATTATTTCTTTTCAGTGAAGTAATTTCTGTGGTTGAATAAGCTTTTTGTCCAATTTCTACTGAAGTAATTCTGTAAAGTTTTTTGTTTACACATTATCCTTTCAATTGCAAAAAGGATTTCTAGCCACAAAGATTAAGACTTGGCTCAATAATTTTCTAGGTTTTGTCAATTGAAGCTTTTGTCTGCATTGAGGCTAAATTATACAGTCTTTCAATGTCACATTCATTCAGTTGATACAGGCCAATCAGATTTTCTTAGAAACCTCTTCAATGATCTCATTTGGATATACACTAAAACAAATGTACCCTATTTGATCTATCAAATACCCTCTCTCTAACAAACACCACTCTCCAATGGAGGACAAAGAAGCAATATATAAACCAATTTATGAAATAAATGTCCATCCTCCATTAAGGGCTTCTATCAGAAATATTGCAAGAAGACCAATTTTGTGTTTTTTTGTCGTTTAAGCAATGTTGAAATAGGCATCATCATAAAATTATTTTGACGTTCCTATTGACCTTGTCACCTAACTGTTCAGACCATAAAGAAATATCATGTTCAGAGGGGAAATAAGGTGTGTAATGCTGGCTATGAAAAATTGAAAAGCCTCTGAATCTTGTGATGAAGTAGAGAAAGAGGATCAATTTGAGATAGCAGATTCGGATTTGGAGGAGAATTTGTCAACTGAAATTGATTCTGATAAAGAGGAGGAGGATTTTTAATCCATTGATTAAATTTTGCACTATTTCAATTGAGTGTGGATTGATTTAGAATTTGATTTTATCTTGCAAAAAGCATTTTTTTAATAAACATCCCTTTCTAGTAGAAACCTCTTTAAATAGATGCTCCTCCTTAAAGCTAAAAATTTTTCATAAACGCCATGTAAAAACTCTTTGACCAATGCTCAAAAATTGTTACATCGATCGAAATCACAACAATGATTTGGTTGTTTTGTGATTATGATGATGCTGTCAATAATGACAATCATGATGATGATCAGTGATTGATTTTTGAGTCAATAATGATCGATCGTTGATTACTCGTGTCGACTGATACTAATATCATTTGTTTTAGATCATCAGCAAATTCGAGTGGGCAAGAAAAAATTGAGTATAAGCAAGAGAATACGTATGTGGACACAAACCGCCCACCAGCATACAATGACTATCACAATTACACACATGAGGGATACACTGATAAAGGTATAGATTAATCATGTATTACATTAAATACTTTCTGTTTCTGGTTATATTTTTTCAGCATTTCATCAAATATTTATCTATCTTGTTTGTAGATTCATTTGGTGTCCTTTCTTAGAAAGTTTTTAAATGTCTCGTTTTTCTAGAGAGAAAATCTAGCGAATGGTCGCCAGACATTATCAATGACGTTACAAGGATCCCAGACCCTATTGCAATAGAGACAGGTCCTGGGCAATATGTCACAGAGGACCCCCTTGAAGGTAAGGCATTTTATGTCATCTTTATAAAGCAGACTTGTAGATGCTATTCAATTCAACATCAGTGTTGAATTATCTTGTTTAGGTTTCTAATTATGGAGTTAAATTGTGGTTTAAAACACTTGGCAGTTAGCTTACCTACTGAAAATACAGAGCATGGCAGATATCTTTCAAAGGAGAAGATCTTTCACTGCCGTATTGTTAACAAGAATGTCATGTAATTACGGCTGATGATCTGAATTGTTACGTAAAAGTAGCAGTTTTCTTAGTATGATCGTTACTCTTTTTCAGTATTCGTCCGTTCAGTATTTTTAGTACTTTTTTAGCTCAGTAATATTTTAGTTGAAGGATGTCTTCAATAGGCAAAATCATTGTTCTTGGCTTCAGTTGAGCGAAAAGTATTAATTTTTTGGTTGGGCAGCAAAAGAGTGGATTACAAATCATCTGCTATTTTATTACTCACCAAGTTATGAAATTTTTTCTCAAAACATCCACTGTTTAATTGGTTATGGCTGAATTAATTTTTGGTTGTCATCATCTGATATTTGTTATCATTAATACCATCTGATTGCATGAAAGTTGTCTCAGACTGGTATTGTTTATCGATGAATGTTTATGATTTGCCACCTGTCTGGAGACATATTCAGTCGCAGCTCTTTGTTGCTGTCCGATTTAAACAAGAATAGAATATCTAGGACACGGAGTTCATTAGATTTTGATCAGATAGCTCACTGATTACTTGGTTCAAGTCGTCTCAGCTTAAGTGATTACGAGAGTAACGACCTTACGCTTGCTAGCTCGACATTCGGTTTAGATCCATAGGATGCACAGGTTTGAAACAGAACGGTTGATTTAAAGGCTACCTTTTTCTGGTTCTTCTGATTAGAAGCTATAGTTGTAACGATGCATCAGAAATCTGATAAACTAAGATAGAAATAACTGTTACCTGGTGATTTTACAATGTTCAAAATGTTATAAAGTCTAGCTGAGAGAGTTGTTGTTGCCACCTGCGTGATGATATCATTAAACGTCTCCTCGAATTTTGTGTGTGCTGAACTTAGATCGAAGTTATTGCAAAGACAAATGAATCTGAAATCAGATTCCGTAATAAAAGCTTCTTTCAGGCTGTCCCCGGAGCAAAATGAACTTATTAATCACCTTGATTTTGTTGTTAAAAGTCAAAATTTACTTTCGAAAGAAAAAGCTTCACTCACTTATTTTCTCAGATATCTAGTTTTAGTTGTTGTAGATAATTTGATATCAGAGTTTGTTCTCAGAGTTGTCTAGTGTTTTAAGTTATTACGAGATTCAAAGTGTTCTCATATGACTTAGAGTACTTCAAGGTCGTGTATAGTTTTAGACTTGAAATCTTTAGTTTTTGTATTGAAAAACTGTATTGTCTTCTATATGTGGAAGTTTACTGAGATTTCTAGTTAGCTTCACAGCTGTATGGTCTTCATTGACTAAATGACAGGATTGGACAGACAACATTGTTGTGATCTTTTTGCAACATGATTGGTACATTATTTCATTAGCTTTTATAATGTTAACGGAAGGCTTGTGTTTAGCAGTTTGCGCTTCAATGTGAAAGCATCAATATATTCATAAATCTTTACATCAGGTGAAAGACAGTTGGCTTAGCTTTTTTTAATATCATTAAAAAGCTTTCAAACTTTGCTGTGATTGACCACTACCTCATTTAAGAGCGCTGTCAATCGTTACAATCGTCTTAAAGAGATATGTTTCTCCTTTTACTCACCTGGAACAGCAACGGTTACTGTCATGACTACAGCGAAGACGAAAACGAGGCTCACAGATCAACAGCCATCTTCTACCATAAAACAGCTAATCATGCTCGTCACCAACTAACATTCGTTCACCAAGATAATAATTCACAGTCGACGCTTGTTTAACACTCCTATGTTATATATAGTCATTACTTTTTCAAAATGGATGTCAAGTTTTCTTCGTCAGCATTTTAGTTGCCACCTAGTTACGAGGATGGCGCTGAAGTTTTCCTCAACCTGGTGATTTTTCCTTCAATCTGATGAATTGGCTAGAAGTCTATTGGAATCAAGTTTCTGTTTTTCTTACCCTGACAATCAAAGAGCTCCCATAAACAGCAATCTTGCCAGATGACGTAAGGATGAAAGAGGATATATGATTCTTGAAGGCTGATAAAGTAGATTGGGACAAAATGAGACCAACAAAGAGTAAGATATTTCAGGGTCGTGTCATGCAATGTCTGTTCCAGGAATCTTGGGCCGTATGTTGCAATGTGCTGTTGCAAAGTCATAAAATTAAGACCAAAAGTTTATTAGTTTGATGATTTGGGCTATCAACACTAACAGCTGTTGGTTTTCTACTCATTTCTGTAGTGTCTCTTTACTTATTCTTTCATTCAGATAAGCCGAGGAGAAAATTTTTTCTAGAATTTTGAGTCATGAGGTGTATAAGTTTAATCGTAATTAAATTCATTTTGCTACCGGTTGTCAAAAGCAAGATAGTTGCTTTAAGTTGTGCAACAAAGCTGTTTATTTTAAATGCGCAAATTCTTCTTGTCGCTACAACACCAGTTTTTCCACGATTTTTTGCACACGGTATGATTTGCACCCTGCACATTTTCTTGTAATCATCTGCACTACGAACGCACTTGGCTGGAGTTTGAAAACCTCAAAATTCTGTGCAGATCCTGAAGAGAGAAAAAGAAAGGCTCCGCAGGCTCCAACATCACCGCGTGGATTTGAAAAGGTGCAGCCAAGTGGAAGGGGTAGGAGAAGGTGACTAGATATTGCTGTGTTGTTGTCGTTGTTGTGTTTGAATTTTCGACTTTTTTTTAAATTTCGGATAAAGCGATGTTCTTTAAGGCGAATTTACTTACTGGAAGTTTTAGTTCGTATTCCTTTGTCATTAAACGACCTGAGTCATTGGCTTGATATAGCTATCTTTATATCGGTTATTTTATTTAATTCTCTGTTGTTTGTGCAAACGATTTTTAAAGCAATGGTGATCAACTAGCTAGAATGGTTGAATTCCAATGAATTAGTCTTAATTCTTCATAGCATTTGCTAAACTTCGAGATGAATTCATCTTTCAGACTTACAAGCAGTGGAAACTCTTCTTTCGAAATGTTTGAAGATCGCAAGCCCGAAAACGTTGCTGTAGATATGCCGTTTATTTCTACAGTAAACAGTGCGCTAAGACATCTCCAATCCAACAGAGCTGAAGCAGGCAAGCAGCTTCCGCCATTTTTAAAACTGGATATGCTCTTGACGATTTGGCAAGTCATGGCTCGGGGCAGACAATTTTATGCAAATTACATTTTGAAGTGACACCTCGCGTGATTTCTTTATCAACAATTTCCGTTGTAATCTTACAGAGTACAAGTTGCTAACCTCTTCGAGCTTACACGATGGGCTACTATATTCATTATCATTCACGCCGTCACTAATAATTCTTTTAAATCCAGTATACACCATTAGCCACATAAAGATACTTGTATTGTCATCGGGCTTCGATGGCCTGTTATAGATTAATATCCAATGAAGGGCTCCGATGGCATCGTTCGCTAGGACCTCATTTTGATCAATGTTTCCAACGCATTTCTCACATTTTAACCCATCTGTTGAGCTAACGCATGCAAAACAAACTAGACGAAAACTGACAAAATAACAAAAGACCTGACAGCTTCCTTGCGTGCCTTGAAACAACTTTTTGTTGCGAATGTAGTAAGTTTGATCAGGTAAATAGTTGTCTAATTGTGCTTGCTTAGGCTGTGATGTTGAATAAGTGGACGTTTTCACAGCTTTGTAAGTTTTCGTGTCGTAATTTTGCAGAGTTAAGTTGAGATTGTATTCAGTAGTGCTGTATATTCAGTATAGTTTATCGGTTGGTTTGGTCAAGTTGAGCAGGCTGTCGATGACACACGTCGCCAGGTTTGAATTCTGGTTGTGAGAGTCACTCTCTCCGATCGAAACTTGTTGTTAAAGTTCGATTTTCTTTATCTACTGTTTATAAGCACCATACTCAGTCATTATTATGTTTCTTTTTTGCCCTCTTCCCAATATCAGGCTCAGCTGACACACACGATATGTGCTCCTTTTCAGATCCAGATTATCGCAAGTCATATACTTCATCTCTTCCAAGATCGCTTGGTAAAAAGTCAAAAACAATGGAGCAAAATCGGTCTGCGACGCTTCCTCGAAATTTAAAATCGGTAGGTACTCCCCCTATAGATCTGTCTTCTCTTTAACGGTGATCAAGGCAGTGTATGCACGTGACCGACTTGTTTCTGAGCCATTCCAAAACTGTTATGGTTAGGCCTTTCAATTGTTTCCATTTGAACCCTTCGGTACTCAACTGATAACCATACCCCTATGGGTCTACCTGTGAAACAATCTTGTTTGTTATCGTTCCTTATAAAGTTACGTTGAAAGAGAGTTTCGTAAAACTGTTCTCGTTGAAATGCTTGGTTTACCCCCTTTTCCATTTGGAACAGATCTATGGGGAACTTCACTGGCACTCCCCGTGTAAATGTAGCCATATTGTTTCACCGACAGTGTTATGATTCTACTTTATCAGCAGTTAAAGTCATCTCCTTACCTGCAACCTAGTGTTTTCCATTATCTTGTTACGTAAATATTTGCTTTCATTGAAACAGATTTGTACAAGAGAACATATCCCATTATCTGCGTGTCAGGTGAATTTCTAAGACCTTTCTCTATTGAAACAGGCCAGTTACACATTACCATCACTTTGTGACGGGGGGGGCTTTTGTGCTGTTTTACTGCGATAGCCTTGTGGTTACACTCCCCCCTTTTTACGCGCAAGTAGAAAAATACTATCATTGAGCGACGCCAAATCGTTAAAAAATAAATGGATAGAGTTTAAGTACGTTTTGTTTCAATCTTTAAAAAGACAAGCGTTTATTTTAAGGATGAGAAAGGAAAACCAGGCAGTGTCCCAAATTGGTACAAAGAGATGCAGAAGGAGATTAATAAAAGCATGGAAGGTTTGTTCCACATAGTCTTATTCTTATTTTGTTTCCCTTGTTTCGTATGAGCAACATTGGAATTCATGCCACTCTTTCTCTCTTAGTACTCTGATCTCCAGCATAAACCTGAAGTTGATTTTTTGTAGGACAGTCTCATTTGGGTCGCCTCCTCACTGCCGACGCTGCGAAGGGGGCTTTCAGGCGCTACGACGGTGCATCGTCCCCTCGACACCTATCACCGAATTCAAGCCAAAGACGACCTCGGCCTAAATCAATTCACATCGATCGGTTCCAGTTTGACAAGTTAGATTCAATATTTACGTTTTGATTGTAATCTGAATAAGCTTATGTCACTTAACCAAAGGTCTTTTGTTACTTGGATTACGAGTTTTTTTATAATCTGTTATTTAGTTTCATAAAACTATTTGTTTGTCTAATGAACTTTCAATGAACGATGGAATTTGTCCTTTATACAAATTTAGTAAACCTGTGCTTCAGCGTGCTTTGGAATATTTCATGATAAGGTGATGCACCTTATGCATATCCTTCAACTTGTTAGTTTTATACCGGTCGTATATGTTCGATACCTTTTTTGTCGCAATGTTTATTTTTATTCAACCCATTGTCAATGATTTTAATGTTTTCGTTTCAGTGAAAGCGTACCCGAGAGCGCCAAGACTAAAGGTAAGCTGCCTTTCCAACAATTTTGACTAACTAAGTGCTTGAATAGCGAGGTTTTAATGATGCTCTTTGACAAACTGGCCTACGTGTTTTACCCTAAAGCATCGGTTAAGCAATTTTAACCTGGGAAAGATTCCGCATTTTTTTATTACGGTAATTGCTTGTCGTGTCAATTTAGCATTGAATAAAAATCCTGTATATGTAAATGTGCCAGATAGCGTAATGAAATGCATGGAAATGGTCAAGTTTACGAAATATTCAGCTGACCATTGTTTGTTTACTTGTGTGGCTTCGTTTTCATGTCGCTCTTTTGCCTCGTGTAGACGATATGAGCAAGAACTCAGCAATGACTAATCTGGAAAAAAGAGAGAAACGCCATTCGGTCCATTCAAATTGGTACAGAGAGTTTCAGAAAGGTGGTCAGATTCCGGCTGCCGGATTAGCTGCAGGTATTGATTCAAAATTCTGTAACTTCATTGTTTTGGTTCCTATTATTTATGATTATATTATATAAATCTTATAGGATCATTTTTTACCGGCAGTAAATCCCCGCAAATAAGAAATCACTTTTGAGAATCTTTTAGGCTCGAATATTTTCTTTAAACCTCTGGTTTATAAGAAACTTTTTGGGCTAAAGGGTAATATAAAGGTTTAGGCTAAAGTTCCTGGATGTCTTTCATATCAAGACATTTATAAATGCACTTATTCTAGGTGCCAGAGTTAAGCTAATTTTTGAGTGACGGAATACTATAAATCTTTAAGCAAATAAATATACAATAATAGCAGAGGTGGTCAAAGTGCAATTTGTATGGTAAATCATTCAGTAGAGTACCTTTTTTACCTGGTACCCTGCCTTGAAAAATTTAAGAAACTTTTAAAAACTATTAGCCTTTAAATAAGCATACTCCCAAACTATAAGAAAGTTCTTAAGTTAAGTAGAAAAAGAACAGTTTCTTATGTGAGGGGCCTTACTGTATTCTTTTGTTTTATTTAGGTGGTTTGGCTTAAAATTCTGGTGTATCTTAATTCATTTGTATTGATCTGCCGGGATCTGAAAGCAAATTTATTTGCAGCTTTGACGATGTTTTCTTGGCTACAAATCGTCCAGCTGGTTTAAGCTTATCTGTTACCAGGTTTTTATTTGCTCTGGGTAATCAAATTTAAACTAGGGTATGGTAATAAGAGAAATAAGACCGTTACGTGGGTGTGGTCATCTCATTATCCATTGCACGAAGGCGGTCAGTAACAAATTTCACCTTAAAATAATGTTATGCTTATTGTATACCTGTAATGTATTGATAAAGCTGCAAATGATCTTAGCTATATGTCCAAAAACAGACAAGTTACATCAAAAAGTTAACTTCAGTGCAAAAAATATGAGAATATTTTCCGTTCATTTTAAATTCTCACAGCTCTGGGATGAGAACAGATACCAAGTCAGAATTTTATGTTCTGGTACTTCAATATGTCTCAAAGCCAATTGCCAAATCTCATTATGGTGCTACCTGTCAAACACCATGAAATTACAAAATGAAATTTGATACCAAAGTCTTTGCGGAATCTTTCAGATTTTCAACCCCTGCTGTTGTCTCTGTCAGACATGCGATTTGACATCATTTTTGGATTCCTCATAGATGAATTTAGTTGTTAGAGTTAAATAGGATACGTTCTGGTAATCTACTTCTCAGGTATTAAAGTAAGTTTTGTAGTCTCCTCTGTATGAAGATTCAAAATGGCGGATTCTTAGAATTTTACTTCCAAATTCTTTAAAATTCATTTACGGATATCTCAAAAAATGCCAAAGATAATGATCTGAAATTTGCAGAATGTTCTATTCCTATTAGTTAGTACACAATATGGGAAAATTAGCAAAATCTGAGATGGTGGGTGTCATGGCCTTGGTGATTTGACATTAAATGACCCATTTGCAAATCTGCTACCAGGTATTCGCAGCTTTTGTATCCAGCATTTGCAAATCTGTTGCCCGGTATTTGCAACTATGCTGTCAAGTATTTTCAAAAAACGAATCCGGTATTTGCTCATTTGCTACCCGGTAGTTGTTATATAATGCTGCTCAGAACTTTGATACGAAAGCCACAGTCCGTCTTTTCAAAAACCGCGACATCCGAGTCATCCATACCTAAGTACTAACACGATACTTACACAGATGGTATCGATTGTGAAATATATGTCATGCAATCCTATTTCAATTTCAGAGCCCGACGAAGCATCCGCTGTCAAACCTGTCCATGCGCGTTCTAGATCAAGCGATGATATTTTGTCCGGAAATAAGGTAAGCATTTCGAAATTACAAAATGTAAATGAGTTCATATAACCGTTGCTACGAATAACAGCCACCTGAAACTTAACCTTTAGAGTAAGCTACAGGCTTGAATCCTTATATCATTAAGAGTGTCTTTCCTTTTGAGCCTTTGCTCTGAATTTCCATACTATCGCGGACTTACACTGCGCAGTTACACTCTTTTTTTACAAGAACCAGTAAATTTAAGTTCAGGTAGACTGTTCTTAATTTTTTCGAAAATCTGAGGCTGGATTGTTCTTATTTTGTTCTTAAATTAAGAGGGTGTAAGCAGTGCTATTGCTAGCTTTTTCGCTCTAAGGAGGTGTTCAGGCCTTATTTGCCAACAAAGTGAGTGAGACAGTCTTAATTTGCTGTCAAATTTGAATATTCACCGAAAAAGCCTCCACACATCGCTAAAAATCCTCGATTTTAAAAAAAACGTTGTTCAAAATTGCATTTTGCAGAAGCTCAGCCTCAGCCTGTTCTTAATTTGTTCTTAACTTTTGACCAGTTTTGAGGCTCGTGTTCTTATAAAATTGTTCTTATAAAAAAAGAGTGTATCTGAATAGCTCGAACTGAGACTAAAGGCTTGAAGTTCAAACATGTTTAGATCACATCTACCAAATCTACCCAACCTATTTTTAGAATTGAAACTTAGGGGATTTAATCCTAGGGCTTCCATCTGCATTGTTTGTGAGCGCAACATCTGAGAATGTCAAATGCAGATGAAAAGATGCCCAATTTATGCTAGAAATAAATGCAGGGCGGGACCCTCGATAAAGCTGGATTGACGGATAAAGTGTGTGAAGCCTTCAAGCCTGGCTAAGCACCTGATAAGTAGAGCTTCTCATTTCGACTTCGCAAAGTTGTTTTGCTGACGAAGTATGATTGCTATTGTGACAGTTTTTTCAAAATATATTGTAAACATGTCTTCAAGTGTAGTTTGCAACTTGCTTGGTTGAAAAGCTGGTGCCTTGGTTTCGCTACGGTCTGTTAGTCTCGGTGGAAATCATTATGACTGTATCACCTGTGCGTTGTGTTTCCTATTACTTGTAGATAAAGTTGATACTTACTGTTTTCTTTACCCCGTTATGAATTTCCGTCTAAATTAGTGCTTATTCTATAGATTTTACCTGTAAGGACTCCACTAAGTTAGCTGGCTTTACAGTATTTCCAAGTACTTAGCCTGTCTGTCTTTCAAGTACTCAGGGTCTCTCTACGACCAACACTTTCCTTGTTGACTGAAAAACTCTCCTTTGCTTCTGCATAAGAAGCGAAGATAAAGAACGCCATGACAAAATAAAAACGCTTCGGTTTTATGCGAGACGCATCTTAACCTTCGCGAGATTCTGCATCACAACCATAGAGTGAAACAACTCATCATATAAGACATCGGGATATTTGTTAAACAGTGACCTGATAATACATGAAATCTTGTTTACATTCAGGATTATGCAAGGCCTTACAACTACCTACAAACTTTGCCCTTTTTTCTATTAGACTTTTCAGGCCCATTAGGCATGTTGTCTTGCCATGCCTTATAGTACTACACCCTTGTCACTGTCCAGCTCCAAAACATAACTTGTGACACCTTAAGGCCGGCCTGCAAGCGACTAATATCCTTAATTTCAAGGAACCCGCTTGTTTATCTGCATACTCTCATTCTATACCAAGTTCGTTGTCAATAGGAAGCAATAGGTAGGGCCAACTCTACTCTGTGATCCAGACACTCAACACTTATTATTGAAATATATAGCACTGGTATTGTCTGCAATAACATTTCTTTCTTGCCGGTAAGATGACACCTTCTGAGGAGATCCTGGCTACTGGCTGTTATACTTTGCTTCTCAACCTTCCATTTGATCTCTATCAGAGTCTTCAAATCTCGAATTCTCAAGTCCCACAACTACATCTTTAATCAGTTTAAATCCTTTTTATCAGAATTTTAAAGGGAGCAAAATATAAACCAGGAGAAAAACTGAGTCCATAGTTTTACTGAGTTGACATAACGTGTTATTGTGTCCATATTTTAATATATATTTAATTTTGCTCGATGGGCCTTAATTTCCTTTAAAATTAACTTTCAATTAGCTAATTAATTGTACACACCGCATTTAATAGGTGGAAAGAGGCGTGACTCTTAGACTATCTATTGAATAAATTAATTTCATAGATAAGTTGAGATTTCTTTGCTGCAAACTTTTGATGCATTTTACTTAGAATTAAGCCGTTCGATCGAGCATATGAATGGTTTTAATAAATATGTGAATCTCTTTAAGCCCTCTGTCGCGTTTAAGCTGTATTGTTTTGGATACTGTATTACAAAATATCGCTGATAATCTCCGCTCAGTTGGAAGAACTTTGCAAATGCGATCGTGCTCGGTCCAACTTCGCACCCTATCATTACATCACACTGCAGAGGACATTCGAAGTATCTTGGACATTCTGTTATTTTTTGTCTCAACTGTTACAGAAAGTTAATTTAGTTGCATTTGAGTTGATCATTGGACATGCCTCTGATATTTGTGAGTTTGGCTTTAATCGACCCTATTACTTTTTATTATCAACTACCAGTTTTTCAACTGCTTGTTACAACGTATCCCTTTATTGATTAAAGGATTTCGTCATATAGTTCTTTTTCATCATATACTCTATTTGAATCTTTATACAATATTTTGTTTATTACTTGATCAACTTTTGAGCTCTACCTTCAGGCTTTTTTAAAATCTTTGATGAAGATATAGTCCCACAGTATTGTAAGGTTGATGAGGTAAATAATTGAACTATATTCAGCATAAAAAGTGTGGAAAATCATGAATTTGTAGATGTAAAAGCAGTCGTTCATATATTACTAGTAGCTGAAACTTTTGCAGAAGTGCAATTTGGTTTTTACGTGGTTTCGGTGGTTTGTGTTCATTTGGATCTGATTCAGCTTCATTTGTTTTGTTTGATATGTTTAATTATTCCGTTGTCTTTTTTATACTGAATTGTTGCAACGTTAAATGTGACAACTGTTTGTAGTTTATAATGTAATAATGTCTACAAGCAACAAAAAGGACTTAATCTTGATCGAAGGCTTATTTGCTAAATGGTCCCTAAGTTTTCCTGATCTTTCGTTCGAGCCTTGCTTTCAATGCAGTACCAATCCGTGTAAACTTTAAGGTTCTTTAAAGATGACCTGTTCTGAAGTGATTGTAACGCGCGTGCTGTCTTGGTGTTGTGGATTAATGTCTTTTGTTGCTTGGCCTGCTTGTTCATGGCCTGAGGGTAAGAGGCGATTAGGCCTTATCTGAAACTGGAATCAATTGGCCTATTGAGTTTACAGTACTTTTTATTATTGATGTTTTCTCCCGTCTTTCTATTGTATGTTGGTCTTAATCGCATTTTTGATCGATAATGTCATTTTCATATACCATTTGTGAGAGAAAACGACAATCAAATGTGAATATTAGTGAATGGTACTAAGTCATCTGTTGATTTTGAAGGCATCTGTTTCATTTCATATCTTCTTTCAACTTGGTGGGCCCCTGCTAAACATATTGATAATCATTCTATTTACTAAAATAAAATGACTATTTGGCTCTAAATCACATTGTAATTGTTAATGAATAAAAATTTGAGTTCTAATTTGTGTATTAATTTTAGGAAATTAAAAGCAATTTAACTTTCGAAAATTGCATTTTTGACTCGCAAATATAAATTGTATCTGTTGATTAAATGCGACTTCAGAATGCAAGTCATACTTATGCAATGAAAAGAGTAGTTAATTCCTGCATTAGGCCAAATTTTGGCACCTTATTTATTTCTGGTTGAGTTTATTCCACACAGTGACAAAAACTTTGGAACTCAGCTGAACTTTTTTTAACTGTTGCTTGTGTTCTATCGATTTGGTCCGGCACTAGTGAGGTTTGTGTGTCGTACATTCAGGCTGAGCGCGAATTTTTAAATCTATGGCACCCTTCCATCGAATTTTTTATCTTGCGATAAACGATGCGATGGTGTAAAGAATACTTGAATCTTCATATTTTGGTTCAATTTCAAATTTTTGTTAGCCGTTAAAAAGAGCATCTATTGATACATCTTGTAATCAGAGACGATTTTTTTCTACAGGGTATGCCATATCAGGCTCCTGATCAGCGATCCCCAGATACCAGATTCACAAACCCAGCGAAATTTGAATATAATAATCCACCAGATTTCTTAGAACTGCGCAAAAAGGCTGAAGCAGAAGGGGCGCTGCGGGAGGAAAGAGAGCGCGAACTGAGAATGCTGCAGGAGGAGCGTCGAAAATGGCTTGAGGAGGAGGAGAAATTGAAGGCAATGAGCTATGATGCAAGGAAGAAAGCTGAAGAGGAAAGACGAGAACAGGCAAGGTTGAGGGATGAGCAAATGAGGATTCAGAGGGAAAAAGAAATTCAGTTGCAGAGAGAAAGGGAAATGCAACGAGCTCTAGAAATCGAAGAAAACAATCGCAGAAAAATGGAAGCCATGGTGCAGCAGAACAATGCAAAAAATGAAATTCTAGGCGAGGCAAAAGCAATCTACACCTTTCGCAGTCAATCACCAGCGTGAGTATTTTATGTCTTTTCTTGTTACAGCCATCCACGTACCGTGATATGCTTCAATTTTACAATTCGTACACCTCTAGTCATAATTCAGTACCAGTTAAAGGAGTAATATTCGGCCTTTTTGCTTAAAAACTTCAGGGCCTTCCTCATCATAATTTAATACCGCCTATTCAGAAAAGTTTTTCTCTGTAATTTTACATTTATACCCGTTTTGTAATGTCTTTGTGATTTCTTTTTGGCAAGAAATTCAGAGTAAGAGCTCTCCTTAAATCACGTGATATTTTCTTACAGCGAGATTAGTTTCAAGAAAGGTCAGTTAATTACGGTTTTCAGACAAATAGACGAGAATTGGTACGAAGGCGAAGTTGACGGTCAGGTTGGAATATTCCCAGCCAACTATATTCAGGTTTGTTTGCTCCTCTGTATCTCATCGTACAAATTCGTCGCAAGATAAGTCGCAACAAAACATAAAATCTTTAGGAGATTTTTGGATTTCCGTTCACTGAATAATTAATTATTTGGGATTTAGACAAAAATCTTTTATCTTTGAATTAATTTGCCAATTTATATTTGGTTTTGTAACCATCATATAGGGTCACTTGATAATAGAGTCGGTGAGCTGAGAAATGCCTGTCTCTATTTGAAGGAAAGTATGATGGACTTTAGAGCTCTTATCACTAAACTAGACATGTATTGTTTTTGTCGAGGGTTATTTCATTTTTGTAGCCTCTCACTTCTCCATTTGGAGTCCCATTAAAACACTGCATTTGACTTACTCTAAGCTTTGTTTTTAGAGCTTGGGAGGGGGTTTCTTATTTGTTAGCACTATACACCCTACTGATACCCTGTTACCAGGACCTTTTTTAGAATATAATTTGCATCCTTATAAAGGGTACTAGAAGCTGTCGTCCGATTAGCTAATTTATTTTTTATTCATTTTTGAACAATATTACAAGCTTTAGTATTTCAAAAAAGAGATGTTAGGGCTTTAAAATCACTATTCAAGGCAAACTTGAGTACTGAGTACTGCAAAATGAGTAGTCAACAAATGCCAAAATGTAGCGTGTCTGGTTTGAATATCTTACTGAATACACCTTAAATTACAATGACCAATGTAATGAATGACACTCACCGAATTTCAATCTTTACAAGTAGTAGAACACAGAAGTGTTTCTGCCGGAGTTATATTCTAAACCCAGAATTTCAGTTCGCTTAGCCAGGTCTAGGTGATTAATGCCGCGCATTTTCTCCATGGACTGTTTTGCATATGGAACAACTATCTTAAAATTGGAACGAACAAGTTTTCTGCTGCCAAGGTGCCCTCTAGTTTCTTTAAAAGCAATATTACAGCAACCATGCCCCTTTCAGGTCTCTGTCATCTACGAGGAATAAGCTTAGCTTTTTCTTGGTTTAACTTGATCGCTTCTTCTTTAAAGACTTTAAACAATGTTCGGTTAGCGGAACTGAACACCCTTTATCCTTGAGCCCTCGTAAGAGTTTTCCTGTGTCGTTTATAAAGCACAATTCACCCAAGGAAGTTCTGATATTTTCAATGTTTTGAACAGATAATTGAAACTAAAGAAGCACCTCCAGAGGAAGAAGAAGACGCAGGAACGATTCAAATAGAGGAGGGTATCGCAAGGGCAAAGTACAAGTTTCAAGCAGAGAATGACAAAGAGATTTCTTTCAAAAAGGTATTTTTCTGGCTAATCATTTTATTCTAACTAGCATCTAAACGAGGAGTGACCACAGTTGCATTTGTCAGTTTGGCATATTAAATGTCTTCCTTCTACTGTTTGTTATTGTGGATGTGTGTTGACGAATTAATTATCGTGTTGTATTGTGCAGAAAGACTTGGCTAATCTACTTTGAGAAATGCTGAATCACGAATTATTTGACGGACAACCGTACATCCGGGCTTGTTATAATGATGGCATCCTTTGTTAGTCCACTGTGTATATTTATGTAGAGAAGGAACTTAAATCCAATTTCACTTCCATTTCTCTTTGTAAAGTTGTAATTTATGTCAAATATTCTTTCACTGGCATTTTGTTTATTTAGAATGATATGATCACGTTGTTACGAAAACTTGATGATAACTGGTATGAGGGTGAAATTGAAGACCAGATTGGGATATTTCCAGTTAACTACGTTGAAGTAAGTTTTTAAAATCTTTGTTAAAACAATTTACCATTTATTAAATTGATTTTTATTTGGTTTATAGTAAGAGCTGGACAATGATGTTGTTTAAAGTCTCGTTACTTTCTTGCCTTGGCAAGCGAGCTTCTTAAATGGAAAGTTCCCTGAAATAGACATCACAAATTGTCCGCCTGTGATTGCTACAACCCAGATTGTTTCCTGCATATTAACATCTCTACTCGGTTATTAGAAAAAATCTACATCAAAACATCTCTATCTAAGTCTTTATTCGTTCCCTTTGTAATGACTTTCTCTTCAAGACTATTGACTTGTGATGGGCCCAACATTGTTGCCATGTTTATAAGTCTGTGTTTAAGAAATGCTAATGCATTTTAAACTGGCTATCTTTGTACCACTTGTGGGCTACGGTCCAGCCAGCACCAGGACCAACTTAACCCACTGATCTTTGTACTTTGCGGTGACTGTTGAGTCAGTATTCTTACAGTCACATGCGTCATCGGCACAATATGTTTAATTGAACGCTTAATTTATTGTGCTTCTCTAGATTTCAAGATGTAATGTCTTTCTATTTGTTTTTAGATCTTAAGAGAGCCGAGAATCATCAAAAGCGGTAAATGAATAACTCATTTTGCTTTTCAAGCAACACCATGAAAATATTCCTAGAATAAAGCCTCAATGTTTTCTACATAATGAAACTAAATTAATCCCATAGTAAAGCAAAGTCATTATCTGTCTTTTATTGGCCAATCATCACGTAGAGGTTAAATGAAATTTATATCAACTATTCTAGACAAGTTGCACTACATGTTATACTGGAATAAGTTATAGAATGGTCCAGAAATATGAAGATATTTTAAAACCATTACGTAATGTCTGAGTGCATCCCACAACTAACTATCGTATTATTTAGCCTCTTATGTGATTGGTTAATCCATAACTGTTTTTGGGGCTTGTAGCTGGGGTTAACGACCTTATTGTTAGAAAGCACTTGTAAGAAGGAATATAGTTGTACTTTAGCTGAACAAGAGTGCTGTATCACATGACTCTACCCAGCAGTAACTATTGTGTTACACTGCCCTTGATCGTCTAAAGTAATATTTAAATAAGCTTTATTGAAGTGATGTGTCTTTATTCTGTTTTACAGAAGTCGCCCCGGCCATGTCTGGTGAATTAGTAAAAAGCAGCGAAAAACCGAAACAGATAGCTAGAGAAGAAAAAAGAGAATTAAATCTTACGAATGGTGGACATCGCGAGGAAAAGAAACCAGTGCAGCAACAGGTACTGGAAACAGAGGCTAGTTCCCTTATGTAGTAAAGAAATTTTATTATCAAAGGGATATGCCTAAATTATTAATTTGTGGTGGGCCCAAAGTATTAGCAAATTTATGAATTTAGAAGATAAGTGCAACAGTGTTTTGAGATTTTACAGTGTGATTGCAATACCAAAACTTCATTATAAAGCTGTCTGCAAATTCTTTTTCTTTCTTTACGCATTTACGTTGACATTCCAATTCAGCTCAGTTTGGTTGGATACATACACTTCAAGATAAGAGAATAGGAATATGATTTAAAATTCCCATGGAAAATGTATAAGACGTTAAAACATGTAAAATTAAACTGTTATAGCCCTTTGCAAGTTTCAAGTATCAACTTATATATATGTTTAATTTGTGTCGTCAAGGACTTTTTAGTAAGCAAGTCGTAAATCAAGGCTCTCCAGAGTTCCCTGAAATATATTTGAAGGTATGAAAGTCGAAGGGCCCATTTTTAATTTTATTTGATATTTTTTTACTTACAGCCATCACAAAGTATTCACAGCGGAAAGGTTGTCAACAATAGGTTAGTATTTGCAACAGAATATGAAAATATCTACTAATGTAATTATATTCAAAAGCAAAGGAACAAAATGAAAAATGTTTTTAAATTTCGTTCCTATTTTTTTTATCCCATTTTAATAATTCCCTTTACCACAAAGAAAGAATTATTTATCAATTTTTTGTCATTCTTCTCTCTAGTCTTTAATCAAAACTGTTTTCCATACCATCATTTTTTAAGTCTTTCATCTCAACGAGGCATGTGCTAAAAAATTTCTGTAATGATGACCAAAGAATGATTTTGTTGAAATGATGTCGCAAAAAGTTTACAAATTCCTAAAGATATTCTTCCTTAATTCTAATGCTTCTCGCAATTTTCACTGATTTCTTCAAAGCTCTCTCCTGACGTTGATTTTTAAAGTAACACGTTAAGTTCTGCATCACAAATGTTTTTATTCTGGACCACTTTTGTTGCTTAGTTGGATAATTTCTTTTCATTCGTTACTTTTTTTGTTGCTTGGTTGTACAACGTATTAAATGTAGACTCTCCTTGCATTTTTCTTTTGCTATCCGATCAGATATTCCATAATTCACATTTAACTTGTTATGCATAATGAAACCATTTCAAGAAATATTTTTAATCGCAAGATGTTCTTGTTTGTAATAATGATATCAAAAGGATCTTTTCTTTGGGTAAATTTTTCAATAAAGAGTAATGACGTCTTAACGTATGAAGATTATAAAAGACCCCTTGAAATACCTTCAGTAATATAGTAAACGTTCAGAAATCCTAAAAATTAATTCTTCAGGATGACATAACTTTACTACTTAATTATCAATGAATCCAGGTCGACGATGCATTACAGCCGGCTGATCTGCATCCACCTATCCTTATATATAGGATATATACCTTTATTTTTTTCAGAAACGAGCCCGAGAAAACGCCTTTAGTCAAAAATGAACCCAGCGGAGAAAGGTACTGATAAATTTTTGTTATTTTTAATCAAGTCTTGTTCCCGTAGTACTCTGTAACCTACTTGTGGTTACGTTAAGTTACGAAGTTGTCCGCTAACCTTTTACACCCTTACTTCCCGGGATTTCCATATTTTTATATCAATTCTTAAAGAGCTTTACCCCACTTAACATTCTCTCTTTTAAGAACAACTTTCAAGCCATATTTTTGTGACCCGTTTTTAAACCCTTATAAACGAATCTTTAGACATTAGAATAGGATGGGTCGAATGATAACAGGGCTGTCGATGTAACCAATTGTTTTTAATTGGTTCAAAATCCTCTGCAAGATTTTTGATCCTTGTCCTTTGGGTGTTTGCTTGAATGTCATTCTCCTCATATTCCCCTATTTTAACTCTTTGCATGATTTCTCTTGACTTGAGAACCTTTGGATGGTGCTCTCATTGCCTTGAAATTTCCAACCCTTCCAATTTTGATCCGACTTTTAGAGTGTTTGATTTACGATTTCCATTATTTTCAAAACACTCATGGATATTTCAAATGCTTGATATTGTGTCATTTTACCTCCTCATTGTAACAAAAAAGTTTTATTTTAATTGTCGTGCCACTTATTTACAGAAATCGAGCCATTTATGGGTATGCGCCAATGAGTGAAGACGAAATCGAATTATTTGAAGGTGACATTGTTTTTGTTCTTGAAAAATGCGATGATGGTTGGTTTGTTGGTGTTTGTGAGCGAACTGGGAAATTTGGCACGTTTCCAGGAAATTATGTAGTTCCTGTGTAATGCATGGTGAAACACAGTTCGATACAGGTATGCAAACATTAAGAGTAACTTTTTCTATGTTATCTTTGTCTTTATCCTCGTTTTCTTCCTTTTCTTCACTATCCTCTTCTTCTCCCTTGTCCACTACTTCTTCTTCTTTTTATCCCTCTTTCTCCTTCTTCTCCTTCTTCTTTTTTACTTGTTTCTTCTTCTCCTTCTTCTCTATTCTCTCCTTCTTCTTTTCTTCCCCTTGTTCCTATAATTCTTGCTAATTTTCTTCTCCTTTTTCATCTTTCTTACTTTCGTTTTCAAATCTAGCATCTAGCGGGCTGGTATTTGTATGCCCTTGTACGTTCTATCCCGTGTATCTATCCTACAACTTTTGAACACTGAGGCTTCTAGGGCATAATAATCATTCGAGCCATTTTATGTTTGTGGCCAATATTCTTTGTTTCTAAGCACTGTATTGTCATGTCATGTTTTTTGCTCATTGGAAAGTTCTTTTGTTTATAGATTGGCTGTTTTTGGTTGTAAGCAATCGCAGGCCACCGCCACGTCAAATTGTGATGTAGTTTTAAGCATTTGTACTGTATACTTTAAATTGTTAAATGCACATGTATTTTTATGGCTTTTATTTCGTATTTTTACTTCAAATAACAATGTATGTTTATGCTGAAACATCTGTCGATATTTTGATTTTATCAAAGCAGTGTTTGTAGTAATATCATTTAGGAATATCAGTTTTTAGTTGAGCATAACGTAAGATGGCCTAATAATCTTGATGTCAAAATGTTAACAACATTTTCGTATCCTCTGCCTTGATAAATGCCAATATGGCTATCATTTGTAAAATTACAAATATTTAACTGGTTGATTGTAGGGTTATTGCGTGATATTTGACAATGATGGTATTTTGAGCATGTTTTGTAGAGATTTATAAAAATTTCTTTTTTCCATTGTCACTGATTTTGCATGACGAAACTATAAATTCTGAATAGTTTACTATCTTAATTTAAGTTATACAGTCGTTTAATTAAATATGGGTATTTTTGTAGTTCTAAAAAGTATGAAAGCTTTGCAATTTCACACGAAAAGTCAGAAACAATAGAACCAAGAACTTTTCTTGAAAGTTACATAGATATCTATAACATCAAGTGATGATCTTAAGTCGCTAAACATTTCGTATGGTGATTTTTGCAAAGCAACTTGTGAATCGCGGAAGAAGTCATTAGAACCTGGTAATTTAGTGACTGTTATTGGCTGTGATTTGTAACTAGTGAAAATCCAAGATTATGCTGTTTCTTTACAAACTTGTTTCATCTTTGCTTCGAAACTGCCCAATCTAATAAATTGTGAAGAATAGTAATCATGGGTATATTAACTTTATGTTCGGATAGTTTCATCCTCAAACGTTATAAGACAACCTGAAGTTGGACTGTGGAGAGCAAAAGTTTTTCCTTTCGACCCTGCCCAGCCAACCCATGCCTTTGTATTTTCTGGTTTCTACATGCATGTTAACTTTCTACTTCTTTTTTTCGTGCATAAGTTCATGGCCGTATGGCTTGCAACTTTTGCGTGAACAAGGTGTTGCTAGTCGGCGGAAGAATGCCATTGTTTCTTCGTCACAACCTAATAATGATCCAAATGATGAGAGAACGCCATGACTGACAATGCTAAAACATTCTGAAGACCATGTTACCCTTATTGGCTAACGGTTTATGTTTGATAACCTGAAATAAATATTAAAGACCTATTTTTTCAAAACTTTCTGTTAAATACTCTTGCGCAACCGGCATGCTTGCGAAACTGAAAACAAGTTTTCAAACTTAGTTTGTAATTTACGTTAAAGATTATTATACATACATACATGCTTAGCGGTAGTTTTCTTGAGAAATTGACTGTTTTTGTATTTTCATGCAGTACGATAAAATGCTGGTTTTATAGCGTGCCGGTTACGCAACAGCCTTTAAAGGTTTTTTATCTGTTATTGGCGGATATTGGTCGCCAACCTGTAAGGGAGCTTATGGTCAGCATTTTTCTAGGTTGATGATGATTACGAGGCTGCTTTCTCCCGCCAAAATGTTGACGCGAGCTACTAAATAAAATAGGCATCGATTTCATGCATCTGCAAGGGAGCTAAGAAAGTGTTACCTAGCAGCTTTATGGTTAGTGTTTGATCAGCTATTTGCAATAAATAATTGCTATTTTTAAGCTCTTTCAAGCCAATATGTAAGTTGGTTTCATAAAGAACATAAACTGGCCTCCTAGTGCTTGCAATTTCGCACCTCTGTGTGTGGTTACATAGATAAGGATAGGGTTTGGGTACGTATCGGCGTCCAAGAGGTGCGAAACTGGGTTGATTATGATTATGCACGTTGATTTTTAATGACATTTTTTAATTCTTCTAAGTTTCTGCAGAAGAAGGCAAGTGAGGTCTTCATACTACTGTGTTTTTGCCACGCCCATAAATAATTTCGCGAAAATATATGGGGAGTGAAGCTATCATATTTTGCAAGGAGTGTTGTAGTTTCTCTGTTTTCTAGATTTTAAAATCATGGCAAACCCCAGTCTGGTAAGTTTCAAAAGATTCCATTGCAGTATTTCACTGTGATATTCAAGTCATGTTTGATAGGATATCCTGCCCCACTTCGTTTTGCTTTAATTCTTTTTATTGAGAACCTAGTTCAAAGGCAATGCAAACAGGATTGTTTTTGTGTAGAATTCAGAAATTGTTCAAAAATTATCATTTTCTTGAGCAAAAGGTCACCAAGTATATCTTCTTGCATTAGATGATGGGTGACATCAAACTGGATTCTGAGGCTAATTCACTTAAGCAAGGGAAGTTTTCAAAGGTTTTAAAGGACAATATCATTGAGGTGAGAAAATCTAGATATCTAGTTTTGATTCACTGATTTACAAACCATTCTTTCTCACAAACATTTGGGAATCATCCGTATATCTGCAAACACTAGAACTGGTTTTATCAACCAGCCTTCTGCTAAATGTACTACTGCTTTATACAAGAAGCGGTTATTTAGATTATTCTCCCAACTCTGTGAAATTCTATCACTACAATGGCAGGTTTCTAGCTGTTACTGTAATTCACTGAGCATAATTTTCCTCTTTCTTGGCATTTCCTAATTAGTCAAGTTTCCAAGAAATATATATATCCATTTGAAATTGATCATTTTACGTTATAATTTGATAATATTCATGTTGTTTCTTTTCAGTTGAATAAGAATATAACTTTGGATAAAATCATTTGATAAGATATAAATTCCCTACAGATCTCAATTATTTTAATGCAGCACTATTACTGGATGGGCAATATTTTACAAAAACAGTCCACTGTATAGTCAAAAAAATTTATTGTAGGCACTAGAAGAGTTAAGGCTTAAAAGGGTAAGTAGAAGGCCATGTTTCAGATTATTTTACAGCATTTTACTTTTTCCTGCAATGTTAACTTTATTGTAACTCCTTTGTACTATTATTTCTATCTTTTAAATACTGAGCAATATGTTATTTGTAATTTCTTTCATGTAACACTATAAACTACATTTTGCCACAAGATTTTCTTACCTGTGGTTTTCCTGCCTCATTTTACTTTGCAAAGGAAAAAAATACCTGTCTCTTTTTCACTCCTAATTTCTCTATTTCAAAAGTACACAGGCACAAAAATTAGCATTTTTACCATCATGAGATGGGACTATTTTTCATTGACATTAGCATTGACAAATGTTGGTTGTGAAGTTGTAGGGTTCCTTAATAAGCTTTATGATGACTCTCACACCTTCTATAAAGGAAATCTTAGCACCAATTTGTTTTCTTCAATTTTAACCAAAATGTTATTCAGTGATTCAAAGATTTGTAATCAGCAGTTAGTAATTGCTTAACAACACTTTTTTCTGATGTACAGAAACTTGAAGAAGAAAATGCTGACAGAATCAACAAATTACTGAAAGTAAAATTTGACCTATGTCATGAAAAGGTAAGAAATCTACACATATATATAAGTCTAACTGTTCAGGTAATAGCATGTATAAAAACACACATTTTCCTAATGCCTCTTCCAAAAACCTCACATCTAACTTTCTCCTCATGTTTATTACTTACAATTAATTCTAATTGTTGAATGCTATAAAATCAAATACATCCAATTGTTGGTCTTCATTTCCTTGCTCAAATTCCCTTCATGATTTTACACAAAAATTTTGATGCTTTAGGTTGAAAACCAGATAAGATTGATATACCAATTGTATTTTAATTAATGAAAATATGATTAATAATAGTTAATAGAATTAACCAAAAATATTTTATCATGTATCTCTAAGTCATCATATTTAAAAATCTCAGTGAAATAATTTCTCAATTTATATTTAAGGACGAATTGCATTATAAGTATGAGAAAAAGATTAAAGAACTGGTTCACAAATTAGCCGATTCTGAGAGGAATGTAGGTATTCTATACTTGTTCAATTTTAGCAACTTATATCTTCATCAAGCTGTATGATTTTATATGTTGGGGGTTTTAACAAGCAGTTTAACTTGAGTAATTCTAACATCTTGTTCCTAATCTAACATTGTCTTATGTTTCTAACTTTGAAGCTGTGATCAAATTTGCTCATCGATTGATTGACAACCACACCAGTGCCAGTGCCACACCATCGCACTCACACGCGTTGGTACACGCCTCCCCACACAGGGAAGTGCGTTTTACCGCACGCCTGTTGTACAATTATTCGTTTGTGTTCATCAAAGCACAGGAAACTAATAAGATGACAAAAATGGCTTTGAATCGAGTTATTTACTATGTTAAACCTTCAGTGCTTCCACTTTTTACTTGATCAGTTTCCCGAAAATATCCTTCTATTTGCTTAAAATTCCTTCCAAAATGGACAAAAATTCTTCTGATTTCCCCATTACTTGATTTATATAGATTAATTGCCTTCACTCGTTATTTTCGCTTTCAACTTACTCAATAAATTGTTCCTGGCGTTGCCTTGAGCACACGAGCTTCTTTAACTTGTTTTCTTCTGTCTAGTTTCAAACTTTTCCTTGTTTAGTTTCGAAACTTTCCCTTGTTGAGTTTCGAAACTTTTCGTTACAACATTGAAGTTGCCAAGTCAGTTTACTAGCCACATTTGCATAAACCTCGAAGCACTTCCAATGTGATTGGCCTGCTTACTGACTGACAACACTATTCTCTTATTTATAAATCAGAAATGTTATCCCAATCTCTAAGAGAATCTTTGTTTATTCTTTCTAATTTATAATTCCTTTCCTTTTTCTTCCAATCGGCTAAAATTTCCGAAGAAAAGGATAACTCCTTCCAAGTGGAAGCACTGTTAAATTGAGGGCTGTAAAGTTCTTCATCATCTCCTCTCTGCATCAAGGCTCGCTAGGCAGAGCACATCTTTTTACCGTCTGATTAGAGATGGAATGTGTTTTTTATGGCTATTTCAATGTCGAAGACGAAGTACTGGAAAAGCTGTTTCAATGCACGACAACTGCCCAGCACAAAGTCTGCTCACCATAAACTCCGATCTTTGGGCCCGCTTGCCAAAGGCTAAAACACACCTTGATAAGTTCCCAACCTTTTTATTCAAACACTAATAACATTACATGATCGCCTCCTGGACACATCTTTCTGATAAAAATAAATGGAAGGTAAAAACCTGACACACACTACTTTCAATGTTTCTTCCAGCCTACCTTGCTTTAGTTAAAACCACATAACCAGTTAAGACGTTTTTTTGTTAAAGTTGTGTGAGAACTGATGTAATGAGTTGAGAAATGAGGTCTTATGGCTCTATATACAATGCAACTGAACTTTTGTAGAAATCATACAGAAGATCCAATCACACATATAATCGTTCTTATCCTGGGATAAAGCCTCTTTACTTTATAGGCAGTCAAGTGGGGAAGATCTTTGTTTGTTGGAATTGTTATGAGTCTGTGTCAAACAGCTTTGTGTTGTTGAACTTCATTGCACTCACTAGATTCCTAAATTCTCCTTGCACCCATTGAGCAAGTATTTTCTGCACAAAATATGATTTTTTAGCTTTTATTTTTCTATCTGTGCTGGAACACAAATTGTTGTATCATTTCATAGTGAAGAGACACTAATTTTAATTCTTATTTAGACGATGGCACATTTTTTATTCAGATATTTAGAGATATATTTCTGTATTGACTGATATCTGAAAAGTAGAAAAATTCATCAGGAAAACTTTGCATGAAATGTCTTACAGGTCTTACTTAATTATCGTACATTACAAATATTTTGCCTCTGTTAAAGCTTTTCTTGTAACTTCTGTATTTGATTGGCAAAGTAGCTTCTCGTGCCTCTTACTCTAACTATTTATGTGCCCTACCCTTCTAAACAATTATAAACATATTGTAAATTATTTTATTCGAGCTGCAAGAAACTTCAGAAAGACTAGGAAGTTTAGAGGTAATATTTTCTGTTGATTTTTATACATTTTTCTTCATTATTACTTTGAATAATGCTTATTAACTAACAAAACATGTGATGCATCACCTACACTTGATCTAATTTGCTTTCTCTTTCGTTGAGTGGGAGACTTGCATGTGAAGTCCTTGAAACGCTGTTGAGACCTCACCCTTTTTTGCGAAAATGTCCCTGGTTTATACCGTATGGTGTTGTTTTCCCCAGGTTAATTTTATGAAAAAAAGGACAAACCGCCACCCAGCTAATTTTTTATATAGACAATGTTTTTGCAGGAGTTTGAGGTAATTGCCTGCTTCCCCATTTCGCCTTTGATAATGTTACCATCGTTATGCCATTTAATTGCTCTTTCGTGTGTGTTTTGACCTAAAATTTGATTTTTTTATCGCAGACAAGAAAAACAGCTCATCAGCAGTGTGAAAATGAAGGAATGAAGATCTTGAAAGAAGAAGTTATTGCTCTTCAGGTCCCATTGAAAATCATTTTAACTTTCTCCTTTTGTATTTTGGGAATTGATTGAAGTATATCCTTTCACGCAGTAGGATGTGCATAGCTCAATTGGCTTCTTGGGCGTTGTGAAGCTTTTCATTACAAACAAAATTCATCACATTTATTTTATTTTTTTGGATATGAGGAGGACGTATTCTTTCACCTAACATGGATAAAATTGTTTGTAAGCAATTTTTGTGGTACAGAATTCAGAACTGGCTTGAAAACAGCAAATGTTTTGAGCAAACTGAAGACAGTTAAATTATTGTTCACGGGTCTCAAGCTATCTTTTATCTATCAAGGTTTTAGCTATCAAGGTAATATTTTGTTGTTGGGTGCTTAACCGCCACTGACAGTATTTTAATGGAAAGAACTTTTCAGGAAAGGCAGAAGACATTATGTTTTCTCTAGGTTCAAGTAATGACAAATAAAAACAAACAGTTCCATCACTTCACATTTATGCTTTTCTTTTGATGGTATAAAGTGGTTCTCTTTGTCTATGCAGCTGGCTAAGCACAACCTTGAGAAAAAATGGAAGGAACAGGTAAGTACGACAGAAGAAAACCGAAATTCCGTTTCTGGTAGGATCAGTCCAACGTAAGCTTTTTCGTTATCGCCAGTATCAAAAGTATGGGAACACAAACGTCATATTGTAACCAGCCCCCTCTTGCTCGTTAAACCAAAGGTTATTCTGAGATAAAACATCTGCAAGCTACGACGGAAGACAGCAAATGATTATCTCTTTCAGGACCCGCGCCTCTGATCCTAAACTGGAGGGGGCAGCAGTGTAATGAAAGCTTCCTCTTACTCTCTCTAACCCCAATTGTGACAAACATTTTGCTAACTCTGTTTTACTTATGGACTTTGGCTCAATTCGTTTGTTGTCATCTTTCATCTATTCATCTATTCTTAAAACTGTTTGAGCTGACTTTAATCTTTTTTCATGAAAAAGTGGGGAGGCCATTGCCCTCTATGGCTACCCCTGTGATGCGGGCACATTCTTTACAATTCTTTACTTTAAAAATTAGCAAGAATAACTAGAAATATAAGTAACTGTACGTTCTCAAATATCTAATATCATCTAAAAGACGGACTTTTCTCTTTGCTTGTAAATCATCCCTAATGCATTTCTAGAAATGCTGCCAATGTTTATGATTTGATTGTGTTTATTATCTTTTAGGAGTGTCACTATGACATGCAGACAGCTGCGAAGGAAAGTCTGATGCACCAATTCAGTGCTCTGCAAGATAAAATCAAAAGTGTGGAGGAGCACAGAGATCAGATTCGATCTGAACTGATGAAGCTAGAATCTGCAGGTTTGACAATTGCTGAAATTATAATATACAGTATACAGTCTTAAGTGTCGAAATGACTGAGTACCTCGATGGTATTGATTGAAGTATCTGAGCCCTTTCAACAGAAACGATTTAAACTCACCCATTCCTTCGATTCGAATGAACAGAAGATAAATCGATGATTCGATGATTCAAGTATTCATGAACAGAGATAAATCGAAAACCCTCCACGTATGCTTTTTATTGTTCTTAGTGCACTCCAGTTATAGAACTCCTTTTGGCGTGATAGTACTATTGCAACTAGAGCTAATTTTCAGAAGGTATTTTGAAAAAGGAAATGAAGCCTATAGAATGCAAATTTCAAAATATCCGATTGGTCAAGCTCAAAAACAGGGTACCTTTTATTTCTTAATTATCTCTTTACCTCTTATCTCTTTACCTTTTATTTCTTAATTATCTCCTCCTGTTACTCTCTATCTCCACCTGGATATAAATTTTCATTCACCGTCTAGCCCTTTTTTCGCTGTTTAATATGAGAACAGGCGAAATTTACTTAATTTATTAATTCGCACAGGAGTGCAAGCCGTTTAATCACGTGACCTTTTCTCATTTTGGAATCGAGGTTAATGGCACTCTTGTCTTTCAAGGCTAATCTGAATATTCTACAGTAGGGCCACTGGCTGTCCACGTAGCGGGCGTCGTAGGGGGACTAGTAATTTATAATGTGCTATTTTCAACTTCTCCATCTATGGTTCTTGAAACGTTTGAAGCCGAAAAACAATATCTTATCGTATATTGAAATTACCAAAATTCTAGAAATATTCTGTACTTTAATAGGAAATGGTTGATCGATTTTAATTATCTGTAATCATATCAAAAAAAACTTAGGCATTTTGCAGTAATGTCTGAATAATTGTACTTTTTTGGGGTTTCTTTACAGTTGGAATGTATGGCCAATTACCACATCTTTACGTTTAATTTCTCTTCTAAGCATATCCTTTTTTGCTTATTTTTCCAGTACTTTTTCTATGACTTATATTGCTCTTACGTATTCCCAAAAAGTCTAACGGAATCATATTCCCACATAGTCCAAAAGGCAAGCCTCTTTCAAAATCGAATTCTCAGAATAAACAACCATCAGCAATGCAGTCTGGAGGAAAGCAGGGCCAAACTTGCCAAAGCATTTGATGAAATAACGAAGCACAAAACCACAATAAACAAGATGGCCGCTCGTTTTACTATGACCAGCCAAGCAGAGTCTGTACCAGCACAAAAGTCGACAGAGCCGAAACATGTATGCATATTAATACTGGCAAATAAAGCTTGTATTTTTTACATTTATTACAAGATGATACCACAGGGAGCATGAGAATACATTGCAGCCCTGTGGCCTTGTGAATTAACGAAACATGATTAATAAACATATTTAGCATAATCTACATATAACAAAAATGAAAACGAAGATAATACAGAGGTGCGAGGAACAGAGGAAATTTTGCAGAATTGACTCAAAGAGACATATTTAATGTTTTTATTAACTGTAGTGTTGCTTCGATGATTGTTTTATTTGACTCAAAAATTATTCGTTCATCATCATACAATCGTAAAATCTATAAAAACTGTTTTGTTAATCGGCTGTTGAAAACAGGCAACAACCTGCAGCTATTACTGTTTCACCAATCTTTGGCATGTTTTTTGCATTAGTTTGGTATATTATTTGCTTTTCCTTTAACCTCTCTTTTCTTCCAGGATTTATTGAAAGTGAAGCTTGAAGAACAGGTCGATCATCTTAGAAAAGAAAATGAGGTGTGACATTCAAACTGAATTATGTTACTTGTAAGATGGAATCACCTTGATGCCACGATTTCAGCTAATCTAACATACTTTCAAAATCTAGACAGAGGATGTATCTCGTATGCACAGAAAATTGCTTGCCTTTCAGAGTAGAAAATGCTAGGTAGCGTATGTTTTGCATTGTTCAAGAAAAGATAAGTTATAAGAATTTTGTCATTTTTGTTTATAAAAAAACTTCATTATATGCAACACAATTTTTTAAATGAGTAATAGTTTTGCAACATTTTGGTTTCACTTTACTTTTTAAAATGGTTTCTACAATGAAGAGTGCCTCTCTTTGAGATTTTATCGAGGGCTTCTCTTTGCGATTGCGTCCACCAGTTGTATTTTTTTGAATTTGTTTTTATTGCATGCAGCAAGAGACCACAGTAAACAGGAGTAATTTCAAAACTTACATGTGCTTTTTACATACGAGCAAACCTTATTTCCAATCCTGTAATTCCTTTTTGCAGTATTCCAGCTTTAAATGCAACTGGAATTCTCCAATTGCATGTTCCTATCCAATTCTTGATTGTTCAAATCTGTTCAAAAAGTTTCATCTTCCTCTGTCATGCATTTGTTTAAGTCTGATTCTTTTTACAGAGGCTGTTAGAAGAATTATCTAAGCAAACAGCTCTAGTGAGGCAACTTAGTGAGCGGATTACCTTGATGTCAAATTCAGAAATGGGCTTGCAATTTGAAATCGATGATCTAAGCGCCGAAAACCTCAAGTTGAAAGATTCTTTGCAGACAAAAAGAGAACTTGCTGAGAAAGAAATTCAGACAAATGAAATCGACTTCAACACTGAAATGTCCCAGCCCATTGAAAAAGTAAGTGGAATTTTTTTTCACAGTTGATTTTACCTAATTACTTCCTTGCTTCATTGAGTTCCATTTTAAAATATTATAACTGTATAATCCACGAAATATTTAGCTTATAGAAATTAAAAGCAAACAGGTTTAAACATCAATTATTTATTCTTTGCTTTTCTCAACTAATCTTTTTTTCTTTCCTGGTAGATTGAGTTCTGTTAATACTATATTAGATTCTTAACTCAGCTTATTTTTTTGTAGGATAATGAGCCAAATTTTACTTCAGAAACAGGCCGTGATGCCGAAATTCAAAGCCCAGGTATAAGAAAATTAGGATTCATTTTGCATAACTGCAAGAATGGTTTGCATATATAGCTATCTCCTATTCAACTACCATCCGATCTGGTCGGTACTAACTACTCGTTGCTATTCTACAGTTGCTATACTTCGACTGCCGTTCATTCTTCCATTCTTCATTTATCTTATTTTTGATTTTTGCATTGCTGTGCATTTCCAGATCTTGTGTGAATAACACCTGATCACATTTTATTTCAGCTGAGATGATCGAAGCTATAATTGACAATAGCAGCTTGGTCGAAGAGTCTGTAGCAAAAAAAGAAGCAGAAAGTGGGACAGCTTCATAATGTCATTGTTTTTAAATTTGTTCAACGTCATATTTTTTCGTTTCTTTGCTGGCCGTTAGCCACCTTTGCCATTTTTTAAGAACCAGGATTTGATTTCTCTAAGTATATCTTGAGGAAACAAGCCACATTTTGAGCAGTGTATTGCTACATTCAGTTTTTAAAGGCCGTCTTTCAAATTGGATTCTCCATCTTTTCTAAATAGAACCTTTAAACTTTTTGGCTCTTATCAATGCAAATCACTTGAACAGCATATGTGGATATCACTATGGTCAATTAAAATTGCGATGACATAGTTGCAAATTTTAACAGGATTTATGAATTTAACTGAGCGAAGATTTGCCCGAGTAACAGGACCAGAGCAGGACTCGGAACTATGATCACAGCCAATGTGCGTGTTTTATTTACCAACAAATGGTGGTATAGCAAAGACGTACAGCGTCGCTGATTGTGGCTGGCCTATAATCAAATGTTCAAATAGACATGCTCAAGTGTAGCTTGGGCAATCAGATGCGACAACAGGACTGTAACCAGTTTTACAAGTTAAGGAAGATCTGTACATGAAAGATCTGTAGACTGTAATAACCTACTAACAAAAATTAAGTGCCGTATTTGCAGGGTTGTACCCCCCAAAAGCAATCCCTTGTACACATTTGGTAACCCAAAAGCTTTTCATCTTCTAGAATTTCTTGAAGACATTTTACGCTCTACCTTTGGTGGCAAGTCTGAGTTTTGAATTTCATGGCTCTTTTTAACCATTTTGACCAGGCAGTTGTAAAATTAACTGAGCTTGTTAAATTCGATCACCTACAAGCGTTGTGTGTAATAAAATGGATACTCTAGGATTTTACCCCTGCCTAGAAAGTTTAAGCAAAATATGCATATCCTTTGGAAATACGGAGAAAGCCCTACTTCTTGTTCTGGATTCTCTGCCAGAAGTAAGACAGACACTCATTTTTAAGAAACAAAAAATCACCCACCGCCTTAGATATATAGCTACGGTCCAGACATTCAAAATTAAAATTCAAAACAAAAATTGGTAGCCCAAAGCTTTAAATGATCATCAAATAAGTTGTTCTTCAATTTTATTTGATTAATCTAAAAATGATTTGCATGGTGTTATCTTTGCAAGGAAATTTTCGAGTCATTGACTGTATATTTGCTTCAACACATCACTTTCTAGTTTTTGTGTCAATTCTTCCAATTTGAATCCGTTCTTTCAATCCGTTAAATACGTAACTATTTGAAACTGTTGCGCATTTAGGCACATGCTTGAACTGAATAATTGGTTGACCTAACCTATCAAACAACTAAACATCAAAGCGTCCAAAGACATTAAAGCTAGGCATTTCATAACGTTCACTTATTAACTCTTTGATTTGAGGCACGCTTCTTTCATGAAGAATTTTCTAAAGATACTTTAAGAAACACTTTTATCGTTTAATTATTGACATGAGTGTTGCTTGTAGATTTTTGCTACCAAAGTATTTGTTTCGTTTCATTTCAGTTAACAATGTTTATTTTCCACAAAACGACCGTCGTCTTACTGTTATAAAGCGAACAATATTGACCCGGAGGGCTGGGAGGAGGGAGCTGTTGCCCCTTCAATTGTTTGCTGAAGCATGTTGTGGCATAAAAGATAATGGTCGAAAAACTACCATAAAGGTTTACAAATTTATCTAGAACCCTCCCCCCCCCCCCCCACCTCAAAATGTTCTCCGGCGTCCCTGTTTTTGGACCATATATGTACAATTATACGTTAATGTTTGTCGTTATGAAGTTCTTACGTTTTTGCTTCACACATGTGTAAAATGTTTAGTTGAGTGTAAAGCCAAACAGGAAATGTCTTCAGTAATTATAAGTATTTATAGTGATGTCATCAGAAAGTTTATTCATTTATTGCAGCTGCCAAATATCTCAATATGTTATTATCTAAAGTGGTGTGAAAAAAAGAATAATATTCTCTTTATATACCCATAGAAAAGTTTTCACTACAAACGAGGCTATGCTGATGTCAACAAAACTTGAATTTATACAATTCACCTCAACTCGATGATTTGATCAGATTGATAAGAGGAAGGTTGACCACATGGCTTGTTTAGCAGTTACAAAAAGCTTTTTAGCTGTTTGCTCCAGGAACAAAGCTATTGTCACAACCTTGAGGTATTTTTCTTTTATCCATAAATTTAATTTTTTCAATATTAGTAAATATGTAAAAGTTTCACGAGTATAATTGAATCATTATCAATTCGACGAATGCCATCTGTATTTTTAGTTTATTTACCATAGTTTGTAATCATACTTTAGAGCTTGACAGTCTCACAAACAATATTTCAACAAGATAATCTTAAGTGTAACTTCTTCTATCTCTACTACGTCAAGAAATACTAAGTAGAAATGTCTTCTACAGAGTTGCTGGCCCAACATTCCTTTTTGCAACTTTTTGCAAAAATTTGGATAGCAATTAATATAGTTCAACTATCTAGTAATGTCGAATTTAAAAAGGAAAGGTGCTTCATAGCTGATATATATTGTGAGGTAATATTAACTTCCTTTGATGCATGCCCAGATTTCAAAGTGTTTTTTGTGCATATGTATTATTTCCTGGTGTTTATGTTTACACAGGCAACAAATAATGTTGCAAAACAGCAGGGCAAACACTGCAGAACTTTATTTTTAAATAGCTTTTACAAGCCCTCTGGTGAGGCTGTATGTGGGATTCTACTGAAAATCCACGCAGATTAATCTAAGTTTCATAAAATGCAAGGATAGGATGCATTGGCATGGAAGGCACAGGAAAAGGCAAGGAAATAATACGTTGAGAAATTTGTTCCCTGTGGATACCAAAACTTTGCAGGCTCGGTCTATGCTGTTCGCCAATTGAATATTAAATATTCATTGAATATTGAATATTTGAAATACATTGAATGCTCCTCAATGTTGTAAATGATTGCTATAAAGAACTCTGCTGGCCCAAAAGTACATAAGACCAAGCAATTTTTTCATTCTAGTGGCAAATTATGTTTGAAGTATGAGGTTTTAGAGAAAGAAGTTGAGGAAAAAGCTGATACAAATGGAGGTTCCAATGCAAATAATGGAAAAGGCAGCCTATATATTGTTGACTGCAAATTTTCACCAAGTGGAAAATATTTTGCAATATGCACATCATCAAAAATGCTATTAGTATGGGATACATCTACCTGGAGTCTTGAATTTAACAGGTTTGTAAAAAACGTATCATCAAATCCATTTCATGTATTTCACAACCACTAATAAAGCTTGTTTGCCTTTAAAATGTCAAGAAACTATTCATTTTGAAAGCAAAATATTATATGTATGTACTATCATATTGGTTGGCAATCTAGTTTAAGAATGGACAATTTATAAAATCTAGAGCTGAAATTGGGCCTCCTTTGCAAAAAAATCTCTACATCTTTTTAATTATACTGTGCCCTGTTTTTTAATAATTGTACTCCTGCTTTCAAGTTCCCTAAATTCTTTCCAATCAAGAGGACAACTTTCCATTGAATTCTAGTCTTTTTTATAATTCTTAATCTCGAGGCTTATTTTTCTTTATTTCCAGGCACATTCCAAGAAAGCCTATGAAGTTGGTGTTTTCCAAAACAGAGGATGCCCCACTTATAGCTGATAAAGCAGGAGATGTCCACAGGTTGGTGCAAGCTTTTACTATAATTTTCAAAGCCATGAAAATAGGGAGGAGAAAACTGATTTTTTTATGACAATGCCCATATAGCTTATGTATCTAAGTAGACAAATACATTGAACGCCTCTCATGAATATAGCAATACACCTTGAAAGATGCAAGCAGGATAATTCTTGAAGTGAATTGGTTTCTTTTGCTTCTTGAAAAAAAACGTCAAAGCTGTCAGAGCTGTGTAATCAAACTGATGAAATTTGGTCATTTATCTTGTTTTCAAATTTTACATAAAATAATATGGTAATAAAAGGTAGTTATCTTTAAACCCTTTAATATTTTGATTGAAGCTTTTTTATTTCAAAGTCAACCCATTACAGCATCACCAAAATTGTATTTAAAATGAATTTACCTTTGTACTTTATTGTCACAAATGTTTTTTTATGTACATTGTACACATTATGCATGTTTCATGACAACATCTCATTGTAGAATTTATTTGAAAGATGAAAAAGTTGAACATCTTATTGGACATTTATCAGTTATCCTAGATATGGTGAGTAAAAATTCTTACCATATGAAACAATGGTATGTAAAAATATTAAAAAATGAGTATAAGCAAAAATTACAAAAAATGAATTATTAATATGTAACTGTTATTTGGTGTTATTCTTAGGTCCTGAATAGATATTCCTTTGCATTTATTTTTTTCCAAAAATAAATTTCTAACCCCCCTCCCCATCCTGCTCTTATTAGGACCCAAGAATTTTGGACCAAAGAGTGTATAGGACTTAGATCTCTGTTTAATTGTTTAGATATGGTGACACATTTTAATGACATCCTTTTGCAGGAATGTTGTTTTTCTACATTTCAAATGAGAAATAATACTCAAAAGATGAGATATTGTTATTCCTGGATGCTGCTAGATATCTGAGGCTGCTAACAATGCCATTAGAAAATGTTGATAGCACAACTTGAATTTCTATTAACAGGCAATAGAGCAAGGGACATACAACTTCCTTTTCTGCAAAATTCATTTTTGAAGGTGATGTTGAGTCACTGAAAGTGGTGTCTGTAATGTCAAGTTTGCTACATGCCAAGTCATTGAAATGTTATTGCTAAAAATGATAATCATTAATTTGTGTCTACTGGCACATGACTCTCAATTGTCACACAAGTTTAGAAAAAGGGATTATGCAAAAAGTAGAAAGTTTGTTATTGAGGCAATATGAGTGATTCTGTCATTCTTTAAAGGGCTAAGAAAGAATTGTCCCTTTTGAAAAAATATCATTTAGTCATAAGGAAATTTCCATCAAAAAGAAAGAAAAACATGTTTTTGTACTTATTCCAGAATCTACCGTAAATAAAGGTGTATCAAATTACTTTATTTCCGAGTCAAGCTCTCAAAATTGCTCTAGAGATACAATTCACATCTCAGTTCCAAAAGAACAGATTTTTTGAATTTTTAGTGAACAATTGTGGAGTAAGTTAAGCTAGTCCATTTTCAGGTTCTGACATCAGATGATACCAGAATCATTACCACAGACAGAGATGGAAAAATTCGAATGAGCCATTTTCCAAACTGTTATAATATCGATAAATTTTTCATGGCTCATGGCAGGTAAGTCTTATTTTTAATGCTTTTGAGGTGGGTGTTTGTTCATTAAATGAAAGTAAAACTTTCTTGTATGACAGCTAATCAATCATTCGCTGCTATAAACTGACCAATACTTTAACTTTAACAGACAGTTTCCATTTTAGTCCTTATGTTTGACAATTTTGTAATTGAATAATTATGAAAATTATTTTATGAGAAACAAGTAATAGAAACAAAGAACATAGACACTGTTTCACACAGTGATAATTCTAAAATCAATTTTTTCAGAATTTTCATTTTTCTAACCTTTCATTTTAGCTAAGATATACCATTGATTTTCCTTGTAGTTTTGTGTCATCAGTGGCCCTTGACGCCAGTGAAAAATACCTTTTATCAATAGATGGAGTGAGTATCACATTCTACAAGGCTTTTTATGATTTTGTTCAACTCAAAGCACGTAGGATAAAATTTATTGTTGAGCTGAATCGAACTTTCCTCTGTTCCTTCACAAATCGCTTATCTTTGGTGATGAAATGATTCTCGTCATTTTAAAATGTATCATTTCATCAAATCAAAATGTATATATATTTTTTCTACATTTTCGAAACAATTTATACAAAAAAAGTTGGTACAAGTTGCATTTTGATTGCATTGCTCGCAAAATTTATGTTAGCGACTTAGGACAATCCTGTTCTATAAACTGAAATCCGTAAACAGTTGAACCCCTTAAGTCAAACCTTTAAGGGAAATAAGAAGATGGTCTGAATATGTCCAACTTAGCAAAGTTTTTTACTTGAATAGGGTATTCCAATAGAAATCCAATAGAAATGGAGAATCAGTCCAACTTTGGGAAGTCTGATTTACCCAGGGTACGACAAAACAGGATTCAATTATATACATGCGTACATATATGAATTTTTAACGCCCAGGTCAAATTCAAGTTAGCTCAAATGACTGATGTGGACCTGCAAAGTCGAGCCTACTTACAATTTGATTACCTAGCTTAAAAACGGTTTAGAAATAATAAAATTTTTGTTAAAGTCCCTTCGTTAAAATGAGAATTTAGTAAAAGATAGTTGTCATTTTGCTATATATCTTTATATAATCAAGGAACATCATTGTGATATCTTATTTAAAAAGCCGTTGCCTTTCGGGATCAAAGGAAATTTCTAGATCAAAGGAAATTTGTATTTTACTATTTGTATAATATGTACTCAAGAGAAAAGATATTTCATTTTTGCTCTAAAATTGAAAGAACAGCCAAGTTGTTATATTAAATGGGATCTATTTAGATTGCTAGAGCAGGGTACAAGGTAGTAAAACGCTATATACACGAATTTTGTGTGATGCCAGACAATAGGGTTTTTTAGATATGATATCACAATGATGTTTCTTAGTTTTTAATCGTATATTTGATATTTGGATTCCACTTTCAGGATGGGAATTTGTTTCTTTGGAATAAAGTTTTAGGTAGTCATTGTGATATAATCAATTTACCAAATGAGGTATGGTTCAAAACACTCACTTTTCTCCCATTTCGTTCTGTGCTTTTATCAATTTTTGACGAGTGTTGCTTTCATTTCGATTTGATTCTTCTAGTAAACCTAATAATTCTATATTATACAAAGTTTTTCACTGTTGAAGTCTATATTGTAGGATGGCTCTGTTCCTCGGCGCATTTGTGTAGATGATGAAAGGAGGGTATTTATTATCCTTGACGGGTCTGTATTTCTCTTTTCAGTTCCATGTTTTAGCATAGGGTCAAATTGAAATTGTGCTTCGGATGTTTTGAATGTAAATTTAGCTATATTTTTTTGATCTGAGATGCTGTTGAGATCACTTTCATTTATTCTTAGCATGTCTTTTGTGAACCATGGTTATTTGAAATAGGTAAATGTCTTAGAAACAAGAAAAGATTTTGTAAATAGTTCTTTGGAATATAGTGAATGCCTTGGCTTGGTAATCACAGAACACTTTAATAATTGTGATGAATTATTTGTGACGTAATGGCAAACATTTTGTTGTCCTACACATTTTGATCTCGCGTTGAGACGACTGTCAACTTGAATGTACGAGTATTTTAAAAAATTACAGGTTTTTTAGCTCTCTAGCTATCAATAATATCCAATGATAGACTGGACGTTTGAGTCGTCTCATTTTATCGTACGTTTATGCCCCAAATTACATAAAGTGATTTTTGGTTAGATGCTGACACCAAAGGTGGTGCTAAGGGCTAGGGAAAACGCCCCATGCCAGTTCTCGGCAGGATTGATTTCTGTATTTCGTCTAAAGTCTGAATTCGATTAGAAAATTTTTTAGAAACGTTATATTTGGCGAAGTGCTCTTTGTGATTTAATCCTATGATTTTAAAGTAGGCTTACGCAACCAAAAGTCAGTTTGGGCGTTCCCTATTGGTAAATTTGCATTCCTTGTTTGCAAAAGTATGTTTTTATAGTAAAAAGGGTTTCGCTAATTTTTTTATTTTTTCCCCTCCCCTACAGCAGAATGGTTAGCGATGCCACGAACTAATGTTTTTGTTCTTCAGAAGATAATATTATCTTGGTCTTAAATTGCGACTCGAATAATGAATTAGACCGACTTCTAAATATATATTTATATATATTCTGAAAATTGGATCTTTTGATGATCATAAGTGTATTTTCAAAGATTTGAAACATTTTACTTTCACCCTAGAATGAAGAAAATTTTACATTACCATATCAAAGATGAGAAGTTGGAGAAACAAGAGGATATCACTTTGGCACACGTACCCCTCGACATTCAATGCAATGGCAAGGACCTTTGGGTTTTGCAGCACAGTAAAAGCGAACCAGTGCTGTCTTTTCATTTTGGTTTAGAATCAAAGGTACTTTCGATCATGTTTTTTTTCAAATATTTTCAACTTTATTATATAAATGATTTTTTAGTTGCAGTAGGCTTTTGAATACTGTAGCAAGAAAGTTAAAGTTTGAAGAAATTACTACTTTCGAATTCCATTCGTGTGAAATTTTGATCAGAAATAGTTTTCTTCTAGTTTTTTGTTTGTAAATCTGCTTACAACCGATAGAAGACTGCTTTATGCAGATTGTTAACTTTAATCAATCGTTTTAGTTTTCAGAGATGAAGATATCTTGTTTCAATGAAAAAAAAGAATTCTTAGATGGTTTGTATGGTTATTAATAGTTTACTCCATACCTTTATATCTACTCTTACACTATTTGAAGTACCTACAAACGATTGGTTGCTTACTGTTAGGGACCTAAAGGAATTTTCTTTCGTGAATTCCATTTGATAGCACTGTTCTGTTCTGATTAACTGCACTGTTCCAATAAGTCTGTCATGTCAGCCAAATGGGATATAGTTACATTTTCCAGCTCAGTGGATATATTATGAATGTATGTGCATGTGAAATATAAGCTCAGTAGAATTTGACAATATTTTTCTCTCTATTGAAGTACTTGTATGTTACATTGAAGTACAAGTAGAAGTTAATCTTGCCTTTCTCATTTTAGCAATATTATCAAGAAGTATCGAAAATAGTTAGCAGATATTATGCTTTAAGTTTAATACATTAACACTAGAGTAAGACTATTTGCTTATCATTGAGAATGTTTTGATTTATTTTTATCTATGTCTTTAGCTTAGGATACATAAAATGATAGCATTTTTTGTAGTATGAATTTGTTGTTTTTTGAAGGTTTAGGTGATGTTTTTTGTGGTTACTTTTAGAACCACTCAAGCTAGAACCCTGGAAATGCCAAAGCTGGTCAGACAATCAACCTTAATTTGGCAACAACAATATTTGTGAGAAAATCAATCCTGCAACTGGTTGTTAATTTAGAAAAAATTACAGCAAGAAAAGACTTTGGAAAGACTTGATTTTTGATAAATGGTTAATAACGAATTTCAGCTTTGATGTCAAGAGGCTGTTCAGAGATAAACGGCATTCTGCAACATGGATTTATATAGACTGTGAATTTTGTATTTTACATGTATAGTTGGATTAAGAAAAAATTGCATTGTCACAATGTGTCCTGTAAACGAAATATGTCATCCAGAAAAAAGGAAGGATTGAAAGCTAACTAAAGGATAAACCAAGATATACCTTTGAGAGCAGAAAACCAAAAGGCAAAAATAGATCTGATCTCGCTTAAGTAAAAAATTGTCATGTAATTGTTTCTCATGCACATTTTTTGCTTGTTAGAGTGTTGTCTGAGTCTAATTTTGCGAAAGTAAAAGAAATTAGTCGTATGCTAATCCTAAATGATATGTCGTATGCAGAGTTTCTTTATTGTAATTATCTATATGGGGTATCATGGAAATTGACGTGTCGTACTTTTTGTGATGAAACCTGAGATGAGTTTCAATTAATAAAGATAATAGGTGTATATACGTCAGTAAAGATAAAGTAGACTGATTTTGACCCTACAATGCCTGCCAAAAGTACTTGGAACACCCAGCAATTTACGCTGCATTTGATATCTTTCATTCCTTTCATGAAAAAAGTTGCTACTTCCACCCCCTTCCTCCTAAAACAATGTTGATGATTTGAGAAATATCATAAAAGAAGCGCAAAAAAAAGTGCTTCCTAAAATCCTTACCCGTTTGATAGTAAAGCCTGGCGCACACTAGCGATTTTTATCGCCAGCGACGGCGATTTTTGTCGCTAGCGACTAAATGTTTTCCCCCGCACACTTGCGATCTTTTATGCCTTGGCCAATAATTTTTGGTCTCCAACCTCATAATGAACCTCGATAAAAATGACCAGAAACTAACAATCAAATTTTTTTGTAACCTATGCATGTGCCTGGACATCCTCAAAAATTACGGGATGGAAAAATTTAGACAAAAACAATGAAAAATATTGCCAGCTTTGATTTAACCAGGCCACATTTAATGGCAAAAAATTAGGCCCAAATATTGTAGATTTAGCTTGGCCTAAATTATGCCACTTATTCTATTTTCTTTTTTTTGTACTGTAGAGAACCCAACACATGGGTTTTATGCACAATTTGTTTGTTATCTGTTTTACTGTTAGTTGCTACTGTAGTAAAACCTACATCGTACGAGATTTTTCGCTTTATAGGCAACCCATACTGCTAAAAGGATATATCAATAAAAGTGCAGTTGTTAGTGCAATGAGAGAGAAATTTTGTTCGTGTTTATCCAAATACGTTTAAAAATAATTGAGAGCAGTAGTACCCGCTCGTGGCACTAAGAGCATCAGCAAGCTCAGCCACAGCTGCAGCTTTTGCCGTCCTATCGTCGTATTGTCGAGAGGATATGGCATACAAGCAGAGTTTCTCGCGCCACAAATCGACTAACAAATCCTCTTAATGCGTTGTCCAAGAAAACGAGCATGTTCCTGTGACCTCCATCTTGTCAACACACTTTCCACGTGCCTTGAAAACACTTGATGATCGGCTGATCAACAAGAATTTGTTTTTGCGCCCCGCACACTTGCGATTTTCAGTTTTTAGTCGCTGGCGACAAAAACAAATATCTAGACATTTGTTACCAACATTGTTCTGTAGGGGAGAGGAGGATGATTGATTTTGACCTTGGAAATTGACGTCAGTGTTCCAAGACTTTTGGCAGGCATTATAGTTTACCTTCAAATGAATATAGATAATAAGTTTTATTTTACGAGTCAATTGCAAAACATTTCATTATTGCACACATTACTATTAATTTGAATGGCAAAAATTGTTTGCGCCTTATTAGTTTCATGTAGAGTATCACGAGTTTAAGGGAGGAAAAATGTATTCAATAGTATTTTTTGATTTTACTTTGAGACAATGATCAGTAGTAATGCATATTTTACAAAACCGTTAATCTAGGTATGCTTTCTATCAATGCTGAAAAAAGGAAGAAAATTTTTAAGTGTAACATTTTGCAAATTTGCCTTTATTCTCATGACATTTTATTTTATTAACAAGGCCAAACAATAACATATCTCCATTGTGGAGCTGCGCTTTAGTTTGTTGGTTGCTGCGAAGGAGCAATCTTACGCATGGCTTCAATTCAACATCAACAACACTACTCGTGAAGAATCAAGATGGTGGACGTTCACGATATTTTTAAGAAACTGGCATCAGGGGCTCAATTTAGCTGCAGACAAGATGCTTTTACAAAACCCACTATCCAGGTAGAATTATAGATCAGGCTGTCTTTAGGCTATAAGAAATTATCTAGACATTTTCTCCTTTACACAGATTCAGGTTATGAAGACATTTTATTTTCATTATTTATTTTCTATTCGAACTTAATTTCGAAGTTTCTGTTTGTTCAAAAAACATGCTCAAGTATGGATCTTGTTTATGAAATAAAGCTACAAATAAGAGACAAAGCGACATGTTATCTTTGTGATACATTTTATTATTGACTATTAATACAGTCAAGTAGATCAATTCACTGATCTTTTCATGTGCGCACTGAAAACATACCAAGTAAAGAATAGATAGTGTTTCTACATTGTAATCTGTCAATGTTGTTACAATATGTGTGTATTTTTATATGTGATATATTGGACATAAAAATATACTTTATTTCTATTCTTGTAAAGAACCTGACACAGACCAAAGAATCTCATGTTAATGCTATAAAAAGTGCCCTAGACTTTTTTGGCACTGATGAGAAATCACCTGGTGCAGAAAATAATCAAAATCATACTGAAGAAAATGCAAAGAAAGTCAAGAAAAGGAAGATAGTCAATGGTAATTTTTTAACATGTTGTATCTTTGAGGAAGTGTATAAATAGTCCAGTGATCCGTTTTGCATTTAAGTTGAGATCACAGTAAAAAATAGCGAATAGCAGTGAACCCAGTTTAGTAGTAGCATCCAACATAAAAGCTGAAAAACACCAAGACACACAAACAATGTTCTAAACACCTGAGAAACACATAGCAAAATTATACAAATGTTCTTTTCTTATAGCTATTTATGGAACACAATGCAACCATCAAAGGCGATAAGTCCTTTTGTTAGTCAATAAGCGATACCGCAGCTCTTTTGTTAGTCAATAAGCAGCACCGCAGCGCAACTACACACAACATAACATTAATAGATTTTTAATCAATGTTTTAATATCATAAAGTTTTAGTACCAAAAATCAGTTTTTTATGCTCAATAGAAACTTTAACCTCCAAGGGACCAATGAAATGGTTTGAGATAGCAAGTGTTTAAGTTATAGGGGGTTCGAGTTATAAGGAGTTTACTGTTAATTACATTCATTGGCAAAGCCATAATTTATTTGTTGACACCAAGTTAAACAAACAAAGCCCTCTCTTATGTATTATTACAAATTGTCTTATGTATTTAAACATTAACCAATAGGTAATGGCTCTGATGAAAAAGATGACGACCCAATAAAAGATAAGAAAAAGAAAAAGAAAGGATCAGCCTCAGTGGTAACAGAAAAAGATGAAGACATAAGGAGGGAAAAGGTATGTATTGATACTATATTTAGGTTAATTCTGTCTGATTTTGGAGTTTGCTTCTGTCTCTGCATCCCATCCCATCTTTTTATGTAGCATCCATCGTCTTATATGCATCCAGTTTTCTAGAGTCGGATATTCCATTGATGTAACAATAACCTGCAGGTAGGACAAATTTCTCTAAATTGCTCTGATTTTTTGCACCTTAAATAAAATCACCAAAATAACTGTTATTTACAACATCATAATTTGCTAGCCCACATGTGTCTATTATCATTGTCATAATGGCCATTCATATTGTTGCTGTACATGAGGCATAATATAAGCCATTTACACATTGTACCCCCATCTCTAATTATCAATCGTAGGTGAACAGATTAAGAAATCAACATGGCATTAGTATTCGGGGAACAGATGTACCAGATCCATTTACAACATTTGATGAGCTTGGAGAGAGGTACAAGCAATAGATTCTTAATTTTTCTATGTGCAAGTAATCTGTGTAAATTTTTGATGATTCTATCTACCATAACACTCTTTCTTTAATAGAAGGCATTTTTGTATCAAAAAAAGAACACTAACTTCCTGCCAAAGTATCCTTGGCTTTGAGTGTCAGTGCAGATGATGTGGTTAGAATTCCTAATCAAATTATGCTTGTGTACATCTGATATGTGAATGTAGTTTCAAGGCACACCATCTTAAAACATATATTGATATTTTTCATTTATTTATAGATTCAAGACTCCCAATTATATTCTACAAAATGTAACTGACTCAGGATATGGCCAACCAACACCAGTTCAAATGCAGGCAATACCATTAATGCTGAAAGTAAGCTTTTCTTGCCAACATATTGATTACCTGAAAACTTTCATGGCTTTTCTAATTTGCATTGTTCATTTGAATTTTTTTATTGGAGACACAGTTTTTCATACAAAACATTTACCTGTTATGCTTATTTCTCTTTAAATAGTATTTATACCAGAGAATATCAAATAAAACTAGATACTATTGGAAACCCATAAGAATACTCTGGTACCAAATTCCACTTCGAAAAAGCATGAAACACTGCTTAGGGTCAGGGCAGCCAAGAGGTGTTCGAGGCCTTGGGGCAAACTGGAAGATGAGGCCCCCTGCAAGCTGAAAGGGCGAAAGTTTTTGTGACTAGCTTAAATTCATCAATTTGTTTAAAATGGTTTACAATTTTCAGGCAAATTTTTGTTACTTTTATGTAATTGTATTTATTAAAATTATGTTACCATGTATTTGCTACTCATTCCTGATAAATGGCAAATGCAATCTGATTGAATTTTTCTATTTTACCAAGAATGCTTGAAGAATGTATCTATGGTTTTTACAGTTGCTTAAGTGTAGTTAAAGGAATGGTAAGGGCTAGTTCTTGCGTTTGATTTTTGCATTTATATATACCCTTTTGTTTCAGCAACGTGAAGTTCTTGCATGTGCACCAACAGGATCTGGAAAAACTCTCGCCTTCATTGTTCCATTATTACAATCTTTGCAGGTCTGCATTAATCATCATTTTATTTTCTATCCCTTACAGTAGTTTTGTTTTCTTTAAGCTTCAATGATAGCAAATTTTTTGCGATGTTGTTACCACCTGATTTTTAAGTATTTTGCTACAAAGGAAAGATATATTCATAAAACATGACTCAAGAAAGCAAAGCATTAATAGCAATACTGATCTTGACAGTAGCATGGTAGCATGGTTTTTTCGTTACGGTTTGTTGCCAACAATAGTATAAAGATCAATAAATAAACTCACCGATTAGCGGTAATAAGCTGTCAAATCTAATGAGACAATTCTCTGACACGAAAAACACAAAGAAAAGTGGCTGGTTACTAAACTAACAGAAACTTTAGAGCCTAACGCAACAATAACCTCAAAAGGGCACAACCCAAGAGTACAAGCACCCAATGGGACATTTTATGCTGCAGTAATTTGAATTAATATAAAACTCTCAACTATCAGCTTGAGAAGCTCAACTTAATTTTTAAGAAGTTGAAGAGCTTGCAATAGAGTCTGCATTTTTAAACACTGATCATACACGAACTACGTGTACAAAGATGCCTAGAGGCTTTTTTAATATTTATGTATTTGTTTCGTACACGTCAATTCCAAGCTATCGTAAGTAGATTTTAGGACACAGAGAAGCTATGATCGTCGAACAGAAGCCTGGTCATTCCTCTCGATGTGAAACACTTCGTGATTCCTAAGCCTGGGATTACAGAGAGCAGGCAAATCTCCCTTGCTCTGATTAAAAGTATGTTCCAGCCTGGGACTCAAACCCAAGACTCCTGGATCTACAGTCCACGATCCACGGCTTTGACTGCAAGAACGACAATTTTAACAATTATTTGTCAATTGTTTAGAAGTGTCTTTATCGGAAGTGTATTTTATTGGTAGCTTCTCCTCAATTAATATTTACCTTTATACATTGGTATCGGCGTGCATCAATATAACAAACCTTTTTTTCAGAAACCAAAACGAGGTGGATTTAGAGCTGTAGTGATCTCACCAACTAGAGAACTTGCCAGCCAGGTATCCCAACATTTTTGCGAGAATTTTACTTCAAATTGTAAAAATGAACAACTTTCTAGAAATAAGGAAGAGTATTGACAATTTTGCTGAAATAATCACTTAACAATAGTCTGCTTGCATTTGAATGAATTTTTAAGTTTCATTCTTTGCAAGTTTTTGAATTTTTTTCTTCAGATATACCGCGAATTCAATCGTTTGGGTTCTGGGAAAGGGTTCCGTATTCATTTGTTAACAAAGTCAAAAGCTGCATCGGGAAATTTCACCAAAACATCGGATGCTCGATACGGTATGTGACGTCATATTTGGTATATTTAGAAACTCTTCTGAGGTATATTTTATATTGAAATGTTTTTGGCAGAGTAGCTGTGATTATAAAGAGCTATTTCTTTTATCTAAAACTTATGTATGTTTGAAGTGAATTGATTATAGATTTACAAGAGTGTTTAATACTTTCGATGTATTGCGTTAGCACTTTGATTGCTTGATTAAAGCTGTTTTCAAGGGGGCAAATTGCCCCAGGGCCTCAAAGTGTAGGGGGCCTTATTCTATTTCCATTTTAACGAATTCCATTTTAAGAATGGGAGTAATCAAACGTTGAATAAGTATGCCTAAAAATTGTACAACCTTTGAAACGACTGGAAAAAATGCGTTACCAGAAATACATTTTAAGCGAATCTGGAGGTCGTGGGCGCAAAAAGTTTTCTCCTTGCTCCGCTCGCAAGGGGCCTTACCTTTCGCTTTTGCCCTAGGACCTGTGAAACCTATGTGATTTCCCTGAATGAAATATTAGACAGTAGGAATCTTGACCGACAGTTAGCTAAAGAAAGTTAGTTAGCGACAGTTCCCTATATTCGATATTCGTCAATAGTTAAAGAAACGCTAAAGAATAAATGGTATGAAACTTGAGGATGTAAACATTATCAAGGGCTATTCCTTTTATGTAATGCTAATGTAGATTTGAAGAATAGATTCACAGGAGTGTGAACCCTTTTTAAAGTGCGTTGGAAAGTTAATGTACATTTGAATTGACAATAGATTCACAGGAGTTTTTAATACTTCCAAGTATAGCGTAAGTACAAGAAAAGTTATCATTTTGGGTGATTGCTTAAAGCTGTTTTAACCCAAACTTGTCATAACATGAAAAATCAAACTATGATGTTCTTGACCGAAGGGTTGCTAAATAATGTAACCACATTCTATTTTAAATATGCCAAAAGGTAAAGAGACGCTAAGAAACAAATAAAATATGTAATCCAGTGTATGTCTAATGTTCTTTCATTAATTACCAACATCTTATCGTTTAAGTAGCAAAGTATGCAGTAGATTGCTTATAAATGACGTCACTATGTATTTTCAGATATTCTCGTTGCAACTCCAAATCGCCTTGTTTACCTTCTCTCCAAAGATCCACCTGGAATCAGTCTAGACAAGTATTTTTTATAAGTTGTCTGTTTAATAGTTTATTAACTGGTAGTTAAAGTACAGAATGTCATTTTGTCAAAGGGTACGAGCTTCTGAACATTTTTCAGTGAACGAAGTTGAATCATGGATAGTTTTCTAAAATGGGCCTTTTCTGAGACCTTTCATGATATTATTTTTTTGTTTCAGTAGGTTTGCTCTGTATTCTTGTGATAACCTCAGAATTCTGGCCTCAAATCTGTTACAGTTTTGTAAGAAATCAAGCATTTATCTATTTCATATATATTACTTCTTTTCAAAAGTACTATTGCAACTTCCTGTTACTTGCAGAGTGGAATGGCTTGTTCTTGACGAGGGTGATAAACTTTTTGAGGATGGTGTTGCAGGATTCAGGGATCAAGTAAGTACTCTATGTAGTAAGAGAAACAATAACTTTATTCAGTAACCTTTCCGCTTTCTCGTGTTATTCTCAAATAACTTCTGTGTTTTAAGCTGCAAATGGTTTTTTGATATTCCCATAAAGTTTTATAAACAAACAAAATACAAGACGATGCCACAGGGAGCATTGAAATACATAGCAACCCCGTGAGTGTGACCATTACATTAAACATATTTACTTCAAATTAGAATTGCATTAACTTTTACATATGGTTTATTCGTAATTCAGTAATGTTCCATTTATTCTAGATTGCCACGATCTTTCGTGCCTGCGACAATCCAAAGATCAAAAGGGCGCTTTTCAGTGCCACACTTGCTAATGACGTGGAACAGTGGTGCCAGTTGCATTTAGATAATTTCGTACGGGTTGTTGTTGGCGTCAGGTATTGATTATGTGTTCTTAAATTTCATGTATAATTGACATCATGTACTTACTTATTAATTAATGACCCCCAATTTAAGTGTAAACAGCTTTTTGGCGGTACAGAACTTGAAAATAGCTTTCGAAAAAGCAAACGTTCTATAACATATTAGCTGGCTAAAAGCTTTTTTGTCTGACACTCCTCAGAGCATGGGAAATATATACCCGGTATAGTCTTGTACTTTCATTTTTCTGATTGGCCTATTTCGATCCACAACTGGGTAAATATTTTCAATCGTGCTCTTTCGGACCTTTATTCTGACGTTTTATGTCTGAGGAGTGTTAGACGAAAAAGCTTTTAGCCAATATGTTATAAAATGTTTGCTTTTTTCAAAGCCATTTTCAGGTTTAAGAGTAAATAAATACCCCCCTCGGAAACCTAAAATGAGTTTTGGCAGCATTAGCTAAATAGCTTTTGAGCAAGAAAACGAGATTTGATTTTCATTCATTGCCTAAGCAGCACCTGGCGAATTGTAGAAAGATTGTTTATGAAACAGTACAAAAAACGCCCACACGATTAGCTACAGGTGAAAATGGTGTTTTGCTTTACATGAGACAGAACAAGCCATCTTTACGAGATCGAGATAATCAATTATGAAAAACCACTTAAAGGCATCTTATTGAATCATTTTCTAAGTCTTAACCGGTGTAAAATTAAGAATAACAAAGTACAAAGAGATGTTAGTCAGATTTTGGTAGAAGGCTGGGAATAAGACAATTGCAAGGACTTCCTAATTGTTGCATGAATATATTTTCTGCGACTCATCATTACCTCAAAATGATAGAAGAACTTGAAGTATATTTGTTATCTTGACCAGAAATTCATATAATTAATGTTATGTATCAAAGATAAGTGGATGTAATATAACGATGCATCTATATCCACGCATCCCTGGCACCGAAAACAAAATGCACAACTTTTTTCTGATTTATTCATCACAAATAATTGTCATTCTCGTTACAAAGAAAATGCTTGTTGTCTGTTTTCAGAATTTTTAACAGAATTTCTGGATTAAACTTAAAAATGCTTTCCGAACGTATGTTCTTGTTGGTTTAAGCAAATTCTGTGTGACTGCTGCTGATTCTAAATCGATGATACAATAATTTAAATCACGCCTTTGGTAGGTCTTTGTCTGATTGAGGATAAACCTGTCCTTTCTATTCCTTTAGAAATGCAGCAACAGAAACTGTGAAACAAGAACTCAAATTTGTAGGACAAGAGAGTGGTAAACTACTGGCTATGCGCGACTTACTACAGAAGGTCTCTCCTTATTTTGGTTTTTTGATAGATAGAAATCTTTCTGTGGGAGAGCATATGTGTTTATAGGAAGATGCTCATTTATAGGATTTATAGGTTTAATGAATGGGATACGGTAGAATAGATTACTGGTCCAGTGTTATACCGCTTTTATATCTGATTTTATGGCAAATTAGATAACTTCTTAACTGTTCTAGGAGTCAGTATTAATCTTTGTAAAGGGTGATTTCCACGAGGCGAATTTTGCATCGAATTCGTTGCGAATTCTCTTCGAAATTGTCTTTTGATTTCCACGGGACTGCGAATTCGCTGCGAAAGAATATATTGATTTCCCCCAAAACTCAACTTCAAGGCGCCCATTTTCAGAACTGCACACATGGCGAATGTTCCAAGACTGCTTCTTACAAATCAAGCAAATTTACCATGCTTTGACTCGTTATTAGGTGCTGCGAAATCAAAAATCAAAACTGCGCATGCCTTCTTCAGCGGCTTCGCCACGAATTCGCTGCGAAATTTGCCTCGTGGAAATCAGCCTTAAAAGTCAATATCTTGTCATTCACAGGGATTTCTGCCTCCGATTTTGGTGTTTGTGCAGAGCAAAGAGAGGGCGAAGGAGCTCTTTAATGAGCTGATTTACGATGGTATCAACGTGGATGTGATTCATGCTGACAGAACTCAAGCGCAGGTATTGCATTAGAATCTTTGATTATCAAAAATTCAGCGTTAGCATTCTACTGACTAACAAGTCTATAGTAAAGTAACAGTCGACATATAAGTGCCCCTGTTCATTAAAATTACTTTTGCCTCCGTTTATGTATTTTGTACCTAGTTGATAAGAGCAATTTCAGTTACACGATCAATGTGTCATTTCGTCGGTTGGAAATTATTCTAGTAGTATCTAAAAATTGTCCATGCAGGTTGTTTAAAACAATCGAGTTAACAGTCGCCTCTTTCTAATTCTGAGGCCAGTATCCAGCAACCAAGCTTTTAATACACACACACATTTTTCTTGTCAATAGAAGTTAATTTATCGTCTGTTATTATCTGTTTTCTAAGGTTTGCGTTTAATGCCTGTTTGCTCAAGATTGAGAATTGAACCAGCCCGGCAGCTCCAGTCTTAAATTTTATTCAAAGTTTGCCTTTATTTCTTTTTTTACAGAGAGATAACATAGTGAAAAGTTTCAGAACTGGCAAGGCTAGTAAACATATTTTCTATTTTCCTGGTTCATATAGACGCATCGTATTCTTTTTATCAACTTGAGTATACCACGCTAGAGAAAAAATCTTTACCTCATCATCTTCAGTTTATCCATCCATAAAATGAAGATTATTTCTATCTTTTGCAGAGGACAATCACATCATCCCTTGTATTTCATTTTCTGCCTAAGCTACCCAACTGTTCCAACCAACCTTCGGCTTCATACGAATTTTCCGTACCACAAACAGTATTTGTAAATAGGCTTTCAGTAGCCTATCCAGAAGTTAGGAAATATTCTTTCTTTTTTTTCGCAGATATGGGTTCTGATTGCCACTGATCTTATGGGGCGTGGTATCGATTTCAAAGGAGTCAACCTGGTTGTCAATTATGACTTTCCGTCATCGGCTGTCAGTTATATTCACCGGATAGGTACGTTTTTATTTATGTGGATACATCATTAAAAAAATCAAAAGGCCCTTTCATGCTTAAAACATGAAATGCAGAGGATGTAGAGGTATAAGCAGACGATTAAGAGCATCGAAACATTCCGTGAGAGAGTAAATAATATTCCTCTTATTTTAAGAAGATTATGCTTTGGTGTATAGAACAGTACAGTTCTAAGTTGCAATTTCGTGCTTTACGCTTGTGAAGATACTTCCATTGACTTAGTAGATCGTTGTATTAAGTTTGCAAAATAAATGCTTGTGCAAGATTTCTCGATTAATACGTATTTTTTTGTCTTAAAATTTTGTTCTCGTTTGTTTCCCTCCCAGGACGAACAGGGAGAGCTGGTAGGCCCGGAACAGCTGTTACGTTTTTCACAGAAGATGATGTCGTCAACATCAAAAGGTGCGAAAACTAATTTATTTTCTCTCGGTTTACAAGCTCAGTAGTTTAAGAGTGTCATCGATTAGCCAATTATCCTAAATAGCATCTCTTTTTTGTGAACTATTTCTTCTACTTTTTAAGTGTATTGAAGTTTCGAAAGTTCCTCGTCTTTGTTGGTCAGTCTAACCTGCAGTAGAAGTTTGATTTCAGCTTTAAAAATGACTGAATAGATTAGATAGTCTGTCGGGTCAGCCTACGTACGAAACGCTGTTAGGCCGGTGGTTGTTGGTAAAGGTGCTGTTTCCCGAAGGGTGGAACAGAAAAGAAAGCGCTGGCTTAATGTCCTACGCAGTGTCCTTCTCCTTCTTGTGATTCTTATAAAGTTCTTCTAATGAAGACTACTGCATCTAACATTGGCCACCACATGGAGCATCTGAAGTCTGAACGTAGACCCTTAAAAGGTAAACTCTGGTTGAGCTTTATGATGATTTAAAACTTTCATCCCTGGGCGAGTTTAAACTCTCTTGGTTTAAAATTTTAACCTTTGTTGAAAAAGTGAGCCGAACCTTTCTCACATGAACGATTTTACCAAAACATAGTTTTTTAGCGGTCGGGGTGAAAGTCAAAATGGGTTAATACGTATGAAGGGCCCCTAAAGTGATATGTTTGCACACAGCCAGGGATCTTTCTCCAGGAAGTTGCAGCTCAGAAAAGCCAAAAAAGGACAAAATCCTCATGCAATCCTTATGTGCCCGTTGAAAGCCGCAACACAAGATTTTCAAAATTAGTGAAATCTAATCTAGGTAAGGGGAATGTCGATTTTTATTAGATTTTAGTATTTTAATGGATTTAGAAAAGAAATCAGTAAAATTTTGAATGACACATTGTTTGTTTTATGTAGCATATCAAACGTTATGGCAGCCTCGGGTTGCGAAATTCCTACGTGGATCTCCGAACTTAAAAATCCTAACAGGTGAGCTATTTTGTATTCATAGACTGTATTTCGTGGAACGCTATCTAATCGGAATCATTTATAAAAAATATGCCTGTGTGAAACGTGACAAGGTTGTCTATATTTAATACCGTAGTCAGAAGTTGGTTCGAAGGTGTTAAGAAATTGTTGGTTTGCAATTTGAGAGCCATGTTTTACATGGGTATCTATTCCTGAAGTAAACCAAAGGAATTAGCGAAATAATCCCAACATGGCGGGAAATTCACACCAAAGAGAGAGTTGACTGAATACGAGGCCTCTTTCCTGCGAATCTCATTTTGTCCTTTAGCTGTGTTTTCTTTGTTCCTTATTAACTGCAGTTTAGTGTTGCATTCTTTGTAAAAACTTGGTAATTGCTTTTTTAAGGGCTGTAAAACGAAAGTTGAAGAAAATTCCTGTGGAGAGGGAGAGCATTGCATCGCTCACAAGGATTGACAAAGCCAGGTAATTTTGAGTTTCTTGAAAATTCATAAGTCAAAATTTTCTATGTTTGTCAACATTTCCTACAAGTTCTAAACTTTTTTACAATGCTTTTGTTCGCATAATGACGATATGATTTATTCGCTTGAAACGATTGACGCAGGCAAATAGATTATCAGATGTTAAACGTTTCTTATCACTATGTGCCATACTAAGATGTACATGTTTTCTTGTGCTGTAAGCCACATATTTCAAAATATTTTGAACAGTTGAACATTCATTTATATGATCAACTAATCTTAGAGGGATATTTTCGATAGTAATGCTGTAATGATATTTACTATGATTATTAATGAAATTAATAAGTACACTAATTTTCATGGCATGAGGGCTCATCCCAACCCCTACCCCCCCCCCCCCCCCCCNTCCCAACCCCCCCCCCCCCCCCCCCTCCAATAGGAGAATTCAGGCTTCCGTCAGATATTTGTAAACCTTTTAACTTGCCAAAAGCCCATCCAAGATGTTTAAAGCCTGAGAAAAGCAATTTAGGAATTTGACGTTTTCAAATAGAATCAGTCAAAAGGTACACAATTGAAACTTATTCTTCTTTTATTAAAGGGCTTAAATTCTTCTATTTTATTCAAAACTTTTAAAATATTGTAGAGCAAATACTATTGTACAGCTGTTTAAAACTTATGCGCTATTCTTGTGCAGGAGAAAACCGAAAAAATCTGCAGAATCCAAGACAGTCAATGCCAAGGCTACAGGCCCCTCTTCTAAAAAACAAGAAAAGGTTGGGAAACAAAAGAAGAAACATCCTAAGAAAGCAACTGCTGATGAAAAATGAATTCGGAAACTTGAATGATTTGATCAAATATCTGCGATCTACATTTTAAGGCATCTGGTTTGAATGAACGGTTTTAGATAGATATTACATTAAGATCCTTCTCTATTTAGAACGGTACTTGTTGAACTAATGAAATATGTGGGGTTTCTGTATGAAAAGACGTAATAACTTTGCAGAGCTGCCAGTTCAGGATTTATGATATCTAGACGAAAAGATAAAATTGAGTTGCCTTGTAGTGAAGCTTACATTCAACGCCCCCTATCAGAGAAAATCTGCAGCATGTACCCTACTTTTGTGTCATGTACCCTACTTGAGTGCATTCATTTTAAGATAAAACAGTGGTTCACCTAAAATAAACAGTGTTTATATAAATGGAATTGTAAATGTTTTGTCAAGTTTTAAGCCAAAACATGTTAATTGACTGCCCATGGTCGAGAATATCTAAAAAATAGCATACCCTTGTCAGTAGCAATGCCTTGTCCATACAAATTATCGCATTGCGGTAAGAGTGCCATCCATCCAATTACCTTTAAAATGTCAGTCTAAAAAAAGTTATCATTTTGCGATGCTTTTGAATATTTAGAAATCCAAAGTTTCTTTACGGTTTTCTTGTTCCTGTTTTCGCACCTTTTAATAAAGTAATAAAATGACACTTTTGTTGTTAATAACCAATTCAATAGCACCTTTCTGATATCACTAAAGTCATGCAACTGTAACAAAGTTTTGTATTGGTTTTCGTATTTTTTCTACCTAGCACCCGGTTTTCTACCTAAGATAGTTTTTAGGACACTGAGAAACTATGCTTATTGAACAATGTCCTGGTCATTCCTCTCAACGTGGCCTCACCGAATGATTTCTACCGTAGCTGTACGGGAACTTGGAAATTTTAAGAAAATAATATGTGGAAGAATGAACACTTAGACAGGACCTAGAAATAGGCGCAAAATTTTGTCGGTTCATTAAATTTCTTTGCCTGCATCCCAGAAAAATTCTCGATTTCCGCCACTGTTCAGGCAACTCCCCATATACCATGGACATAGGAAGCATTATCATAGTGAGGGGGCGCCTATTTAAAGTGGCACCCTAACAAAGATTTTAAGGGGCGCTCTAACATAAAATCTAGGAAACTTGATAAAGGCTGTTTTTGAAAGCCTGGCTTCAATAATATCGTTCTCATTTTCTGGCTTAGTTGTGAGCTGTGCCACCGAGATGTTTCGGAGGCCCTGTTGCAAAAGGACAAGACGAGGCTTTTTGTGGAAGAAGCGAGCAGAAACATTTTTGTGGCAATGTTAGATCATGGCCCAAGAAGGTCACCCCCTCTCACTCTATTTGCTCGTTTCGTAGAGAACCTAAGCATTTCAAGAGCACTTTTTTGTTATGCGGTTGGCAAAAAAGGCAGCTCGATAAGCTACAAAGGGGCATTTTACTTTAGTTTTTGAGCAGTGCGGGTACGTGCCCCAAGTGCCCCCTTGTTTATGCCTTAAACTTGGTGAAAGTCCGCAAGAATATGCAGAAATGAAAATATCAAATTTACATTTCTCTCGGTAGAACTACAAATCGGCCGCTGGAACTCCAACTTTTCAGTAGAAACATCAGAGACAAAGGGCAGAAACCGGGCAAGAACACAATGTAGCAAATAAGAAACACCGCAATACGCCGAGAATACAGGGCCTCCGACGAAGGGGGGGCCGGAGGGCCATGGCCCCCTCACTTTTCGCAAAACAACAGAGCTTTTTTTAAAAACTTTTGTTATGATTGTTTTATTTTCTCTTGACCCCTCCACTTTTCAACCTGCGTCGGAGCCCATGGAATAAACAATAATAATACACGTAATGGGATGAAGTACTATAATATGAAATAATGATAATGTTGCTGTAAGGTTAACGGTCAGTGGTTCTGCTCATGCTGTTCGGTGTGAGAGTGTTTGCCAGGCCAATGAGGTATTTGCTCTTTGGCTCGTTGGACACTCTCTCGTTTATCGTTGAGTTTCAGTAATAGTGTTACAGTAAGGTCATTGATGGTATGTTCTGGGCTACAGAAGTGTTCTGCAACACCAAATTTTTCTACATCACAGACAGTACTACTTTTTTTAACTTTACTAACACTGACAAAAACTACGACATAAAACAAAGACTGAACTGCAACTCTACTAACATTCTTTACTCATTACAGTGCAACGCTGTTTAACTAACGGACACAAGAACTGCCAATACATCAGACAAACAAGCAGACGACTGAAAGACAGATTTAACGAACACAGACGAGACATTATCAACAAAAAAATAGACAAATCAACCAATCCGACACCACCATCGTCTCTTCTAAATGTGTAAATTTTTAGTCCGTTAACTTTTGCTCTGATGAAACCCCGTATGCCGGGGCGAAATATTAGCCTTCATTGATTTACGTGTATTTATTGTTGTTTATTCTCGGCGTATTGCAGTGTTTCATATTTGCTACACTTTTATCGACTTTTCGCCGCAAGGACTTCTTGGAGCCCGTCGAGCAGCCTGCTACAGTGGCCTTTTCTTCATTCACACAAGAACACAAATCTTGCAATAATCACATTTCTCTCTTGTTTCCATGTGCCCTTAGAGACAGCAGCAACTACTGCACGAAAAGGGATCAATTAGGCCAAGAGGAAAGCTAGCAAGTTGAAAAGCAAAATGAACGTGTTTAGTTTAGGTCCTTTTTATCGAGTTGTAGGCCTGATCAAAGGAATTTTGAGTTTTCTATGTCGCATTTTGTTTAGAAAAAAGAAAATTGCAGAAAAATGTGACGAAGATAAGCCGATAGAAATCATTTCAGTTGGAACAAACAGCAAAAACAAAGACTATGGCAACTTCGGGTCTAATAATGAGGTAATAGTTTCTATTTTTCGTAAATTTTAATCAAGAAAACCGTTTTCATCTTTGCGTTTTCTCTGAAGTTTTCTGTAACTTATCAGTTTTTACTTCCCAATTTCCTGGCGCGGTGTAATCTTATGTAAAAATTTACACCATCCTTGTCCCAGACTGGAAACTTTGCTGCGCGCCCGCAATATATTGCCCGCGCACACCTCTGCGCGCTTTTGCATATTGGCCGCGCAAAATCCCCTAGATCCCTTGACAATGGGATTTAACATTATTAACAATAAAAATAACTAAGAGTGCATGATTTCAGGCGCGCAGTCTCAAATTTTCAAAATAAACTTGCCCGCGCAAGAAGCAAAGTTTCCAGTCTGGTCCTTGTCCATATATTCACTGATAAGCAGGGGCGGATCTAGGGTGCCGCAACTGCCTTACGCAAGGCAGTCAACTACCGCTGACAAAGACTGAAACATTTAAATTTCGCCAAACACATCTTCAGTTTCAGTTTCATTTATTTGAAATTCCACTACATACATCCTTTGATTTTTTTGTTAATGACTCATGCCCTCCCACCTCCCCCCCTCTTCTCCCCCAAGTATCTCCATTAATTGATTGCGTGCAGTCGTTGTGAGACCCTACTTTGCATCTTTGCTTCGCCTCATATTGAGCGAATAAGTGATTCTTTCCCTGCGATTATGTGATCTTCTTCCCTGCCTCAGATGATTTGACATAAATTATATTTTGCGGCATTTCGCATATTAATTTTAGATGCCCGCGCAGTTTTAAACAATCGTTTTTGAGACCCTACGTCATTTTTATTGTTCTCCTTGCGGCATCGATGAGATGTATGAGAAATTTTTGTATATGCAAAATATGTGGAGTGGGCTCAGCGTATGGTTATTTGGAATCTTGAGGTGCCGCAGAATGCCGCATTTGATATCAGGGTGATACTTGTCATACGTAGGTGATCCACTAGATCGGTGCGGTGATCATGAAGACGATTAGCAGCCTCATTTCACTCTTGTACCGTGATTTTGACAGACAGGAAAATAAAGCTGAGAAGGGGAAAGGATATCCTGAAAAAGGTTAAGTTCTGTCAGAGACGTGAATATTGGAAGCTTCATGCATGACCTTAGCAATATTAAGCTTAAAAGACTTGGAAATTCTGCTTCTATCTCTGCAGCTAAAGTATCGGAGCTAGGCCTACTTGGTTAAAAGTTCTATGTTGAGCCGAGAACAAACTTTTTTCTTTGGAGGTGAATTATTATTGAAGCAAACGTTTTTGAAACATTGTTATTTATGCTTCATTCTTGTTAACGTTCGGTTTCTTTTAATTTAGACGTATTTGAATAATGTTCTTTGTTATTTAATAACAATATGATTGCCAAAAAACTTTTTTTTATCGCATAAAATGTGTATATTATCAGAGTCAGTTAGCATTGTCAATTCTTTCCCAATACAACATAAAGTATAGAAAAAATATTATTTGTTTGATCAAATTGACTCGAATCATGACGATGTAAATTTAAAAATAATAGACAGTATTTAATAAGTATTTTATAAGTTTACAGACACAAGAATTTAATACACATAGAAAATCTGGTTTCAAAAATTCTGTGGAGGTTTCAGGGAAAATAGCTAGCCTCACTTTCTCTATAAATTTTTTTAACTTCAATTTCGATTTGTTTCAAACATCGCATCAGAGCATGCTGGGTTTCTTTTTCTAATTTTGTGTGCTATATTTCAAAATATGTTATGTTATGTTATGTTGTGTTGTGTTGTGTTGTGTTGTGTTATGTTATGTTATGTTATGTTATGTTATGTTATGTTATGTTATGTTATGTTATGTTATGTTATGTTATGTTATGTTATGTCAGACACAAATGTATCAGAGATCTTTCAATTTGGGAAAGCTGTTGCTATTAGACTTAAAAACTAAAAACATAACATTACAGTCTGATGAATGTTTATGTGTTCAGAAGTAAATTTTAACCAGTGCTTATATTTCTGATAACTTGACATAGCTATCACCTGATTGGCAAATCTGTGTTATTTTAGTAAGGATTATTGAATTGCTATTTATGGTTATGAAATTAGCTTATCTTGTCCTCTCAGGATGCCCTTGGTTGCTTTTTGAGATATTTTGGAGAAAATGCCTTTAAAAAGACAAGTAAACTTAAGGGAAATAGAATTTGTGTATCTGAATGACTACCAAATAAATATTCGAAAAATACTTTATTCTTTGATGTCTGTATCTATTATCTGTCAATCTGCAATGTCATCTGTTGGTATAATCTGTAATGTTAACTTTCTGTATAATCTTTTTATCTATGGAAGTAACTTAGTACAAAAAAATATCAATTACTTAGGGCATTTTATAGCAGAGCTTTATCTGGATGTAACCTTCAGTGCATTCTTTCACAATTTTGTTTCTTTGCTGGCAACAGACCAGACCCATAGGCTTATTGATATGCTTTTAAACTGTCAAACATTTGAGTGCTTAACATAGCAACATCAAATAACTTACACCCTGTCTGCAAAGCTTGATCAAAACACCATGTATCTGGAGGTTATTGGCATGACTGAAAAAAGATTTCAGAAGTCTATATAAAATTCTATTTTGATAGAATTTTATATAGACTTCTGACATCTTTGTTCAGTTTTTGATGGTGACAATGTTTTATAAGTTCCAGTAGTGTAAAGACTAGTTTTTAAGATTCAAGTGCAAATGCAAAGTCTAACTGTTGTAGCTTTAGGAGGAGAAGAAGCCAAATTCAAGCCTACTCACTTAGACCTTCATACTCCTAAAGAAAGTTCTGTTTCCTTTCATAAACTGAACCATAAAATCTCAAAACAGAAAATGAATTGAAATTGCTGTTTCAAATTATTCTGATAGTGGCTTTTTGGACAAGTTGAACTTGTTGGAGCAGCTCAGTAGTAGGATCTCTTGAACAATGCCTGGGAACCAGATGCAAATTTTAGAGTTCCTTCCAAATTTAGGAAAAAAGAAAGTTTTTCATTCTCTTGGCTTAAAAGTTACCCATGGTTTCAATATTCTAAAGCTTAATATTATGCAATTTGCCTGCCTTTGGACATTTTTTATCTAAGAATTGGGGTGTAAATTCATCCAGAGACAAGCTGGTGAATTTTTTTGACAGACGTTTCCTGTGCAGTAGCAAGATATAGAATCAATGCAGATTTGATATCAACCATACCCTATTATTAACCATGCTAACCTTTGTAACTGTAAAAGAAGTAGGCAGTGAAGATTCATAATTGGCAGTGAAGAATTACTTAAGATAATGTTGTTTTATAGTTTCCTTGAATAACATAAAATATTTACATGCAAGCAACGCCACTATTTAACCACTTTACATTGCGCGTGCGCAAATGGGTTTTGACCACGCCCCTTTTTGCCATTTACTTTTGGACCACACCCTTTTGCGGCAGTCAAATTTTTCTTTAGATCCGCCCCTGATAAGGGATGAGCAAAATCCTAAGTCCTAGAATCCTGAAAAAGCACAGTTTTGCATGGTCAGTCCGTAGAATATTAATGAAGGTGCAAAATGATCACACCATAAATATATATCAATTAATTCACATGTATGTACATTCTTCCATCTGTATTTGTTTATGTTTTTATGATGTATGATTTATTAAATTTCAAGGTATTCTTTGCAATGTTCCAAATAAGCATTAATAAATTTTTATCTCTATATTGCCAAGAATGAATCAGAAAATTTGAATATTCATGTTGAAATTAAAAAATTTCACGGTGTCATCAATTTCAAGTCACATCATTAGAAATAACTTTCTAATGATTTCTAGATTTTCAAAACAAAAATTCACATCTGAACATTTCAAACAAGTGAAAGTTCCCAGTATTGCCAGGGTGGATTCCATGTAAATCTCATGCCCAATATAGGCCAATAAACATTAGCAAACCAATGAGAAATTGTTATTCCATGCCTGATATCTCTGGCAAAAGCTACATGAATACCATCCTGTCAATATTAACTAAATTCAACATGACAATTTCAATTCTGAGACCCAAGACAGGTCAGTAGATGGAGAAATTGAAAGAAATGACATCAATTCACAAATAGGTTTAATAAATTTGGGGCATCTCAACCCTGACCCTGGTGGTTTTTCCAACATTTGCAGCTTCACAAAAGATGAATTTTTGTCTCTTGGTGTAAATTTTGGATGGTTGTTTTTGGCCAACTCACACAATTAACTTTTGCTTGTTATTTGCTTCTGTCAAAAATAATTATTTCAACAAAGGTTCCAAAATCCTGACTGGCTGAGAGACTTAAATTCTCTTTTCTATATTGACCAAATCAAAATTCAGTAATATTGCAATAAACATGCCTTGGAGCTAGATTTAGGCCTTTTTGCATGTTTTTACCAACACTTACAAAAAAAATTTGAAATGTGCAGAAAGATGACCTAAAATTTTTTGGAAAATCAATTCTTTGATCAATTTGTAAAAACGACTGCTGTTGTATTCAGTAAAGAATTTTCTGTGATCATTAGGTGCCAAGGCTTTAAATTGGAAATTCAAAACCTTTCTAATATTTAATAGGAGGGAATAATAATAATAAAATGTCAAAAGAATTAATCCACAACATAATTAACAAATGTAAACTTTCCTTTACAAAGTTATTTAAAGATCTTTACAATCTTAAGTCTTAGCTGCTAGAGGAAAACACTACATCCTTCTTGAATTTTTATTAGTCAGTTAGTATGAAGTGTTTCAACCTCTCAGCCAATCAATATTTGGAACCTATGCTCTTTTTTAGTCTAAAACTCCTTGAGCTTTATTTTTGAATCTTAAATTTAATGTTTTACTTGTGAAGTTTGTATGAGAAAGCAGCTTGGGCAAGTTGGTTGATTTTCACTCCATACAAGAGTATATTTTAAATGTTGTTTGGCTTGTTTTATAGGCTGGAGGGAATAGTGTTCTTGTGGACTGGAGTGACTGGAAAGAGCCTACCAGTGCAGAAGATACTAAAGAAAATTTAGACAGTATGAATCTATTTGAAGATATGGAACCAAAATTAACACGGCCAAGAATGGTTAGTAATATGATATTTTCTTTTCTGTTTGTCATGAAACTACAAAGCAACATATTGGCATTTGGTAAAAATAGGGAAAAGTATAGGGATTATAGTTCATCATTAATTGGTTTCAATGTAAAGTAAATCTAAAGTCAATATTAGAGCTAATTTCATAACCATCTAACCACTTGCTTTAGACAAAGTTTGAAGTTGATGTGAATATGTTGCTCTCAGGCAGAAAAATGTTTTGCTTGCATGGCACATTGAAAGCTCTTCTATCATTTAACAAAAATATTATGCAGTTATTTTTTGCAGTTGGTTGTTATTAAAGCATAAATATAAAGCAGTTTTGCAAAAAATGCATAATAGTGAGGATTTCTTTGATGCAAAAATGTTCACAAGATATATTGTCTTCAAATAATCTGTTTTCTATATTTACTACATATATTTATATACTTTTTTAAAATCCAGGAATTTTATGGGTTCAGGATAACATGTTTAATGTCTTCAAGCATATCAACTATTCATATTATATATTGTTCTGAATTTCAGAATATCTTTCTTCTTTTCTTGTCCTAGAAGCTACCTTTTGGAAGCTTTTAGTTATTAGTCAAAATTTTATTGTTAATAGCTCAGCCTATATCCAATAATTGTTTTACAGTTGCTATAGTCTTTTGTACAATTTATCATAGCTCAAAGTTTCACCTAGTAATCCTCCAGATCAGAAAGCCATGTTATCCTCTAATCGTTTGCAAGTCAGTGGAACAAGTTTTGAAGTTCAGGTAAGCTTAGACAGTTTACATTCCCAATATGTTGTACTATTAATGCAGTTGCATAATTTTTTGAGAGGTTCAATTGTGAATATCTCCAATCCCGCAGGGTGCTCATTATATTTTGGACTTTATAGATGGTATTCACTCAAGCAAGTTGCTTATTAGGGGAGGGGAGGGTTTTTTTTAGATATTTCTTGCAAACGATGCCAAATTGTTTGATAATCAGATCGACATAAGCTTCGTTAAAGATAAAAGTATTAGTTTCTACTTAATGAAGGTGGGTATAAATTTTGATTTCTCTATGATCATCATAACTAAATCCTTAGTGCCCATCTTCTTATTACAGAAGAACAGATTGGATGAGATGTGCTTTTAACTAAAGGGTTCATTGTACATTACTGTGAAAGTTATAAATATATATTTGTAAAATGGTACCATGTCTATTTCCATCAAAAGTTTTATGCTTTCCTGTTACCAACAGCTGTGTAAATTGTACTAAAAACTTTGAAGGAATTGGCCAGTGATACCATTCATCTTTAAAAATAGGTTGATGTTTCTCAATTTACCTTTAGCTTTTCAGAGACCCTTTAAAAATCCCCTTACATACAACTTTGTTATTGTAATGTAATTATTAATGTTGTTGTTTGTTTTTTATCTTTTTATAGTATTTATCCTGTATTTTTAATAAGTTAGTTCCATACTGTTGTATATAGTAAAATTTCTGCTACCTCTCTATTTATTTTATATTTAGGAATACTAACTCAAATATTTAAATCTAGAAGAAACTCCCTTTTCTGATTGATAGACAAATTGAAGGATTTAGAACGATGCTTAGAGTTACACAATTACAAAAATAAGCATCTAATATATGCAAAAGTTTTGAAAGGAGGCATACAGGCTTTGTTTCCTAGCTAAGGAGAGACCAATCGGCATATGAGAGCTTTATCCCTTCTTTAATAATTTTTTGTTGCTTTCCTAAAATATATCGTAGCTTTGATGGATGAATAGACAAAAAAATTATACAAATGACAGTGAGATCTATCGTTTCGACCCTGTGTTTTTCAACATATGAAGATATGTTTTGAAGCAGCCTGTTTTTTATAATGCAGCAAGCAATTTCATTTCACAATTATATTTGTTGTTTACAGTACTGAATCCATAAAATATCAGTTAATCATTACAAAATGTTTTGGTTCGCCACTAATCACGAGAAAATTGTTTACATCATTTGACTGTTTACAATCAAATATTTTCAATTGTCCTATAATTTTAACTTGTTTATTTTAAAAGCATGTAAATTGCAGACAAAGCCAATTACTTGCACAGCAGATGTCCAATTTTACAAACGAAATGTTACGCAATGATTCTACTGATTGCCTCACGTTGAAAAGCAATGCTCGTTTTTCCTCAGTAAAACGATCTGGCTTACGTTTTGCAAAACATGACTTGGTTCAATATTTCCCGGTTGCTTTGAAATGGTATCCGATATTCCAATTGAGTTATCGTGCTACGTTTTGTTTTTTCATTCCTTCTTTCTCAGTCTGAGCTTGGCACGTGGGTTGAAAATTCCTCGGGTTGGGACGAAGTTTTACATGTTTTTTTTCATTCCTTATTTCTCAGTCTGAGCTTGGCACGTGGGTTGAAAATTCCTCGGGTTGGGACGAAGAAGTACTGGATGATCTCTCTGAAGAAGCAGCAAATATTCTTAAAGAAAAGAAGAAAATGGAAAGACAAAGAAGAACTATTGAGCAAAAGAAGAGAAATGAGGAGCTGCGAGCCATGCGGGCCGACCGTAAGAATGCGCCACACCTCGGAATGAAAGTAAATTGAAACTTTTTAGGAATGTTTTCATTGTAAATTAAAGCTTTAAACACGTATGTAGGTTAACGGTCCAAAAATTAATGAATGGCTACTTAAAACAATCTAAGAAAATAAATATGGGAATGATTCGTTCCTATATTTGGCACGAAAAGTCACACAATTCAAGCCTTTGTTTTGAAAAGTATCGGCTGAATCAACCCCTGTAGCATTCTCAGCGCCTACAGACGCTAAATTGCCTCTAAATAAGACATTGGCAAACAGGTTTTCTATAAGTTGCTGTTATATTGAAAGTGTAGATGCACTAATGCAGCTGGGTGTTGGGCTACTATGCTTTTTGGTATCCCTTGAGCAGTAAGTAATGAATGTTCAACGCTGCTTGTGACATGAATACAGAAAGACCTGAGCACACCCAACCTCTTCTTTTATGCTGTTTTTAAATACTACACTTTTATATTCCGAGTAGCAGCAAAGCTTATTTTTTTATCATCAGTAGTCGCCAACTTTACATGTCAGCTCTAACTTAGCAACTAGCAATCAGGCGGAATTTCTACGTATTACACCAAACTGTAGATAATATTAATAACGTAATACATATATTAATATTAATATTAATAATGATATTAATAATATTCAGTCTCTGTTCTCTGTACTGTGCTGGGTGCTTTCAAGAGATCTTCTGTCTTTCGCAATTCAACATAGCAATGGGACTGACACCACATGATCCGCTACTATTTTAGATGTTTGCTAGAAGTTCATGCAAGCAGTTGTATTGCATTTTTATGCTGAGTTGCTTTATATTTGTCAATACACTAGTACAGATTGGTTGTGCCGGAGCGTATACCAAAGTTTTGCAAAGATTCATTTCCACATGAAAACATTTTGTTGCTATTCAATAGGATTATCAGGAAATGGTCGTAGATATATAGCAAAACCCTTAAAAACCTCAATCATACTTTTTTGATGAGATGCTTAAAAAGGAAACTTGTGGTGAACCATTCTCATTAGAATTCTGTAAATATGCATTTTCACGTCCTTTTATTGTTCACACATAATTACCATTGTTTTAACGTATTTTAAATACTCTTTGTTGTTTCTAATTGCATTGCACATTAACTCATATCCATCGAAACAATTTAGTTTATGTTAGTTTTGTTATGGGGTGTGATTTTCAGTTAGTGAGGATCGAGGGAAGAAATTGAGATGGAGAAATGAAAGATTTGTTTATTAATTTGAATTCTCAAGCGGTGAGTTCGTTCCATTTATTTCATGTATAGAGATCTGTGAACGAACCTCTATAAACTCAAAAGAGGGTGACCTCTATGATCAGACGAATTAGCAAGGGGAGGTAAGCCTCTTTATGAGAGAATTCTACTCGCCAAAGAGATCGTGGGGAAGCAGATGATGTCGTCATTTTAGTCTCCAAACCTCTGTAGCCCCAACGATAACAACCGCATTAGCAGCAACAGGACCCTGCAAGCATGTTACCCCTTTACATAATTCTACGCAAAGAGACAATAATGAAGGAAAAGAGTTTTGTTGCCCGTAAGGATAGATGATGACATCGACACCTGCAAAAATAAAGCATCTCCGGAATAACAAAGTGCCGATTGCTGTGAATCGAGCGAGGTGAAAGAAAGACTGAAGAGAAAATCAAAATGACGAAGGATAGAGTTAAAGAAGAGGAAATCAGAACGAAGAGTACGAGGGCGAAGAAGAATCAGTGAAAAAAGGAAGATGTAGAGGAAGAGAATACGAGGAAGAAGTAGAGGAAGAAGGTAAGGTGAAGGCGTAGAGAAAGAAGTGTAGAGAAAGAAATAGAGGGAAAAAAGAAGAGGAAAATAAGAACAAGAAAAAGAAGACAAGGTAGAAGGGGGATTGAAGAGGAAGTATGAAGAAAAAGGAAGAGGATGAAAAGGAGGAAGGAAAATTAAAGGATAAAGCAAAAGAGGCTAAAGAAAAAAGGATGCAGCGGAAGAAGAAGAACAACAGAAAAAGAAGAGGAAAATAAGAACGCAGAAGAGGTAGAAGGAAGAAGAGGTAGAGGGGAAGAAGAAGGAACAGAAAATTGAAAAAGAAGTGAAGAAAGGTAGGCTGTCTTACTCGTCGTACGTGATCGTACGTGAATAGTCTAAGGCATGTGTGCTTTCGCGAGCGTAGTATGAGCCACTACGGTTATTTCATAGAACAAAACGCTTTTTAGAATGCCTATTAACATGTAAGCCGAAATTACTTTCAAAACATGTGTTTAAAGACTGCCGCTAACATTTTAAAGCTGAAAATCACGCAAAATACTACTCAGTTGTGTTCCCTTGCTAGATTTTGATGATTTTTAAGTGAATTTGAAATGCTTATGCATTTTAATGCTGCTTCAGTTTTTTATTGAGACAGCAACGATTTAGGACCTGTTGAGAAACTTTGTGGTTTCGAAACTTCGTTTTTAAGGTGTACCCTGTTCGGACTAAAGATACTTTCAAAGAACACAGACAGAACAACCTGATATGATAGCTTGCTTTGGAAACCTGTAAAAAAGAGTTAATTTGATTGACGTAATTTCTATTGCCTACATCATACAGACAATTTTCTATTCGCCTTGACAATCGTGCACAGAATCTATTTTGCAGACAGGTGGGTAGTTTTCTTACCTTTAAATTGCTCAACGGTTCTCGTAGCGCTAAGTTGAATGTTCTAGTAAAGCCTAATGCTTCACGAAGTTTTGTCGGTACAGCCCAGCAGAATATAAATCGTTCGGTTTGTAAATGCGAAGCTAGTTGTTTGATCCAATTTGGTCATCCACTTCTAAAAACAACACGAATAGCAATATGAGCCATCTAATAAATTTTGACATTTACAGATAAGGTTTTATCGCTACTCTTTCTACTAGATAAAAAAGTTTAAATTTATTTTCAAATTGTCCTGTTTTTGTCCTTCTCCATAAGAAAGGCAGGTGAATAGCCCACGCCTAAATTGAAAAGATTTGTGAACAATAGATATATTTACAATGAAAATTATCTTAAGTCGAGTAGGTCAGTTAAGGAATTAAAAACACAAAGCTAGTTGTGAGTTTGCCTATATTCGACAGGTTTTAGGCATAAAATAGTGGGACTCTGAATTTTTTCTAAGTCAGCATTCATCAGCCTGAAAATCTGCGGCACGCTTTCAAGAGCGGTGAAAGAATCTTCCAGATTTCTAAAGACGGCCTAGCGCCCTGCTCAGAATCCTGTAGGGTTACTTAGATCATTAAGAGATAATCTTTTTATCATTGGATATCAGGACTGAGACCAAATAAAAAAACATTATGCTCTCATCGGTTTTGCCTTGGCACTTGTGCTTTCAAACATATAGTGCGGAATAATAATGGTATTCTTTTACAGGGAGGGCATATAAGAGAGACTGTTTCGAAAGGGGTCTTAAATAGGCCTTTGTTTCCAAAATGGTTTTTTACCCAATACAAGGCAACATAAGTCATTTCCACATATGTTATCTAGTAACGGGCGCATAAGCAACTAGCGCTGGAGGCTGGAGTTACGTAGATAGAAGCAAGCAACTATTCAATTAAGCTATACTGGACATTTTTTTGGTAATTTGCAAATTTTTTTAGGTTATTTGGTAATTTGTAACCTTTTTTGCAACCTTTTAGTAACTTTGAGGTTCGCCTGCGTCACGGATCAAATCGAATATCAACATATTGAAAAGTGTTTTCAACTTGAAATGAGGATAGGGGCATACAAATATTGCGGTGGCACGTTTTTGCATCAAGAGATCTGTTCCTCTTGTGTAGGGCAGCAAGTGACAGATTTGGCAGGTTGTTTGGTTATCTATCACATCCAAACTTGCCTTCACTAGCCACACTATTTGCCAAAATTATTGAAACAACCCCTATTCACATTTCTCATAGTCAACCAAAGTTGACTTCCTTTCCATATTGCAATGTTGCTAAATTACTTTACTATATGCATGTGGAAGTTTGAAGTACATTAGATGCATAAACAGGAAATAGAGGAAAGCACTTATCAGCTATAAAACTTGGAGGGTTTTGGTATGTTCTTGGGTTGCAGTTTTGTATTCAAAAATTGTGGTATTTCAATTATTTTGTCAAAACTATATGTCTGGTTACATCCGGGCAATCCCTTTTTATAACATGTCTCGCCTAATGGATGTATACAGCTTATCGCCATATTCTATGGTAATTTAATTCTTCTTGAAATACTAAACCTATATTATCCATTAAATATTAGCCATTAAAGATAGGATAAACCTTTATCGCTCATCTCTATTTAAAAAAAGCCGAATCTTTTGTTTGGTTGGTCACAAAAGTTAGTGTAGGAGATTGAATGCGTGCATTATTTGGAAATTGTTTGATTAGAGCTAGGCCCATATCAAAGCCATAATTTTTAAGAAGGACTGTAATCTTGGAAAGAACTACTGTGATAAATTTATATTATCAAGATTGTCAATTTCAACTCACTCAAAATTAGCAGTACATCGATGCCCCCGAATTCAATGTTTGTTTTATAGCTCTATTATCTAAAAATCATGTTTGGCAAGGCACCATTCAATTTGAGGGGAGGACTTTAACGCTGTTTTTCGAATTTTGGAAGAGAATGGGTGCTGTATTGAAAAAACTTAAATGTATCTTTTCTGAAATTTAGCTTGACTATACTAAAAGAAATCTAGGTAAGGACTAAACTGTCCATAAAAACTCAAAAAACTTGACTTCTGCTCTATCTTAACTGAAGCAAAATTTTCTCACTGCAAAGTTTAGATTGCATTGGGAATGCCAGGGCGCTGTAGCCTGTGTGCCAGACGGATGCAGGAGCCGGGGTGGTTCCCACTTTTCTTCCAGCTTCGACGCATTGGTTAATGTATGTTGCTTAGATCCCCAACCGACCATCAAAGCCATAGTTGAGCCGCCATGAGGAGCATAATCTCGGGCTTCCCTTAGCGAGTGCACTTTCGATGCCCTCTTTTATGTCCCTGCCTCACAGTATCCCCCTTATTTTTCACTCCAGTTGTTTTTAGTCCCACAATTCACACTTAAAAAAATTTTAAAGGAGACATATTTAAAGTTGATAGATTACGGATGGATTAATAACAATGAGATTATTTTAAGATTAATCTGTTTTGCTAAAAGACAGGTGTTCTGTTATCCAGCCTGTTTAACCCGGTTTTGTAAATTCGAGACCAATCGAGATTCTTATTGACGTATGCCTTTTCTTCTGTTTCAACACACTGATGCTTAAACGGTAATACATGCCTGTTACAAACTTTTTTATAAGAACCAGTAAATTGAATTTCAGGCTTGTTGCTCTTGATTTTACGGAAATCTGCGGCTGGATTGTTCTTAATTTTTTCTGAAATTATTTAGGTTGAATTATGCTCCTCGTTTTTTGAGATGAAACATTGTTCAGGATTACACTTTACAGTAGCTTAGCCTCAGCTTGTTCTTAATTTGTTCTTAATCTTTTACCGATTTTGAGGCTTGTGTTCTTAAATATTTGTTTTTATAAAAAAGAGAGTTTGCAAAACAGCCAATATGTAAAGAAATTACCCCTCCCTTGAAAATCTACAATGCCTGCAAAAAGTCTTGGTACACTAACGTCAGTTTTCAAGGGCAAATTAAGACTCCGCCTCCCCCACTGAACAATGTTGGCTTACTACTTAATGACGCAGGAGACGCTTTTTCCTGTTATATAATTACTTGATTAAACTATATTTTATTTGTCTAAACAATCAACAATGTTTTGAGGGAAAATGGGTGCCAAAGTAGAAGTATTCGGGAAAAGAATATAAAAGTATGATAGCACAACCTAAGTTGTTGGGTGTTCCAAGTACATTGGACAGGCATTATACTTCCAAACTAAATCGTGATCACCTTTTATGTCATATAGGGGTTTCGGGCAGAACAAATGCCTAAGAAATGATTGAAAACAAAGGCAAAGGCAAAACACTGACTCAAAAAGTTCTTCTTCAAGCTCCCTGTTATCATTCCTATTGGTGGAACACTTCTCTTTTACATGTTTAGAAACTGACATGTTTAGGAAAATAGGGTCAGAAGATTTGTTTACTTTTCTTTGGACGTTCTAGTCAAGCAGCAGCAAATATTGCAGTTTTTTCTTGCTTTGTTTACAGCTACCATCTTGATGTATTTAAAACATTTTTCTCAACTAGTCCGCTAGCTATTTCAACTTCCAAATATTTCAATCATCCGTCTAATGCTTTGGTGAACACGTTTGTACAGCTCGAAGTGTGATACTCTATCCTTCTGTTGGAAAATACACACTTTTAAAATCGAAGTGGTCGTTTCTTCATATAAATTAATGGACCTTATCAAAGCACTGATACTGCTCTAGTAATGGAAGTATCATTGAGAAAGATATATGTGGCTGCAAAAAGGTACTCTTATGGTTGCAAAAACACAGACGTAGCGGATGCTAAACGTTTAAGGCTGGATTAGTTTGGATCTTGCATGAACATTATTGCTTTGTTAAAATGGAACTGCCCGAATTGAGCCTGAAATGCGATAAATTTTGTCTGATTAGGGGGGCTTTAGCCCTCTCCTCCTAAGGGCTCATCCGCCTGTATACAATCAGACTATGATATAATATGTCTGGGAATCGTGTAATCTCGAGAAATATTTCAAGGTAATTGACCTGTTATAGATAGACAATCCACAAAAATACCCAGTGAATACTGTGAAGAGATAGTCGATTCAACACTGCTGAATGACACTTGTAAACATTTTGGTAAAACCATTCTCAAGGCAAGTTTTAGAAGCTATTATCATGTAAGAATGAAAAATATTAAGTGCAAAATTGCTTCTTGCACGGTAGTTATATCTTCAAACTTGAGACCCAAAGGTTATTGGGAGTTTGAATTAACTACAGAGAACGCGCGAGTTTTCAGTGTAACAGTTCCAATTTTCAAAATCAGCTGTTCATTTTTGGTTAGATTTTGTTCATTTATCGAACAACCTGTTGTTTTCCGGTTGCCAACAAGAAAAGCCTCAAGAGAACGTCCTCGTGTTTATGACATCACAAATTCTATCCCATTGATTGGTTATCGATTGTTTCATATGACGTCACGGGCACGCCGTTGAGAATTTCATGGGACTGTTATAGGGTCGTCGAATATTTGGATAACTCGCATTTGGCTTGTGAAACTTAAGATTTCTCATTGCAATCAATGAATAGTTACCACTTGGTGAGTATCTTTGATGTATTTGTTCGAGAATTATCTTGGCATTCATCCGTTAACGATATAAGACTCCTTTACCATGCATCGAATATTTGGGCGAGCCAGCAAAGGCCCTTTATAGTCTCCATTGCAAGCCATCGTTGTTTAAATTTTTCTGAAACAAACTTCTCTGTGTCTCCGTTCTACATCAATGTTTTTAGGTTATAAGTTATTGTAAGGATTGTATCGAAACAGTCCACTGCCATCAAAAGTCGTTTGATGCCAGGAAAAAAACTAAAGAATGATTTTCCCTTATGGGAGATCCCGAATCCACCCGCGGCCTAGGCCGATCAAGATCCATTTTACTAAAGATCAAGGGTTAAAAGAAGCGAATCGCTCTAGTATTATTTAATATGCTGTAGATATTATGATGGGTAACAGTGTTTTTCATATTTCTACCTTTGACGACCAAGTAAACTACGAGCTCGCAAGAATGGAAACATGTTGATCAGTTCAGTGTAATGGTGCAAATTAGGCGTATGCACAAAATTTGCTTCCTTGAGGATTGAGTATAGCCATTTTAATTAAGGTTTCAAGAATTTGCTTGCTCTTTTAATGTAGAGGTTTAAACTGGCCGCAAATGCACTTCTATCCTGTCTGCGGGGAAAAGAGTTTGTTTTGCTAAAGTAGCCTGCCCTGTTTTACCTCGCTAGCCTAGTTTCATAAATTTCCCCCGTCTTCCGCAACCTTCCTTCGCCTTGTCTCAAAATGGCTTTGACTTTTTTTAAAGGAGACACGTCCAAAAAGATGTTTAAACAACCTCCGAGAAATGTCGCTCTAAATTTGGAAGACTTTGCCCTTAAATGTAAAAGGAGTTAGCATTTTTATTTAAAAGCTTTATGCACAGCAGATAACATTTTCAACTGGCCAAATTTTGAGCACAACAGATTGTTCCCCAAATCAAATTTGCCCAACCTTGCAGCAATCTCGAACCGATTTTGAAGTATATTTTCTTAAGTTCCAAGAACTCATCACTTTCAGTTTTACATCAAATGCCTTTTATATAAATGCTGCTTTAAATAAAAAGTTTCCTGCCATACATTTTTTGCACAAGAAAGATAGTTTCAGATCACTGATCACAACAAATTAATGTGTTCAATTTTCTCATTAGCTTTCAATAACTATAAGAAATGTTGGAAGCCATAGCCAGGTGGAGAATCTCCAACATTTGTGGGGAAATTAAGGGGCAGCTAGAGGAGGGAGGGACACTACTTTCTGAATCAGCCCTAGGAGCAGGGGCAGACACTTGATCAAATATTGGGGAGCAAGCCTATTGTTTTAATAAGATGATGTCACATTTCCCATTGTTTTAGAACAAAATACCATTGTCCTCTAAAGTATTGGGGGTAGTCGCCCCCTCGCCCCCCCCTCAAGTGTCCACCACTGCCTAGAAGGTGTATTTCTCTAGTCACTAAATTGAAGTGCCTCCCTGTGCATTAGAGGCAAAGGTCAAACTGTACACCTTGCAGTTTTTGTGATCAAATTAAATTATATATGGAAGAAAGGAAAGAGTTGCTTCTTTTATTTTAGTAAACATATATGCTTTTAGTAAACATATAAACTGTCATTCCCATGGCTACCGGTGCTATGTGGATTGGAAACAAATAGAATTTGGCAGGAAAGCTAGTATATATATATATATATATTTAAAAGAAGCCTAGCTTCTGAAGGGAGCAAGAGCACAATCTCCCCTCCTCACTCTCCAGGTCGTGTCTGTAAGTTCAGAATGAAAGAAAAATTGCCCCACTGGAATTCTTGTCAATTCATTTGAGATTGCTTTGTGTTACCATGCAAATTCAAGGCTATCGCTATGGTTGTTCTATAATCCTATAAGTTGATTTGCATGAAAATGGTTTATCTTGTTTTTATTTCAAGGTGCAATAATAGCAATGTTGTTTCTGGGATCAGGATTGCAGTGCCAGTATCTTTTCCAAATAAATATGATCCTAAATATTTCAAATATGGGTTTACACCACTCGTGGAAACATTATAGGGTTATAGTCACTTTTCCTTTTTGGTACAACAGTTAATGCCAAACTGCAAAAGAAAAAACATAAGGACTGCCCACACCACCTTAATAGACAAGATTTTAAAAATTCAGTTTTGGCCTTCTGGAGATGTAAAAGTGCTGTTTTGAGGAAGAGGAATTCATTTTTATGAATTTCTAAGAAGCAAATAATGTCTTGTTTTCCCTTGATGTTTGCCTTTGCTCTTCTGGCTTCAAGCTACCTCAATTTGTTACATGGTTCTTCCTCAGCAATTTAAACGCTTTAAAGCTTAAGTAAGAGGTGTAAGAAGTTGTTCTGACTATTCCCGTAAAAGTTTCCTTCTGGGAGCCTTTGCCAGATGAAACATGAAAGTTGGCTGGAGTTGGCTAAGGAGCTGTCGCTAGAAGCCATGCAAAATCATTACAGAAATGCAAAAGGCATGGCTAGTTTGCCTCCTTTAGGCCTGTTCCTGTCCATGATAATCTCGTTTTGGACTTTAGTGCTTGTTCCACCAAGAAACAGACTAAGCAAAGAGAAGGAATTAATGGGGATTTTATTTAAATGATTTTAAATTGACCCTTGGCCCAAAGCACTTTATATCTTTTGTGTGTTTTGAACTTAAAATAAGATTACCCCTTTTCCAAAGTAATGCCAAAATAATGTACCAATTCAATATAAAGAGCATAAAGCTCCCTCAGAAAAACTGCCATAGCCATCAGAAGGTCAGTCATGAGGCTACGTTCTCACATCATCCAGAGCAAGTTGGGCCGTTGGTGCATCGGTGCAAATTGCTCAACCTACCATAAAGGGGTTGCTAAGAGAAGTTACACAATAACCCCCAAATATGATTGATAATTGGGAGGGAATGAACAGTAACAGCCTCTTTTCCCCACTTATAGCTGATACCTAATAGCATCAGAAAATGCTAATGAGCATAAAAGATGCCTGAATGTATAAGAGACTTAATAACGATGCCATAAAATAAACTCAACACACAAAGCTATACTGAAAAGGCATTTTGCATATAGAAACAAAATGAGGGAGGGAGGGCTGGGAAAATACAATAAAACAGCCTAGTTGTATTGTGGCTTCACCAAGCAAGATGAGACCCACGCTATGCCAAAACCTTAAATACCCCTAGATTAACCAAGGGAATAAATAGGGCCATGAAACACACATCTAACCCTATTTTAACAAATCAACTTCTCAGGAGGCCAAAAAAACTCACTGCATTGCCCCTAAACTAGTAGAGCAGGTACAAGAAAAACGCGAGGAAGCGTGGCACAAGAAAACATAACAAATAAATAATAGCAATATTCTCAAGCAATTTAATTAACGCTCACAAACCCCTCATGAAATTAACTCTGATTAAATTTCATGTAATCATCATTTTACACTATTTAGCAGGCCTTGCTCTAAGTAAAATGAGGGTGCTCCATAAAAAGAGCCCCTTAGAAACTCTAGGCGCTCTATTTCGCACCTCTAAGTAAATATCCTTGAGAGCATCCTTCGAGAGCTTTAGGAGATCGAGAGCTTCAAATCGAAAGCTTCGGAAGAATGTTAAATATGAAATTATTGCACCATAATACGAAATACCACGTGATACCACAAAGCACCATAATACGAAATAACAAAATATGCAACAAACACTATGTTAATATAAATATAGAAATATAATAAAACAAAGTTGCAAAATTGTTCAGATTTTTCTAGATATGTAACTTGCCATCATTCGATGAGCTTTTATCAGTGTCAGTATCACTACTGTTATGTTCAGCTTCACATATTGCTTCATCAAAACGCATGGCTTTAAATCGAACATTTAACTTTGTTCCTTTTTTCATGTTATCCATTCTATAAGAAACGCTAGAACATCTACCACTTGCAAAAGCAAATGAAAAATGAAAAGCAATGCGATAATTTGGACGGAAACGTGATCGCTGATTTGCAGAGGCGATTTTAAGTTATTGAAAAAATAGAAAATAATATATACTTCAATAGAAGATAAACGCTTGCTCGTAAATCAAATAAATCTGCCGGAGAATACGCTTGCTTGATGGCCTGTATCCTTGATGGTTATTAGAGGGTTTTCAGATTAAAAATGATATCGAAAACCCAACGTTGAATTTGCTGAATTTTTTCTCAAGGGGTAATCTTACGCAAATCATAATATTGCGGTCTGTTGGGAAGATTGTTTATGCTTGATCAAGTTGATTTAATAAATTCCAAAAATTTATTTTGCTCCGCGTTAATATTGTTTTTACATTTTGAGGGGCTCTATAAATCGCTCTCCAAGGCTTTTTTTGGGTGCGCTCTAGGCGCGCGCGCTCGATCGAGCGCCTTTCCGGGCAAGGCCTGTATTTAGTTATCTTATTATCCTTGGAACATGTATATATGTTTCTTTTTGATTTTTTTCAAATTGTTAACTTTGAGAGGCTTTCAATTTATTTCAGCTTCTGTCAAAATACTTTGGTAAACCATTTATGGAGTTCTTGAAAGACAGTGCTGAATGGTGCAAGGCTCAACATGTAGAATAGCTTTCTGTTTTAATCACATCCAAAGAAGCATTTCAGTTCACGATTCCTTTCTCATGGGCTGATGTTTGGAGTATTAGGATCTCAAGAATCGTTTTGTACATTTTCATAACATAAGTAACCAAGGTGGCAATAAGAGGCCAGTCTTTCATTAAGCGTTGCTTCCAAATTTGGATTTGAGCATTTCAACATCCACTTATGGCCATAGTAGAGATGGCCTCTCCAGGATTTCAGAAGATTCCTGATTTTGGCCATGCATTGGTGGAATTCAAAAATATGAGATTTCTTATCATGGATCGACCTTCCAAGGCAAACATTGCACTTTTTGTTGATGTATGTTTTTTTATTTTCATCTTTACTTGCTTCCTTTCTTTAATCACGGTTTAAGATATGTTATATATATGCGTATTCGTAGTAAAAGGCAACTTCTTCATTGTTTCACATTAAAGCTGGCCTAGCCATTTGAGTAGAGACATAGCTCTTGTTCCTCTCCAAGCTCTCCTCATTTGTTCTATGTAAACTGTTCAAAAAAGCAAATTGCCCTCCTTGAAATTGATTTTCCACTTATTTGTATTATTTTATATCTTCTATTAATAGCTCCCCTGCTAAAACTCTTATGACCATGCCTGGTTTAAGGCCTGGTTCAAACGTTGCGCTTCTCATGTGCCGAACCTAATTCTGTTTGGAGCGACACTTGAGCATGTTTAGCGCGACTCCCGTTTCAAACGTCGAACTTAATCATGTCGCGCCAAATGGGTTTTAGGATTGCTACATGAAGTATCTTGGTTAAGGCGCGCAATCTCAAATATTTGTTTGAAACGCATGTGCCCTCCAAGAAAGAAATGAATTCTGGGAAGGAAAATAAATTGAATATAATTATGCATTGAGTTCGGTACATGATTAGTTCGACGCTTGAAACCGTGTCGTGCTGGAGCCGTGCAGCTCGGCAAGCTCTGCCGATCCAAACTAGTCTGACGCTCCTAACTAAATCTGCCGTACCAAATTGATTCAAACATCGCGCCCCTCGTGTACTTAATTCTCGAGTTAGGTTCGGCACATGAGAAGCGCGACGTTTGAACCAGGCCTAAGGGGCTGTTTCACACAGGACAGCTTGGAGGCAACAAACCAGTTTTGCAAAAGTTGTTTGGGTGAATCAACCAGATTTTAATAGGAAAACCAGTTTGAAATAGAACAGTTTTCTGTATCCAAGCTCACTGTGCACATTTTGCATTTTTGTATTTTTTTTTAAAAGAAGCAAATAATAAAGACTTCTTCTGAAGTCTGATCACCAGATTTATTTGGATAAAGAATGGTGATGCAAAAAACAGAGGCAACTTATACAGCTAGAATACAGCACCTGGCAGGGAGCAGTCAATAGAAATGGGCCATAATGGCACCAAAAAGTCTACCTCACCCATGTAAATTATAAGCAAAAAAAAATTTAAAGTTTGCAGGACAATTTTGGGGTGATCATTATGCTGTGAAGTGTCATCTGAATTCTCCAAAAGAAATTTACAATACCATGACAGCCCCTTTAAGGTTTTCTACAATCAACTTCTATTATAGACCCACAAAGCACCTTTTTCATTGTTATGTTCATCAGTTGTCTTCATATGTTGAATTAATGATTAATCTATTTTGCAAGAAATTTACAGAAATATTGCTAGAAAAGTATGCCAGCAAACAGCTGGTTATGTATAGGTATATACTTAAACTATTCTTTTTGCTAGTTATTTTTAATAGCCCTACTTTACTTCCAGGAATTGAAAAAATGTGGTGTGCATGAAGTTGTCAGAGTATGTGAACCAACATATGCTAGAGAAGTTTTGGACAAGGAAGGGATAACACTTCTAGTAAGGGCATGTTATTTCTAACTTTTATGTGTCTTTTTTCACAATGCCAGTTATTTGGTATACACCATTAATCTTAAAGATTTCTCTAGCAAGAATGCAGTTTCTTTTTGGCAAGATTTGTTAAAAGTATTGTGTCCAGCTAAAGCAAGTGACTTTCAGAAATGTGATTTTCCATGTCATTGCCCCAGCCATTACAGTCCCTCTGTTTATCTACCCTGCTGCGAGGTTACCTTTTCGTGTGAGCAGTTTTGCATCGCAAGAATACTAACCAATCACGAGCCGTTATTTTGATGTTGACAAGCTGGGTATATGCAGTCCTTTTATATGGACACATTACCTTTAAGATAATTTTGTTGATTAAGTTGACCTTATTGTTGATGCCTATTTCTTCAACCTTCATCACTACTCTGTAAGAAAACTGTTAACCAAATGTTTTAAATAAAGTTTGTTCTGAAAAATTTATACAACCATTTTACCCGGTGCTAAAATACAAGTTAGATTTTGCAGCATACAAACGTTACTGTTTCCTTGACAAAATTGGCTTACTGCTGAACCCTAACTTGAGAAAATGCTAATGAAACTTATTTGATATGGTGAAGTACAAAGTACTGTTTCATTATATACTGAAAACATGACATTAAGTTTGATATTCCTTTATTTTTGAAATACAGATAGTTTGATTAAATGTTTGCAAATTTTTACTAAAAAAACTGGCTGCTAAATTATAGATAGGAATCAGAAGCTAAACTCTTCCTAATTGATAAAAGTGCAATGTCAATGTCATCAATACTATTTGTTGCTATCAGATAAAAAAATTCATTATCTCTAAATAATGAAAATATCTAAGTGAAATTACTTGTTTTTTCTTCATGTCAACAAACATGACCTTCAGTTTTATCTTATTTTTATTCTTCACTCTTTTGTTGTTAACAGGTGACAACAAAAGAAAACATAAACTTTTCTTAGCAATGACTCTTGTTATCAATGAATGCACTAACTGACATTTTTTTTACTTAGTCTTATATTTATTATGCTATAATATCATTTAATAAAACCAACACAATCATATTTGTAACCAAATAGTGCCTGCAGATTCTACCTTTTTACAAGGTTTGCAAGCGAATTTCATTCTAAAATGCTTAGGCCTTTTTTGTTTTGTTGGCTGGACAATGCTTAGGCCTTTTTGTTGGCTAGACAATGTTTTGTTCTTGTATTGAAAAAAGGTTGTATCTTGATGAAAAACCCAAAGCTCGATAGCCAGGAAAGTTGTCTTAATGCAAAACATAATTTTTAAATGTGATTTCAAATTATACAAATTCAATTTAGGACTGGTTCTTTGATGATGGAGCTGCACCCCCTAGAGAAGTGGTTGAGAGCTGGCTGCATCTGTTGAAAGAAAGGTTTTCAAAAGACCCTGGAACAACAATTGCAATTCACTGTGTTGCTGGCCTTGGAAGGTAGCTTTGTTTATTCATATCTCTTCTCCTCTATTTTTAAGTTTTTATTCATTTCAAAATACTTTTATTGGGTTAGAACAGGAATATATTAAATTGCAGCTGCAGTTTTACCCTTGAAGTATCTTTTTAACAAGGGATTACTTTTTCATTAAATCACTAGTTTTTCTAAGATTGCTTAAACCTTCAGTTATTGATATTTTAGTACCTTCCTAGTTTGTAAGTTTAGTTTGTGTCTGTGTAATTCATTGATATTTTAGTATATACCTTCCAGTTTGTAGATTACTTTTGTTTCCCAACAGGGCTCCTGTGCTTGTCGCTTTGGCTCTTATTGAAAGTGGTATGAAGTATGAAGATGCTGTTGAATTTATTCGTAAGAAGAGAAGGGGTGCCATCAACAGCAAACAACTGGAGTATTTGGAAAAGTATAAACCATCAAAAGTCCTGAAAGGAAAGGATAGAAACCAAGCTTGCTGCATACAGTGACTTGTAGTAACTCTTATGAACTTTTTCATCTATCTTTTGAGATGCATATTTTTGTATAATGATTTCTGTAGTTTACCATATAAATTATTTATTTGGAAAAATCTCAAAAGTGGCAGCTATAGCTTCATTACATGAGTAGAATATCATTTGAATTAGCTTGTATCCATCCCTGTTGATTACTGCTTTCCACACAATTTGATCGTAGGCTTTCTCATATTCTGTGAATTATTACAGCTGTTTCAAAGTATTTTCTCTTTGGTCTTAATTGATGAATTTAGGTCTAATAATCAGAACTAACATCACAAAATTCCAGTGCAAAATCCATTAAATGTGTTGCAAATTAGGTGAGAAATGGTCACCACATAAGTACAGGTTCTTAACCCATAATATCCCAAGAATATGGTCTTACCAAGCTAAATATTTTAAACAGTAATCTGTTGTTACAGTTTTTGGCGATATCTCATCTGATGTTTGACTTATTTAACTGACTTTCGCTGTCAGAAGTTTTTCATGATGTTTGTCCTGGTTACGTGTTCAAAATTTGAAAGTCCTAAAGATAAAATTTTTGTGCCGCTGAAAAACTCTACTACCCCCGGACTAGCTTAAAAGCAAACTAGGAATGCTCCTTTGATGTTTGAAGTTTCCTATTTTCACTTTTAATTAATGTGTTATTTGCCAAAACATCTCAGTTTGCTCTGTCGGTTATGTCAGACTGTGTTAAGTAAGCGTGTCTGTCAGCTATATTTTGCTGTGTGACTGGCATTACAGTATTTGCCAAATAAATTATTTGGTGCACGTTGCTGCTTCATATCAATATAATCATCTAAAAGAGCGTTTTCCTTCAAGTGCAGGTAAAACGTTGTAAATTTCAACTGTATTATTTGATAGCCTCTTTCCTTAGGTATTCTAAGCTATGAAAGTAGCATTTATAAACGTTACTTAGTGTATTGTTGGCCAGTTGATGCTAAATACGAAGGATGGAAAATTTTTATCATCCTCTTTGTTCGGATGCATGCAGGGTTAGAGAGTTTTAATGTTTTAAAATTTGTATTGGGTAAATACATTTCATGTCAATATACTAATTTGCTTCTATATGCTGTGTATACAAAATGTTTGTATTTTTACAATCTTTCTGCTAAGAAGACTGATTATACCTAACTTTTCTCTGGCGCAGAACAGCCGTTTTTGAAATCATCTGCACCCCAACCAAAAACTCTAGATACAAGAGTACCAATCATGCTGGTCTTGACCAGTCATATATTATAGAATTTTCTATATTTCTAAATATATATTCGTATATTATGGTAAACTTTTTCAGTACAGATATTATTTCTAATTACCATGCTGAATACTAAAAGCCGTGTTTTAAATAACGGTTTTTTAATTACCAGTGGACCCCTCTTGGTTTACAGGCCCAAAGAAAATTGCCCCCTTCCCCTTACCCTCTTCTACATGGGCCTGCACAAAGACGACACTTCTTATTTCTCAACGCGCAATTGCTGCAGGGAGTTACGTGACACTATGATCTATGACATGCAGCTGTTCAAAGACTTCATTTTCCTCTTACCTGAATAATTGTCCATATTTCTAGCCTAATGAAGAAAATTTGAAAAAAGACTCAACTAATTTCATTAACATTGTTCAGCCCCTCATTGATTCATGTAGCTATTTAAGAATTTATTTATCAAGAATATACTTATTTTTACTTCTTTAACGATAAAAGTTCACTTTGCAGAATTTCGTAACTTCACTCGTCAAATTCTGCAACTTGTGATGCGGAGTAGGTAGGTATATTGATGTTCTTAGTTTTTTATAGTTCGAGGCTCAGATGATCTTAAAGTTGTCCTTATTTAAACATTGATATTAATACAGCTTCATGCTAGAAAACCTTATCGAAGACCAACAAATAACAATGAGTTCAAGTGACACGAGACATCATTTTCACGAGACAGCCAATTTTTTCAGCATGCTCTTACGGCCCATACGATGTTGTCATTTTTTGCAAGCCTGGTCTCGGTGTTCTTATAAAGCATGTTATTAGGCTAATTTTGGGGAATTTTTCATCAATAACTGAATATAACACTCAAAACAGCCTTTTTAAAGCAACAATACTTAGATAAATTTAATTCATTCTTTTTGACCTCTTGTACCTTCACGAAGTATACAAGTTTTCAGATGAACGATACTTAATATTTCTGTAATCTTTTGTCAAAGGAAAATTTAAGTTGGGCTTTAGCCAGATTTAATTATCGATTTGTATTTTTGTATTTGTTGACAACCCAAGTAGAATTCTACTCAAATACGTTTCAAGCCAAATGTAGATAAATTGACATGTAGATACCCGAATAACATGTAGATAAATTAAATTTACAAATATTGTAATTAACTTGATTCACATCTTTGAGAACCATAGAATTTCCCCTAAGATGCATGATTGTTAACAATTTTCTTGGATGAACAGCCCAGAGCTTCATGTTTTTGAACAAATATGGCAAAAAGCTGATTTGATAGGGTGTCTCTATAGGCACCTTGCTCTATAGGCACCTTGAACTACCGAGCTTTATAACTCAGCAGCCAATCAGAGGACACCACGGCAATTCTAGGATCCAGATTCCTAAGTCTAATCGATTCCCAGGAACCCACGTTTGCTTCGATTGTTTTCGCGGGTGATTGAAAGGCTGGTTATATCGGACAATTGCATCAGTTAACCTAGAATTTAGTAAAGTATAGAGCTTCTCGAGCGAATGGTGGTACAGTAAAGAATATGTTTACCCAATGTAAGTATGTGTTAAAAATTTGTACAGTAAAAGTGCACGTCCTGTTTAGGCCAATTAATAGGCCTTAACACAGGGACCGAAAGAACATACATTCAATTGAAAATCTTTATGAGTTAATTAAACATTCAGTTTTGATCTTTAATTAGCTTTCTGTCGTCAAGTCTTTTCCATTTTCAATCAAATCGATATCTTTTCGTGTAGAATGTTTATGAAATCATAGGCCAATCAAGTTTTTGTTTATTTTGGTTAAAATAAAAAGATCATTAAAAATTTGAGTTACAAAGTGTCACCGAAATATAGATTGGACTTGGTAACTTCAGTATACGAAACATGTTATTACGCTTCTTGAAAACTGCTGCTTTTTACTACGAAAGTTTCAGTTGCTTGGTTGCTCTCGTGCAATGCAAAACCACCCCTCTTGTTGAGACAATTATAATCCCTGGTAAACATTGTATGTTATAATCTATAGGGAAGTTAGCTGTACAGTGAGTACTACTGCATTTCAAATTTACAATAAGTACTTTTAATCCTCTAAAGAGTGTCACAACATTCGTGAATTTTTTACTGATCTAAATGGATTCCACCCTGGTATTCGAGAGAGCTCTCATTTGAAGGGAAGACACATTCAAAACGATTTGCAGAGTATGTAAAAGTTTCAAATGAAGTAGCATCAGAAACGAAGCCTTTTAAGTAATATCATTTGATGTATATTTCCTTTTGTTTGGAAGCAGTTTGATTGTTTTTTTTTCTCTTCTAGATTTAGTAACAGTTTTGGCTTCAGCCACAATTTTTTGTAAAGCAGACTACTTTCCAAGTGATGATGTCGTTGAGCTGACTGCAAGCAATTTCAATAGTAAAGTTATTCAAAGTGATGATGTTTGGCTTATAGAGTTTTATGCACCATGGTATGTTGTTTGAAATTAGAAGTGGCGATAAAGATGTCATGACAACAAAATATGCCTTTCTTTTGCTTCATAAATACCTTATCAGTATCACATGGAATGTTGATTTACACAGTCCTCTGTGTTTCCCACCCGGAAATCAGAAGCTAACTTATTGTTGCAAAATTGTTTCATATGAATCATGTGTCATTTACTATTTCATGTTACACTTTTCTGACATTAGGTGTGGGCATTGTCAGAGGCTAGAACCAGAATGGAAAAAGGCAGCAACTGCTTTGAAGGTAATCACTTGATTAGTGCATGGAATCAGTTTGAATTATCCCTCAGTTGTGAAGCTCACTTTTTTCAATGACATTGCAATAAAGCCACAAAAATGCAAGTGTGTAAAAGGCAAAAAAGATGTAGACATTGTGTTCAGTTATTCACCAAAAAATTCCTATTTTTAACTATTTTTTATGTCTTTTGTAAACATTATTGATAAACTAAGCAAACAGTGGCAACTGGGCTTGTCCTCTTTGAATGTCCTTAAAGCCAGGCAACATTGTTCTTGGTTTTTTGCCCGCAAACCCCTTTGCCCTGCAATCCATACAACACTTTGCAGTCCTTTGTGATAGGTCTGCCATCTCATGCAAAGAACCCTTTGCTACATTATTTCTTTGTTCATATAAGAAAAGAGTGATTTTCCTTTCATTAAGAAAACAAATTGTTTCACATAGTGAAAGGGATATCTAAAGAGGAATCTTCACCAGAGAACTACAGTGTCATTTAAAATAGAAAAGAAGAGACCAAAAGTTATCAGACATTGATTCTATGTCTTTTTATTCTGTTCATTTACAGTTTACATATTTATACTGATTATTTAAAACATGCTACTTTTTGTTTCACTAAATATTATTGTATTTTTTCATTTTTGTCATGTCTTCTTGTCTTGTTTGTAAACAGGGCATTGTAAAAGTTGGTGCTGTAAACATGGATGTCCATGCTTCTGTTGGTGGGCCTTACAATGTCAGGGGGTTTCCTACTATCAAAATGTTTGGAGCAAATAAAAATTCACCTCAAGACTACAATGGTAACTGAGATTTAGTATTACTGTGGCTTTTCAGATTCTTGATTTTGTTGATGCCTTTATGTATTTATTTTGTTGATGTTAAGAGGACTGCATTTTCAGGAAAAACATTAAAACACATTCGCAAAATAGTTTGCAGTTGGATTTACAAATTGCAATGTCAGCTGTTGCCCTAAGTTTGAAGTGCTTTCATACAAACAATAAGGACAGCTTTTTTGAAGGCCTGTTTTCAATTTTTCTGTATCATCATCATTGCCCCAATAATGCTTTTTGTTTAACAGGAGATGTAGCTCTGAAAAGAGGAATCCCTAGGAGAGCGACTACATTGTTTCAGCAGTAATTCAAAAACACCATCCCATTGGCTTCTTGTCATAACTGCTGCCCTAAACTGTTTTAGAGACAGCAATGGGCATCAGCTGCTTGTCTGCAAATTGCAAATCCCAACTGCCTATTATTTTGCCTAACAAAACATGCCTTCCTTATTCAAATGACAGATTATATAATATCATAAAAGTCCCACCTTTGCACTCAATTATTTTACTTGTTCCTGTAATTTAATTGCACCTAAGAACATTGTGCTTGTGAGCTAAGGTTGGTTAGGCCTGGCTGTTAATCTTAAGATCATTTTGGAATTTCCTAGGTGCTAGATCTGCATCTAACATTGCTAATGAAGCTATCAACCTTCTTCGACAAACTGTTGAAGCCCGTCTTTCTGGAAAAGGAGGAAGTAGACAACAGGTAATAGAAACATGCCATTGTATCTTAAAGCATTTTGCATGAATTATATACAAAACAAAGTAGTTCAGCTTCTTTTGAATTGGTAGATATTACTATGGTATAATTATCTTTTTCATGGTATAATTTGCATATGAAAACAATCTTTGGCAAGAGGAGGCCTAGTCTTATTATATTCTGTTTGTAAAGCTTGTGTTGTTTATAATTTTTATCATTCTTCTTTGTTTTATAGAAGTCATATTCTTAGACAAAATTAATTAGTTGTAAATTTTTTCATTGAATACTAGCTAATCTTCTTTCATCCTTAATACTATCTATTTTATTTTGCTTGACTAGCAATACTGGCATGGTTATTATACCTCATTACAATGGCAATTAAAATACCTCAAAAACTGCTAGTGATGATTTTCTTGTATATTGTAAATCTATATGTGTATCAGTTGTGCATTTTGTACCTTGTAGGCTTGCAGGTCTTTTTGCCTCCTATTTGTTGATCTTTTTATTTACTCTTTTGTTGTAAAGAGCGGAACAGATCTTTTTACTTATTTGACATTGTGCTTCTTTGCAGTCACACAGTGGTGGAAGTGGATCAGGTGATCCTAAGGATGTTATTGAATTGAATGATAATAACTTTGAAAAGGAAGTTTTCTCAAGCAAAGATTTGTGGCTTGTTGAATTCTTTGCTCCATGGTAAGAATAATGTTGGTTTCTGTCAAATTTACATGCAATTTTTTATGTTTGAAAAATATTTTGAAGCTTGGCTTATCCTACTTCTTGTTTGTTGGGAAAAGTCTGTAACAACCCCCCCCCCCCTCTATGCAGAAAAATATATAAAGTTTCTAATATCTAATGAGGGGAATTGAATACGCTAGAGGGTCAACTCGAGGCATCTTTGATCACAGGAAGTGAAACCGGGAGAAATCTCATTGAGAAGTGATGTATAAAGTCCTTGTATGGAACGTGCGATATTGAGCAAAAAATTCAGGCGAAAATTCAGTTTCGAATGGTTGAACTAGAAAGTCTGATACATCTACGAACGAAAATAATTGGATTTTAAAAGAAAATGGGAATCTAATGCATAATAATGGACAATAAACAGTGATGGTAGCCTTGTCCCAGAGGATCTAGCGTTTTTCTCGCTGTCTCTAAACATTTTTGAACAAAACGAGTTTATTGATATCTAATGGCATAAGCTTGATTTGTTCTTATGTATGACCTGTCTTTTTAATTTTTTTGGCGTACCTTCGCATGCAAACATTCAAATATTTGAAACAGATGTTTTGACGAGTTATGTCAAGTGACCACCTTGCAAGGCAACGGTCATAAAACTAGAAGGAATCTAGCAAGTACCAAAGAAATAAATTTTAAGGATAAATCCATAAATTTTACAAAAAGCGACAATATCGAAAAAACTTATGTTAGGGATAGGCCTGATTCTTAACAAACCGGTGAAATAAAATCGATCCATTTCCAACCCTGTCAGAAGACTGCCTTTTCTTTATCCGTCTGTCAATTCTTAAACCCAAAAACAAGGCACGAAGTAAGCATCCTAATAGCGAGATCAGTGGCGTCACAGCACTATCGTACGCCTGCCTGCAATAATCCTGTGCAGGCAGGAAAAATCTATAAAAAAAATTTATGTACAGCGCCCCTGCGCCCCCTAGTGTTTTGCGCCCCCTATGCGTCTGCGCCCCCTATGCGTCTGCGCCCCCTGGAGCGAGATGCAACAGAACGCCATATCGTGAGAGTCACTTCAATGCGGACATCGGTATGCCTCACTACCTCCCTACAGAGCTATCCCTCTAGCGTGTTCTATACACCTCATTGGTAATATCAAACTAATGCTTGCCTTATATTGGCACAATTCTGTGTGGACAAGAAAAAGTTCATTTATCCAAAAGTTAGACATATGCTTGAGAAAAATTGTGACCTAATTTTATTCTGTTAGCAATTCTTGACAGAAGCAATTTTCGATATTAAGGGATTTTAATCTTATGTAACCATATTTACAAGGGACTAAATATTCCTTACAGTTCAGTAGAATGAAAAAAGGTAATCATAAACAAAGACTTGTTTTGTTTATTGATGAAATATCAAACCACTTATGTCTCAAGATTTAAAGAAATTAAATTAATTTTTCCAAAAGGTGTGGACATTGTAAAGCTCTCGCACCAGAATGGGCAAAGGCAGCTACGGAACTGAAAGGGAAAGTAAAACTTGCAGCTGTTGATGCCACTGTTAGTACAATAATTGCAAATAAATATGGCATCCGTGGGTACCCAACAATAAAGGTTTTCCCAGCTGGTGCAAAGGATCATAATTCAGCTGAAGATTACGATGGTGGAAGAACAGCCAGCGACATCATTGCCTGGGCAACAGAAAAAGCAGCCGCATCTGTGCCTCCACCTGATGTGTTGGAGTTGACAAGCAACGATGTTTTGAAAGCAGAATGTCAAGATAAGCAGCTTTGTGTCTTGTCTTTCCTTCCACACATTCTTGACTCCATGGCTGAAGGGCGTAACAAATATATTAAGTTGTTGAAGGATATTGGAGAGAAGTACCGGAAGAAAATGTGGGGTTGGGGATGGGCTGAGGCTGGAGCCCACCCTAAACTTGAGACGGCTCTAGGAATTGGCGGATTTGGCTACCCAGCCATGGCTGTTGTGAACAGTCGCAAGAAGATGTTTGTCCTTTTGACTGGACCATTTGAGGAAGGTGGTATCAATGAACTTTTGAGAGCAGTCGCTGTTGGGCGTGGCAGAACCGAACCAATCAAAGGAGACACATTACCGACTATTGAAAGCCGAGAACCTTGGGATGGAAAAGATGGGGAGATACCGCAAGAGGAGGACTATGGAGATCTTGATGACTTAGATATGGACAGCAACGAAAAGAGCAAAGATGAACTTTAGGCTTTCTGATAACTAGCAAAGACTCAATACACAGTATTTTATAAAATTGTGAATAGACGTTATATGAAGAAATGATGGTGTTAGGATGTTAATGTGAAGTAAGTTTTCAATTGAAGGAACACTATCACTGAACAGTATTGGTTCTATAAATTTTAAAATAGTATTGTCTTTGTTGTTGTTTCCACTTCAGTTGTGAATGAAAGCTATCAGAGACCTCTATCGATTAGAATATGAAAGCTTTTGAGACTGTATTTTTCAGAAATTCAAAACTGATAAATCTTTTAATTTGGACTGAAGTTTAATTTCCTACTATAGTTGAGATTTGTTGTGGGATGAATAATTTTCAAGGCAGGTAAACAGAACATATAATTAATCGCATGAGATTGGCAGCTCTGCAATAAGCCAGTAATTAAAGATAACCCTGCTAGGCATATAGATCCTACTGGTACATAAAGTATCGCAGTGATTGTTAGATGCATGTATGCGATGCAGGGCTGTCCCTTTATTAGTCTAAAAACTGTTTCAAGAGATGTACAAGCGATTAGCATTGGGAGAACTGGTCTCAGATAAACTCCTTGTAAAAACTCAGCTTCACAGCAACCTTTGATTCAGAATCACTTTTTTTGAGGGAAAGAAGATTTTCTTTGGAAGTTTTCTTACCGTGCTCGTTTCTTTTTCTGCAGAAATTAGTTTTATCGCGTAGACGAAAGAGAGTATTTTCTGCTCAACATTTTTCAATCGAAATACATCAGAAATACGAGGCACAAAAAACCGACTGAGGTTGAGGAAAATTAGTCTACTGGTCAGCCAGTCCCCACATGATGCACATGAGGGAAACTAAGCTAATTTATTTGCATTTTCAGTTTATGATTCTTTTGGTTAGTTTACTTTGCATTCGAGAGTAAATTCAGGCGACTCAATCCTACGCTCTAATTTCCCTGCAAGAGTGAATTTCAGTAATTATTACTTTAACTTGTTGGTCAGATCTGTTATATCATTAATGATGTTTGAATTGTTATGATTTGTATTGCTTCAACCTAGAGATCAAGGAAATGAATTTGCCGATAATGTAGAAGGTAAAACTTTTTCTCCTATAGGATCTTACTAAGGCTGCATCTCACAAAGGTATGTATGAAATCATTCAAGTTTTCGTTAAAGCTTCTTTCGTTGTTCTCTAGTAAAAATGTGTCATTGTTCTATTCAAATGCCGTGAATCCTTGGAAGAGCTACCTGGGGTGCATTTGTAACAAATTTCTTGATGGAGGCTTTTCCGATGGAGCATATGTCGATGAGGGGTCTTATACCTTAACTTTTTCTCAACTATTGGGGCAGTATTTTGGTATATAATGTCACCAGTCCAAACAGTAGGTGTAGCACAAGTTTGTAAAATTGATATAGCCTTCATGATAGCAAGAACCGGGACTGGAAGGTAGTGTAGAATGTCACCACAAGATGCTTGTTTTCATAGTTTATCTCCACAGCTTTGGATGCTAATTCATGTGATCTAGCTGAGTCTCTTAGCAAAGAAACAACTCCTACAGTTTTTTCCATATCAAATAAACTCTTTTCTTTATATAAGTACAATTTTATGAGAATACGTGCCTCAAAATTGGTGAGCTTCTGCAAAATGCAATTTCAAACAATTTTTAGCCATGTGTAGGTGCTTTTTCGGTGAATATTCAAACCTGTCGTCAAATGAAGGTTGTTTTGCTCACTTTGTTGGCAAATAAGGCCTGAATCCTAGAGCGAGAAAGCTAGTATTCGCACTACTTACATCCTATTAAATTATGAACAAATTAAGAACAATCCAGCCTCAAATTTTCGGCAAAATTAAGAACAGTCAGCCTGAACTTAAATTTACTGGTTCTTTTGAAAGAAGAGTGTAGTATTTTTAATTGTCAAAGTCACTATCTTTTTCCATTTCCATATTACTCTCATTAGAAGACTTAATTTTCTACCATAAGGGCAGGATAACTGATTTATCACATTACTTAATCATACAAATGGAGTTATTTTCGCATCTAAAGGCCTTTTTTGTTGTCTTTAGTCTTATAAAGCCCTTAAACCTTATGACTCCCAACAGACAATGGTGGGGCCAGTTATTACAGAGTGAGAGTGTAATGGGCGTTGCCAGTGGGACCACATTTTGCTAGAAACTTGATGACATGATGCTTTCTGTTTCCGTTCTAGAACCGTCATTAATTATATAACCACACGCCATCCCTGCCTTTGTCTGCTTTTATTTATCACGAATAACCCATTTTTCATAAGAATAAAATTTCTAAGGCTTTGCTTTAATACAAAAGTCTGTAAAAGAAGAATAAAATCAGGTAACTTTTAGCATCTACAATTGGAATTCTGTGACTTGGACCAGACAGAGAGATTCCAGGCCAGGCTTTGCTAAAAGATTCTCCTTGACTCTTGCTTGCGTCTTAAAAATTTCACGCATTATGTCATTCTTCCAGTTCTCTAGCATTTTCCCTAGATTTACTTTAGTTAGGGAATATCTGCAGCTTTCTGTCGGATGTTTGTAGTCTTTATGGCTGCGGAGAGGTTTTCGTAGGCCCTGGGTCAAATCGGAAAGACGATAACCCCTGCGAGCAAACTGTTTTTGCGACCACGCCCTTTAGATTAGCTAAAAACACATTTCAAAATCATTTTCTATCAATCGTTTCACTATTTTTTAGACATTATTTTGTTCCAGAATTCAATACTTTAAGAGGCCCCCTAGATATTGAGGCCATGGGGCAATCTATCTAACATACCTCCCCTCTCAGAGGCCTTGCATGTATGCGAGAAAGAATAAGAAACAAATGATACTGCTACTGCGGCAAATCACAGCTTTTCCCGTTCATTACAACTCGCTGTTCATGATCATGGATGATGATATGCATAAGTGCGTTAATTCTTTTTGCAAATGGTTCCTTCAAATGCTGTTGTTTCTACATTCAATAATGGCCTCCTTTTTGCATCGCACCAACGAATGCTTAGCCTGAATGCTATGAAAATATGCATAAAACGTCGTAAGTTCACTTTAAGTTCGATTCGATATAAAGAAAGCTCCGGTACAAGACTCAAGTTGTCAAAGCTACTGACTGAAAAATATTTGTTAGTTTTGTTTGTATTTAAAATATCTTAGACATTCTGCTGAAATCTCCTCGATTTATCATACAGTTAATCACAATTTTTTTAAAGTTATTCCCCATCATGATGAATTAATTCTCTGCTATAATGGTCTACTTGGCTAGGTAATGTTTTGCACTACTTGGTTATTAGGTAACAATTGGTGACATTTAGTGGAATAAAAATATGAAAACAGAAGTTGTGAAAAAGTTTATAGGGCAATGGGCTTGATAACTCTTGCAGTATTATCTCGTTATCCTTGAGAACATGTATATGCAAAATTCTTATGGTATGTCCAGTCACCGTTAATTTTAGAATATTAATTCTCCTTTGTAAAGCTCTTCTTACAGCCTCTGTATCAAATTTCGTGCCGCCAAAGTTGTTAGCCTCTTTTGCAAGTAAAATCGCGTTTCCTAGAAGCAGCTTATAAAGTCCGTTGGGAAATACAGGTATATATTTCGAAATATTTGCTTCATATTTCTTTGAACTGTCGGAAAGTACTCACAGAAGTTTGCGATAAATGTGAGGAAAATTTTCTTTACGGAAATTGTCACTGATAATACATACAGCGTTTGGTATTGTAAGTACAATCAGGTATTGTAATTCTTAGGCCGAATGCAAGAAAAAAGATTGTAATTTGTTTCACTCCCAGCAATAACCACAGAATTAATGCTCTAACCCCAAAAACCGAATAGAAGAAAAGTGAACTGTCTGTTATGTTGAATTTCAAGTTTCATGAGATCTTTGGTTCGTAAAAAGTAAAAGATGCCGGGCTAGTTGAGTTGAATGCGTCATTTCTTTATCATCCATATGCTTTTTAATAAGTCAAAATTTATTCAAAATTGTAGCTTTAGTAAAAATTTATTCCCATAGCTGTCGGAATCTGAACAAGATGTTTGGATTTTGCAAATCCAATTCTACCATTCCAATTGCGCATCTGGATTATAAATATATCAGCGAATGCAATAATGCAAAGGAATTGGAAAAACTGTTGAAGATACTCAGGTAATGGACATAATTTTTACATTATTTTAGCTCAATCTCGAAAAAAATTTGAAAGTATTTCAGGGTTTTTGTGTTTTTGTCAAACCAGGGTGGAAGCCATGTAAGACTCAGGCCAGAGAAATGCCAGCAATTAACAATAGAACAATAGAGTCAGGGTGCATTTCTTGTCAAGTGTATGCCAAGGTCCACTGGGGCATTTGTTTAGGTATGCCAAAAATATGAGCAGCTGGTAAAACTGTAGAGTAAACTGTGGTGTATGAGTCTTTGTTTCATTCTTTTTCATGTCAACTATATATGTGGCTAAGGGAAATTTTATGTACACCAGAAAAATTTAATTGGTTTGCATGCCAAATGCCAAAAAACCTGGGTGTATGCCAAAGATCTTTGGGCCTAAGTACCTGGAATGCAACCTGGCAAAGAGGAGACATCGGAAATTTGTTAGTCCACACCATAAAATCATTATCACTGTAAGAGCTTACAAGTTGACTAAAATTCATAATAATCATGATTCTTCATCAATAAAAAATCGACAAAGTTTTAAGTGTTTTACAAGATGAGGTACAAAAATTGAATGGTTTATTGCTTTATTTTATTAGCTTTGCTTACAGAAGTTATTTTATTTTGAATACCAGGTCTGGCGAAGAGGGCCATTATCCTGATCTTGTGAAATATACAGAAAAAAAATTGGATTCTTTAAGCCCTCAGAGGTTTGTGCTTTTTAACAGTCTGTTCTTGTTGCGAATTCTCTGAATAGTAAATAAACCTATTTATTTGGGGAAATTATGCCAAAAACAAAAAAAGGTTTGTTATAATAAAAACATACATGTTGAGTAGAAATCCAGAGCTTTTTAGTATTGTTTTGATGTTAGATATTCTTGCATGTAGATTGGTTGATCCAAAAAAGGGAGGTTTGCGTCTGTGAACCATCTTTCAATTTGAGCAGTTAATAATCTACTGAAGGGTGTGATTAATCAATTGTGCCACAGTTGGCCTTTCTGTGATCAAGGGAAATATCTTAATTCATGCCCACAAGACTTTTCTGACCCCAAATTTCAAACAACAACAATTTAAACCCCTACCCAAATAAAAGGACACTTAGTTGATAATTTCTCTTTATGCAGTTTTAACGGATACAATGAAATATGAAGTTCATTGTCAGTTGTTAATTTCGATATTTTGTGCTAAGGTAACATTACTTTTCTTTACACTGCTCCTTATAGTCTTTTTTGTTTTCATTTCAGCAAATTATTACAGAAAGAAACAAAAGTAAAATCTTTCAAGGAACTGGACAAGAATGAAAGTTCAGTGCTAATGGATGATTTGCTGGTAACATCAAATCTTCTGTCATACAAAAGATCAGATATTTGATAAATTAGCCTGTCATCTACTTTAATTTTTCTACTTGTTAAAATATCCACCTTACCAAATGATAAATATTTGATCAACTTGGGAACATAAAAACCAACACAAAATATTTGCTGAATTTTCAAGGCTAGTGTATTAAAATGATTTACTTTATGATTTATCAAGCATTTACAGTGTTAGTTTTTCAAAGTCTATTTAATTTGCCCTTTTGTTTTTACTGTTTATTGTAATCTAAGTGTATAGCCGTATCTTACAGGAATGGTCTAGTCAAATGTCACATGTTGATAAAGAAATTCTAGAAGGACCAGCTAAGCCAGATTCTGTACCTGAATACCCTCCAATCAGAGTGTCATCATCTACAAAAGAAACTAAGAACAATCTACAGGTGACATGTATTTTAATTGTCTAGCTTTTTCATCTTCATGTTCCTTACCAATGAACAAAGTTTTTAGCATATCAATATTGAATATAAGTTGATTTATTCTCTAAATGAATCAATTTCTAATTAACTTTCAAAAATCTGGCACTCAATCAATTACATTTTGGGATTCTACTGAAAACCTGTAGAGATCTAGCCAACTCTTCTATAGTATCCTATTCATCATTTTCCAAGATTTGTTCCAGAAACTGAAGCTAACTTTGTGTTTTTTCTCATCACTTAGAACTATTGTTTTACCTTTTTTGGCAGGATAAATCTTCAGATATCGACTCAAGAAGACAAGCTGCTCCAAGATCTTACACTGAGTGGGACAAGTATGAAGTTATCTTCGGATAAATTTATATGCCAAAGTTTTATGTATTGCTTTCTATACTTGGAGGACCCATGTCATTGGCAGACTACAGTTTGCATTACATTTGAATGCTTGGATTACAATTTCTTGATTAATGATTTCATATCTCCTTTTGATTTATCTTTGATTTTTCATTTTAGGCTGAATGTTGAAAAAGAACTTAAGGATGTTGACAAAGTTATTAATAAAAGTCCTTCAAATGAAACAAGGATAAATGATACAGCAAAGTCTGTTCCAGCAAAAGTTGAAATACCTGCAGGTGAAGTATGGTTGAAATGTTTTTCATCTTCGCTGTCCAAAGTGAAGATATTTTATGTTTTTGCTCATTTAATGTTTCATATATTTTCATTAAACTTTGTCAAAACTCACAGAGAGAAAATTTGATATTTCTTTATTTGTGTTGTCTGAGCTGTTCCTGATGATTAAGAAATCTATTTTTGGCAGCATAATTGTGTTGTTTTCAGTAGCTTGGAAACATTTTAAAATTGGAAGGGCACAGGTAGGATAAGGGCACTGTGTCTCAGAAGATGGGATACTATCCCAAAATCCCTGAATAGGCTACTTCTAAGAAAAGGCCTTTTACCAAAAGTTTGGGACAGATATATGTTCCTGTGGATCTCTGGTTCAAGCATCGCTACTTTCCTCACGTCTGCACATTTGAACTTGTATTTTGGCCAGTTGTTTGATGACTGAAACAAATCTAATTACATGGAGTTACAAGGTGAACCCAACAGCTTGTGATCCAGTTATCACCATTTTGGTTTCTTTTTATGGAAGATTTGAAAATAGTAGTAAACAATGTATATATATATATTTAAAAAGATATTTATTTGATAGGTTGGTATATATAGTTATCAAGTACTGGTTAATTTGTTGAGATTATCTTCAGATATGCCCATTTGTTAATAATGTCTTGTGGCCAATCTGAAAATGTCATATTGACAAAAGCTCTATAAATTCTTGCCTTTTATTAAACACGCCATTCTTTCAACATTATCTGCAATAATAATTGACATAATAAGCATGTTGCAAGAATTTATCCCTAAATTAGTGCGTTTAATGTGTTTTTTACTAACCTTACTGAATTTTTTTCCTGACTTGGAGTGGTGTTTCATTTCAGGATTTTCCAAGATTCTATGCAGTTTTCTAAGAAGTGTTTTTGATAAAAAAATTTGAGAATTTGTACTCTGTACCCTTCAAAATGAATAAAAGTTTTACTAATCTGACCAATGGGAATTCAATTTCAAAGTTTTCTCAGAATTTTAACACTTTCTCGTGTTTACTTGGTGATTCACTTTTAAATCAGTCGTAATTTTCTGTTTCATTGTTTTCATGTGTGTTGAACAAAAAAGTCGCTTTGTATGTTCAGGAAATATCTCTTCCTTATCTTCCGTAGGCTTTTTTTCAACATATACTCTTCTTATGAACATTTTTCTACAATCCAGTGAATGCGGAAATACAAAAAAATAGAACCCGCTGCTACAAATTAGTTTTTGATGTTTCAGTATGTAAATGCAAAGCGGAAATGTTTTGTACTCGCACTATGTACCCGAAATGTAAATATACAGACATTTTTATCCGCAGATCTGTGTCTTCCTGATATTTGATAGCCAGAAGTTGACTTATTTACCGATCTTTGATTATATTGCAAGCATAACGCCAATACAGAGGTGCTCTGTTTTAGATTCAACAGAGAGCGACAAAGCTGCTAAAGCGAATCAAGAGAAAAACAAAGGGAACGAGGCTTTTAAGGCAGGAGATTTCAATGAGGCGTTGGTGTATTACAACCGAAGTATATTCTTGCAACAGTCACCAGTATTGTTCAATAACAGAGCAATAACATACATAAAATTGGAAAGATTTGAAGATGCCATAAAAGACTGCAATAAAGTTTTGGCAGAGGAGCCTGATAATTTTAAAGGTATTTTATTAATTTCTATTTGAATTTTAAAGGTATTTTATTAATTTCTATTTGAATTTTAAAGGTATTTTATTAATTTCTTTTGATAGCTACCATTGGCTATTAATCATGATTGGTGCTTTGGGCTTTTTTATTTTGAATCTTGTTACTGTCTAAGATTATGCAGTGAGTTTTGTTACTGTCTAAGATCGGGCAGGGGTGTAGCTAGCGGGGGTATAGGGGGTGTGACTCCCCCTAATTCTTCATGAGTTTTTCGGTGAATTTTTAGTTGATGCAAAAATTCCCTGGTTTGTCGGTGAAATTGTCGATCGGTATGTGAATTAACACCTAAATTTCTCTTCATCTATGTCTTCGTCGGTAAATTCTGCTACCCATGACCCTCAACCCCCTAGTCTGGAAGGTCAAGCTATGCCACTGGGGGAGGGGGCATTGCATGTCGGTGCAGACATATGAGCATGGCCATTAACTTTAGGCATGTAATCCATATTCTATCATACCAAAATTTTGAGGAGCCCGAATAAGTGCTGGACTAGATTACATTATCGCAATATGTCTTGTGTTTGCTTATTTGCTCATCTCTTCAAGCCAACTTTTTGATAGATTAGGTATTTTGTTCTTATGTTAATTATTTATATTATAAATAGGATTTGTAGTGCTTTTATGGTAAGATCAGAGCTCGGGATGTATATTCGCAGTTAATTTAAGAGAATAATGGGTGAATTTAAATCATTGAATGGCAAATTACTACCTAAGAAATGTTTTATGTAACCTTCTTTTAATGTTTTTGAATGTGTCCATTTACTGCCCTCTGCAGCCATAAACTATTCTTAGTAAACGCATAATTATTGGAAACCAAGGATTTCCAATATCGTCATATATTTAAAGCAGAATGTGCCAATCGTAAAGTATACTTTTCATAATAGACATAATTATATTCGTTAGCTGTCGCTTTTGTAGAAATTGTTGACTTACTTTCCAGCATTTCTGCGTCGAGGAATTGCCTTAAAATCGTTAAAGCGATTTAAGCAGGCCTTGCATGATTTCAAAACGGTATTAGAGTTGGCACCAACAAACAAGCGAGCACAAAGTTTGGCTGACGAGGTGAGAAAGTCTTTGAAAGAAACTGGAAATTTGGATTATGATGCAAGTGGTGAACCGACTGTCAACGGCAAAGATAATGGAGAAACGGCCAAAGGAAAACGATTGATTATCGAAGAAATTGAAAGTATCAATCAAAGAGAGAATGAAAAATTCGAAGCAAAAGAGGAGCAGCCTGTCAGAAAAGGAAAGCGATTGAAAATTGTTGAAGTTGAAAATGCCGAAGACATTAGTTCAGATCATAAAAAAGAGAACCCCAAAAATGGCGATTTCAGTCCGAACTCGCAATCAGTGAATGTTGATGCGATGGAAACTGCAAAGTCGAACGAATCTCAAGGAAAGGATAATTTGTCAACAGGAGAAACTGCAGTTTCGGAGAAGGCGAATTCTGGAAGTGTAGCGATGATGGCTAATGAGGAACAAGATTTGAAAGGAAAAGATGTTACTTCCAATGCAACACAAGCTGAAAATCCAAGTAACGTAAATAAAGAATCTGGCACAGTTCACAAAGAATTGGTACCAGTGGCAGTTCTGCCAGTTCCAGAGGATGTACTGTCTTTAAAAAATGATGGAAATTCATTATACAAGGACGGACGATTTGCTGAGGCAAGAGATAAATATTCTGCTGCGATTGATAAACTGGGCAAAGGTATTTATTCTAAAAATGTTCTATTTTGCCTACTTTTTGTCTGAATCTTATACAATAACAATTGAAACTTTCTCTTGAGACAGGTCAGTTGGTAGTGGCGGGTACTATTTTGATGAAGTCTACAAGGTCCATCTGCTTTAGCTATTAGATGATAGATAAGACAATATTGTTTTATGGGAAATGTAACATCCCCCTCTCGTGATAACTGGCTAAGTATTTGCTCACATTTTGTGTCGATATGCCTTCACCGCTAAGAACCTTTTTTCATACAAAAAGGCTGTCATGTATGTATAAAAATGTTGCCAAAGTCTGTTTCCATATAATTATATAGGCAGGTACAATGCTGTGATGCAGCTGTTTTACGGTAAAGATAATGTTTTGATGTCGCAAGTTTTCATGGAAGCACTGTCTTAAGTCGTTTCTGCGTGGGTATGACTGTGCTTTAGGGCTGTAGCTACGCCTCAAAAATGACTCATGCGATGGTTGTAGCACATCTTCATTCGAAAGTTTTCATGGAAGCGCTGTCTTACGTCATTCTGTCGTGGGTGTGACTGTTACTTTAGCGATGTAGCCACGCCCCAAAGATGAATTCTGCTGTAGCACATCGGCATTCGAAAGTTTTAATGGAATCACGTATCTCATGCAGCTGAGCATGCTATAGAGTTCTCATCGTTTTAGTACAGCTCTCGCTGTCTCAAACCTCATTAGCGCTGATTCAAGGAGTTGTAGCTTAGATTTGTACACGTGAGAGATAATTTATTTTTTTCAGTTGCCAGCTTGGTTACTGCTCCAAAAATAATTATAAGAAACTTTGTACGTGCACAGCTGAGCAATCAAGAAGCTCAATAGTTAAGATCAATTTAATCATATTTTATGTGAAGATTTCAACCCTGTTTGATACTGAGGGATTCATCGAACAAGAAGAATTTTTATGCCATTACCGAAAGAACACTTTCACTGCATACTGAATGGCAGCGACAGATCATGATAAGCTCCAGGAGAAACGATCTATTCGTGGGAAAATTTTTAAAACAAAACATGGCACTCTCCCTTGACCGTGCTCGGTGTCTCAGGGCCTGTTTATATGGACAAAATCATCCCACCTTCCAGCCTGTGAGCTGAAAGGTGAGGTCCCACCCTCCTATAGAATGACAGGTGTGATCTCGCCAGGGTGGGATGAGTTTTCCCATTCAAGCGCTGAAAGGTGGGATGAAGCTGGGATGCAATTTTCATATACACGCAATCAAATTTCGTCCCATTTATAAGCACACAAGCTTGAAGGCTGGGTGTTTCTCTCTATATACAGCTGAAAGGTGGGATAGAATCAGCATGTAAACATTCGATGATTTCATCCCACCTGCCAGATGAGGGCTGAGAGGTGGGATAAAACTGCTCATGTAAACTAGCCTGTGCTCCAGACCCCTAACTTGAAAGTAGGGGTCTGGAACACAGTCTAATATAAACAGGCCCTTTGGACAATGTTGAATTTTAAAGCCCTGGATGAAATTACCAAACCAAAACCAAGTCTGTTTTGATGGCCTCTGAAATGATTATTGCTCAACCCCCTGAAGGATGGTGTGTTGCCGATTTATTTTATCCAATGCTTTTAACTTGGCTTTGATTTACAATTTATTGTTTATTGTTTACTAGAATACCGTCTTGTTTTGTATGGTCGTATTAGAATGTAAATAAATTGCAATTTTATAAGTTTTTTATATTTATCAGAATTTCGAAGTAATTTCCAGCATCGATATATTTCCATATTCGCTAAGTAATCTAAATTATTTTAGGAACCAAGGGACATGAATTTTCAGTAGCTGTATTATTGAGTAACCGAGCAATGTGCAGTTCGAAAATTGGAGACTGCAAGGGATGCATAAAAGATGCAACAGAGTCAATAAAATTATCGCCAACTGCGAAAGCCTTTTTAAGAAGAGCCTCTGCATACGAGACTATAGAGAAGTATGTTTCCTACCTTATTTACCAGCAAAAGATGAATCAAATCTAAAATATCAAATGCAGATATGAAAACGGTCTTGCCAGAACCCTGTTCCTCTATGTAAAAGATATTGTCTTATCACGATATTTCTGCAACATTATGAGGGGGCTTTGGTTCAATTTCTGGCTTACAAAATGAGACATTTAGATTTTGTTAATCTCATGATGTCATAAGGAATTGCTTCTGACGTTACCGCTAACATCAATGTGCATTACAAACCTTGTTAGGCCAAGGCCTACCCACCATATACGTGGTGACCTTGAATCGCCCTCTTCATTTTACGGTTTCGGCTCCTTTAATTGAGATTTTTCATTACTCTAGATACCTATATTTCTTCTAGAGATTCCCCTTAGGATATGTCGTCTAGATTAAAGGAACTAAGCTTCTCAAAAGGCTAATGGAAAGTCTCAGGAGATCAAGGGAACCTCCAAGATTCGTTATGGAATCACATGTCCTAGCTTTTCCTAGTTAAAGTCAATAATAGTGATTAATGAGCCAAGTTCAATCAGTCTATCAGTCAGTAAATCAGTAAATCAGTAAATTACAATCAGTAAATCGGTCAATGTTTCTCTCTCTTTCAGTTATCGATACGCCTATGTCGATTATCAGACTGCAGTTAGCTTTGACAATGCATTGCATGCTGGATGGAGTGGTATTTCGAGGTATTGTTTTTTCATTTTAAGACATCGACATATCAATTACTTTGTTAATGAAAGAAAATTAAACAGTTTCACTGGGCAGTCAAGAGTGAGAAAGAGGGTGGCTTTACTAAGGGCTATGCAAAAATCTGAATGTGTCTCAATTTTTATAAATGGTTGAAGGAAGGTCTCCTTTAATTATATGAAATATCTTACTGAAATGCACCTTCAACTGTTCTAAAGGGCGGGGCCACAATATTTTTCAGATAACACCCTTTTTCATTACATTTCGGCCGCATCTCTCTTTGTCATCGCCTCCAATCGTCCAGGTTTTTAGCTGATCTGACATGCATTTGGTGAATAGCAACTGGTTGAAAAATTGTAGGCAAATGGACGTGTATTTTGTGCTTTTAAGGAGTCTTAGTAGACCAATTCTTCCTGTTCAATTTTTTGCGGATTTTCCGTCAATATTGCGTATATATTTTGCTATTATTTTAGCTTGTATATTTTATCCGTAAAAGGAATCATTGCAAAGTGCAAATTTTTGTTCTATAGACTCACAAATCTGCTGCGAAATCGGGATGGCGCTGGCTGGAGAGAGAAGCTGCCAAAATCTGAATCCTACGCCAACCTTCAGAAATTAGTCAGTGGTTCTAATGGACAAGAAGCTCCAAGAATATCTAGTGGAAGTGCTCCCGTTTCAAGCAATGCACAGATTCCTGAAGCTAAATCTGGCTCTCCTAAAGTGCCGAAAATGGAGGTTGATATAAATCAAGTTGAAGCGCAGTTTAGAAATATTAAAGAAAAAGGAAATCAGTTTGTCCAAAAGGTTTGTTGCCTTGAAGCGTTTTTCATTATTTCAGTTTTTTTTCACTATTTGCAATGAAGTTTCTCGATAACAGCCAAGAAGCTTAAAATTTAGGCCCATCAACTAATTTCTGATATGAAAGTTTTTTTAAAAAAGAAGGCAAATGGTATTGTGGTGATAGAAGGAAAGGATGTTTGAAAGATACAATGAGGGAAAATGTGATCAGGTCTAGTCGTGTCATTAGCTCACGTCATCTTTCAGTCCTTGGATATGCCCTTTGCGCTCAAATACCAATGTGCTCAAATATACTGAATTTTCGGTCTTATTGCTAAATTTGTGAAGTTTTATTACTGCTCCGAATCGTCAGCCAGATATCACCGTTTCCATAATTAATGTTTTTCATAGAACAGATTGCTCCTTATCTAGTTGTTTGTTGTTAAGATTTTCCCAGGCAAAAATATGTCCAAGCGAGTGTTTTTTCAAAATTCTATGGAATGATAGGATGCTTCTTAATGGAAGTGGTTTAATGATTCTATGCGAAAACTGAGTTCTTTCGTCGTATTTCCTTATGTATAACGCTGTTGTCTTGTGAAAGCAAGGGTTACAAGGGGATTCTCTACCAGTGAGTTCTTGCATCATATCGATGTATTTAAACACTGTGCATAAACGATTGAGCTGAAACTCATACTTTTGTGAGCGTTGTCCATCATGAGCATATTAGTGACAGAAAGAAAAGGCCCTCTTTGCATTTAAGCGCTAATCCTCTCCAACCTCTTTGTCTTTCATCAGCTTATATTAGCGATTAGCAACATCGATGTATGCATATTTTGTGGGTTACATTTTGCATTGATATACTTTTCTATAAATGATTTCCAACCTGTCAGAAAGACCATTTAAATGCATATGTTAAGGGAAAGGGGTATGAAATTGTGACTGTCAATTCCCTGTATATGCTGATTTTCACGTTTGATGGAGCAGGTAGCAGGGGGCAAATGAGTTAGTTTCAGGATCTTCAAGTTGTAATAAAAGTTTTGGGGTTGCACGAAGAAAAGAAGAAGTTGTTGTAGGCTATAGTGTGCGCCAATTTTGACCTTTCCAACTACATTTTCTAAGTGACCAGATATCTAAACTATTAACCTATATATTTTCTTTTTTAACTTCTAGAAAATGTTTGAAGATGCTGTTAATTGCTACACACAATGTATTGGCTTGCTGCCAAATGAAGTAGCTTGCTATACAAACAGATCGCTATGTTATCTCAAATTAAACAAGGTAATTAAACAACTATTCACTTCAATGATGCTCATGTGAATTGTGTATATGCCTACGGTCATAGTGAACGGGTCAAAAATCTGAGTGAGTGTTACTAAAGTGAGCTGCATGATGGTTGTTTGTTGCCATTTTGAATACTTGCTGCTAAGCATTCGAAATATTGCAAACCACGAATTGACTTTTTATTAGAATACTTTAGATATTCTAATGTTATTCTCAATGAATACTGCAAATACGATGCTTTTTTGGATCTTTTATAAAAAAATACGTTTCTAAGTTACAACCCAAAGTATCACGCTTAATGCGATCATCAGACAATTGTTCTATATATCAAAATGTTATATGTATTAAGAAATCGTGCACATTTTGCAGTTCTCGACGTTGATTTTTTCAAAGGTTTTCGTCTCAGTTCGTTGAGCGTAGTGGCTGCACGCAGGCTAACTTAGAAACTTTTCTACACCTTTCCTGAGAGAAGCCAGTTCGTTCAGTTACCCTCACAATGTGTCCCTCTGTAACTAGGGAGGGCCATTTTTCATGAAAATCTCAATAATTTGTAATCTTCTTAAGAAGATAGAGGTATACTCCTGATAAAGCCTCTTTAGACTTAAAGCAAAGTGCGCAGCCATTAACACGTCTTGTATTGGTATAAATTTTATAAGTTATTTTAAAAGAATATGCAAAAAATACGTATATCATTTGGTATGTGATTTTCTTCTCGTTCTCGTTCCCCTTTACAGGTTTCCTTCATCTTTTTAATTTTTGTTTTGCAACAAACTTTTGTTCTTGCTAGAAAACAACTATTTTCTTGTATTTGTTCATCACACGAGTACTAGTTTCTGTCCTATTTTTTAGCCTTTGGAAGCGGAAACCGACGCAACGAAGGCGCTCAGCCTTCAGAAAGACAACATTAAAGCCCTGTTTAGGCGTGCATCTGCTCGCAAAGTAGGTGCTCGGTTAACTGTTATTGTCATTTTATCGAAAATTTATTCCATTTTGTTATCCTCTTTCGATTTTATCTTGTAGATATAGTTTTAAAGTCGAAAGAATCTTCGTAAAATAATTATGATAACGAGATGCTAAGGGTCAAATTAATGTATTTTTTCATTTTACTGCCGTTTTTTATTCGTTCCATCGATTTATTTTACGAAACTCTTCTCTTACACCATATTTTAGTTCTAGTATATATATTTTAAATGTTGACGTCACGTGGGCATTTTACTCTTTCTTTCAAGATGTTGAATCGATACGCAGATGCAATGGATGACCTTTCACAACTTTTAGAGTGCGACAAAAGCAACATGCCTGCAAAGAAAGAACTCGAAATCATTAAAAAGCTACAGAATGAATCTTGTGTTGGAGAAGTGTATGTTTTTGGGATTTTCATTGTTCTTTTCGTCTTATTTGCCACTGTTTAAACCAAAAAATACATCTTGCAATTCTTGTTTAGAAACTTATTTCAAGGCTGCTGTTAGCAACTGAGAATGTCGAAATGAGCTGGAGCGGTTTCTCAAACTGACAATAAACAATTGGATTCGAAAACAATAGAAAATCAATGTGATTGTCTATAAAATTGTCTATAAACTAAATTTTGTCTTTCCCTGATGTGTTGCCAAATGTGTGCCATTACGAAGATACTCCTTGAGTATCCAAACCGTGAATAGCATAGCGGGATCAGTGTATGCAGACATATTGATTGTAGTAAGATGCTTTGGATGTCTTAAAGCTCATAGTTCTGAAAGGTTGCAGAGTATCGAAAGTTTCGCCTCCTGTTAAAGGCATCGAATATCCTGTCTACCGTAATGTTTGTTGTAGTTTGAAAAATGCAAAGACCATGCTAGGTACTTATACTTGTTGAGCTCTTTAGATCCGTTTTCTCTTACACATTTTCGAGTCATTTTGTTGTTTTTAGGGCTATAATATTCTAGATTCGATATTTCATTGTTTAAACGATGCAGCATATGTCGCACATTGACCATTTTTTCCAGCTTCAAGGTCATAAATGGCCTTTTAGGGAACTTGCCCTATAAATTAGTATGGTTAACGATTTAATGAACAAGTCTTCTTTGTTTGTACTCTATTTAGTATTTATTAATTTTGTCTACAGAAGCCGTGATGAAACGAAGACGAAGACAGTGCCGAAAAATGATACTTTACAAGATAAAGAAGAAAGTGGAAATACAATTTATACAAAAGAGAAATTGGTAGAAGAAATCCGCAACGCAGCTTTTGCAGAGCAGAATGCTGGTCCTAGAAATGTGGCTGAGAAAAAAGGGAAAAGATTAAAAATAATAGAAATAGATGAGTTAAATGATATCAATAAACTTGCTGATAATAATAAAGAAGAGGATAAGATATCTTTTTCTGGCATTGAAAAAAACGATAGAAAAGATACATTACTTATAGAAACAGAATCAGAAACCTTTAGTGGGAATTCTAGTTTTAAGGGCTCTGTCTATGAAAGTTTATTATCATTTGAAGGCATACATGTTGCTGATAGCTTAGAGAAGTTAATAGCAGAGGGAGAGAGATCATTTAATAGAGGCAGCTACGCTGATGGAACCAAACATTTTACCAGAGCAATAGATTCGATTTTATCAGGTTTGCTTTTCAAATGTATTTTTCTTTTATTTTATAATGAATGGTATCTTAGGCCTGTTTCAATTTCATTAATTAGGTCATGCTATGTTGTCGCATTTCCAATCGCGCAATTTTTTGACATCAAGTCAAATTAACCCTTCTAAATCAACTAAGTATTTAATATACAATTGTTGATTTTGTTGCATCACAGTATACACAGGGCCCACGCCACCGGGGTGGAGGGAGCCGGCCGGAGGGGCCATGGCCCCCCACTTTTTTGTATGCGAAAATATTTCCAAAGAGGCCCTGTTTTGAAGCACTAAATTCAAGCTCGACTTATAGAACTTGGCCTATCCACCTTGAAATTCGTGGCGTGGGCCCGATACACAAGTTATAAGGTCATTTACTTAACAAGAAAAACTTGTAAGATGTATCCTATGAAAAGGATAAGGCTTAACATTTACCATTTGTCTGATGATTGCATTAAGTGTGAAACTCGGAGTTGCATTTTAGAATCGCCCTGTCCTAGCACTGTTTGACAGACCGTAGTTTTTAATTTTTTGGAGTGAAACAGTAATTTTCATTACTTAATATATACATCAATTTATTTTCTCATGTGTTGGTAGGTCCAGAGCGCCCGAAAAGTCTTCTCGCTGGTCTGTATCAAAATAGAGGTATCTGCGAGTTTAGAGCTGGGGACTCCAAAAGTTGTGTTGATGATGTAACCGAATCGCTGAATTATGACGTCAAAGCTACTTCATACGTTCTGAGAGCGATTGCGTTGGAGAGTCTAGAAAGGTTTGATGTTCCACCACTTTCACGTTTCTTTCAGTTAAATGCATTTTGATCAGCTAGGATGGCCTTGTCCGTATTGACTGCAAATAGATCCACACGATTTCTACAACGAATACAGTTGCAGTTCGTAGTGAACGTGATATAAGACCTCCAACAAGTAAAAGTTCAGGTCAATGAGCCTCTAACTCTAAAAGGATGCAGTAAACCCCCCCCTCCCCCTAAAAATGAAACCAGGAATTTTTCTTCTTTCATTTAGCACCATGTGTTCAGGAACCTATTCTAGCCTGTCTATTCTCTGAACCATCCATTATCTTGAAAAGAAATCCCTATTGCCAGGCATCATAGACAAAGTTTATCATCTATGTACACCTTAGAACCTGATCGTAACGAGGAAACTTTAATCGTGTCATTCTCGTATACACTATATCTACCTCCAAACCCCGTATGCATTGCATCTAAACCAAAAGCCAAGATTAATCTGAATTGAAAAAGAAGGCTCTGTTTTGCAGAGATACATTGTCTTTAGCATTTGATATCCTTATGGTTGATAGCCTGTCTTATTCTGGTAGAATTTACTATGATGCTCAACAGAGTTCTAAACTGATGTCTGGATCTTCTTTTTGAAATTTGTTTTATTTGGATCACGTAACCAGATAGAGCAACGTGGAGTACCTCCGCGTGTGTGAAATAAGTTTAATTGTGCCAAGTTTTTGGTAAGTAATTGCTAAATGGGTACAACTTTATGAAGCAAGCCAAAATAACAGTAATCCGTATCTAGAGGTATTTGTGGAGGTCTTTTAGGCTTTGTGATCAAAGCTATACAAAAGTAATGATAACATATTCAAAGTTGTGGTTCAAGGCTTCTCATCTGCATTTAACGCATCGATAGGTATAACGGTTACTCCATATTGCAGGTATAGAGATGCCTACGTGGATTACATGACTGCCTTGCGAAAAGACTCGTCTATCAAAATGGCATGGGATGCATCAACAAGGTATTTCTCTATAATTTTTTGCTGCTTCTTTTTATTAGCATCATGTAGCAGCTAGAAGTCTTGAAAGAACTTGGTTTGGGTTGAATTATCTTTTTTACAAGCAGCTATTACCCAAAATGTTGCATGTTAAGACTATGAAAAACCGCCACTTCTTAAAAAACTTTTTAAGTAGTAGTTGATGGGACCCCTTGAAAGATATATGCACAGCTAATGGTTGCGCTTTGCTTTTTTGTACACTACGTTTCAGCCCAGCTACATGAAATTTAAAGAATAAACATTTTTTGAGGAGGTCGATTACTGCAACGTCTTAGGAGTCCGGCTCATTTTTATCTTCTGGTAAATACCAACGTACCAAAGGATGAGTATCTCCACATTAGTAGGACTTTTCAAACATCGTATTGCAATTCTGTAAATATTTCGGCCACACCCTTAAACTCCCGGCCTAAAATAAGAGCTTGTGAGTTTCAATGTAAAAGATTTTACACTTGAATACTGCAATTTATCTTTAGAATACCTTTAATTCGATATCACAATCGAATCAAATACTCTTCATTTGAACTAGCTACCAATTTTCAACCATTTGTGTTAAGAAGAGGAGAAAATAAAGGGGACTAAATGCATGCAAACACCTCGTTGCCACACTCTTTTTATCAAAAATTTCCGGAAACGACCTTTTGACCAACGAAATGTATCAAGCTAAAATTTTGGAATTTACGTATCTCAATGAGAGCTATTTGCTCACAAAAACTTATTGTATTCTGAAGGCATGGTTACAACATCTGGATGATTAGGCGTGGAATTACCTTTTATGTTTCTATCAACTTTGAAAACTGTTTCAAGTGTTTGTAAATAGCTTTGAAGAACGCATGCGTCAAATACGTGTGACACAAATCTGTTTTGTAGCTTGAATGATCACTCTTTAAATGCTTTTGTGGTGAAGAGTTGCAAACTATAGTTCAAATAGATTTTATCAGTATCAGATCCGTGACGTAATGTTTCTTTTAAAGGCTCATCGATATTTTACGAAATCAAGATGGTCCTCGTTGGAGAGATAAGTTACCAAAACAGAATGAACCGGAGCCGGAGCGAAGAGGAAACCAAGAAGACCGGTCGGAAGACAGACATGGACCGCTGCAGCAACAGGGAAAAAGAACAGAAATTGAGGAGGACCAATTGTCTCGTGATGAAGCGGTATTAAATCCGGAAATCAGTTCAGACAAAGAACAAATAAAGTCAGCGAAAAAATCTGAATCAAGGCAAGAAAGGTTTAGGAAAGCAAAAGAACTTGGCAATAAATGTGCGCTAGATGTACGTGTCTAAAAAGGCTTTGTATATTCATTTGTTTTGGCTGTGTTTAGCTGGTTGTTTTTAAAAACACAATTTTGCTTTCTAGTTATGATTTTTTCCTATAAAATTTGCCAGCTATTTATTAGAAATGTGGACGATATGTAGTTTTTCATAGCCGTTTACGAATTATTTTGAGAGATGGCTGAAAGGTCCAAATTAGTTTACACTTAATATTTTCTCACCAATACCTGTGTACTCAATACCGTTATTTTCTGGGAGCTTGTAAAATTAGAAACAGTCTAAGTTTATGATTTAGAAAGAAGCCTTTTTAGAATTAAGAACAATCCTGGCCAATAACTGCAAACATAACTGGCCTGTTCTTTGGCACTTCAAAATTTGAAGATAGCACAGAAAACTGAAATAGAGTATCGTATACTATTTTTCCGTATTTCCATGCTATTTCCAAATTTGTACAAACTTTTCTTAGGTCGTACAGACTTTCTTTTGATGCTGACATACAGATTTTCACAACAGTAAATTTTGAAGAGGTTTTTTATCCTTCCTGCCATTTTTCGAACCTGTTGGAAAATCTTTAAATTAATAAATAGAAATTTAATATACAAAGTTCTGACAAATGGTTATCCTCTCCTTGGCTAATTGGGCAAAACCTATTTAAAAACAATGATTAAGGCATAGTGGTTCATTGAGCTTTCGTCTTTTTGGACTCTTTGTGTTTTTTACGACGGAATTTCTTGTAATCTAATCAAATTATTCTTAATCCGAACCTTTGAGCCAAATCTTTTGGAATTAGATAAAGTTTCTAGTCATCAGCGAGTCGATTTGCTGGATATTTGACACTTATAGCGGTTTGTTTGTTCGTAGGGGAATTTTCAAGAAGCAGCAGCCCACTACAGTCATTGCATCGATCTGTTTCCAGAAGAAGCTACTTCTCTCACCAACAGAGCTCTGTGTTATCTCAAACTCAATAAGGTTTGTCTATTCTCTTCAGTTTCATTTTGTTTTATAGAGGGGAACTAAAATCTGACGATTAATCAAGCAAAGTTTTTGATGTGTGAGATGGAGACTGTCTTGATATGAATGACATAATTCAATTCCATAAACACATTTTATCTCTTTTTTCTAAATTAGTGTGCTTGTAATAGCTTGCAATTTAATTTTGAACTTAAACGATCGATGCTTGCTATCCACTTTCATCACTTTGTCAGCGGTAAGTAGCAAATTTTTAGCAGAATTCATCTTAGGGGAACTTCAACACTGGTACCTGATGTTTTGTAATTCCTATAGCTTGGTGCCATGGAAGAAGGCACAGAAAATGTATCGTCGAAGGCACAGAAAATGTATTGTTAAATTTTTCCTGTCCAACAGACGATAATTTTTTTTGGGCCTCATTGGACCACCAAGTAATGCTTCTCTAAATAAGTTTTCTGAAAGACCTGTAATCTAAATTTCTATAAAGATCTGTAAAGACTTCAATACACAAGCTTGTTAAAAGTTAATCTTCCTATTTCGTTTCAGCTAAAAAAAGCCGAGAATGATTGCACAAAAGCTCTTGACTCGCAGCCAGACAATATAAAAGCTCTTTTCCGGCGGGCGCTGGCGAGAAAAGTAAGAATTATTTGTTGCTACATTATGGTTGAGGTTAAAGTCTTTGAAATTTTGTGTACGTGTAATGAAACGTCTAATGCAAGGCACGGCGCTATCTGTGACTCTGAAAGAAGATTTTCTCATCCCAGTTTTATGTTCTGGTTTTTACTAGAGCTCAGAATTCTCATGTTCAGTTTCAAAGATAAATTGAGCTTCATTCTCGGATCGTTTTCATCTGCTTTATCTGGACTAATCAAGAATCAGAATAAGCTTAGTCTTATTGATTTGCTAAATCAACCATTGGTGTAAGGGGGGACTCACACAAATACATTTTCAGGCTTTGCATCCTATAGACGCTTTCTCTAGATCTCCCTTGTCTTGACATCAACCAAGAAAAAGTTTTTTTTTAATTTTTGGAAAAACAGGCCCTTCAAATTTAAATTTTATAGCCTTATAGAGGAGGAGAGTGGAAATACAGAGACAGAGAGGGTGTGTGTTGGAAAAACAGGGCTTAAATTTTCAATTTGACAGCCTAAACCAAAGGAGACAGAGAAGGGGGAACGAGAGAACAAATAGTGTGACAAACAGGATGTGTGTGCTTACAAACCCAACACAAATGTAAATGCCATGGTTTTCATAATGTTCACAATAAAACCAATGTCTTATTTTTACCTTTTACAGACACCTGGTAAGTACAAGGAAGCACTGCAAGATTTGACTGCACTGTTAAAACTAGACCCACAAAATGGTGCGGCTAAAAAGGAACTAGAGACTATTAAAGATCTGTGGAGGGAAGTGAGTACCTTAAGTTTGTATTGACAGTCTGCCCAGTTGCTATGGGAACTACTTTTATCTGGTATCTTGTTTTAGCCAACACCCTCGTTTCATATTCGATATTTAGTCTCGTATTGATCTTTTGTTATTCTTTGATTGTAGGAACTGAAAAACTTAGCATCGAAAACGAATGAGAAGAATGGGACAGCAGCTAGTCAACAAAAACCAAAGAAGGGAGCGAAAATCGAAGAAATTCCAACGAAAGTGGTGAATTTTAATGATGTATTTTCACCTAACATCTAATGCCATTTTATATCGAATTTATATACAAGTTGTTTTTCACAATTTATGAAATAAACAAATAATTGTCTACAATATGTTTTTTATACTAGGGCATAAATTTAATTCAAGTGTATCTGTCTACACTATTTGAATGTTGTTTTCAAATAATTTTTTAGGGTCCCCGATTTGAATCAATTTGGAATCTATTTCACAACCTTGTTTCTCTGTGGAAACGTGCCCCATTCCACAAATTCTGTCGCGTCAAAACTGACCGAGAATTTTGTTGGCGTTGGAATTTTGAGTGGGAATTGTTTATAGACGTTTGACGCTTTTAAGTTGATGCCAACCCTGACTTTGTTAACCTCATATTGAAAGATCTAATTTTATTTTCTAACCTGCTTTTCAAAGGCTGGCTCTCAACCCAAAGAAGGAACTGCCTGCCAAAAAGAGTCGAACCAGGGTAGAACAGGAAAAGAATCTATGCAACGATCCCCTCGAAAATTTCATCTTAGAAAAGTATGCTACATCCTATTCTTGAAAATATTTTCTTACAAATTCATTTTAATAATATTTATCCTAAGTTTGAGCAAAGTATCGAAACAATTGTTACGAAAGAGATTTACTACAATGTGAGCCCCAGGGTTGTATGTCGTTTAGTTTTTTATGCTTGGGGTTCTAAACGCGCCTCAGAGCTATTTCAAAACTCCAAAATAACACGGGAGATCGAAATTGCAGTTTGTTTGAGCACCTCACGTAGTAACTTGAGCCAAAAAAATTAGCAAAAAATGTTTCAGATTTGATTTTCTCTTCCTCCAACCTCCCCAAACCGTACGAGTATTTCAAAGGGGAAGTCAATGCCTCATGAGACCAGGGCCTCCGGTGAAGGGGGCCGGGGACCATGGCCCCCACTTTTTTGCAAATTAGTATAATTTTTCACGAATCTTTTGTCATGGGTGTTAAATTTTCTCTTAGCCCATAGAGACTTGATATCGGTATTGAGCTATATGTTGGGAATACTTACGTTTCCCAAGAAATCGTTATGCTTGAAACCAGCGACGTGTGCTAAAGGATCTGGACCCCTGCTTCTCAAAAACATGGCCCTCGAAATTCAACCATAATATCGATTGCATCTTTACCACATTGGTAAATGGTTGATTGTCGGTTCAACAAAATAATGTTTGATGGCCGTTGCCTTCTTTAGGATATATCTGTGCGAAATTTACCTGAGGTCTACACCCCAAGAAACCCCCTCCCCCACTTTTCAGAGACTACATCGTACTTTTCAAAAAGTCAAATTCCGTTAATTCAACATTCTCTCGACTTGAATATTTCGAAAAATATCTCTACATAATTGTCCAAAATTGCGCAAATTTTTGAGAGTTTGAACGTTTTACTTTCGTCATAGAATTACTTTCAAGATCAATGACTGCGTATGGACTCGATATAAGTCAACTTTTTCTCTCTATTTGGCGCAAGCGCCGCTGGTGTAGTGGTATCATGCAAGATTCCCATTCTTGCGACCCGGGTTCGATTCCCGGGCGGCGCACTTTTTTTCGAAAACTTTTCCACTATTTTGAAATATATTTCTAATTGTTTCAAGGCGACTGGATTTGAGTTTCTAAAAGCGTGGAATGAATTAAAAGGTAAAAGTTTAAAAGAACATGCCGACTTACTGTCTCAGATTGAGCCTTCTCAATTGCCAAAAGGTGAGTTATCAAATCGATTTCTTCTCACAACGAATGCGATCAAACCTTGAAAAGTCTTAAATGTTTTATGAGATTGTTGTGACTCCAAATTGACAAAATTAAAAAATTAATTTAGTGAAATTTCATTGACATTACGACTTTTTATGTATCTGAAATTTCTAAGCAAACAAGACACTTGTATCGTGCTTGTATTGTGTGTTTCAGTTCCTAAAATGTTTTCATGACCAGGAGGGAAAGTAGGGAAAACCCAAGCCTTCTTCCTCGATCAGTAACAGATTTACAAGTTTGTCGCGCTTAAGAATAATTTTGGCTCGTAATGGAAAATATTACCCCTGTACCCTTTCTGGACTCTCACTGCATTTCTGCACCATCTTTCCACCCTCTCTGCACTGTCCTTGCACCCTCTCTGCAACATCCTTGCACCTTTCTGTATCCTTTCCGATCTCTTTCTTCATCAGTCCTTAAAATTTTTCACCTTTCACCTTCACTGTACCTTGCCTGCACCCTCTTGGCATCCTGCCTGCACCCTCCTTGCACTGTACCTGTTCCTCTGTACCAACTCAAGATTAATATACAATTTTCCATTATCTCGCTTTGCAGTGATATCAAACAAAATTGATGGTGAAATGATCCAGACGATCGTTTCCTGTGTCCATGAATTCTTCATGACAAAAGGTAGCTACCTCATTTATGATTTTGCTAAGCACACAATTTATTTTTTATTCATAAAGAATGACAGATTCTGCATATTTAGGACCATGTGAATCGAGTCTCTGGCACATATGAAATAATTCCCTTTGAGCTTTGGTAGGATCATGTGAATGTCGTGTTGTGGCAAGCCCTAGTTGAAGCATCTTGTTACAAGTCAGGGACCAGTTGTGGCTTTGGTGGGTTACACTAGATGAGACATGTGTCTTATGATCTTTCGCAATTTTATCTTGTTGATGGTTCCAGTCAAATAGCAAGAACTTACATCGTTCTGTTTAAGAAGCAAAGGCCTGGTTTACATAAGATGTTTTATAACTAATACAGCTTGTAATGTTTATAAAAAGTTACTTTCTATATTCTCTCATGGATTTCAATGAAATGTCTAGTAAGAGATACTTTTTATTGACGGTTCCTCCGAATAACGCACAGATAGTCATATTATAAAATATGTTTTCTGCGGTGAAAGCTTCAGAGAGACAACCTCCGAAAGATGGACACTCCTTACCCTGGGTACCAGAGCCGCAAAAATTTAACGGCAGCAAAATATAATGAGAGCTGCGGAGGCGAATAAGAGAGAAGAGTGAAGTAGACACTTCTCTACAACGGAAACTGCTCTACAACCAACAGTAGCTATGGGTTCCTTGGTGTCCGGTAAACAAAGTTGTCCGCTATTCTCAAGATTCATCATTCTACCTAGTGGTTTTTAAAGCTTCGACTTTTTTGATTAAATGTTTAAGGTATGTTATTAAATTTTTTCCTAGACAAGTTACTGCAAGGCTTCAACATTCTGAGATATACAGGAAAGGCTGATCGGTTTAACATGGGAATTATGTTCTTGTCAACGAAAGACCTTTCCAACATAAGACGAGTCATTGAAGATTTCGAAGGAAAACTGAAGGACTCGAACTCAATCGTCTCTGCGAAGGAGATTAGTGAGTTGAAAAAAGCCTACAAAGTGTCATGATAAAGACATTTCTATTATTGCGTATGATTTGAAATTGTTTGAGTTTACGAAGTATTCAAATGTGTCCTCTGCCTTGCTGTGCCCCCCCCCCTAGATATTTTAAATGCAATCCAAGAATTTTTATCTTTTTATGATTTTGTTCATGTTCAGAGAGGCTTGGAAGATAAAATTCTGCCCTTAATTATTTGGTCTTTTTATTGAACGCTTGCATCTGATGCCCGCACCTCTTTGCAAAGGGCAAAGAATTAAGCCACCCTTCGATCGATACCGCCCATCGTACCCTTGCTGTCTGTGATCTGTATTTGTCCTCCAACTACTTTTGCTATTGAGACTATAGATTTATAAACATACCACCCGGCTCCTACTACCTCAGGTGCATCAATCAGTTGAAATCATTTGCATTTCTTCATCTTCTTGAATATTCATTGCCTTGTGCGTGTTATTATGTTTATTTGTTTGTTTGTTTGTTTCATGCTTGTTTGCTCATTTGTTGTGGGTTGTCAATTGCAATTTTTGTGGGTTTGATTCGCCTACGGATGAAATGATTGAAAAGATTTGTATTATTAACTTCAGTCTTACTTATCCAATTAATTATGTTATCATCGAAAAAAATACCCAGTGAAAGGCAATTTTTTATTGTGGATTTTTATTTTGTGAAATATGCAATATATTGAAAGTAAATTGCAGGCTTTAGTATCTTAGTCTTCAAACTACAAAGCAATCAAAAAGTTGCTGAATTGGATGAGCTACTGAATTGTTTTGTCCTGTAAACATTTAAACAAAAATAACAAGTGTAATCAAACTTTGCTGATTCGAAAGAAAAATTTCTTAGTTTGTAATAAAAAATTTCTTTTTGATAAGAAATTGTCATTTCTTTAATTGAAAGGAGTGGTCTAAGAAGAAAATGAATTCTTAGTATCTATCAATTATTGTATATTATTGATAATGCATAATGTTTTCCTCAATTTAAGCAAAGTTTTGCTGGCGTTTTCTGAGAAATTTACCCAAAATTGTTCAAAGTCATCCAGTTCGAAAGTTTTGTTCCCTCTATAAGTCAGAAAAGCATTTTTTAGCTATTTACAAAAAGCATTCTTTAGCTATTAGCAATTCTTATAAGCTTTCGTATTTACTCGCCGAGCCTGGTTACTAAAGTTTCTTAAACGCTTTTCATGTACATCAATGTCCGGTAGATTGTGTTTTTGGTGGACGTTTTCACAGCAGCTTACAAATGAGGTGACACTGCGTGAATCAAGGATGTTGAAGCTACTGAAAGCTCAAGGCGCTTACATACCAGCTGAATCACCTGCTAATTTGCAGACTCATCTTACAGGACGCAGAGCACCAACTGAAGCGATCCTTGCTAGGAGATCCCTTGTACTATTCAATGTCAGAGATTGCAATCTTATGATCTTATAATCTCAAATCTTTTTAGCGTTGAAGACAACTAGCTTTAGACAAGAAAACTGCCTCGGACATAGTTTGCGTTTAATGAATGCTACAAGAAATGGATTTAAATTTCCGTCTTAATCTTCCCAAAAACGGGAAGTTATCGGTGCGTTTACACTCGCATGTGCATGACAATGCTTTCACGCGTTTTTGCCTGCGCACACGGAAATCATTTCAGGCAGTTCGAAACAATTTCGAATATTACCTCATAGGAGAGAAATTCCTAAATGGAGAGTCTCAAGTCAGAAAGATGGTCAGAAGTATGGAGTAAGCGAGCCAATTAATCTGTTATTATGTGAGACAGATAAATTAGCCGAGGCTTGTAGTTTTAGGTTTTCTGGTTTCCAGTTTATCGGCTTCACTTATGGAGATCCATGGCGGCATTCCAGCGCAGTTTCTCGTGTGTGATGCCGGGACACTTCGAGAGTTAAGTCACCATGTTGTCCACAGTGCATTCGCAGGACATAATGCTTTGCGACTACAAAAATCAAGAGAATCTCTCGATCTGAAATTGGAACCGTCGTCAGAATGCGTGCTACAGAGTTTCGGGGGAACAGGACATACCCCGATACTCGGGTCCCCAGAGCTGAACTTGCTCAAGCTGGAATCGCCGGAGCTCGAACGACTGATCATGTCTCAACAAGATGAAGGGGTACTACATCAATGCCCCAGCGGGGTTCAAATAACACAGCTCAATCTTTAATGTCACAACTCGAACTGAATTCAAATCGGAATGCAAAAGCTTTATCACCAATTATATCTCAAGATGACTTTCGCTTTATCACCGAAACTAACCGCGCGTTGGAATCTATATTACCAAAATCAAGAGACGACATTGATGACAACGAATCTCATTCATTTGTTTTTGGCATGGAACATTTTCTTGAACCAATGCAACAAGTACCGGGCAATCTGGAAGCAGAGAGACACCTTTTGGTCCAGACTGAGGCTGAATCTAGCTTATTGGACATGAGGCAACATCAGTCTAGACTCACTGTCAAGCAAAACAACGAAAGATCATTAAAAACATCCGTCAGCCCTAATTCTATGTTCCAGAGTGGAAATGACAGCCATGAAGGAGTCTATGAGCGGATAGGTAATACTGAGACTATACTCGAATCAAACGCACACATTTTATATGACATGGCCCAACCAAGCATGGTGCCAAACCCGTACACACAAAGCAAGGTCGATAGAGAAAAAGGCTCACGGCTTGCTATGTTACCATTGCCCCCGATCGATCTGGAGGTTCAAGAAATTGTCAAAAGGGAGCGGAAAAAGTTGAAGAATAGAGTCGCTGCATCTAAATGTCGCAAGAAGAAACTTGAGAGAGAGGCTCAGCTCGAAGTGCGAGTGCAGCAGTTGAAAGAGAAGAACATTGAATTGAATGCGCTGGCAAATGCACTTCGTCAACAATCAGGAGAATTGAGGCAAAGGATTTTGGACCACGTTAACAATGGCTGCCCCGGTACTCTAATGCATTATTAACCCAATGTATTATACACAGTGCCCATTTAACGAAAATAATTAATGCCATTGTGGTACTGTTACAACATGGCCTTTCTTCAGGGACAGCAAATTCATTGTGTTAAGCTTGTGTTAAGTGATTTCCTCTTCTCTAATGCAAATAAATGTGGATGGGACAAATCACTTACTACGTTTAAAATGACTGCTGTGCCACAGGAATCCCCATCAAGTACATCTTTGTTTATTTGGCTAACGGTTGTAGTCGTCTATTCACTGCATAATGGAACTGTGAAAATATGGTCATGTCTCAAAATAGGTAGATGAATTGGAGCTGTTTGGTCCTTGATGCTGAGTAATCAATTTTAATATGACATTGTTAACATAAAAAGATGATAGATATTAAACATGCACCTTGCAATGATCCTAGCTAACTGCCCCACTGCATTTATCCCCACTGCGATGTACATCTGTTGTAAATGTGTATTTGAAGTGATATGTTGTAGAATAAAAAATTTGTTGTGAAAATCCCCGAGATTAAATTCTACAAATGGCCTTTTATTTCATGTGCTTGAATAGTGTGCAATAATTTATCTTTCTCCTTATGTGCGAATGCTCTTTACAGTCGTATACCATGGGGTTGGTTTCTGTACTTCTGCCAGCAATGATTGTGTAAAGTAAAAACTGTGTCTCCAAATTGACAGTTTCGCACCTCTTAGTGGATCTTTTCGAGAAACGAATTAATGGTCTTTGCAAATATTCACTTCAAGGATCTAAACAACAAAGGGCAACCCTTGCAGTTTTGTGCTGATGGGCCTATTTTGAGCCATAACTTGATTTCCTAGCTAATAGATTTTGATCATGTTCTGAATTCTTTTACAGACAAAAAGCTTTCGTATGTTTCAAAATGTGTGCCTTTTTCAAAACCATATTCAAATTCTGTACTGCCGAAAATTTTCTACTTATTCTATAAATTATTATGGACCGACGAATCTTGAACAGATGAGCATCGGATGTAGTCAGATAAGCAGAAGACCCATGCCTTCAAAGTTTCTATAACATGTTTTGGCTCTAGAATTGTGAATAAAGCCTATACAACAGTATTCTTTTATTACACTTAAGGTTTTATCATAGGTTCAATTTACTCATAAGAGATTTAGCCGACTTTACGAAGGCATTCTGCTCTGTTCATTCAGATTGGTCCAGAATTAACATGGTCCGAAAAGTAGGTTTTTACGATGCCAGCACTTTGCGTTGGCAATTTTTCTGATAGGCCTTTCCCCTTTTGTGTTTTTTTTTTATCTGATCGAACTCGGTATCTCTATCACCAATTTTGGATGCTGATAGAAAAAGGTTAAAATAATTTATTTCCTGAAAAAATGTGTACTTAAAAGCGAATAGAGATCACCGTGCTCTTTTTAGCACCTTTAACCCCCCCCTCTCCAAAAACCGTTTAGCCTCATCAATCTGTAATATTCTCTGATTTCCTTGTTTATATATGGTTCTTAAAAATCTTACGTGGTTACCAGGCCTTTTCTCCCGGAAATGGTGAATGCACATGATGTCTCGACCGGTCGCTGTCTGCCCTAGATTCTAGAAACACTCAAACCATTGCTTGGCAATCAACACTATTTTAGTATATTTTTAATGCAGCATGTTTGAATTGCCTGCTTTTGTTTTGGCGCGCCCTTCTCTCAGTTCACTGGGTTTCAATACAGTCACCGAATTCTTGCTATACTGTCTGCTGTACTTAAGTTACAGTAGAAACCCTTTTTCTGGGTTAGGCATAAAGATTTGACATGAAATTCTTGTGCGAAGCTTTAATTTTGGCATTAGTTGTCTCAAGTTATGAAAGATTTGCTCATGGAAAGACACTGAGGCATAAAAAAGATCATCGATCGACCGGCCGGAAACATAACAAGCATGCCGCAGATGCAGTGAGTTTTGCTTTTTCAATCGAGTTGTTGAGTATTTAAGAATCTTTCTGTATATTTGAACAGAATGCGATGTCACTGAATTGCTCGAATACACTTCCTTTAAAACATGACATTATCCTCGAGATGACCTTGCTTCTCGTTACTTTGCTCATTGCGGTTTTTCATTAACGCTTGTCATTAAAGCTCAACTTTCAGCTCACCCTCTGCAGGTCAAGCAACCTGGATACCAGGGGCTGGCCCGCCAAATACGGGCGAACGAATCCTAAAGAGAGCCCTTAACATTAGGTTCGCTTGCCACTTAACTGCAATAAGAAACATTTCGTTTTGATGAATCAGTAACTATTTACCGTTTCATAATTCCATAACTACAGCAAATGATCAATTCCCTGCGACTTCTTTCTAACTTCTTACAGATTCATATAACCAAGACAGGAAAACACTCCAAATATAAGCAAAAGTAAGTTACTACCTTTCGATCAAATTCTCAGTGTCGTTACTTTATACACTGTGTGATTTACTCTTCACAGTACGAAAAATAAACCGTCAAATGTCAAAGCCATTGATTTCATTTAAGCATATTTATAAAGGTATGAATTTCAATTATTAAAGTTAGCATCTGTTGTTTCAATTTTCATTATGTTCAAAACATTTTGAGACATTATTGTACTTTTTTTTAAACAGGCATCGATGGAGCTTTGGAGATTCCGAGCTCAAGCATTTGGAAAATATTGACGAAATTTTGGAAATCAGAGACAATGAACAATTTGCCAACAGAGTGTTCCAGGTAAGATAAGCTGTTTTGTTCTACATCAGGTCAAATTCTTGGATTTGAGTTGCTAGTAGAGTTCTATGATTAGGATAAACTAAAGAGTTTCTTTCCTCGCGTGGTATAACTCTAGCGGTAACCAAATTGTTTTGCCAGCATGAGAAATTTGAAAGATGAAAAGGAAATGCATAGGCCGCTATCGAAAAGAAAATTTATTTGGTGCATAGGGTGCTATCGGTACCCTTACCCACCGGCCTATATATAGATATTTACCATCGTTTGAAGAACTGGTAAGAGTTTAAATTTGGTGGCCGGTGTGCGTCCTGAATCCAAGATCTTACAAACAATTGACTTACATAGATTTTGTGAATTTTCTCTTATAAAGATACTTGCTGCTGAAATTTTTTTCCGGACATTTGATTTAATATAGAATTTAATTTTTACATATTTATAGGTGCATTTATCAGAAACGCCGATATTTCTAAGCATCGCCACGGTTGAAGAAAAAATATTCGAGGCTCCACCTTTCTTTGGCTATAACTGGGTCCATTTTGGCATTACACGATTAAATCTTTGCATGTTTCTAAAATTTGCAGTATGACGAATTAGGTGTCCTAGTATTCACTGAATCCTTGTTTTCTTAATAATTTGTGTTTAATAGTCAATCTTTGATGACTAGATGATGAAGGATGACGACTCAGATGTGCTTAAAGATATTGACGAAGACGAGGAACCTTCACTGTACTTGCCAAAGGAAGGTTCTCAGCGATATATACAAGATCTAAAACATCATTTCCATGGAAAAGCAAGGTACAAATTGCATTATCTTACTACGTTATCTTACTAGAGAAGGCAGAGTCCTATTATGTGATTATAGATTCAATGTTTTAATGTTTTAATAGTTTATATTGACATAGAAGTGTTCGATTCATTGTTGATGTTGTCAAAAAAGTGAGCATATCATACTTTACTTTCTGCGTCTAATTGCAGTGTTGCTTCAAGGGTGTGTGAATACAAATTACCGCTCAAAATTTTGTTATGATGCAGTTGCAGTCAATTTGCTAACAGTGTGCTTTGATGATCTACCCTTAATTCCCCTTATGTTCTGAATCGCAGGCTATGGAATACCATTGCAGACACTATCCTCTACAAACGCCAAATGATACATCCAGCATATAATTATACGGTAGCAAGCGCCGGCATGACACAACAGCCAACAGTCCAATCATCGAACCAAATATCACCATCTCCACTAGGTTCCCTGTCATCATCCTCGTCAACATCTCCTTTTGTAACTTCAAATAACGTGGATGCTGGAAAGCAAGTACCAGCTCAGAAACCATCAAAAGAATTCGGAAGTGAAGACGTCCTGAAAAACAAGACTGTAAAGTCCTCACGTGTGTGTAAACCAGGACCCCCTCTGTCTTCCAATAAGCGACTGCCAAACTGCCTTCTCATCGGTGATTCAATAACATTAGGGTAAGTCCTAGATTGCCTTTTTTTATGCAATCCAAGGACATTTGATATAAATGTTAAAAGGGGGTACGAAAATCGATCTAAGTCTAAAGCAAAACTCTGACCACCATTCTATTGGCTGCCTATAAATTTGAACTTTTAGTGGTGTCAAGGGCTGGCGTTCTTAAACCTCTTGCGATTTTGATTTTTTTTATGGTGAAAATTTTCTTTGAATTTTTGGCATTTTACTGAATATGCCAAGTTAAAGTGATATCTTAGCAACGCCTCTCCCATCGTAAGAATTTTGACGAATACTGTTTGTGAAAACAAAGGACATCCTTAATTTTAATCGAAGTTGATTCAAACTAGAGGGGTATTGCATCTGCAAAAGTTTTGGCAGAAAAAATCAAATGCGTTTAAAAGTCAGAATTTAACAGTTAACCTCTGCAGCAAAAACATGATATTTATATGAAAAGTGTTAAGGACACTGTTTGGTGTTAATGTTTATGCAGCTCTGAAAAATAATATACTTCCCATCATAGGCTATATTGTTTCTTCCACTGGCCTTTGTAGCAGGACTTTAAATTGGTGTCTAAATGAATGGCTCGTTTGACCAGCGTCTGACTTGTGAAAATTGGATGGTTTATTTGCAAACAATATATTCAATTTTCTGTTTAGTTTTCAATAGACACTTGCAAAAATACCTAGCCTCTTGAGAGCGCAGGAGTTGCAAAACGTTCTGCTGTCTATGCACGTTTGCTTTGTGCCATATTGGGTAGCAGGAAAACATCTTCTTTACTAGCTCCCGATCGGCCGCATCATAGGGGCATGGTTTTACTGAATCTTCAGTAATAAAAATAGTTTTATTTCGGCAGTTTGTTACCGAGTTTTAATCTATTCATGGATGTAGACTTTTTATTCTACATAGGTCCTCCTACACAGTGGCTGCTGCTCTTCAAGGCAGATGCGCCGTGCAAGTATCTCCGTTTTCAAAAGGAGGATGTGCCTTGGACTCGAGTTATGGGCTGAAATGCATTCAACTCATTTTGTCAACAACAAACCTAACGCCTACAAGGTTTGATGCTATTGTTTTCAACTTTGGTATGCACGATATTGACTATTCAGGCAAATTTCCAGAGGTAAATGACTATTCTTGGTTTCAACAGTTACTTTTGATGCTATAACTCTGTGACTGATTTATTTGCAACAAACGTATAAATGCAAGAAAGTATCAATTGATGCATCTTGTATGTTCCCTAAACGTTTAAAGACAAGTGGCTCTGAAGGAACCACAAGATATTTTCATCTTCCATCTTCAGCAATCAACAGCAATTTTATATTCAATCAGCTATTTTATTTAGATAGAACTGCTTAGACTCCGTGAGAAGATTCTTTGAAAACAAGCAAATTCAAAAATCCAAATGCAAAGACTTTAGAGGAGAAAGGCTGCTAGAGGCTTCTCACAGGCTGCTAGAGGCTTCATGAAAACTTTAAGGCGATTATCAAGGATAACTCCTACTGAAACATGTCTTTATTACGTAAATTCACTGTAGTGATATACTGGAGACATTGAGCTAGTCGAGAGATGGGTAAGCGTATTAAATTCCCGTGTGCTTTCATTTAGTGGCCTTTTTATATTTCCAAAGTTAACAAATCCGATTTTTGAGATAAATTCACTGCCTCAGAAACCCTATCATTATTTCGGTCACTGGTACATTAAGCTTCTAACATTCTTTACCAACATTCATGTTTTTTCATAGTTTGTTCTTTTCACTCTAAGTCAGGTATCTTTTCAATTACGATGTGGACCAGGGTCGCATATTTTTGGAATATTTCTCATTATTTCTAATTAAGTTGTTGATTTACTCCGTCACGTGCAGGGTGGCCTTAGAAGTTGGTGGTAAGGATGAAGCTTCAATTTCGATTTTCGGTAATTAATCCGTTGGCAGTTTTTCAATACAAACATTCTGTATGACCCTTCGTGTTTTGCTTCATGTTTGTAGGAATTTAACGACGAAACTACGTATGCAAGAAATTTAGGCCGTTTGAAGAAGATACTTTCAAAAACTGGGGCAGGAATAGCATTTTCATTAACGACACCAGTCCCGTACGATGAAAAGAAAAATAAACTTGTTGTCAAGTACAACGATATTGCCAAAAAGTAAGTGAATGAACATTTTCGAACAATGCTATTTTTCTCAGTTTATTGGTACAAAGATGCCTTTCTATAATGTATGACAAGAAAGAAATCATTTATATATGCGTACTTGGAAAGTAGAAGAACCGTTTTTTATTTGTGTCAGATACGTCAGAGACTTTTGATAATTTGAGTAACTATAATTTATTCTATCCTTAATAGCTCAACTGATATATATATACTTGTTTCATAGTTAGTTTTCAGTAAAAATTTTCTCAGTCGTACTTAAAATTTATATGCAAGAAAAAGGAACATCCCGTTTGAGAGGTGGCATCAACAATAAGAATATCTCAAGTTAGAAAAGCAATTTTTTGTATAGCATGCAATTACTAATCGTGTCCATTATATTGTCAGTTATAAATATTTATGATTCTGTGAAAATGATTTGAGTTAATTGATTCTTTTTCTCGGTAAGAATTTTGACATTTTCATTTTTCACAGAGTGATGTCTAAGGCTCCTCCGGTGGATGTGATTGATTTATACAGCTTTATTGTCGAGAAGTGTGGCAAAATACCTTTTAAGAACTGTTTCATGGTGAAAAAGCCTAAGGATGTGGTATGCATAGAGAGGCAAACCTTTGTTATTTCATTCTTGATCCTTGTTCAGTATTGGCTTTGACCCAAGATAGTTGCATTTTTTTAGTAAAGTTCTAAGAGCAGAGAGCTTAGACAAAATACAATGTTGACTGTATTTTAAAATTGGTATTTGAGTATGTTTAAAGAATTTTAAAATATTTTTTTTAAAATGTGTTATTTTTTCAACTCTGAGCTTTGGGTTAAGGTATGAAAAGAGGCAAACCTGCGTTAAAAGTATGATAAAAAGTTTTTTGTTTTAAACAAAAGAGCCCATTTTGTTTTTTATACTTTACATGACACTATCACCTGAGTGCATTAATGGAAGGCTACCTCCGTAAACTTGATCTAAATACAAAGTGTTTAACTAAAGGTGATTATTGCCCGAAAGCATCTTGTGAAACGATTAGTAGCATGTTGGATATAACCTTTTAATTGTTAAAAAGATTCTTACATGTTAAATGTTTTTCAGCATTACGGTTTAGCTGGTTCGATTCTCCTTGGGAAACAGATTGCTGCCAAAATTGCATCCATCTTGAAAAAACGAGATCTTTGGGTTCAGCGAGGCTATAGCCTCCCAGAAAGTATGCTCAGTTCAGTTCATTTTGTTTTAAAATTCCAACTCATGCATGTGACGTTATTAGCCTCGTATTGACGTTATGTTGGGCAGGCGCCCGTTTCGTTATGTTATGTTCGAAACGTGAGAAGAGAAAATGGAGTATTGAAGTCCGAGTTAGAGTGTTCTTCGTTGCTATGTACCGAATACTTTTACAATGCAAATGTCATTAATTAATTACAACAGACTACATCAAAATTAATGATAAGATAAAGACATAAACTACCAGAATGGCAGATATAAAGTGAATTTGTATGCAGGGAGTTTCTTAAAGGAGGAGCTCTCTCAATACTGATAGATTATCTCTAACACTCTAACAAACTCCAGCTCGAACTACAAGTGATAAAAGTTCTAGGAACTCTAGATCATATACTTTAATGTCATGTATAAAGAATGTTAATGATCTTGAAGAGGCTTTGTTTCTACAAATATATGCCCGGTATGCCTTGTACTTCAAGCAACATATTATCCTGTATTTTTCTAGCCTTTCAATTCGTTACTATATCGACAACTTCCTTTATTTTCAGTATCCTTCGGCCCTTCTTCATCACCCTTAACCTCCCTAGCACTCCTGTCTCCAAAGTGATCCAAGTTATTCCACGCTTACTCTTTTCCCTTTTCCCCCATACACCCTTTGTACTCTCTTATCTTTGGAGACAGGGTTTTGTCCCATATCTTTGGATATATGTGTCCTGTTATCTGTGTACATTATTAACCCTTATTGCAGCAGACCAGTGTGCACTCCCATACCCCCTATCCTTTCAATTTTTTCCGTTAGAACTGGTCATGATTGTCTTTGACTTCATTTGTTGCCCTTGAATCAGTGACATCGTTTATAAACGTCTCCATTATAAGATATGAGCAATTTCTGTTTTCTCTTTTAGATGCTACTCTTGCCGAGCCATTATTTACCAATTTGAAAGAAGATTCTGTTAAATGTTCCACGAATGCTTTGATTCCGACAAGATGCCCTTCTGAATCGACATGTGTATCAAACAGTATTTCTAGATCGAACTTTGCATGCTGCATGCTTGAGAATGGCATCGATTGTAAAGATAATTTCCACTGTTGCCCTGAAAACACGGTTTGCCATAAAAAATGCTCGCCCTTATGGTGCAGATGCATCCCACTGTCGCCTTGATTTTCTCGTTTCACAACTAAAATATGTCACTAACTAGTTTGGTTTTCTAATATTTACCACAAGGTTCAGGGATGGCTGTAGCATTAACGACCCGAGTAATTGGTAATACTGAAACACGAATGGTTGAAATTTATCATCAAAATTAGAAAAAAATCGCAAAAGCCTAAAATAAATGCAAATTCAAAGCAGAAGCCTATACTGACGAAAATACGACAACTTTGAAAATATGTCACCCAGTCACAACGCTCCTGCATGTTTATAAATGGCAGTAGTTATTAAGTGAGTGTTTAAAGATTCCCATAATTAGTAAGTATTTTACTCTTATAAAAGATTTTAACTTATAGAAGTAAATGCAACATAGATAAATATAGATGTCTGTAATTTTCAGATTTGGTAGTGTAAAATACGAGAATAAGCGGTAGTATTTTTGATGGATGATTAAAGCATGTAGTTAAATTGTATATATTTTATCGTATATTAAAAGATGGAGTCAACATTTGTGGATATAATTTTTTAACATGAAGCTTTAAGAAAATCTGCATGATTTTCTCAGTTTTAAAGCCGAGATAAGCAATGAAATAACTGTAATACTGAGCAGTGGGACACTGCCATAAGGGAAATGGGGAGAAAACGTCATGAATAAAGGAAGAGATAGAAATTGAAGGAAGTTCCACAAGATCCCTCCTGAAATAAACTCTGATAAAATTTCATTTGATAAATCATTATATTGAAAACACATTCAGCAGCGAGTTAAATGAGACATTGATGAAGAAGCTTCCACAGAAAATGAAAATATCACTATTTTGAACTAAAATATATTTTGTGCTTTGATTTATGCTGTTGCTTGATATTTTTAGAGACACTGGGAAAAAGTTATGAAAAACTCCTTTTGTTTTGCAAAATTGTAAAGGGACCAGAAATGAACAAGCTGTAAATGAACAGAAATAATCATAGTGGCCCATAGCCAACAAAAAAACCGAAAAATCTTGAATATCATTAAAGAACTATTTATTTGGCAACTTGTAGATGTCGTTTATTGACCCCCTCAAATAAACTCCCATCTAATAGGTGCATGAATTAATAAGCTCAAAGGGAGCCAATTCCAGGGTTTTGAGAAGAACCATCTCTATGAAAAAGTATCATCTAAACAGCAACAACAATTTCTCCTCCGCACAAGAATGCCTCGCACGTGGCTGACGTTCTTTTTCTAGACAAGGCCCTTCGTAGAGGAGTCTCCCGAGAAGATCTGAGTTTCCAGACAAAATGACCGGTACAGAAATGATGCAAGAGAGTATTTGGTTTGAAAAGCCAAAGTATGAAGAGGCTGAAGCTCAATACCAACTCCATTTAGCCGGCGAAAGCGGTTCTGGTGGAAAGGTAATAAAAAATCATAGGCCTAAATTAAATCAAAATTGCACTAGTAGTTTTTGTCTGTATATAAATTCCCCCAATAAGCATAGCGCTGACAGATATACGAAGAAAAAAAATCAATTTCTTGACAGGATATGCGAATATTTTTGCTAACAACTACGAGTAAAAATATTTCAAAGGGAACAGAAGATAGAATAAGGCAAATATCTTGTTTTTTAAAATATTCGCAACAAAACGATTGTATCATTAAAAAAAACAGAAATGCTACGTGCATGTGCATGAGTTTGTTAAACTTTCCTCTGTGAGTTATTTGAAACCAAACTTGACATTTTTTAATTGAGATTTTATGATACAGGGTTTGTGGTCATCATATGATATTCCACTCTACATACACAACTAAGTTAAGGATACAATAAGTTTTAAACATATGTAATATAAGAAATTTATGCTGTAAAAATGAAGAAATCACCCCCTGATCCTTATTGGGAGCCTTTTTGAATTCCTATGTTTCCATTCCTTGTTTGAAGCTCTGAAACATGAGGATTAACGAAAAGAAGCAAAAATGTAAAAGGAAAAATAACCTACCTTTGGAAATATTGAAAAAATTGAAACTATTTGGACATATTTTAAGATCACAATAGATGCACCCACAAAGAAAGCAATTAATTACTATTTCGAACAATCAAATTCAAAGAAATTTTATGAAGGCCAATTATCAAACTGCCATATTGAACAATGACATAATAATATTGAAAAAAAGCAGAGAAAGTTCAAATATAAATAGCAGAAAAAGGTCAATATGGTTTTTCTATGCCTAATAGGCTAGACTTCAAATTTATTTGCCTAAAATAGAATCATTCCAGTTCACTACAGGCTTATTAGCAATTTTGTGGTTATGTCCTAAGATTTATTTTTAATGTTTATCATGCTCAAAATATTTGGCTCTGCATGTTGGAATAGTAATCCCTGAAAATCTGTGACACAAAATGTCTTTTAGCTTTACTTTTTCATGGCGCATAGTCCATGTTAAGTTATTTAGAATGATTATATTTAATTTAAATGCACAATTAAACAGGTCTTTCATATGGCAAAATTTTCTCAATTTGTGATTTTGTTTTTCCCAAAACAGAAATTTCCCCATTTCCAATGCATTGACAAAAACTTTAACTTCCAAAATTGATTGAAACAAGGATCAACAACTTAAAAAATGTTTTAACTATCGGCTATTTCCTTGCCTAATGATCTCATCATGATGATGTTTATGTTGCTATTTGCTAGGTGTCAAGTACAGCAGCATCATCACTGATTGATGAGATTGCCAAAGCAAGAAATAATATCAAAAAATCTCTGACTGAGGTAACAACATTTGAACATCCTCCTGGACAATCAAATGCAAACTGCAAGTTGCTTAAATTTTTTGGTTAAATGTGAAAAAAATGAAATGTTCTTATTAGATTTACTATTGTCGGTATTGCAAAGGATAAGACTAAATGGCACTCTTATCTGAACAAGGATTTTTTATTTATATAAAAACCTTCACTCTAAGCTGTATTTTCTTCCTCCATCCACCAGGCACCTGGTTCTGGTACAACAGTATCTGACAATACAGTTGCAGCACTACAGAAAGAGAATAATGAGCTCAGACAGAGTAAGTTGTTTTCAAATTAGATGTGTAGATTTTGGCCTAATTAGGGGTGCTGTTGCTTTGGTTTCATAAGGGAGAGAGGGAAAGGGCAAGTTTTACTACCCCTCTGACAAAAAGATGTGCCTTATTTTGGCATAGCTCTTAAAAGCACAAATGAAATTCATGATTCAACAACATAGACAAAATGATGAAGTTTGAGACAAGATGGTGCTAATTGCTTGCTGCTTTCACCACAATTGTATTCATAAATTTTGTGTTTTCCATATGTAAAAAAAAGTGCCAAATAAGCTGTTCAGTAAGAGAAAGTTTCATACAGCACAGGAAAGTTTATGTTCCTTTGTGTTGCCTGACCAATTAGACAAACTGTATTGCCACAAAAATATCCAAGAAAATTTAATCCTTTCCACAAAATTTTCTCAGCATGAGTATCCATGATATTTGCCTTATCTGCATTTAGTATTGCTTTCCAACTTTTAATTCAAAGCTGAAGTTCTTGAGTGATCAAAATCTAAGATCACTTACAATGTAGCACGATATAATGCTTAATTTCAAGACACCTTATAATAAAAATATTTTGATGCTAGTCAACAGAATGCTGTAAACACAGTTGCACAGCTTAAGCTTATGGAAATGCATTCTAATTAATGTTAAAATATTCCAGCTACTTTTATTGTTTACCTTAAAAAGTTTTTGCACTAATTACATATTGGAAAGTATTATATGCAGGCTTTCGTCGGAAAGGCGTGCGATCGCACGCGCACGCCCTGGCACACGCCTACCGCTTTCCAGGAGTGCAAAACATCACACGCCTTCTTTTATTATCGAAGCACAATTCATAATGATTGGTTTTGTGGGTTTTTGAGATTAGTTAATATATTTATCCTTCCTTGGTACAATTACTTCATGCCACTTCAAAAAGGCTTAACACCTTATCGGGATTGCAGATTAAATAAAAACTTTTGAAATAACCATAGGATTAATCTACAGTGGAGTCCCAATATTATGAAACCTGAACTGGTTACAAGTATAATTAATTTTCCGGCATGACAAGAAATATCTGGCCTCTTGATTTCTGCCTCCGCACAACTTCTCTCGGTATAACTAATCCCATATATAACGAATTTTCGTATATTAACGAACCTAATTGTAGTCCCTTCATCATAATTTTCCTCAATATGACGAACTTTTCCAAAACTTTTCACTGTTATTTTGGTCTACTTATTCCCTGTGTATTTATCGCTATTTCTCGGTGGAATCATTATTGCCAGCGACAAAACATACATTGGCAAACATGCACTTTTAATGATGCAAAAAAAGAGAAGAGATTTGTGCAAACGTTTGCAGCTTTTCAAGGCTAAATGGCATTTCATTGAACAAATTCAAACACAGAAGACTATAACAGACATTTTTGTCCCCGAATTTTAAGAGGAACATTTAGTGTTTTGAACAAGATTTTCATTTTCGATCGCAATTTTAGCGAAAGCAGCCGATTATGCGATAAAAATTGGCCGATTTGCCAATGATGCGATAAAAAATAGCAGATTATTTGCAGATTTCGCTACCCCCTACGGCCCCCTCTTTAGATATCGTTATGCTTTAAATCTAGCTTTAGCGAAATTTGGTTTAATGAAAAATGGGCCATCATTTTATTTTATGCATCTGGCCAGTGAGGTTCATAAAATAGCTGTCATGCTTGATGACAGAGGGCCCTCGGGGCAAGGATCTACACGCAAAAACGGCCATTAGAACCAGATGAACGCCACAGCATCAATGACTCTACAGGCCCGTCGGAACCGGGGACTGGGGGGCTGGACCCCCCCCAATAATTGTCAAACTGTTGTATGTTTCCTTTATAACAGTGTACTGAATAAGAAGGGATACAATGGACAGCCCCCCCAATATCAATTTGGTTCCCACGGATGAAACCTGCTTACGACATAGCAAAACATATTTCTGTACTTGTAGTGCCGTTTTTTGTTGATATATTAAATAAGCTCAGTTTATACTTGTTTAGAAAATTGCTTAGTTGCTATAATGTAAGTAGTCATGGTAAGAATTCAGCGAAATAAATTTCATCAAATTTTTGCTTTCATCATTTTCGTGTTGGCAATTTCTCCATAGATCTGTCATAATTACCAAAAAGTTTTGTGAAAAAATGTCACACGCCATCACACGCCTGGATGTTTTCAGGGGTGCGGTGGTTAGCACGCCTGCTATATTTTTCCCACGAAAGCCTGATATGAATTGTTGGTGAGACTTGGATAACACATCAACATGCATTCCAATATGCTAAAGTACTCATCCATTTTCCACCTAGAAAATTTACTAACCAGCCTGTAAATCAAGCTAGAAACTTTTCTCAAAAGGGCAAAATTGTGCATTTATGCAGTTTTTTCTATATTTTCTCCTTTAAGTGGTACTTATGCTTACAAAGAAAATGAATGAATTAGAGTTAAGAGTAAACAAGATTGAGGGAACAAAGCCAAGTGTAAAGGAAGAAAGTGCAAAGCCAAAAGAAGAAGATGATGATTTTGATCTGTTTGACTCAGAATCTGAGGAAGACGAAAAAGAAGATGACACAGAAAGAAAAAAGTTGCTGGAAAAATACCACGAAAAGAAATCAAAGAGTAAGTCCTAAGTATTCTTTTTTAAAATGAGTCATAGAAACTGACCTATGTTTACAAGTTAAAATGAATTTTTTGTTGCTTCTTTAATTGTTCCAAAACTTTAAAGAGCCACTCTAGCTAAATGATTTTGTTAAACCTTATTGACTAAATGAAAGATTTTGTCACCTAGAAGTGACTGTAAGGTTTATGTGACAAATAGTTGGCTTATTTTCTCAAAATCTAAGAACTAAGAGCACCCTCCATTCCAAATTTTACTTTCCATCCAAATTCTCAATAATGCCTTTGAACATTTTAATTTGGACATTTATGCAACATCTTAAATGTTTTTCTTCCTTTCACAGAGCCTGCCTTAGTTCCAAAGTCAAACATTCTTTTGGATGTCAAACCAGTATGTTTGTTTACAGTTTCTTTCCTATTTATTTTGTTTTGATTAAAAGTATTTTCCATGAATACAAGTGTAGTGTTTTATAAAGATAATGTAGCAAATGTGCCCATTAAATTTTTGGAAAATGTGTTATGCAGATTCTAGCTAAAAGTGGCTTCCTTTTTTCCCTAGTGGGCTGATGATACAGATTTAGAAGAAATGGAAAGGCTTGTCAGAGGAATTAAAACAGATGGTCTTGTCTGGGGTGCTTGTAAGTTTTTCAGTTAGTTGTTAACTAATAAAAACTGTAAGCATTTATTCTTTTTGGCTAGCTATATTGTGTATGTGTTGATCAGTTAATATCATTCAAATGCCTCAATGAAGTTACTGAATTATGTTAAAAAATATTCATCACTGGGTGTAATATGCTCAATGGGTTTCTAGTCATTTTGGGATTTATGATTTGTGATAATGCTTAAAGGGTACACTTGGAAATGAAATATTTTTTTTCCAAACAGTATCACTTTCAGAATAATACCATGTATACACAAATAAAGCCAGAACTATTAGGTAAATTCAACAAATAAGCAAGATTGTTTGGTCCTTGATGTAATATTATCTTTTCCTTGCTTCAATTTAGCAAAACTTGTTCCTGTTGCCTTTGGTATAAAAAAGCTACAAATTGCATGTGTTGTTGAAGATGAGAAAGTTGGAACAGACTTTTTAGAGGAAGCAATTACAGAATTTGAAGATCATGTGAGTCTCATTCTTCTTTTATAGTATTTAAATGTGACAAGTTAATCACTTATTTTAAAAAGGGTTTATTTGTGTCTTTGAGTACCTACAATATCCAAATCACCAAAAATGCCCCAATATTTAAGTGAAGAATTTTTCAAATAATTTTTCAATGCAACACTTTACCTTAAATTTATTTGGATAGCTATCTAGGTATCTAGATTTGATTTAATTCATAATTGGCTTAGACATTAACCCCTTTGTTTCTGTTTTAAATTCTTAGAAAGTTATACAGTAAAATGACTCTACAAAACAAACTGTAGTTACACTAAGATATAGTCACCATCTCAATTCTTGTTCACGCTTGCCCTCCCTTGCCCTTTCAATTACTTGGTTGTGGCTTGGCATTCTGATTTTTTTATGTGGTAATTTCTTCAGCTTAGAGTCAGTTTTGAAGAAATGAATTACCATATTTTCTTTCAAATATTTTCATATGTTGGCATCAAAATAATTAGCAAAAATTTTTAAAATGCCTTTACTGTACTTTTTTTACCACAACCTTTGAATGTACTAAAGTGTTTGTAGGACTAGGGTATTTGCGAATCTCTTGTTTAAAACTTAATAATAGTTGCATTTATCTTATACTATGAAAGAGCTTATCTGCAATGAGTCATCATCAAGCATGTTATTTATCTTTTTTTCAGGTTCAAAGTGTGGATGTAGCTGCTTTCAACAAGGTTTGAAGTGAAAAATCTAGTCAAGCCAAAAATTGTTGTAATTTGATAATAATTTGATACATGGATAGTTCATTGAGGGGTTTTTCTCTTTTTTTCTTTTGCTGTTTCACAATTCAGAGTTGAATATTAAACTAGCTGCTAGCCATGTCAAACGACTCTCACATTTTATTATTACCCTTGAGTTTTGGAAACCTAATGTTAGAACCATCTAATTTGTACATCTAAAATCATTAATTGTGATCATGTTGGTGATGTTGAAATGCTGTCCAAATTATGCTCTCAAGCACAAAGCAGAAAAAACTCTGTAATGAATTTTCTTCTACATTTCTTAGCATATTAAGTTATTTGCACCATTTGAATCAAAGTTACAGCAAAGATAATAACAACATAGATACCTATTTTTCTACATGTTTAAAATGATTGAGCACTTTCTTGAAGAAAAGTGACATTCATTACACTTCAAACGAAGTACATCTTGCGAAAAAATCAAAAAAATGTATAATGAGAAATAACATCAGTTACTACAAGTTGAACCCCACAAGTTACTACAAAACTAAACCTTTTCATGAGAAATACACTTCCCGCATTGTTATTAAGCAATGGAAGGTGAACAGAAAAAAACCTAAAACATTAAGAGAAATAATTGAAGGCCCTCAGGAACTTATTATAATACAGATCTGACCACAATTTTCCAATGTATGAGTCCCACAATTGGTAAACAATTTATTTGGTGTTGGGAAAAGTGTCAGTTTTGAAGGTATATTGTATATTGTTTTGTCTAAAAGAAACTTTGCAATTCAGCTGGGCAATGTTTTTCCATAAGCCATTTAATACTGTGTCTCTTGGGGGCAAGACATGATTTGGCAAGGGTGGTAACTGGCTTGTCAAATGATTCTATAGAGGGTCTAGGGAGTGTGATTGTCCATGCTGAATAACCCCCCCCCCCCTCTAAACACCTTAATACATCTCAAATATTCTTTTTGAGGAATGTAAGTTACAAAAAAATAAGAAGTTTTTCATGTAAAAAACCATGGCCTGTGAGAATCACAATTAGCTCAACTTACATATTGAATGATTTATGATTTGAGTTCTATTCTTTTAAAGTGCATTTGATCTTTGAGTAATTTTTTTTCTGCAAATATTCTATATTATCTAGTATTGTCCTCAGTTGGAAACTTTCCTTCAGTAAAGTAATGTTCAATTTCTTCTAATGTTCTACCCTTTGTCTCTGGTACATAAAAGTACACAAAGATGAAGCTAAGGAGACAGAAGCCAGCAAAAAACCAGAAGGTTCCTTGTTCAGTGAATGCGTTAATCATACTTGGAAAGTTCTTTGTGACAAGAAAAACAAACAGCCAATTGACGAAGGTGCATATTCCACTAGCAAGTCCTTTTGCTCTTGGGGGAAAGATTTCAGACATGAGGAGCCATGGCAGGGGACCCCAACCAATAGAAAATAAAACAATGAAAAGGATAGCACTTCCAATTGCAAGCCATGTAATATGTTCCAGTGGAATAGAATGTTGAACAGATTCTAAGCCTTTTGCTTCACTTGTAGAATTTGTGTTTTTCTTTAAATCATAATAGAGCCCAAGACCGGTATTACAAACACACATTCCAAAACCACCAATCAGAAGCAGAATTCTTCTTCCGGCTTTATCAACAATAAGGCAGGCAACTGCAGTTGCAAGAAACTGAGCTAAACCTACAAGTATTGAGACCAAACTGGAATTCTGGACACCTGCTTCCAAGAAAATATTTGTGGAATAAAACATGATTGCATTGACTCCACTTAGTTGTTGGAAAATCATCATCATAACACCAACAACAAGTGGCTTAAGCAGGGCTGGCTGACCAAATTCACTAAGTGTCATCTTTTCTTGCATATCTAAAAATACAAATGGATTATATTTCAGAGCAGGTAGCTCTTGAAATAACAGGGTCAGTATTATAGATATAAGACCAAAGTTTTAATTTCTTTAAATATCCTGGCATCAAGGAAGTTTTAATCTGTACTATAAAACTGATCCACAAAGTAAAAAAATATTGCAAGTCAGAAATGTGATTTCATCCACTGCATCTTTCTGGAGTCAATGCAGCTTTGTCATTTAATAAAAAATATAAAGGTTATTACCAAGGTTGGACTCAATTTCAAAGCACTCTTCCTCCACATCATAATTATTCCCTCTGAGCCAAGCTAATTCTTTGAGAGCTAAAAATCTCTGGTTGTTAGCGAGTAACCATCTTGGAGTTTCTGGCATGAAAAGCATCAAAATCAAAAGAAGTGTTACTGGTCCAACTGCTAACAGAGCAGTATTCTCCCAGCTCAAATTTGTCCCTGTTATGTAGGCAATCAAGACACCCAAAGTTACTGCCAACTGATTTACTGACCCAAGACCACCCCGGAAAACTGGAGGGGAAATTTCTGCAATGTACACCTAGAACAGAAAGTTGTGATATAGATTTCATCCATGCAAGTTACAAACAGTCACATCATTCTAGCTATGAATAGAAAAGTATAAATTGCAATTTATCATTAATTTGAAACAAATTTATATGTTGATTGAATTCCTAAAAAAATAGATTAGGGATTATTCAGGAGGAAGTCCAGAAAGAAAGATTGGTTTTCAAATGGTTTAAACAGCTGATTATGGGAGAAGGAGAGGGAGAGAGCTTGATAATGATGACATAATCTGTTTGAATAGAATCTTGAGTAAGTCCTTATTATACTTATCTTTTGGTAGCTCATGCATACATCAACATAAATTGATAATAAATATGGTACAATGTTCAACATCAGCATCAAATGAGAAATCAATGACAAATTAAATCAATCAAATGAGAAAAGTAAAATAAGTAATAGCTACCTTTGGAACATTACAGGTTTATCAGACTAAAGTATCTTTTTCCATGAATAGAAGAATTGTGAAAGTTGGATAATTTGCAAAAATTTAAAAGTCTATAAAAACTGAATTTTAACAGATCTTTTATGATTTTTCAAGATGTTCCTTAAGTTTCTTGTCTCAAAATAATGTTTAAAATGACAACTAGCTCGCTCATTGCAATAAACACAAATAACATTTACATTTATATTACTTCTAACATAAAATATGATTTAGTATTGACTTCATCAAAGTTTGGCTGACTCAGTTATTGAAAATGATTTATTTTTGTTCTCACCGGAACAGTCAGAGAAGTAGCTCCTACTGCTACCCCGGTTAGGAGCCTACCAGCAAAAACCATTGGAACATTAGTTGCATTGCTTATAAGCAGCCAGCCTGCTGCAAACGGTACAGAATACAACATCAATGCAGTTTTTCTGCCAAAGTAATCTATCATCCAACCTCCAAAGAAGGCACCAGCAATTGCCCCTACACCAAGCAAAGACTAAAATATAATGATATTCATTTTCAAAATATGGCAGACAAAAATTCAACTGCAAATAAAAATTGACATGAAGTTTTATTTTGAATCTCTGTCAACATGCTTGGCTACACATTCACTGTCATATAACCTCTAGTATTTTGCATTATTCAGTTGTTTCATTTTTAGTCAGGGACTGCAAAATTGGGATGGAGGGGGAGGAGGCTTTGGGGACATACAATGTTTACATGCTTTCCCCAGGATAATGATTCGGATCCTGAGGAAGTTGACATTGAATAGCTGTTAAAATTTCCATTTTCTACTGTTGAAACATTACTTATTTTGTGCAATTTTATTGTTAAAAATTTCTTTTTTTATAGGCATATGCACCTGTATCTGAATTGTTTTTTTTGTATGCTGTAAAAAGGCAAACTCATAAATTTTCAGCGGGGGTAATAGGATATTTTTTTGTAGTGTTCTTTTGTTTGTACTTTGGTATCTGATATTCTACTGCTGTAAGAAGAACCAATCATTCAATGTTTCAAAACCAAATGTGTATTGAAAAAAATTGATTTCCACCAGATCAGGAGTTGGTTCAATTAACTTTCGAAGCCTCAACTTGTGTTTGATTAGACGGTTTAACATTTTCATCAAACATTAAACTTAAGACTCAGAGAAACTGAAATATAACTTTTTTTCAAGAAAACAATCTGAGACAGGCAACAAAACTAGTGACAGATGACAATTTTTACTAATTAAAAAATTAAATGGACTTACAGTGTTAAAATTTTTAGGCATTATTTATCTTAAGTGGAAGAATGAAGTTACACTGTTGTTAAGTGGACTTTGGGTTGGCTCTGAATAAAGAGCCAGTTAAATATTTCATGAAAGAAAAATCTGTTCCTTGTGTGACCCTTAGGGTTTGGTCTTGATGGAAAACAAAAGTCATGAAGGGAAATCACAACAAGAAGGTTCCATTTTTAAGTACGAAGAAGAAGTAGAAGTACATATTTTGAAAACAACAAAGCTGCTAAACCTATTTGAAAAAAATGGCCGTAGGGAAAACTCATAAAGTTGCAAACAGATTTCACAATTCTTCAAAATAGTTGTTTAACAAAGAGGTACTCTCGACAATCTTTCCACTGAAAAGATCAATTGGTCACAAGAAAGGTGAGGGGCTTTTGTTTGTTGACGTCAACAGGACCTTGTTACGTACAATAATAGACTGCGGAAACTTACAACAGATAATTTTGACAAATAAGACACATACCGCAAACCATGAAAAGTCACCCTTATCTAGATACACCTTGCTTGAAGTTTCAGCCATTTTGGGTTCGACAGGGGCAGAGTATCCAAGAGCAAACCCAAAATTAAATGGTCCAAGCGCAACAACAAGAGTTGCAAAAAACGCTGGTAGGAACTTGGCTTTTGATGCACCGGACACATCGCTGAGCTGAACGTGTGTAGATATGTAATCCGAATCTGAGTACGGAACTTCTTCAATGTCAGCCCTCTTCATGATTGCACTGTGAGTTGCATCAATCATTTCACTGGGGAGCTTCTATAACCAAAATGGCGCATGACTTTCTTTCTTACTCATGTGACCAACAACGATTGGGAAACAACAAAAGCGAAACTTGCAGGAAAACAACCTCGATTGGGATCTTCTTGATTGTGGTAGAGGCCACAAGCTAATGGCAGAAGTTTGTGGTCGATTCTGTGGAGTATATCTACTTACCTGTTTTTATGAAGTAACTAGGGAAAATGAAGGTATTTCTTGAGGTCGTTTGGTTGATCTTAAAATTAACGTACTATTATTTTGAAGCATTAGTCCTTCTTTTCACAAAGCCAAAGAAAAAAGATGTTAGTGGAAGAACAGTTTTGATTACAGGTATGGTTTTATAGTCACACCAATATTTGATTGAAGACTTGTGACTGTAATCGGAGTGTGACTGTAAACGGAGCTAAATTGAATCGGAGCTAAATTAAACCTTTTTGCACATTTGGGTCTAGATTTTATGTTCCTGTAACCAGTTGTAGTTTAAAATTGAGTGACGACCATGATCCAGTGTGGATTCCATGGCAGCTTCACTCTCGCACACCCGAAAAATGGGCGTGGTTTGGGCTTATTTTTGGCTCAAATAAGAAAGTTTTTTCAAATACAGCAAAATGATTTTCCAAATTTGTTTGCAACTGAGACTGGAAAAAGTATGTGTCATTCTAAACTGTGTGATACACCAGGGTGCATTCCATGTAGTTTACGCCGGAGATCTCCGGCGTGGACTTAGCTTGTTCCTCGGCGTAGCGGCGTGAAATTTGCTATTTGCGAGCCTTGGCGCATTGGCGTATGTGATAAATTTTCGCGATCGGCGTAGCAAAAACGGTACTTGTACAGAATACGTGGACAGCCTGATTATATTGATATGGACAGTAAAAGCAATGCAAACTATAGATTAATCAAAAGCTTGTATGTTTTACATTTGGCGTAGCAACTAGAATAGGTTGAAATTTCTCTGGCGTGGGTCTAACATGGAATGCACCGTGGGTGATACATTTGAGATACGGTCTGCCAAAAGTTTCAGTGGGCCTGGGATAAAACTGAAAAATAAAGCTCTTTGGAAGCAAAGTGAGCAGAAAATTTATGTCACCCCGTCTTCAGATTAGCTTGAAATACATTTCAGAATCTTTTTTGCAGTCATTTTCTTGCCATTGTTTCAATATTACTTTGTTTCAATTGTTTCATTTTCACATTTTACTTTTTTTTCCATTCTATAAACGGATTACTATCATTTAACTATAAATGGATCAATTCCATTCTTATAATGGGAATTTCTTTCTTTATCAAGTTCCATAGACATTGAGGCCCTTAGGCTATTTGCCCTATTGTCTCCCTTTTGGTGGCCCTGTTTTAGATCATCCTCATGATGCTTTTACTTGCAAAACCTTTGGGAATTTGAATAACAGCCACTGGTGGTAGTGGTAGATAGGCCTAGAAATAGTTAAGCTCTCAAATGAATTTCCCTGAGATGTAAAAATTTATGTTAACAGGAAAAGTGCTGGAAAAAATATGCACACACTCAAATATCAAGAATGAGAAATTTGATGCACACTGAAATGTGCCTACTTATCACAAATGCACTCACACTTGGGTAACAACTTGTGCACTCCCGAGATCTCATCAAAAACTGCCTTGAAATCTAGTCTGGACCCTGAGTGAGCATGACCAGAAACAAATTGTTTTTTTCTATTCTGCATAGTTTCACCTGGAAAAAGTCACCTCCATCTTTTTAGGCATCTAATCTTTGCTAAATAGGTCTTAATTCCTTGAAAAGGTAAATGTAAAGCACTTCCTGCTGTTTTCCCATTAATATTCACAATTTTCTATCTGTTTGATATTTAAAGCACTGATCTAACACTGTTTAGTAAGACATTTTTGCCCTACTTTACAAATTATGAATCATTTCAGGTGGCGGAGGTGGGCTTGGGAAGCAATTGGCCATACAATTTGCAAAGCATGGAGCAAGAATTGTTTTATGGGATGTAGATACAGGTGAGTACAATCCTCTTCGTTTTTTTATAATCTTACTTTGAAGTTTTCAGTGTAGAGTTGCTCTTACCATTGGCTGTATGCTGAATTTATTAGAGTTGCATAAAATTAATGAACCATTCTGTTATCAGTTAACCATGCTCAGCTTCCAAATAATAACCTCTGATGTTAAGATGCGTGAAATTTTAAATATATATTTAAGCAAAAATGATAATTCCAAATTTTACCTAATTTTTTCAGAGAAAAGCAAGCTTTTCATATTTTGGGATAACACTATCCCTTTCTAATCCTACTTGAAATAGCAAGCTATTATTGACTGATATATGAATTTTGCATCAAAATATCTTAATGAAGACCCACTTTTATTGTTAATCATTAAAGTTCTTCATCAATATTTATGTTTTAGATGCAGCTGATAGAACTGTAGCCATTATAAGGGAAATGAATGCGGATGCATTTGCTTACTATTGTGACTGCAGAAATGAAGATGAAGTTGCCAAAATGGCAAGAAAGATTACCAAAGAAATTGGTCCTGTTGATATTCTTATAAATAATGCTGGTATTCTCAATGGAAAAAGTCTTTTAATGCTGAGCACAGATGAAATAAGAAGAACTTTTGATGTCAATGTGTTGGCTCATTTTTGGGTTTGTATCCTGCATATATGATTTCTGGCAATATATTTACCCTTAAGGCAATGTAGAACATTAGAAACATCTAAGAAGCAGGTCTCTTTGTATATTGACAGAGGCTACGGAAAGAAACCTGATTATCAACAAAATTTTTATTGCTAGTGAATGAAATCTGTCATGGGTAGATATTTTGCTCAAGAAAAAAATAAAATTTTTAATCCTTTCCCAAACTCTCTTTTGAAGGGATCAGTCAATAAAATCTCTTCTTTAATCATATTTTCTACATTGTATTTATTTCCCCTAACATTTCTACCCATGAATAGCTCAAGTGTCAGTGTCTCTACCTCATCGTTCTTCAAATTATGGCAGTTTCAATATTAAATCTCTGCAGCATAAACCTAGGTAAAAACCCTGAGTTTAATTTGAATATTTACTTTTCTATTCTGAAGACACTTAAAGCATTTCTACCAACAATGATTGAGAAGAATGAAGGACATATTGTTACCATATCATCATCAGCTGGTTTAAGTGGAACACCATATTTATCAGACTATTCAGCTTCAAAATTTGCATTATTGGGCATACATGAATCAATGTTTCTTGAACTGCGAGACAATGGAATAGATGGTGTGAAATTCACTATTGTCTGTCCAAATTTTATAAACACTGGAATGTCTTGGTACCCAAAAACAAAGTATGTTTGTTAGGAATTTTGCTTTGTTGTATTGCTTACATTTGTTGACCTATAAGAAAGTTGAAATGCTGTCCTGTATGTAATGTTTTGATTCCATTCATCATTGAACAAAGATGTGCATGGGATTTTATGTGCCCCTTGAAGGTTAACAGGTCAAGTAGTAAGCCTAGTTTACTAAAATGGGTGTGTGCCATTTATAACAACAGACATGTTAAGGATATGTGCCACAATTCATATAAGACTTCATATGTAGAGCATAACAATTCATACAGGAATAAGTTGAGATGCTTTTGATGTCTTTTGCCTTTGTCTCTTTGTGTCTATACTGTTAAGGGACTGGGGAAGCAGTAGAGGGGCTGAGGGGTCTTCAGCCCCCCCCACCCCCTCAATAATTTCCAAAATGTACTTAAAAGCATACAAAAAATCACCCTGCTCTTGTTTTTAGCATTCTTAGCAAATTTTAATATGCCCCACGGTTCTTGATACTGCTTGTCCTAACATCTCTTATGCATACAGAGCAGTTTTGAGATGCTTCAATTAACATATTACCATCATTGTCAAGATCTACTCTCTTATTTACAGGGTGCCATGGCTACTCCCTATTCTTGATGCAGAAGATGTTGCCAAAGAGATTCTGATAGCTGTAAGGACAAACCAGCAGTTGCTTGTACTACCAAAAGCTTTGATACCTCTGGTTTCTTTGAAAAGGTATCTTTTTGTTTTTAACTGTCAATGGCTTTTTTCTAAATGTTTTCCTTTTCATTGTTTCTATACTTTATCCTGAGTGGAATTATATAAGAGAGGGGTTTGGGGTATGTTTACTGGTATGTTGCTTACCATTCAGTTCTTTGTTGTAAAAGAAAAGGGACATACTTTGGCCATTTTTGGGGTTTGCTTTCGATGGCCATGTTCTACTCTGCGATACTTGAGTCGTGTTTCGAAATATGTTACACTAGATGTTTCGAAATATGTTATATATGATGTGCTGATGTCATTAGCTTTTTTTTTGATTAATTCAAAATGCTGTAACATCGATGTAAACTTTAATGAATATCTGAATCGATCGTAATGGAAGCTAGAATGGGAATTCGATTCCAACGCGGTATAAGGTATAATTGGCGAGCAGTATATCAGAAAAACCTCAGGATTATTCCTTTCTTAATATCGTCAAGCTACCAGTATTTCCGTGGTTTTTCTAAATGTAATTTTCCTGATGAATAAGTTACATCTTTTTGCTGCATCTTTCTTGAAAGTGAATCGTAGGTAATAAACAATCTGTCAGAGATTCCTTGTATAAATCGACACATGGGCAGCGTGTTATGGCCTATCGAGAGAACTGTACCTACACCCTACACATTCTTCTCCTCCTTAGTTTGGTTCCAACGAAAGGCGGACTTGCAATTTATGACTGGACTGGTCTTGGCATCGAGCCCCATATTCCTCTTTCAAGAAAGAGACAATTAAAGAAACAGTCCGAGAAATCAAAGCAAATATGAATTGGTATAAAGGTTAGATTTATCACATAAACCGAAAAAGTAGTGTAAAGTGTAACCGAAATGCTAGTTATTGATGCAAAGTAATAGTGGACAGCTTTTTAACACAAATAAAACACTTAGAAGCTATTTTACCATACAGTTTTGTTTAATGCCTATTTGCCCTGTTTTAACTATTCCTTGCTTTAAAGGGCATGTGTCGTGGATCTGATTGACTAATACATTACAATGATCTCTGTTGTTTAATACATAGCACGGAATCGTGGATGAATTTGCACGGCAGAAAAATTCATGAAGCAGAAATGAAAAGTCACGAACAATACAATTCTAGTCCCAATGTTTTTGTTGCATTAGCCAACTGCTAACGCGACATATGCCCTTTAATCAAAGCATGTTGTTGCTTTAAATTGTACTTAAAATGATTTTTGAAACCTAGATCTGGAATCAAATCATGTCTTAATGTTTTCCAGCTAATCCTGACAATATAAAACGTAACGTAATTGCTTTCAACTTCTATCGCAATTTAACTACAATTCAGCATAATTAGCTTTTGCAAAACTTTTTCTCTATCTATTTGCATAACAATAATTTTGCTTATAATATGCATGATTTTGATATGAGTGGGTTGTCGTTTTTTAGCATGTTGTTCTGGTGTTTTTTAATTATTGAGTCAATATGATCTTTAATATATACCTCAGCTTTTTTTAAGCCTTCTGGTTGTCATTTTATGGAAATGAATTGGCTATGAATGGATTTTTCAATTATTCATGAATTTGCTAAACAAGAAACTGTTTCTGCACACTCACTTCCAACTCTGAATATACTCTTGGAATATTGACAATACAACTGTAAACTAAATTGGAATCTGATTAATCCGATTCGCTGAAAAGATAAATCTGATATTTAAATATTAATCTGTATAAATGACAGTCTATTCTTCGTTCATAGGATTTGCTGTCACCTGAGTGATTTTCTTTACAGCGTGTTATAGTTTCGGTTATAAAAACTTATGCTTAGCAAGGCTGTAAAATACGTGTTAATATCACATTTGTCTTTGCTTTATCTGATTGTAGTGGACATTTAATTGGCGCTAAAATGTCAAGATGGCCTATTTAGTGTTGTTTTGCTGATTAATAGATCCTTCAGGTGTTTGCAGCTGACTATTTCGCCTTTAAGTGAAGCTACGCGATTGTCTATGATGTTATTATATAATAAATAGCAGCTGGTATGACGCTTAGAATCAAGATACCACTTGTGATTCATTATTCTTCAATTTATCCACAAGCAAAATGATTATTAGTTTGCTATGCAACAATTCGACAGAGCTCACCACACTTCCATGTATTGTCTACTCTCACTAGTTTTTAAATATGCATACGAGAGTTTGAAAGGACCTTTTTTAATTTAAGGGGGTTTGCAAGTAATTACATTGCATCGAATTTCAGGTACGCTTTTAAATTGCTTATTTTTTTTATATTCTTCTGCTGAAATCCTAACTCGGTCAGTTTTCCTTCACAAAACGTTTATCTTAGTTTATCACACACTTTGCTTTGAATTTTTAGAAACTCGTTTATTTCTTCTTCTATAGCCATTGTCGGAGTTTCGATTACCCTCCTGGTCAGGTTTCAGCAGAACCCGTCCCCTTCCATCGCCATCTGTTTCGCGTATCCATGGCTGAGGTTATGAATGCCTTGTACCCTGGGTATCAGCAGCCGCCATTTTCAGTCGGATTTTAAGATCCTATGAGAATTATCTGAAGGCGTTACCTGCAAACTCACTTTATACTTTTGCGAATATTTTAAAGATGTTGACGATCTCTGGGCGTCGTGCATTGAACCGATCGCTGCAAAGCTTAATCAAGCACAATGAGTCGACGGTTACCGTACTTGAACAATTGGTTGAAGACCTACACGAACATCCTTTGCTTGTCCCTTACCAGATGATTAATCATGAAAGGTTTGAGGATCTTGTATGGGGAATAATTAAGATTATGGACTCAAAAAATCTGCATTCACCGAGGTTTGATTTGATACCTTTATATTCTGTTTATATTCTTCCTTTCTACCATGGCTCTTTAGGCTCGTATTTTCCTCTTTAAAAATAAATATATTAGTCTTAAAATATCTCCGAGGTTTCAGTTGAATCGCTGAATATTGACATCCAACTTGCATTTAGCTGCAGATGTTTACATGAGCTGAAAGTTTCAAAAGTTCAAATATGCTTTCTTTTAATATATGCAGCCTCTTCTTTCTCCTTATATTTTTCACGAGACTTCTTTATTTTACAAAAGTTTAGATCAATTTTATATGGTCTTTAAACCTAAATTTCATTATTGCAGCTATGGCATGGGCATACAAGTGCGGTAATAAAAATTACCTATTGTGCTTGTTATGCCTTTTTGTCAGAATGCCATATGGCTGCCTGAATTTATTTATCTGCAATGAATATTTTCTGTTGCATCAAGTTTTCAGACAGAAGCTTTCTTTATAGCTTCTCGACTTTTCCGTTTACCATTACTTCATAACACCATATAGTACACGTTCATCAGTTTAGTTTATCGCTTACAATGCACAGTTTTAAGCAAGTTATGTGGTTATTTTTTAGCAAGTTATGTGGTTATGCCAAAAATACCATGAAGGAGACGACATATTCAATATAAATAGTTCTTGAATAGATGAAGCAAGAATTTCGTAATAACGATAGAATACCTTCAAAATTGCTTTTAGAAACATCATGTTAATTATTCATAGTCCAGTAAAATGAATTTGTAATCAAATTTGATTCATAGAACACAAGTATCTATGCAAAAATGTATTCCGCTTCCTCCTTTTATTCTATTTTTTATGTGTGAGTTGATTGGCGAAGGAAGTTATGTTCTATCGAAGAAATCGATTTGTGTTTTCGAGCCGTTTCTCTCGCACTAACATCTGTCTGTTAGTTTGAATCATAGAAATACTATGGCTCGAATGAATATCCATGCAACGATTCACATAAAGACATTTTAGTGGAGGCTAGAATCAGTTTACAACAGGAGAAACAGTTTTCAACCGATTCAGGCAGGCCTTTGTGATGTTTTTGAGTTTCTCAAATCCTCAGTATTATGCAATCATTCCACAGCTGACTGTGAACTGCCATGCCGGATCTAGTAAAAATCTACTGAATTAAATCTACTGAACAAATGTCTTCGATGAATTATTTAACTGGGAGGAAATGGAAGACGCGAGTTAAAATAGTTTTAGAAATGATTTTTTAGAGATAACAAGATAAGATCATGTTTTAGTAGGAAGTTCATATTGACAACAAACGCGAACAGCCCCTATAGCACTGATAACGGTCTCTCTTTGAAGAGGTATTAATGATCAAAAGGGGTTTGAAATGAAGAAAGAAATGATAACCATATTTTATTAATTATATGATGTTATGTACGGAACAGTCTAAAAGATTTTACAAAAGAGAGGAACGGCACAAGCCTGACCTTGGCCAGCAGGCACTGACCTTGACTAGTTTTTGTTGCCGCAATTTTTGATGGTGTAGGTGGATGATTCTTTAAATAATTATTTACCTGGCCATGCGGTTGACAGGTCTCATGCGTATTAAAGGCAAAACTGATACCAACGGTTATTTTGAGTAAAGATGGTCTCCCCATTTCTAAGACAGTTCAAAACAGCACTTTCCCCAATTCTATTTGAAACTTGCCTCCAAATATTTAGAATATCGATAGGTTGATAAAATTCTGTCTTCCCTTGGCTGACGTTTTATATTGGAGCTTTTGTGGGTTAAAAAGAGGATCCTGGATTGTTTCTATACAATGACATCTTCTTTTTTTAGTTGATTCGTACTAGGCACCGTGGAGCGTTGAGAAAGGAAAGGAGGCCATACCGAATAGAAAAAAGCAGGCTTGGCTGGTGGTTCATTTCTCACATTTTTGCATTTTTGGCAAAAATTAGGGGGGGGGCAGTTTTCTTTAATTTTTCATCTTCACTATACCTTAGTATACTGATCTTAAATGAATGTGAAATTGTTTAGCATTATGATGTTTTTACCCGTAGCGTGGCGGGCAATGCTGCTTACGTAATTGGTGCCATCATTGACACTGATGTTGGAAAGAACAGAGTTTTCAGGCTCTTTGCTGACCCATCGAAACTGGAATCTCACAAATATGTGCTGCCAAATCTGACCGCCATCATTGAGTGCGATGATAAGAAAGCTTCTGTGAATGCAAGTGGAACAATAGCCGTTATTGTAAGGGGCATTTACTTTGGCCATTTCAAAAGCTAACTGCGATATGCTGGCCTGTGGCAGTCCGCATACTGCTTGGAGGGCTAGCCGTTGGCTAGCTTGATTAATATCGGCTGATTTTAAAAGGCCGTATAAATCTTTACACTGTTTTTACTTCTGAAATCATACCTGCATCGAAACAGCTAATGAAACAGATACACCTCTCTGAACCAATCAGAAACTGGTATCCAATACATCTCCCCTTCTCTGCCATTACGACCGCTAAACTAGTAATTGTGTTATTAAGATAATTTTTTTCATTTGGCCAGGTATTCAAGCTACATTATTCAGCTTATCACCACTTCATTCTTTGTTGAAGAAATTACAAAGTACCAATTAATCAAAGGATATAAGTTTATTCATTGAGATAGCACTACATCATATCGAAATCATTGAGACGGATTCGAATAAAATCAAAATTTATTCGCTGCAAAATATGTAGCCAAAATCTACCTTTTAGGCCTTTTTTACAAGTGCTAGTATTGCCGACTGATCTCTCTCTGATCGCAAGCTCTACCAGGATATGTCCGTGCGATATCTATCTACCTCAACTGATAATTTAATACTAGACAACATAAAATGGTTTTTAGTCCTTTGCATGTATGCAAGCTCGTACTTATATCTTTGATGCTCAAGTATGATGTTTATTCCTCCTTTATGAGAAATGGAACCCGGTTCAACATATTTGTGTTTCTTCACTTTGTTTGACGCTACTTGTAGGTTGGAACCGAGGCGGGAAGGACATGGGCACTGAAGCAGCCATCCTTCGATTGGGTTCTTCACGTGCTATCAAAGTCTGTGACGTCAGACAATGCTGTCAGCGCAAGCAACTGCTCTCTTGCAATTGCAAGGTAACTTTCAATCTTTTATGTAAATGATCAAATAGAATTGCCAAAACGTAAAAGTTTTAATCCGATCCTATCACTCTTAAGGCTTATGTCTTCTTGAAGCCCAGAAATTTGAGCAATGTTTTTCATTTAAAATGATCTTGCTAAGGAAGGTTTAACTGAGTGAGCGAAACCTCCTTTGCGTAACAAGCCCGGGGAGGAGTTTTTCACGGGGGATACTGCTATGCTACACTGTAAATGTGGGGAGATAGAAGAATTTGCCTTGGACTGGCAGGGGGTGGGATGTCGTGTCAAAGAGGGAAGTTTAGATCGACTGAGGACAAAAAACTCAGCATGCAGGGGACGTAGAGAAATTGAAAATACCCGGTCATTCGATTTTTCGAAAGGAGACCCTCCGGTCGGTAGATTTCTTATCGGGGACGGTTTTAACCGGGCTTGTTACAAATGGATTTGGAGAATGCTTATTCGCAGTAAAAGTCTTAATAGGAAAGGCATGTTTAGCTTCACCAAAGCCATTTTTGAATGATCCTAAGATACCGCAGGAACCATCAAAGTAAAAAGACCCTTCAATAGCTGATTTGAGGCTTTAATAGCTGATTTGATTGCAAAGTTCAGGAATGAGATTTGACTAACAAAATATTTTGTGTTTCTTGAGTTCATGTAAGATTATGTGAAAGTTCTCATCATCTCACTAAAAACATAGATCGCCCTTTTTCAGCGAAGTACCCTTTCAAACGCTACAATAGCCGCACACACGCTACAATAGTCGCACACACGCTACAATAGCCGCGCTATCATCATTGGTAATATACAAGTAAATTACCAACTTTGAATTCACATGCACTCGTATTGCGCTCGTCTAATATTTTCTCCAATTGCAGAATTTGTGTTGTTGAAGAGGGCTGCAGCAGAATACTTAATTTCCGTAACGCCAGGTTTATCCTGACGCAGCTTATTAAATCCCTTGGCGTGGATAAAGAGGGTAAGTGATGTTGGTTTTAACTTCAATATTAGAATACAGACGTTGATAGTTTTGTGATTATGTTATCTTATGCACCTTCATCTCTTTCTGACCACAACTCTTTTTCGCTCGCTTGGGATTCTATGCATTTTATGTCATCTGAAATTATAAAGACAAATATTCCATGTTTTGTTAAATGACAAAACAACGCAAGTAACATCATCAACAACAATAGCAACATTATCATTAGCAACAACAACCAAATAAGCAACAACAACAGCAACGATAACATCAAATAACTAACAGAGCCCTGCAAGCATGTTATTATCTTTCGTACAACTGTTATTCAGAGCTTTGCGAATCAAGTTAATGTCATAACTTAAGATATGCCTCATTTTGCTGCCTTTTACGCCTCTTTGAATACAAATTGTCTACACAACCAAAAAAGGATAACATCTGTTGGCAGTAAAGATAGACGAAATAAGAACAAGGGAGGTGAATGCCTCAATACAATTGTAACTATATCGTGTGGCTTTACAATATTCAACCGTACAATTGCTGTATGTCTTCTTTGTGCAACAGCATGATGATATTATTTGGAAAAATATAGGCTTCGAACTTTCCATAACCAACCTACAAAAAGTAGTGTTACCAATTTTAATCTCGTTTAGGTGTTGGCATGAACTCTGCATTCGCATTGGCACACTTGTGTCAACACGAGACTGGTTTACGACTCCTTTTGTCCCTTGACGAGTCACCTGAAATGGTTTGTTTTTGTTCACTTGTATAGTTGTCTTTTTGTTTACTTGAAAGCGAGGAATGACAAAAGGAAACAGGCTATCATTTTAATAAAGGTTTATGTTTTATTAAAATGACGTTATTTATTTTCAACTTTTTTAGACCCACATTTAGACCCCGTTTACATTGTGCCGGATAAATTTTATCCGCATCAAAATTAGTTCAGATAGGCATCGCGTTCACACACTAGACCCATGCTATCCGCAGGAATTTGAGAGCGGCTATCCGAACAAAATTAGTTCACCTAGGAAAGTGGATTAAATTAGTTTGGATAGCTATGTGGTACAGTCTAAACGCTTTTATCTGGATAAAATGTATCCACATTGTATCTTGCTCGAAAGCGAATTGGCTATTTCATCCAATTTAGTTTTCACTGTCTCCCAGTCAAGACCTTTCGCCATCTTGGCTGTCTTGTTATCGATAAATACTCGTGTTAAAAGTACAGTATCTTGCCAGTCCACGTAAAATTGGCATCCTTGTCAGCTTTCCCTACTTTCGTTGCTAGTTCAGTGTCATTTCATTTCGAGAACAAACTATTAAAACAAACTTAATTTGTATTGACAATATCTTTGGGTTTGGTCTAAAAGAGAAGCAGATGATTCTGAAGAGAGAATGAAGTCTTTTTACATTGGCGGGAATTTTGTTATTATTTTGTTGCCCAGAGAAAACCTAATTTTGGGCGTTCTGTGCATGATTTAGGTCATGTAACTGCAGTTATCCGGCACAGTGTAACCGGGAGGGCAAAGTGGACCATATTTGTGCGGCACAGTGTAAACGCAAGGCAATCCGAATAGGTTTTATGCGGATAAATTTTATCCGGCACAGTGTAAACGAGGTCTTAGCCATATCAATTCGTCTTTTTACGCAAATTCGAATTATACGAATGGTAACCAGAGGAAATGAGTCTGATTATAATAAAAAGAGATCTATGTCATTGAAAAGAGCCCGTAAGCCCGTAGTGAAATGAAGAATATGCGCCCGAATGGTAGATGTACAAGTGAGACGTACTTTCTTCTTGACTTGTCTTTAACATTTCCATGCAGGGATTTGTATAATGAGAAGCATTAAAATGAATTTCCCTTCCTTCCTTAACTATTTAGATTCACCTTAAGATTAACTATTTAGGTTGCTAGATAGAAAGAAATTTACTATAACCACGGTGCTTTTTCTCCTGTTACATTGGTATAGGAGAGATCCGGACACCGGAGAGATAGGAGTGATTCAATGTTGTTCATAATTGATATTAAATATAAGAGAAATTGTCAGTTGATAATTCCAAATTGATTCTATTGCACATGCTTTCGATAAAAAGTGTTTTTCAGTTGCTTTAAACTCTGTTCATGAGTTTGATAGCTTTTTGAGACAAATAAATCTTTTTTCATATTTTAACTAAGTATTTTAGTATTTTAAATATTACAGTATTATGATATTATGATATTGTTAGTCACAAAAGTCACGAAAAGAACCTTCGTTCTTTTTTCCAAGGCTATTAATTTGATACCATATGTCCGTCCATTATATGATAGAAGAAAATTTTTTACAAAGTAAAAAGAGTTTGCAATCTAGTAAACAAATAATAATTCTTGTTTTAAAGGTTTCCTCGCTCGTGACGATGCTTTGCAGCTCTGACGAAGGCTGCAGCAAGAATGCTTGTTTCGCTCTCCGCAATATGGCAACGAATACGCTAGGCCAAAAAATGCTTATTAACTGTCCTGATATTGACAGGATCCTGCAAACGTTGTCGATGCTGCTTATGAGTCGTGATGAAGAAATAGCAAAATTTGCTGCTGTGTGAGTTTAAGGATTTCTTTTGTGTGCCTTAACAACGTAAAGAATCATTTCTAGGGAGGTTCATCGCTGGAGTATCGAACCTAATAGATATCCTACGTGTATAACGTACTATGGACAGTTATATACGGCTAATGAGAATCCAGTTAACTTGTTTCACAGAGTGTGCTTATATAATTCATAATGATGGTAAAACTGGTGTAAATAAAACATGCATAAAGCCATATGTTAATACAATATAGCGCTAGATATGTTGAAATCTACAACTTGTAACAATATAAATGTCAGATCAGCGATATAATTTGGGCATAAGAATTACAAGACGATTGCCCATGGTGCTGTAGCCATCGCCAAATGGATCCACAATTTGGTCTGAAGCATATAAAGGGCCTGTTACTGGGCCTACTCAGCTTCTGGGCCTATTTCAGGAATACTGCAGACCTAATACTGCAGCACCAATTCTATCAAGAACCTATTAATTATTTCAACGAAAACAACCCGTTCCTTGTGGTATCTTTTAAGTGTTTTATTTAGAATGTTGTTTCCCAAGCCCCCACTACCACAAAAGAAGCATTTACTGTACGCTCTTTTAGAATACGTTTGTTCCCAGATCAAGATTTTGCTAGCTGAAATTACCATTGCAAAAGCACGATTAATGTTGGTGACTCGAAATAGATTTTGAAACAATTGGCTAGAAGGTGATTATAAGACTAAAACAAAAAGTGGTGGCATTTGACACCATAAAAATTGACTGTAAAAACGCAAATAAAATTCTGGGAAGTTTCGTTTTTGTAAAATTTTGAAAAGTTACATATTCAAAATTGATGCTTTACATTTACAATATCAGAAACAATTAAGTTAACAGCCTAAAAAATTAAGGTGAGCAAAATTAGCACGGATTTCTACAATCAGCCACAATTTTCACCCAGACTGTGTTTTTCTAATGTTGTGGCGATTCAAGTCATCGATTTTCTCTTTGTAATAACAAAGATTTCTTTCCTTAATACATTGTTTGAAAGATGGCACATTTTCAAAATCTAATTTGAACGATTTTGATTTAAGCATTAATATTCAACTTATTCATGTTATAGGGGTCTCAGGTACCTGGCATCAGAGAAAGATGGATACTTGCAACAGAAAGCCCATCCTATGGTCAAACCAAACTTAAGGGTAAGGTTTCCAATCTTATGTTGAGTCATTTATAGAATCGTTTCCTCGCTTGAAATTTTCATTTATGTCCAAAAGTCAAAGGCATTGATTTGTCAAAGATAGGTAATCTAGATATCGAAAATTGATCTCCGTGTGTTACAATTAGAATTTTTATCTTATATATGAATTCGAATTCGGCAAGTTGTTTGTTCCTGCAAATTTCTGCAATCAACTTAGGATTGTGATAATCTTTTCACATTCATGATTTCTGAACAAAAAAGACTCATTGATGTTCGTAACTATCTCACATACTTTAACACTATCGTGATTTTTGAAATTTGTCAAGCTCATCAAATTCTTTATTTTTTTTCTTGATTGAAAATTTTATTATTATGTTCGTTTGGCAATGGCAATTTCAAAACTGACTTGGGCAATCGCTTCCCTTGTAGCGTGTTCTCTCAAACCCCGGCATCAGTCACGCCTACAGGAAAGAGGCGATTAAGACATTGCAGAATCTACTTCTACCAACTCCCGAAAAACCAGTTCTTCAGGGTATATATTGATTCCTTCTTTGACGCACCTTAAATGCTATGCGTTGTTTACCTTTCCTTGTAATGGGTGCAAATTGTGAGCGAGAAAAGGCAGGGTGATCTGCATGCAGTCAATTTGGAAGCACACGCCTCAGTAAGATGGATCTGTTGTTATCATTCAATAAATGGGGGTGCTGGACAATGCATCGTTGAATTTGGTACTTCCTTGCTAAATCTTGTTGTCGGTTTAATAAGTAAAATGAAAGCTGAAGGACAAAGGGCAAAAATTTGGATAAGCACTTTCGACTGCATACGGCGTTGTGTTGACAGTCAATTGAGCTTGTTCTGAGACAGGGACTCCTTTCCTTCTTAATGGTTACCAATGAAATATTTCAGATATTGTGCTGAAATGTTTGAGATATAAAATATGCTTTTATTTTCGAAATATTTTTGGGTAGAAAGACTTCTCAGAAAACTGTGTGAAAGAAAAAAAATTGTCAAATTTTAACTCACTATCATTGGAATGGGCTTTATGTAGAAAAAGCCAGCTTTATCTGAGAAACGATATTGGTCTCTTTTCTTAATAGCAGTTTGACAATTTTACCAACTTTTGAACCCTTTAGGAATGCTTGGAATATTTAAGAATTATATTATTTCTTAATTTTTCACAGACCGCAAATTTTTAGAATTTAAACCAGGAAATTTTGCAACCGAGGCCTGCTAATAAATTTTTATTTTTAAAATTGAATAAAATCCCTTTCGAATCGTGGAAAAACTAATGAAGAATACAGTCAAAGTAATTGATTAGCACGTATATACTACTATTTTTAAAAATAAATCCTAAATATTAACTCGTGATATTAATATTTGTGAGATTTGATGTTTATCTCGCAGTTCTTGGTGCTCATGCAATCAAAGCATCATGGGAAGACATTGCAGCCAAAAGCGGTCTTGATGTCAACTATGGATTATATGTTGGTAAGAGCTTTAACATATCTAGTGCCTGGACATTTCTTGTTTCAAGGTTGAACCCTCTCATTCTCGTTTTTCAAAAAATGAAATATCTATCCGGGAACAGAATTAATTATCTGATGATGCACCTATCTGCACATTTTAAATCATGTTGAGCTTCGTTCACACCAACAACCTCTTTTTCCTGGTAGCTTTTGCTAAAGAGCTTTACTTTCAAGCACTGGATATATTATGATAAATTAACTGCAAATATTGCAACCGTTGCATTATTTGGCCGGCTTCTGAATACTATGCATTGACCTTTTATAGCGATTTGATTTAAAAAGCAATCCGTAAAAGTTTGCTTATCGAATTTGGAGGCAAATGGAAGTCTTTTTGAAAATCGTGCCAACAGAATGCTTTTTCACCAACTATTGGTCCTTTTCTACCATATGCCTTATTAATTTCTCAGTTATGAAATCAGCCACTTCTGTGTCTACCAATTGCATATTTCATGTTAATTTTTGGGTTTTAGAAGATGTTGAAGAAGCTCCCAATTGCAAATGGGATTAAAATTATATATTGTTTTTTATTACAAGGAATCATAGGCACTTTTGCATATCGATTACAATGAGACTGTTTTAAGGACCTGAGAGGCCAGATCTAACCAAGTCACTTTGTAAGAAGTTCTGTCTGGTGATGTTTGAGAATTTTGTCACATTCATTTGTTTTATTTTTAAAGGCTTTATTTTGTTGTTGTCTGCAAGATCAAACAGTTGATCTTCAGCAATGTTTGACATTTTTGTAAAATGGCATTTGATCGTGTGGTCTGACCTTCATACCCTAGGCTTCGGTCAGACATTGCCTGCATTTAATTTTGTATTCATTTTCTCTTCAAGATGATGAGATCGTTTACGAAGGCCCTCAAACATCTTTTGTCGTCAGTGGATTGGAAGAAGTCACTGAATACGTTTTTAAATTGAGAGCGTGGACAGATGAAGACGAAGAAAGTGGTGTCAGCGAGACTGTCAAGGCTACTACGTTTAGAGCTGGTAAAATCAACTCTTTCTGCTGTCTTGTTTATATTGTGGTTTTTGTTGCATTGCTAGCTACCTAGCTTCCGAAGGTAGTTTTTTAGGAAACTAAAAAGCAATGCTTATCGAGCAGTGTCCTGGTCATTTCTCTCGATGCGACCGCACCTCGTGATTCTTGCAGCTGGAAGTAAAGAGCGCCAAGGACTCGAACCACGGTCCCTTGGATCTGAAGTCAGTGAACCCAACCATCGAGCCATCTCCGGTGTTTCCATACCTTAGGCTTGCAGATAAAACGACCCCTACGAGAATAAAGCAAACTAGGAAACATTCCAAGCTTAGTTGATCTTCATTTTAAACATTCCAAAATTTTCTTCATTCATTTGCAAACAGAATCAAGGTGTTTAGATGTGAAAATAGATTTTCGTTTTTCTTTTTGCGAAGATATTTGAAAATGATCATATGCTTTGAAAGAGATACTGAAGCAGGCAGGCAGTGAAGCAGTACTGACCTCCCATCTTTGGTTTACGATCCTTCGCTTTGCTTAATACCAACGGAAAACACTGACAGTCATTGCCTTTACAGGCGTAAAAAAAGCTTGAAAGGGACTTAGGGTGTGATTAAGGTTCTGTCACCAGAATTCAGGCATTTCCTTAAGAATTATAAAGAGACAAGATATCCTTAGCCTGATAATCAGACCTACATTTCACTGAGACTAGTTATTTTTCGGCTTTGGGTTTTTTAAGCTAAAGTAAATGTGAATGTTTCTTTTTGTAAATCAAACCATAAATCCGGAATGAAATTGGGAAACGGCGTTTACCTAAAAAAACGGTCGATAAAATGAAATACAATTATGTCATTTTATAGAACTCTCTTGAGTTCTACGACTGAAAACATTATTAGCATTATTAGCACGACTGAAAATTAGATAGAGTTAGAAGTAAAAGAGTGACCCAATAAAGAATAAGAGATCAAACGTAGCGGAAAGTACAATCTCTTGTGCTTGAATCCATGTAATCTTTCCGATTCAGGATGCCTAGGCCTTGTTCTTAAACCTCAACTGTATACATCCTTATTGAACAGTAAATCACGTCTTTTTGACCGGGATCTGTGAATGTATTCAAAGCTTTCATTTTCATTCACTGTATGTAGTTAATCACTGTTTAAAAAGCAACCCCTTTTCCCCAGTTTCCAGAGCACCACGTGGGCTGCGAGCGGTTTCAATTACGGCATCACAAATTAAATTCATCTGGAGTCCTCCTGAGCGAGTTTATGGTATGCTTAATGGCTACAAAGTACGAGAAATTGGTAAGCAATGGCGATTGATTCAACCTTCTTTAATAGGAAACAGCTGCTCAAGCTCTATTTAGCCCCTTTCGTTGTTGTAAAGACTCTCTATTTCTCTCTTTTCTGTTCTAAAGACTAAAGAGTCTTCCTGGAGAATCTTCAGAATTAAATAAACCCCAAAAAACTTAGGATATCTTTTACGGTTTAATCATGATTTTTCTGAAATCGAACTTGAAGCTATGTAGCCCATTATATGATGAATTAATATAAGGTAGTGAGTCGTCAGAAAATATTGAATGTTGACGAATAATACAATGCAAATTGACTCTCTCGTTACATACAAACAACTTGAAGTTGAAAAAATCGATGTTATCAGAAGCATCGTAGTTTAACAAATGCGTTATAAAATCACTCACAAGAATTCACAACACCATTATCCTGAAAATAAATAGAAGATTTTAGAAATCGGTTGTCAGCAAAAGTAAAAAGCATATTTTCTAGCTTCTTTATCAATTGAGCATTTTAAAGTAGTTTTCAAAGCTTCTTCACCAATGGGTACTTTCGGTATAATGTTCTGCAATCAGCAAACATGTTTTTAACATTGATTGTGGATAAACTTCAAAGAATTTTTATCAATTTTCAGCGCAAATTTTATGGTATAGAAATTTGAGTAATAATAGTGTAACGTAAAAAGATATGGCGTTAATGTTTGATGTAAGCCGAGTTGCATTCATTTTCGCAAAGCCAATAATATCACGTAAAATCTGTCCTCTTCCAATTTTCTGTTAATATAATTCCATTTTCTTAAAAATGCGTATATTCCATTTTCAAGGGCGCGACATTACATATGAGCCAGTTTCAACATATCACATTGCTGGAAATCTCAAGCCAGATACTGAATACACATTTGAGGTAGCGTTTTGATGATACTCTTTTAAGATATCCTTTCGGTTGCAAAGTCACCGTTTGTATTTGTTTGTTTTATTTGTTTTTGCAACAGCATTGTTGCTAATAAGAATATTTTCTCGCAGAATAAACAAGACGATTATTTGGAATCTAAGAATAAATTTTAGGGTAGCATGACAAATCTTTCCCATCACAACCATCAAAACCAAAGAAGGTCCGTTTAGACTGGAATTCTTATCACCTTCTTAAGGAATAAGATTGATGTAAATCCATATACAAATTCATTTTACATCATCTTACAGACGATCATGTTATGTAAAGTTTGAGTTCAAGGTCACAGATGCTAGATTGTAGATAGATTGACCATGGATTTATCATGGCTTTATCAAAACAATTTGATTGAGCTCGACACAATTTCGAAATCTGAACATTTATTAAAGGATCCTAAAAAAGTTCAAGAATCTTAAAAAAGGATTTTAGAAGGGCTTAGTTCCTGAGCCCCAAGAATCAGTCCTTGCATGACAAGATAGCCTAAACTTTCTGTCATTCTTCGAGACGTCATCCCTTGATTTCTAGATAAGCGATTTCTTTCCTAGGTTTCAGCAGTGACAAAGAGAGGTGAAGGCGAAAGCGCTAAATTGACAGTTAGAACATTGCGTCATGGTACGTATTTGAATCTTCAGCCTACCCTTTTCATTCACAAATATATTTGGGTAGACCTATTCTCGATTTGAATCCATTAAATATTCTCAGACCTAATCTATAATTCAAGCAATGACTCATTTATTTAAAGATTAAGATTATTTCTCATATTTTTGATAAAAATTAAAATTTCTAGAGCTCGGCGATATTTAGGGAATTTTTTGTAAGAAATTTCTCCAGAGTTCCTAAGATTCTTCAATCTCTCGAAAATTCTAAAAACATAGAGGGGGGGGACAGAAACATAGCAATGTAGAATATAATGCCAGTTTGATTTTGTTATATGACAAAATCCTAAACATCATAGACATAGATGGTTCGGAAGGGGGTTTTGCTTGTTGTAAGAAATTTGCCTGCATTATTTTTTTGAATCTGAAACAGATGACGATGTGATTCGTTTTTAAACATTTTGGAGCCAGTGCTATGAGTATCGTATGGGTCGAGGGTCATCATTATTATAAGTTTTTCATAAATGACTTGAAAATGGCATAAAAACAGTGTACCTAGTTGGGAAATTTGACACACAAAATTGCGGCTTGAAAAAACATTGGTGGAATGATAAGAAGGCCAAAGGTGGAGCAGCACAAACCTGAAGACTGTACACAATATTCAAGATAAGATAATATTTTAATGCTCATCCAAGAACTTTCTATAAACATAGCATTACTAAAATACAGCAAATGGTCTGTATAAGATCATTTATTCATTTCATGGTGTACCCTTTTCTTTATTTTATACACATCCTGATAATTTTTTATCCCCATTAGGCCAAGAAGGAACTATTTCTGGTTCTTTTGGAGAAACATACCTGTTAACAAGTCTTGGATCTTCAGCAAACCACAAAACAAATATTTCATCTAATCAAATCCAAAACAAACCCAAAAGAAGTTGTTTGGTCATCAAAATCGTTTTCTGTCGTTCTTCTACTTATTAATTGTAAATATAAACATAGTCAAAGATATATAGCCTCTTTTTCTCTTTCCATGAACTGATTGACATATTTTTGAATTTTCAGATTCTTATGCTCCAAGCAAGCCGGATCTGGTCACAATCGGTCCTCACGAAATTCTGGCTACTTGGCAACCACCAGATGCTCCAATTGGCCGAATTAACGGTTACGAAGTGCTTGTCGATGATAAGGTTTGTCACAACCTTTTGATTTGTGTTTCAGGTTGACTAAAATTGTTTGAAGCTTGTAGAAGGGTTAGCTGGGCTGAGGTCATAGGAGGGGAAACCTAATTTAGTATTTGCACCGAAGCTCGTTGAGCAAGCCACTATTGTGCCTGGAATTTTTAGACATTCAGTTACATCTTATGGACTGAAATGATAAATGAAATAGATACAGATACGAGTTGGCACCTAACCTAATAAAACCCAATAAAACTCAGTAGAACTTGGGTTTGATTGGGTTTGGTTAAATTGGAATATGTTGGATGAGCTATGCTAGGCAGGTCTGACCTGTGCTGGGTTGTATACGTTAGGTTGGGTTTGGTATGGCTTGGGGCATTCGTTTTGAAGGCTTTTCTTTTATTTTTACTTCATTTACAAGAAAACTTTTAATAAATGATGAAGAAACCATTTAAAGTCTTGAAGATGATCCTCGAATGAGTTGTCCACGATATAACAATGGATTAAAAAAACGTTATAGTATTTTTTTCATTATTTACTCTGAGATTTTGTCATTTGGCTGCATTTCTCACAGGAACGTCTTGCAATATCTTCGAATTCGATTTTGTCTTTTAAGTAATAGAGTCACATGCACACCAGAAAGCAATAACGTTTTTGAACTTGTTTGAGAGAATTCGTGTGATAATCAAAGCAAACAATCTTGGAACACATACGTCAATTTTCAATGTAATTTTCAATAACCGCTCTAGAACTTTCTCCCCATCTAAAAAAAATTTTGGTTTGTTGTAAAGTGGCAATTGATGTTAAGAATAATTTTTTCATATGCCTTCTTGATATCTATGTTAACTATCGTAATTTTTGGGGGGGGGGGGGATTGAAATTATGGTAAGATTTTGGAAAAGAATTGCAAAAATTCGTAAACAAGACACAGTAGTCGGGTGTTTTAGTGACTTTTTGGTGGCATTGAGGAACGTAGCGAATAAAACATCATATTTTATTGTCTTCCTTAAAAGCCTGGTCCTGTAAGGTACCAAACGACCTCTAAAGAATGACAAAGTCTCATTTAGTTTGGCAATAAGTTATTTCTCGGCAAAATTTCCAATAAATGTATATATTCCTATTTACAGGTAGAATTTATAACGATATTTTTAAATTATGCACAGTCATTGTCATAGTATTTATTTTCCAATACAAAAAAGATTTAGAAATGACAATCGAAATCAAGACCAGGTGAAAAACAAAATGTTTAATCAAATGTCTAGGCTCCTGACCATCAAGAATGGATAATGTTAGAAACGATTGTATTTTATTCATTTCTTAACCCCTGAAAAGAGCTGAAGTTGCCGTGGGTAACGGAGCCTCAGAGCATCACAGGAAGTAAGAACGGGGGAGTGGAAAGCTGAAGTTAAAGAATTTAGGTTGGGCTGGGATGGGTATGTTTGGCTAGGTTAGGCTGGGTTTTATTGGGTTTGGTAAATTTGGGCTACGCTAGATTGTGAATGCTCGGTTAGATTTGGTTAGGCTAGGTTGGGTTGGATTGGATTAGGCTGGTTATGTTGGGCTTGGTTATTTTTGGTTGGTTTGATTTGGTAATGCTAGGTTGGGTTGGGTTAGATTGGGTCGGATTAGGTTGAGTTGTGCTGGGTTTGGTTGGAATATGTTTGGATAGGTTGTGCTTGTTTAGTTAGGTTATATTGGATTTGGCTAAAATGGGCTATGCTGGGTTGAGTTGTTTTCATATTTTTACCCGTGTGCTTGTTTGGGGCTTTTAAATACCATTGCCAAACTATCTAACAGCAAACGTGGTTTCAGCCTTTAGTTAAGGAGCTTTTTTGACAAAGACTAAACACGTTTTGCAGATTGGATGACTGTTCAAACGATCTACAAGTAAATGTGATAAATTCTGAGGCTTGAAAGATCAATTTATCAAGTGGGTTTCTTTGAATTAACATAAAGATTTTTGGTCTCTCCTCAAGTCTTCTATGTTCATATTTATGTCGTTCCAGAGAGTATACTTCGGTCTCGACAAACGATGCTTGGTTCAGCTTTTGAAGCCAGATACCATTTACGAATTCAAAGTAAGTGACAGTTCGAATACTTTATCTGTAGAAAAATGGCCACCTTTTTTAATACCGCTTTTTCACGCTATCTTCAAAATTTGCAGTACCAATTTTTTATATTTAAATTTTCCTATATGCGCATGCTTTTAAGAATTTACATCCCAAAGAATAATTTCTTTCCCAATTTATGACGTTAAGGTCATGTGTTAAATTTTGTTACATAAGGAGTTGCTATCTTGGATTCAGATGGTTTTGCAACGGGATGATGATTCTTTCGGGAAGTTCTGGGTTGTGTGGCAAGGATATTTTAATCCACTCTTGCGAAATTGCTTTGGGATTTAGGTACAAATATCATAGTTACACTAGCAGTAGGTATTACATAGAGAAGAGTGATTGTGATGTTTATATTAGTAGACCAACTCTTATTGTTGTTGAACCCGAAATTGTCCACGTTGGATACGTAGGCCTGTGCCCAGGCTGAGTTTTTGCTTCTGTGATGAGCAACTGCGCTATTTACATGTTTTGAATGCGTCATGCGTAGGTTGTTGCTTGGACTAATGAAGGCAAATGTACCAGTGAGCCAGCATGCAAGAAAACTGCCCACAAAGATATTGCAAAAAGTCCGCGTCGAAAACCATGGAAAACTAAAGATGAGTTGGTGGAGTGGTTAGAGAATCATGAGAACCCCCTCTCTACAAGCAGATCAACCAAAAGTAGCATGAATTCTTCCCGTGTAAGCTCAGGAGAGAAGTCGAGTCGCAGATCTAACAGTACCAATAAGAGCAAACCTGAGTCAAATAGGCCTACTCCTAGAACAGACAGAAGTCAAAGAAACAGCGAAAAATCAGAGAAAAATAACAATAACTATAGTAACAGGAAAGATAACAGGAAAGAAAGCAATTTAAGCTCCTCTTTAAGTAAGCCTAAGTCGCCGAGAAGGCAGGTTGCACATGGTCCTTGATTTACTCACAATAAAGTTTCATGCAAATTTCACACCTGTTTGTTTGAATTCAGGGACGTCGGAAGTATTTCAAAGTTTAAGGGGGAACAGTCAGTGGTGTAGTGCTATCAAAATAACAAGGGAGGCTCTTGCACATAATTTTCCAAAAAACAATAGCAAAAGTAGGAATTTGCCAATTTTAGGCATTAACAAGGGGGGCTCAGCCCCTCTGAGCCCCCCTAGCTTTACACCCCTGGGGACAGTTATGAAGGGGCATTTTCCAAAGGCACTTCTAAGAGAAGGGGCATGATGTACCTCTTGTACTGATTCTGACGGTCCTGTTTGAGTTATTTGTGAGAACAGGTGTGTTTCTTCAAAAACCTTATCAGCACTTTAAATGTCTTTTGATTTGTTATCAATAGTATTCTTTATATTTCACGCGACAATTGGCTTTAGACTTGCCCAATTTCTTCCTTGAACCAACTACTTCCTCGTATTCAAATAGACTCGCTATTTATGGCTCGTGAAATGAATTGTAATTCTAATTCGTTAGAAAAACAACTAGGAAGTTATATAGATGTTTCCAGGGGTGTCGTGGATAGTAACTACCAGGGGAAGGGGGGGGGGGGCACAGCTTGCAAAATTTTCCGACAACTAGTTTTCTGATATGCTTAAAGGCATGAAAAACAATAAGTATATCTTGCAGTGTTGATTTACTTACACTTTCACTCAATTTCTGATTTTAGTAAGTAAGTTAGAGAACAGGCAATAGCAGTATTCGAATTTTGTTAAGTAATAATCATCAGTAACCAGTATGTGTAATTAATAGTAAAACACAAGATAAAAAATATGAAAATCTAAACAACTGTACAATTTCAGTGCATGATAAGTCTCTTTAGCAATGATGTGACAATCTTGCCGATTAGTTCATCGTAACTAATGGTGTTAGGTGAGTAATGCTCAACATTTATTTTAGTAGAGAGTTTAATCTCTCATTCTTCATTATTGATGGCAGCCTGTTTGCACGAAACGTCGTTATTCTCTTATTTATTTCTGGTAATTTGTATTTACATTCATAGTTATTTTCTATTATATTGTACCGCACGCCATCTAGTATGTTTTTTTACATACTTTGAAACGATAAGCTTTGACAAGGTGTGTTCTTATTTAGTCAGTTTACAGAATTGGATATGCAGACTGTAAATTCAATGGCCAGGAGTTGCAGTTGACACTTCTACTGAGAAACTTTAGGAGAAATAGACACAAGGCACAAATTTACCTAAAGAGGGCCTGGATTTTTAGATTTTTTGCCAACAAGCAATCTTAAAATCTTCAAATCATTAGTTTATTTACCTTCATTCATATCAAGGAATATCATATTTAACCAACGGAGCAACTACCTTTGATTGATCCTTTATTGATTTTATGACATGAAGGTCTCTCTACCTAAAGCGTTTCTTCCACCGAGCGGATTTTACCTGAAATTTCCTATTGGGATACTATTGGGGGGGGTCCCCCCCCCACACTCCCCGACTGCGACGCCCCTGTGTGTCAGAAAAGCAAAACGTATACCCATAGTTCTGGGTACCTACATATTTTGGATATACAAACCCATTTTCTCTATAATACTATAATAGAGGATCCAACTGTTGCCACCCCCCCCCCCAGATGTCTGTTGCTATAACTTTTAATAAACTCTTACTCACAAAATACATCCAAGTTTCTTTTGCAGTTGCCAATACCGTTTCAGACATAGCAACAAAAGAACGGCTTGGTTGGTTTTCACTTTGTTTAGCATGAAAATACCCGTTGGCAAGCTGAGGGCTTAATTGAACTTTTTGAATTAATCTTGCTTCGAATGGCAGGCTGTTATGTTAAGAATATTTTAATATAGCGCACTCAACTATTTGCTGATGCACAAATGAGCCACCTGCCAATGCTGCCAAAAATAGAACTGTGTTTATCTGCAAGTTTTCTCTGAGGCTTTTTCCCTTTGTACACAGCATTTCCACCATTAGCGTCTTTGCAATGAAAAATTGTTATTACTTTCTAGTTGTTCTGCTTTCATTGTCTTATTCTCTCTTACATAACCCATTTTAAGGAAGATCGTCCATGAAATTGTTGACTATAGCATATTGTTTATAGGCGTTCTCTCCCAAATAGATGTATTTATCATTTTAGTTTTGTTTTTAATCAGCCCTATTTCAAAGTACTAGATATTTCTAGATCTTTCTTGCTTTGGTAACGTAAAGATTCTGCTAAATTTCCAAAGGAGCATGGCTCCTCAATTTATTTAGTATTAAAAATCGTTCTTCTTACAATCCTTAAAACAGCTGCTTAAACAAAGATTTCTACTTTAAATTCAATAAGCTGCAACACCTAACATCTTACGCCTTTTTAGCATTCCCTATGACATTTCGCTGAATCCACAAAATTGATTTCTGTTTTCGCTAGTGCCTAAATGAACAATACTTGACTAACGTGTATTTGCTGATATCGAATGTTTCTCATACCGGATGTTTCTGAAGCCAATTATTTTTACACAAAAAGTAAATTTCTCAAATACAGGAGCCTCTTTGGTACATCATTTCCTTGTAGTAATTAAGAACGTGCTATTGAAAGCCTGCCGTGGTGCTGCTGTTACATACACCTCTCATTGCATGAGCATTTTTTTAACGATGATAGGTTGGTCTCGTATTTTACCACTGGTTTAATTATCACTATGTGCATTTGTAGAATTGTTATTTTAGTTTACAGCAATACGAATTGTTATTTACTATTGCCTGTATACATTGCAGTTGCAGACCAATTCTGCTGATGAAATGCTGACATGAATCCAGTTGCCTGTTATTTGATTGGTTAGACAAATCTACTTATTCGTTGATTGGTTTAGACAAAGCTAGTTGAACGTTGATTGGTTCAAGTAAAGCTACTTCGTAAGCCATATTCCTGCAATGCATGCTACTTCGAGGTACTTGCCTTGTGACATTTAAAGTTTCAAATGGCATTAATTTTTGCTTGCGAATTAGAAATCGAACAAGCTGTGCTTCGAACTGAGTCACAATCATTCTGAAATACTTGAAGTAGTTCTACCAATCATCGGTGGAAGCAGGCAGAATTGTAGAGCCTCCCTTTGTAAATGAGCCCTTTTCTACTTTATGCAATCCTTTTTTAGAAATTCTTCGAGAAGGCCCCTCTTGTATTTTTCATAGCAACACTTGTAATTTCATAGTTCCCTGGATGGAACTTTCCTTTTGCTTTTTTCTTGAAACTGTTTCACTCTTTTATGCTCTTCTCGCATTTCTTTCTCTGTTAACTTTTCAATCTTCTTTCAAAAGAAAAAGCATCATAAAGTTGTTTAGCATAAATATGCCTTCATTCCCCCTCCTCGGGCATGTTTCATTGCACGAAATGGAAGTGGAAAAAGGAAAGGAAGCCAAGTGGAAATTAATGGGTGGAAACTTTCCAAACTGTTTACCGTTTACTGTTTTTCGCTTTCCGCCCATACCGTGAAGTGGAAATCCACCTTTAGGGAATAACCTAACCCATGGCCTAGCCATTGGAGATAGGTAATTAAAATAATCATTCTGTGGAAACCCTCACACCTTTTGATTCACTCTTTCACTTGCTAATTGTTTTGAAAGTTTCTTAATGCTCTCAACGAGTTTTTCACACAGAAAATAGTTACTTGTCACCATGGCTACTCATTTGATGATTTCAGTGTAAAAAGGGGGTCATGCAAGACTCCGGTAAATGATGATTTTGCGGTTCGCAAAGATTTGAGGCTTTGTAAAACTGGCATCCATCAAGAGCGTATGCCAACATTCCTGATTGTTTACTCTTCTCTCTCTCGTACAGGCTGATTTTTTCAGGTTTGACTTCTCTTTACCTCTCCCCTGTACTAGTGTACCAAGCATCTCTTATTTATGAGAAAAAATTTTAAATTGGCGACTTCTTTGCTGAAAGCTCAAAAATGTTCTTTACCGCCGTCGATGATTTAAAGTAATGAGGGTGTATTTTCCCTGAACCTATACCTTCTGTATCTGATTGTAAGTTTCCCCCTCCCCTCGATAAGTTTGCATGTTTTGTAGCGCCCCAAAAAGCTATAAACAACACCCCCCCCTAATGTGGGTGTTATACTGCGCAATTCACAAGAAACTTTTTGATAATATTTTTCATCAACTGTCCAACCATATTTGCAGATACTTCTTATTTTTCTATGTCGGTCAGCAAAGAAAAGACTAATCAGTGAAGTGATCCTCCGAATCTTGCAAGGCGTGCCTATTGTAAGGGTTTAGGGAGTGTGACCCACACCGAATGATTGAAGAAACGAGTCGGAAACAAAAACGTTGATTATGTTAGGGGAACGAAACTCTAAAAAGGCCAAGAAGAGAAGGAGTGGATGTCAAGTTTTCTGGTTTTAGTTTTTTTAAGACAGGCTTTAAAGCATGAAGAGGGTAAACCATTCCCCAAGTTGTCAAGCTCCGAGAAGCAAAGGCGAGTTGTAGGACAAAGTTCGTGAATCCCCCAGCTATCTTCGTGGTTTTCTTACTGAACTTTTGCAAGAAAATTGGACTAAAAAGGATGGGGTCTATTGCCCTAATATTTTGTTTTCTTCATTGACTCTACATATAAGCCCACAAAACTGCTTTCTTCCCTTCCATTAACGATCCTAAACTGGAGGAGCTACCATTGTAAGGAAGGTTCCTGTTACCCCTCAAGCCCCAATTGTGGCAAATTGATGCGCACCCAAGTCTAATCTGCATTTTGCCCAGTTTCACTTGTCTTTAGATAAAGGTTAAATTGTCATCCTGCGTGCAGACTCAACTGATTGTCCAAGGATTGAATCTAGTTACCTGAGACCAAATTTTGTTGGATTAAAAACTCCACAGGTTTAGGTACATCCCGTATTCCTAAAGCATTCAGGGAATTGCCCCATGCACCCGGGTTGCCAGATTGGCCTTTTTCAGGCCAAATATTTCCAATATTGGCCTTTTTCATAATTAAATTGCCTGGAAATTTTTTTTGGCCCAATACTTAAATTTGGCTTTTTTGGCCTTTTCAGCACAAATTCTAAACTGAAAGAGTAAAAACTACATCGATTAATGGAGTAATTAGTAGTTTACCACGCCCAAATGTAAAATATCATCACCAATTGGTCACATAAAAAAAGATTCTGCGTAGAAATTCAAACAGCTCCTGCGCAATGTATTTTTGTGAATTTTCTTGGATTTGGCCTCTTTACGAGCATTTTGGCCTGACTTGTCTACCCGTCTGGCTTTCTTTGGTAAATCCTATCTGGCAACCCTGCCATGCACCCCTCAAGCTTAGTTCTGGACCCACTAATCGACCTAGTTGGATTGTTCGAGGCTTAAGCAAGAATATACGCATCAAGCTTCAAGGAAGTGGTAGGAAGGCCTTTATACTTTAGTTTAAAAGAGAACGGGGAACGAACTTCCTTTTCCGTTGTCAAACAAAGTTTCGCTGCACCTTTTTGTTGCTCCCCTTTGTCAAATAAATTATGAAGGTGGGGGTCATAAGGCTTTATAGAACAAAGGAAATTAAAGAAAATTTTCGCGGATAGAATTTTATAACTTTTTCGGATTAGCGGAATTTTTCATCTGTTGTCTTGTAAAAAGGGACGTGGAATATCTTGGTTTTCTGGTCAGTAATATATATCAACAATTTGGAACACGGATTTTTGGCTAAAATTGACCGCATCAGCAGATTTGAAAAAGTTTGCGGAGCGGTGGATTTCTGGATTCTAGTATGGACTGCTTGAGTGCGGGATGATTTAGTTGTGGCATCTTTTGTTCCTTGTACAGCTCTGTTTTATCTGGCTTTGTAAAATGACGATATTCTTTGTAACATAATACGGGTTGTGTTTGTTCTTAGGCCCTGTGATCTTTCTGCTGAATTTTCGGTAAGATTCTCAGATTGAAGATCAAATAATTTATTTGCATTGAAGCAATTAAGCATGCAAAAATCCTTTTTCAGAGTCATTTTGTTTCATTAGTCATATTCATTTTAAAGGCCACTCAAGGATGTCGAAGAGGGGGGGGTGTGTGCGGGGGTCAACCGCCCCTTTTGCATTTTGATAGGAGGGGCAAGGGGGTCAAAGTTCCCTTTTCATAGAAGTTCCCTTATCATCGGTCGTTTGTACGAAAGATTCTTATGAAATTCTTACTGTACTGTCTTATTCATGACGATATTTTTCAAAGTTTGTAAAGAAATTTCTTATGCCAAAATTTAGCCGACTTTCAAGATACCTACAGAAGATCGAAACAAAAGGACAGTTACGAAGAAATTGCTGGTAGCTGGGAATTATTTTTCAAATGCCCTTCTACTCAAGCCTGCTCCCTTGCCCTTACTCTATATTCCTTCGCACACGTTGAGTTTCCAAGTTCCTAATGCCCGTATTCCAGGTGTTCATGATTCTTACAATGATTTATAAAGCTTTTGATTTCAATAGCTGTCACTGTTCGCGAATTGTTTCGTGCCAATGTAATGAATCGCGATTTCAATGTGTTACACCTCTGCGGCCCAGTTTGTCTGCGGAGTGTAGCAAAACAAAGCCATCGCTAAAAGCGGTTATTAGCTGGATGTGTTTCCAAAACAAATTTTTCAAACTGTTCGGAGGACATGGTTTCAGGCCTGCTTCCAAGTCGACATGTTTTCGTACACAGACATGATCTGATGGTATTGCAAGCTGATAATTCTGGACAGACCTACGCATGTGAGGCCTTTCTTGTTATTTCGCTTCGCTTACTTAACCTGATAACGAGTTATAATTAGGGCAAATCGGCCTACTGCTTTTAGCTGAACGATTAAATTCCGCTTTCTCTCGTTTTTACCTTAAACCACATCTTGGCTAACGGCCTAGGAATCACATGTTAGCTGATCAGAGTTCTCGCTCGACTCTCATAAAATCATCATTGGATTTTATGATGTTGAAAGGTGAGTCCCCCCGGTTTTAATGAGACGTACGTTGTATCTATGAACCTATACACCTGCTCGCCCATTCCTTGCGAATTGAAATTTGCTATGGTGACTAGCTTTTAAAATTGACTTATACTTTTATTCGTAGAAGACATGGAATTGTACTTCTTGCTTCGTTATGTGACTGGCCTCATGCGTTGATGAAAAGCCTTCGATTTGTATTGGTGGCAGAGCGACGATGACTACAGCAATCGTTGAGCTACTAAACGGGCTTCATGGCTACCTTATTATATCGATAATGCGACTAAATTCAGGCTTACAGCACTTTTCGTGATATTTTGAAAGAAGCACTTCATCGTCCCAAGAAAGCGACAACAAAAGGCAATTTTTGATAAAAAACACATGAAGGAGTCGAGCAAAGAGAGTGGGATGCGAAGCGCTCGTGTCAGCCCAAACCAGGGCCAGACCATAACCAATTCGAATGGTGTTAAATCGGTCGATACGACAATCAATGTCCAGAAAATCGCGGTCCTCCCTGACACAGATCAGTCAAGTAAAGATCCAGCGGGAGGAGAGCATAAAAATGGGGTCACATCCCATCCAAAGTCGATTTTACGAAAAGAGACGAGATACCCGAGCCCGGAACCGACTACGGGCCTTGTTGACTTCTTACAGCGGATTTTAAACCCAGAATTCGATAGCCCAGCCTTGGAGCGAATATACCGTCGTTATTTCACGAAACAAAAACGCCTTTCAATAATATTTCTTGTTCTTACTTCGATTGTGGTGAATATTGGATTGATCATTTTGTACAGTGTACATTTTACTTGGAACAGCAACCTGCAAACAAAAAGGATTGTAATATCATGCACAGCCTTGGCATTTGACTGCTTGTTAATTGCCCTCTTTGTTTGTTCTCCAAAATGTGGCCCGAACCCCGTTCTCCCTCGTTTGGCCTGGATTTCCATGCTCCTTCAATTGATTCTCGATCTCTGTTTAAATTATTCGCCACTTACCCCGTTGGATTCTGTGGGCATGTTCGTCTTTTTCGTCTACCTGACCTATTCGCTGCTACCGTTTCGGTTATATTCCTGTGTTGCTATTGGCCTTTTGGTAACCGTAATCCACATTACTTTTACTGGAGCACTGGCCTCTCGGAACAGAGAATACTTAAAAGATCTGGTACGTAAATTTTATTTTTACTCCCTTTACCCATGGTCTGGAAATGTTTTCAGTGAATTTTTTACACTTTATAACTCTAATCTCTAATTATAGGGGTTTTTATCAGTCTCAAAACCACAGATAACACTTCACTCAATAGGAACAAACGGTCATGTTCATTTCTTCGGTATTCTTTAAAATGGGAACGAGGTTACTTAGTACCACTTTTTAGCAATATGTTCCTTTGCAATATCAGTGAATAAAGTCCATCAATAAACCGAATATATCCGGTTTTTTACTGGGAGAAATCATTTATTGTGTAATTTCTTTGGCTTTAAGGAATGGAATATTTATGAGGCACGTGACCATATGCCTGCTAACTTATATTCAATCAAAATCGACGGGTTTCTCAAATCCCTGTTTTCTGATTATTTTCATCAAAAAGCTCGATTCATGGGACTGAGAGAGCTCCGTGTGTGTTCCGAAGCGTTTATTCAGAGGACTCGCGCACTTGAAAAGTTTGACTTGAACGGCACCTGATTTGATGCACAATCATTATGCCGCGAGAAAGCCTTTTTAAAATTAGCATTTAAATCACTGATTTTTCAAAGGATCAAAACTCAGTTTTGAGTTTCAAGCCTTGAAAATCTGCTTGCTAAGTCATTTATCCTCAGCGTTTCTCGACTGTCGAAAATAACAGCTGCAATATAATCCTTTGGAAATGCTCATACTGATTTCAGTCTAATGAAAAGTGCACTGTGAACTTACCAAAGCATCCATAATTGCTGGACTGATAAAAATTTCTTGCAAATATTTTTTGAAAATCTGTGTGAAAAACTAACCTGAATTTGAAATCGAAATGGATCGGGGCAGCTGCATGGCCTGAATGTTTACAGTACCGAATCTTTGTCCAATACAGACAAGAAAACTAGGCACAATGATACGGAGGACTTAACATAAAACTACCACAATGTTTTTAGAAAAATACCTTTAGAAAAGTCTCTGGTAGTCTCTAGAAGATGCTCCATATTTCTTCTGCAGTATGAGATATATTATCATCAGCTGTGAGGAGGCATTAAAAAATAGCATTGTTTTGTTTGAATTCTATTGACTCATGAAGAATATATCTTATTGTGAAAGGTTTATGCTAAGTAAAAGACTTTGTTTCCAAGAAATAGGGAAAGAAAGGAACAAGGAGCGAAGCAAGATCTGACAGAACATTCTTTAGGCTTGCCGAAACATGCAGTCTTCTGTGAAAATTGATACCAGGAAAAAAATTCATAAATATTCCTTCAGGAAGATATTTCTCGTAAGAAACGTGAAAAAAAATTAATTTATTAAATAAGATGTAGGTAGGCCAGATGCATTACGAATAAAGTTGCTTTCAGAACCAGAAGATCTTTCCAAGGTGGGTGAATATGAAGGGGATTCCTTTGAGGAGAATCAATTATTATTGACTGAACTACTTCAGAGAAGAACAGATCCAGCAGACCTTTTCTGACAAAAGTGTATGGAAATCGCTTTGTGCTTCTCGAAAAGAGCAGTCTTTCACTGGCGACTTCCTGGCGACTTGTTCCCATATCTTATTGCTTGATGCACCAAGTCAAAAGAGCTTCTCTAAGATTTTACCAGCTTCCAAGAAACTTTGGATTGGTTCTTGTGGTACGATCGGGCCAGATCAGAGGTGGGGTGGCTGTCAGCCTGGGAAGGATACGTTGTATTTTAAAGGGTTGATGCTCCTCGTGAAGTCTTCACTCCTGAAGGGTGCATCATTGAATCCAGGAAGTTTTAAAGGGACTGTGTCCCGACGCATTTCACTGGCTATTTAAATTTCCCATTGGTTTGACGGTACAACAGACCTATTGTTACGTATCCAATCGGCTAATTCTGAATGGTTGACTGACGGGAAATAGTGCCCTCAAACCTTTTTCTCATTCGTGTAAAATAGACAGAAGCCACATGGCACTGATTGTTGTTATTTCCAACAAGCAGTCGGAATGGGTCTCTATCATATGTAAATCTCTGGTCCCTACCCAGCTTTGTGGTTTCGTCAAAACAACGGCCTGGTACGGACATTCTTTGATGCCCTGTGGCGTAGATTGGGGCAAATTTGTCCTTATTTACAACTATTCAGAACAATGAAACTTCAAATTACATTGAAAAGTCTCTGATTAATCCCCCTGGCTACGATATGAAACCAACTTTCAAATATAATGACAGGTGGCATTTCTTCGCGTTATGAATTATTGAAATGGTATACATTATTTTAGTAACGACCTCCGTAACGCACAGTGAATGAAGAAATCGTGCTCTCAAATCAGGTCCTGTAAACCTCCTAATCATTTTGAATTCTAACTCGTCATTCTTGTTTACGGATACCGCATGCTGGATAACGGTGAAATGGCTCAGGGGAAGAGGGACGGGGCCCCCTCTGTTAAAGCTGTTTGAAAACTGTGCTTTTCTTCCTCTTTTAAAGTCTTTTTGTGACTCCACCGTGCTCAATTTTTGACCTTGTTATCATAAGGTCTATGATAATTGATACCACATTTCTTTACCTAAAAGCATGCACACTGCGTGGATTTCACAATAGGTTAAATTACGGAAACCTGTTAACTCGACTTCACTTCTTCTCGTGTCTTATCCAATGCTAGCTAATCGCCAATGTTGAATGAAGGCCACAACAAAGCAATCAATAGTGGGAGAAGTATCACACTCAAAAATCACGAGATTCATCAATCACAAATAGACATTATTTTTTAAAAGAACAGCAGTTGATATGATCACCAATGGCGGAACGCTGTTTAGGGCACCTTGGCTCGATAACTAAAGGCCCCCGATTAAAAGGAGCCCCAATATATTTCAATATCCATGTTTACAAGACTAGCTCAAGTTGGCCTTGTTTTCAGCAACTGTAAAATTTCTGAAGCATATAACTCAGCTTCCCCTAGTTAACAAGAGAATCATCATTTTAATATCTTCGTATTATGATTAACTTGCTATAAACCAATTAATGGGACCTTCTTGAAGTCCGTAGATAGGTGCCTTTGCTCCGCCTGTGGTAGTCATATGTTGCCTTCAACGAAAATCGGTTGCCCCGTACCCAACAAACAGTAACGGACAAGGGTACCCCTATTCTGCTTAGATGGCAAGTCACATCCCCCAAAAACTAAATATCTGCTTGGTGACTTTTGCGAAGTACCGACAGAGACAGGTTGAGACCTCCGTCAACGTATGAGCAAGCAATCTAAATTGTAATAGGTGCAGTGTTTGTTATGTAATTGTTATGGCAACCACATCCAATTCAATTTTTGAGAATTGAAAACAGTGGAGAACTTTTAATCGAGTCAATACACCGTGTGTTTATTTTACTATTGTAGAACAAAACTGGTTTTGTAAACAAGCTTCCTTCGCAGGGGCTTTAAACACACGGAAATCCAACTCGGTATGCTGTTTGCAATGCCGCCCCTATTCATACTATTTGTGATGTCCACTCCGTAAAGCAATGCATAGGAGTCTTTTTATATGTAACACTCTTGAACCCATTCACACTTGAACCCATTTCATCATTCTCATATTTCTGCATGTTTTACACTATTGTATTAAACTTTTTTCGTATTTTTGAACGCCATTTTAAATAACAAATAACTTCTACTTGCAGCTTGGTGCAAATGCACTGATATTTGTTGCTGCAAATATAGTTGGATTGATAGATTACATAGTAACAGATGTCAATCAGCGAAAGGCCTTCATGGAAACGAGGGAAGCTCTGCAAGTCAAGATAACACTGGAGCACCAAAATAAAGAACAGGTCGGTATGCCTACCTATTTTTACACTGTGGCATCCAGGATTTGATTACCAAAAACAAGGTAGATCTTGAGGTGTTACAACAAAGTGGACTTTCATTAGCGGGATAAGAGAGCTACAACACCTGCCAAAAGACCCTGCTAAACTTCTCCAAAAGTTCCACTGCATTCCCTTCTTTCCTTCCAAACAATGTTGCTGAGGTTCAGTTGGTTCAATTGGTCCCTGTCAGATTTTTTGGATATACAACTACAATCAACATTGTTTTGAGGGGAAGGGGGTGTGGTGTCCTGTATACCCCCAGACTGTTACCTTTTTCTAAACAGCAATGAAGCAACATGATGTTTTAAAAGATTTTTTGGAGACACTTGGAGAGCTTCTTTTGGGGCTTTCGATTAGAATTTTCCAACTTAACTTGCCAATAAATGGGCGTTTTTCATTATGATTATGCTCAAATGCTACTCTAAAAAAGTTTGAAACCTTTTCTGCCTGGTAAATTTGCAACAAGCAATTAATTGTGTCACAGATTGGTATTTCTTGTCGTGACTGTTCTCTTTAATCAGAATCATGATTTACAAAAAGCATTGAAAATTTACCTTGGAGGGGATTTCAGTCTATAATCGAAATTTCACGATAGCTCTTGGAGACAAGTAATCACGCTCTTGATCTGTGTTATTTTCTCATTTAATTTTTATAATTAACAGGTAGTTCATTGGGAGAACAGTTTGAGAGAGGGATTCATCCTTTTTGCCTATAGTGATGCTCTGATTTAGATTAACGAAAACAAGTCAAATGACGATAGAACACAAAGTATAAAAATTTGAAATGTTTAATTGGTGAAGGTTTGGTTGTTTTTTTAGTTCTTTTCTGTTGGAGTAATTTTGTAAGTGAGACGTTTTTGAACCTCAGGTCTCTCTGTTTCTTCTATAAAATATAGGTGATGCTTCCTTTGGCTATGATAAGATATTTAATTGCTAAGGGATAATTACCTTTATTATCCCTAATGCAAAATGAAATATTTGGCAGGCCTATCCTATTTTGAAATTTATTCCTTCAGGACCTGCAGGTCCGGACCTCTCAGTTCTACGGAAAAAACACATGTAATTTTTACAAGGAACTTTTTCCTTTGCTCTTATAGCGAAGATTGTTGTTGTCAGTACTGCCAGCACATCTCGCAAGCAAAATCATCAAAGACATGAAGCACGATGGAAGACTGCTGGAAGATGCTTCTGGGTTCCGCGAAATATACATCGACAAGCACGAGTACTGCAGGTGCACATCTATTTGCATTTATTGTTGAGATTTTCTGACAGTTTACACAGGGTTCCAAGGTTTCGAAACCTTACAGATCATTTGTTGTCTGTTCAAGCGGTTTGATGTTCAAGCGGTTTGATGGTGCAGGAACCGCATAGGCGACAGGACATGTGGAGGTCGTGGGGAATTTCAGGGGGCTCGGGGCCTTCAGCCTTCAGCATTTCAGAAAAAGAATGTTTACAAAATATTGGGAGGTGTTGGATGTAGTAGTGGGAATTCGTGGATATAGTAGAATATTCTATGATTTTTTTAATTAAAATTTTTATTTTCAAGCTACTCTTGTGCAGCACAACCTGCCTCAAAAAGATCGTTTTGACTCACCTTGCGTGTGAACAATTTTCTGATTTTTATTCACAGCAAATGTCTTCAGAAAAAGTAACTGATTGATCTTGTATCTTTCGATTGTCTTTGATCTCCTTTCATTGAAATATTAAAATTGTCTTTTCTTTATTATAGCATTTTGTTTGCTGATATTGTTGGATTTACAAGCTACTCCTCAACTGTTCCGGCCGAAGAGCTAATTATTATGTTGAACGAGCTATTTGCAAATTTCGACAAGCTGGCCAAGGTTAGTTGCTTTAAAATAATTATTCTTGTGGGAATAAGAAACAGCCATTGTAAATATTAACGGCAAAAAATGCCAGAAAATGTATACTCTGCCTTTTTGTAATTGAATGTTACAAGAACCTCTTTTCGTAACATTTGTGGTCATGAGAACTAACTTGGCACACGTGAAGTTAATTTATTCGAGCAATTTCACGTGTAAGCAATTACAACAACTTCATAAAGAAAGTCACGTTCTTTTTTCCGATGTTATTTAGTTAGAAACTGCTCCCCCCGTCAAGAGGTGTCCGCCTGTAGTGGATCTATATCCAGTTGCAGTATACAAACATATGCGTGCGTTGAAAAACATTTGCTTCTTTTTAAAAGGAGCTTGAATTCTCGCTTGGCTTTCCAAAGCTTTGTACGTTGGCGATTGTTTATCTAAGGTTTTTTATTGAGTCAGAGTATATCAACAATCTCATTTACAATTTATCAAGTCACTTTTTCGAGGTTTGTCGTCCCTTTGCTCCGCTTCAGTTGCCTTGCAGTGAGCATGCGCAAATGCTTTGTCTGTCATGGATAGATTCTCCAGCTTCATGGTATCGTCACCAAGCTTCTTAATCCCGTAATCTTTTTGAAAATCTTTCGACTTAGGCCCTTGGCTATTGTGAGCCGCCATTTTTGGCATCGTTTCAATAATTCTACAACCCTAGAATATACATATCTGAATAAATTTATTATCATAAATCTTGAATATTTCGATAGCATCTGTAAAGACTGTTAAATCTGTTTCTTATGTGGATAAGATAGATCCATTATCCACCTTAAGTTCCTTGTGTATCTTCTTCTATGTCCTAACGAGTCACAGGTACGGGTTTGACATTAAGAAAATTTTCTTAAGCTTTATGTCTTATTAGTTATGAGATTTTTACCTACATACCGTTTCTTGACATGTCGAATGAGTGAATTTTAAAGTTAGTTTTCCTTTTGTAGAAAAACAACTGTGATCGAATAAAGATTTTAGGAGATTGCTATTATTGCATAAGTGGTTTAAACGATAAAGAAGAAGACGCTAAGGCACATGCTGTCGATTCTGTTGAAATGGGCCTGGACATGGTAGAGCATATCAAGTACGTTGCCAGAGACTTAATAAATTGACCCCATAACCAATTTCAAGATAGCTTCAACAGAGGCTTGTTATGGAACCTGAAGTTTCCAGGCAAAAGCCTAAATATTTTGAACTTCGTGCCCTTTTTCCATTGTTTTATCCGATAGACATCGATTAATCAATTTTTTATCTTTGTGCTCTTTATAGAGTAATACCACGATTTTATTTCTGTTCTTCTAAAAATTGATTTACAAAATGCAGTTTATGAAATTTGATAATTTTTCTTTCCAGAAAAGTTCGTGAGCAAACTAAAGTTAGCGTATTGGACATGCGTGTTGGCATCCATTCAGGAAATGTTTTAGCTGGTATTTTAGGCCAACAAAAATGGCAGTTCGATGTCTGGTCCAATGACGTCACCCTAGCAAACAAGATGGAATCGTCAGGCATCCCAGGGTAACCAAAGCGTTTTAGTCCAGGGTTCTGTTCTTCAAAACTGCCAATATAATTTAGCATTTCATTTACCCTGTAGTCATTTTAATTTTAATTGTCTTCAAAGTCAGTGCTTGTTTAATTCGTCTCTGAAATGAAGTCTCCTAAATTCAGGGCAATTTAGGCCGGCCCATTATGGTAGCACTTTTCTATACCCAGAAAGCTTTACTACTTTTGCTTTACTTTTGTGAATATTGAGTTTGACTTGATAACCAAATTTACTCAAATGTTTAGGGCCATTATAACTGAGAACGTCCAAAAACAAATAACAAATATCAGTCAAAATCTAATGAACTTGATTTTGCCAAGCATGTCAATTCACAATTTAACTCCGCATTTTGCATTCTAAAAGATGTTACAGCAACGATATATTCGGAGGATTAGGCCAGTTGGTAATAAACAGCCTCATTGTAACACAAGTCTTAATCATTTTCTGTATTTCAGGCGTGTGCATATCACAGCAACAACGTTTGAGCTGATCCAGGACGTTTATGAGGTTGAAAATGGAGAGGGTGAAAAAAGGAGTGAATACATCAAAGACAATAACATTCAAACATATTTAGTTTCTTCAAAGAAAAAGGAGGAGCCCAGTTCAACGGTATTCTTTTACACTAACCTTGTATCATTTTGTATTTTCAACGATGAATTCATAATATATTCCTTACAGCATTTATTGTTATTCCATTTAACGAAGCCAGAAACATGACATTGATAACTGTCCATTCAGGCTGATGTTTTGTAATCATTTTATATCGAATCTGAATTTCAAGATATACGTAAATCTGTGCAACGGTTTCTATGGTTTGAGAAGTTTCTTTTCAGATTGATGTTTTGTGATAACCATATCTTGTATCCAGATTGAAAGATTTATAAAGATCTGTTTAATGCTTTAAAAGGTCTGATGAATGTCCTCCAGGATGATACCTCGGGGGTTGTTATCTATTCCATCTTTTATACCAGTCAACAGGCCTTTTAAATTACGAAAGCCTCTTTATCAAACTTTTGCATATTTTGTGGAATTCTTCACGTGATCGATTCTGTTATATACAGGATTTGCAAGAAGTTCAGCTTTCAAAAAAGGAAATAGAGAAGCCTGCTAGAAAATTCAGTAGAATTGCAAACGTGGCAAGGATTTCATCTGCTGTAAGGCGACGAAAGTCAGGGGAAAGCCAGAGTCGAGAGATGTCTGAGACCATTATTGGAGCTGACGAGGTAAATCCTAGGATCAATTTTTCACCAGCAAGCCAAGATTCTTGTTCTAGAATCAGTTGTTTGTAAATTGTTTGTTAAAAATCTTTCAGCTTGCTTAAAAAACAAGATCAAATGACCTTGTGCCAGAGTTTTTCAGTAATTATTGTGTGGCATTCTCAGCCCCCACTGCTACTCCTTACCTTCTCTAGAGATTTTATAACTATTTAGCTCAGTTATTGCGAGATATATTTTCTTCCCTACTCTTCATAGCTAAACATCTGATCATTATAACCGTATTAAATTGGATTAAGCCCTCTTCTTTAATTTGAGCAATTCCCCCTACTATGATGTTAGATTTTGAAAAAAGCAACTAATTTATAACTTTTGGCAGTATTTTGCATTGGGGTACCTATATGTGTAGTTTGAAGCAATTTGCTTAAGAGCTTGTTTGTGCAGTACTCTTTTATTAAGTTTTTTAGGTAAGAATTCTCGTTATTTAGATATATTCTGCATGTTGAAAAACGCCAACCCACCCCCAAAAAAGGTTTCAAGTTTTGAGTAACTTCTTTTATCGATTAAGCCCCATCCTCTTTATCTTCAGGGTTTGAATAATTTCTCCAGGCCTTATTAATGGAACTTATAAGCTTCAGGTGTCAATTTACGTCCCCTTAATACGAAATTGAGTTTGCTGGTGTTTTTTTTTGCAGACGACTGTTGCGGGTCCGCTGATGGGGAGAAGACGAAATCAGTAAGTCGAAATCTGTGTAAAAATGTCTATCCAATCATCACTGTAGCCTAAAAAATCAGAGATGCCTTTTAAGAGGTGGTTTTATAAATGTATTAAAAAGAGACACGATTGCTTCCCTGTTGATGTTACCTGCCTTCTAGTTTGTGCTTGATTGTTTATAACAGATATTATTTTAACGTATTCTAATTTCAGCAGCGAAATTGAAGCAGCTTATCTAGTTGGACTAAAACTGATTATTCGTAACATCCTTTTCAGGGACGAAGAAGAGTTAAATGGGATTTTGGCTGAAGCTCTGGAACACAAACAGACCCAGTAAAGCCTTTTGTTTTTTATTACTCACACTTCGTGACTATTTTTGCCTCAAAGAGCCATTTCATCCGGTTATTAAAATGGCGGCTGTAGCCGATTTCCACCGATCATCTTTGTTGCGTATGCAGACGGCAACGTAAAGCTACTTAAAGTTCCTTTAACAATTGAGCTTTTTAAACTGTTGTTAATCGGCAAAGTTTTCTATAAAGCCGTTCAGATCCATCAGATAGTCATAAAGTAATAAGTGAAAATGGATATTTTGATGCAATTCTCGCATGATGGCGATGGACCTTTATTAGCATCAGGGCCTTCTCTTTGGCGGGGTAGGATTGGCGGGTGTGTCATTAATGGCAAAAATGGCACACAAATTGGAAGAAGACGTGTTATTTATTCATTAACGCTGAAGATTCAACACCACAGTTCCCTATTTTAAAGAGATCGCTATCTTGAATTTCTCATTTGATTTAGAAAAATTTCATGAAGCATGGGCTGTCTGTTGGGAGCGCCCATCTCCTCCACTGCTCCGTCGGCTATGTTTTGTAATAGAATGCTTATGTTGTTTGCCCTTTATGGATGTTACATATCACACAAAGGCTTCCACATAAATAGTTTTTTCGATCTTTCATAGGTTTGAAACCATAGTGAATCATTATACTTTGAAATTCAAAGACAAGAACTTGGAGCAAATGGTAAGCTTTTTCGATACTGCTTTCATGGTCGATATTTCCTAGTTCAATTAATATTTGGTTTCAATCGTTTGATTTTTAGCAATATAATACTTCTAATGTTAATATCATATTGTTTTAAAATTTATACTTATTTTCATTCTAGTACTCTTCACAGAGCAGGAGCTACTGCGTCCTTGCTGTATCTTGCACACTGATTGTAATTCTTGCTTCGTTTTTTGTGGAGCTGATTGTTTTCCCACAGTAAGTTTTTCTAAAGTTTCAATGGATTACCTTTTTCAGGCGTTCAACAGTCCAGTATCTAGCTTATTTTATTTTTAATTAGTTTTCAGTGGTATTAGAGAGTTTAGTAACATTTGGGTCTTGATCGCAATATTAATGTGAAACTGATTTTCAGTCATGTTTTCAACTGTAGCACTTAAGAGCTGTATTTGATAACTTTGAGCAATACAATTGCTACAATAGGCAATAAGTTCATGGCCTCAGGACCTTCTACAAAATGAAGCTGGGAGGGGGGCTCTCGTCCCTTATTTTGGCAGTGAATATGGTGGTTCTTCTGTTGTGAGTCCTTTATTTGCTCTTTGCCCCCACACTTTCACTTGGCATAAGAGCCCTTGGCTTTCAGACCCTTGCTGTGACAGCACATTCCGTATATAAACAATTTAACATTTATAACCTATTATAACCTTTAGTTTTTATTATAAACCCAGTTTTCAAAGGAGACTCTGAAAATTCCTCTTTTTATTTCAGATCCTTGTCTAACTATCTTTCGTCTGGAATATCTTTTCTGTTAATATCCGTGTTCATACTGTTGATATCGGCCGAGAGATTCGGTAACAAGGTAAAATGTTCTTCTGCATTTCAATTGGTAGTCATATTTGAGCCAGGCACTCTAGTTCCACAATTATTTAATTCTAATTTTTTTACTTCTTTATCAAATTTATGTTGTTTTCTTTTAAAGCTCAGATTTGTGCATGCTTCGGTTTGTTCCTTTTGTATTATTGAGTGTTAATGATTGCTTTCAGGTGTATTTAGCTTTGAACTATATTTTTATCACACAAAGACTTGTTTTCCTTACAAACAAATAAACTTTTTATTTTAAGAATCTCTAAATTGTATTGCTCCGTAGAAATTCTTTAGCTTAGTGATTCATATTTCAAAATAGATTCAATCCAATCATCTTTTCCCATAGCTGCCATCGTTTGTGATTTCCGTCTCAAAGACAATGCATTACTCGACCCCCGTCCGAAACCTCATTGCCTGCATTTGTGTTTTCCTTGTAATATCTGCTGAAGTGACGGATATGGTAGGTTTAAGTCAATTAATTTTTAAATGCAGCTATTTTTTGCTAAAATCCCAGTCGCTTTCAATTTTGCAAAACTACACGTCTCTTTGAAAGTTCCCATTGACCAGATACTAAATAAGTTTCAAACATTTAAATTTTTAATGTCGAAAGCTGGCATTTTAGCTCAATTTGGTGGCCTAAAAAAGATTCGCAGCATCCCACTAAGATTTTGGCGCTGGTGTCTGAAATAAGACAGAATTAATTTTTCAGCAAGACATGTAGTTTTAATGAGAAATAATGTGTCTCCTTATTTAGAGCTGGAAGCGAGAAAGCCCATCTCTACTGTGAATAAATAGTGGTTGTCATAGATGAGTTGTGATGAAAGTAGGATATGATGATTATGCTGAATAAAGAAAGAATCACTACTCATAGCAGTCTATGTGCTAGCACTTAGGTACCCTGATAACCATCTGCATTGGTTTTGAGCATATGTCTCTCATACCGGCTGTTGAATTCCTGCTAATAGGTTCCCACATCTCTTCATTTGGCTCTCTGCAATAGCTCTTTCAACTGTACCTTTCTGTATGGTAGCAACCAATTTAATCCTAGAGTCTCTAAGAACAAAATAAAGTTACCAAGTAAAGTCTCGATAACTTGAAACCGAGGCTGCCTCTAAATAGATAGCTCGAATTCTCATTCACTCGACTTGAACTGTTTTTATCGTTCACTGTTTTTGCCGAACAGTTTACACCGAACCACTGAGCTAATGGGATAACAACGTGGTTCCCTAGGCTTGTTGATGCTACATGACCGCAATAAATTCTCACCTTCAAAGATGGCTTCCAAACACTAAATTTGTTTTGTAAAAGTTTCCTTTTTTAGTTCTGAAAGTTATCTATATAGAACGAAATGTCAGGTTGACGTGAAACAGGTGAAGCCTACACGTTATATTATGTTGTCTTTCAGAGATATTGCGATTCTGGAAGTAAGAATATTTCGACACTTAACACAACTATCTTGATACCAAGATCCAGTGAATGCGAATACATTCCAGTAAGTATTTTTAATGCTGCAAAATATCAGTTACCATTAAAGTTTTTGTGTATTATTATTAGAATCTTTATATGTATTTTATTTTGTTATATAAAGATGAGTCACATCTCTTGTGAAGCCTTTTCTCTTCTATGGTGTGGTCGTATCTGTTCACATGTGACATGAAATCAAGGTAAGCCAATCAATAACAATGTGAGCGGCATCAAGCTCACTGATTGGTCAATCGTTGATTGACAGATGGCTGAATCCACTTAAGTTGATTGGCTTTAACTTTACTCGACATTTAAGATAATAGTCCTGTTTTCGCTCTTTCGGGTGTTTGTCGATGGTCCTTTTAACTTAAGCATTATAATTGTGGAATAACGAGTTTGCAAATTTGTATGCTTATGTATAACCAAAATAAAGATTTGTTATGAATAATGATTTGTTAATATTCAAGTCAATCATGAATTTCGTAGTGTACTGAAATGCAAATGAAATTTCTAACCCTACAATGACATTTCCTGAAGGTTTGTGTCACGAATTTCACGAATCTTGTAATGAGTGCTTTTTCGAACCCTTAGCAAAATTACGTATCTTTGCATATCTGATCGATATATGCCAGCCATTGATACACCTATTACAGTCCTATTAATCTGGTGCATGCTTTTTCGCAGTACTTCAGTTACAATGCAGTGCTCATACTGATCACAGTATCAGCGATGATCCAGCTCAGCTTTCTGCTCAAAGGATTTCTCATGACAGTCTGTGTCGCTGTTTATATTCTGAGCTTCCATCTTATCGTCGGGGATGAATTTGAATATTACGACGCGGTTATCTACCACGGGTATGTAGGTACTGCCGTTTCACGTCGTGTCTACAAATTTAATCGCTTTGACATCCTTTACACAAATTTCATCAAATTTCAATGCATCAACAAATAATTTGAACAGAGATAAGTTTGACGTGCCTGTAATTTCTAGGATAAGCTTTAGAATGGAGTTCTTAACAAGGGGGAACACCCTCTTATATTTCAAACCCGGAGTTTGATCTGTAATACCAGTGGGTAAGCTTCAGCTGTTTGAATGAATTTCTTCACCTTTAATTTGTATATATCGTTTCTTAAAAAACCGAACCAATGATTCATATGAGACGTTTTAGATTTATTCTCGTGAGGAATTAGCATGCGTATTGACCAGGGGTGTAGAATTTGGAGGGCTTAGGGGGCCTGTACCAATTGCTACTTTTGCTCTGCTATCTCCATCCTCGACGCATTCACATGCATTTGTATCCCATTCTTATTGTGATAATAACATTTAGAACAATCACGACAATATTCTACTATCCAAAAATCAAATGTTCCTGTGATACAATCTTTGTTGTTTGTTTCTTTGCTAGTGATAAAACCATAGCTGGAAAAGGGGTATTCCTTTCTGTGGTTCTTGGTGTATGCTTCCTGATTTTGATATTGCATTCAAGACAGGTAGGTATCATTTCGCTCTTTCTATCACGTATACTCAACAAGCAATGTATTCCAAATTCTTACCTTACTTTGTTAGATTATTTGATTATTTGATTATTTCTCCTACTACTTGCTATAGCTGCTTGAAAATCAAACCTTGTTTATCAGACGTCTAAGTAACTTTAAAAAAGTTCGTTTAAAATCATCGTTTTGTTTTTGTCTTTAGGTCAAACCGCAGTTATTTTATGAAGTTAGCGTAGAATACTTTAAATACTTCAAGTTTTTAATACTTTATCAGACCTTCAAGCAATGTGACCAAATTTTGTTGCTTTCCACCAAAGTATGTGTTTTTGGTAGTTGTTGGCCAAGTTGTGCTGCCACTCTGAAAAGCGAAAAGCAGAATTTGAATTTTATTGCATGCTTCAGTTTCAGTTGGGAAAAGTCACTACTTCAAAAATTAAGCTCGATCAATAAGACTAAATTTTCGCGTGTGGCTAAACTTTCCCCGAATTTTCTTTTCCCTCTCTTCTTTGCCTCTATCTGTACGATTTTCACTTTCCTGATAAGGTGCTTCCTTTCACCATTCGAATTGCAATATGGATCTGCTTTGAAACATATGTTTGCTTAGCTGCAAAAATGATGCACGACACTTTTTATTTGTGTTATTCTTTAAGTTTGTACTTTTGCTATTTGAGAACCTTGGTGCTTCTACATAAATTCAATCATACTACGAATTTTGACACCGAGTTTTATTTGATATCCTTCGATAAAGATTGGCGTCAATAGGGCCTAATTGGACATATACGACGATGTTGTTGAAAATCTATAGTTTTTGCCCTTGTTTAAATAGTGATCAGTTCTTGCACAAATAATGTATTAAAAATAGGAAAATAAAAGAGCTGCAAGCAGGATTCAAACATAATTTCTTAACTGGATTTACGATGAATCATTCTACAATTGCTGATAGGTTGTCAAATTGTGGACAGTAATATTTCCTTCATTTTGTGTTTCATTATGTCATGTTTAACATTCGTTTTAGGTTGAAATAACATCAAGAAAACTCATGTTGTGGAAGAAAGATGTGAGTTGAACTTCATGTTTGAATAAAATTTATACCTTTGAGAAAGTTTCCCAAATGAAAAATTTCATTTTGGTCTTATTTTAAAAATGATTGAAGCTCTTTCCAGGCCAGGCCAGGCTCAAGTCTATGATCACACTATGATGTGCTTTTAGGCCTTGTTTAGGTACAGACTAAAAGTACCTTGCTTGTTCTTGGTAATCCCTAACATTTCAGACAACCCATTGTTTCTTTTTGCAAAGTAATAATTCTATTACAAAATCACATCTGTCTCTGCATGGGAAAACAAGTTTATAGTGCCCTTTTGTGGTACACAAAACCGGCCATTTTTCTTCCTAATAACTTTTTCCTAAAATTCAGACAAAGCGGAAAACTGATTATGACAGGAGGAGAACATTGTCCCAGTCTACAGTAAATACCGCGTTTAAGAACCTAGTGAATTAAGAACTTATAGGCTGAAATTATGAAATTAGACCCCCATTTTATAAGATCCCATTCTGCATAAGTCTGAAATGATATTGTAGGTGCTTTAAAGTATACATGCAGTATTAAAAACGATGTTCAGTATTTCAATATTTCCTAGCTAAAGTTTTCTACTGCTCATTATTTTACTTACATACAAGTTTTTGATGGACTCCTGTTTACTCAACTGTCTCAACACCCTCTGTAGGTAGAAGGAATTTCTACTAATAAGTTTGTGGTCCCCTAGAATTCCAAGACCTTTAATCCCAGTAAACACAAATCAAAGTTGAACAAAATGGTAGTTTGAGTTGGAACAAAAGAAATATGTGAAAGCCCTACATAGAAAACCAATTCAAGAACATGGAAAGCCTCATTTCCTATAAAATACCCAATACATAAGAATCTAGTCAGGCTGACTTCCAAAATTGTAGACTATACGCGGGTGTTTACTGTATCCCAAAGCCACAGGAACACAGTTAAAGTTTTCAATATCTTTCTTGCTACCATCTTTAATAAATTATAAGAATGTTCATACCTAATTTGTTTGCTCTGAATCTAGGCTCAAGATAAAAAGGACGAAGTGGAGACTTTACGGTATCGCAATGAGAAACTTATGCAGAACATACTGCCGGTTCACGTCTGTGATCATTTCCTTTTGAACCAAGAACGAGACGAGACAGTGAGTAATTACTAAGAACTGTAACTTCATATTATATCATACTGTATAACCCAATTCTTTGTAATTTTGCTACTTAGATTGTGCCCATTTCATTATTTTTGTTAAATTAATAGGGAGCTGGGCTCGAAAATCGACTCGATTCTCTCAGCATCCTAGGCAACTATACTAACAAAAACGTTGTTATTTTAATTATCTTAATATTCTATACACAGCTAATCAATCATCAAAATAATTTTTAAACCAAAATCGTTGTTGCTGAATTACATGAATTTGAATTTGAATTTGAATTAGCTACATTTGCATGCTAAAATATTATGTGGTCAGTTTTCCAAGAAAATGTGACTGTTTTAAATCGCGTTTGTTAGGGCAATTTCTTAAAATAAGCCGGTAGCCGGAGTTTCTTCGCTTGGTATTTTTTGTCTGAGATCCATTGTGCCAGAGCAAACTAACTTTTTCAAATATTACATCCCCGACCGAAAAAAACTTGTCACTGTGTCACACTGTGTGTGATTGCACATGCAGTTGCAGCCAAACTGAATCTGATTGGTCTCAGCGTCTCTCTTGGGACCTTCAGTGTCCAATCGAATAAAAATTCATGACTTAGGCCAACTAACTAACTGCTCTTCTCAGACCAAAAAAATTTATTCCACGACAGCGTAGAACTTTCTAGGTAACCGTAGATTGTCAGGTAATTTTTAAATGTTTTTATACCTCAGCTCTGTCAATTTATTTCTAACTAAATTCGTTTTTCCTAGGAACTGTATAGCAGATCGTACGATACTGTGGGTGTGATGTTTGCCTCGATCCCTTCGTTTTCTGAGTATTATACCGAGGACAGCATCAACAAAGGAGGCATTGAATGCATGAGACTATTGAATGAAATCATTTCTGATTTTGACGAGGTATGTGTCTCATTAGTAGATACAACTGATTTTTAAAAGACAACATATGCCTTATTGAAGACAACATAGTAATGACTAAGGATCTTCATGGCTTATCCATTGCTTCTACCGCGTTTGGCAGAATTCTGTGCTGGGCTTATACCCATGAACTGGCCCTTTGCAGAGTCCTTAATGAAACTTCTTGTATCGAATCGCACCATTGTTGTGAATTCCTAGTTAACATGAAAAATTAAACTAGAGTACAGAATTTTGAATCTCCTTGCAGTCCAAATAGAAAAGTTCTGCTTTAAACAACTGCTACTGGTTTTTCAGAAAAGATGTAGCTGTACGAATGATATATGTTGTCATAGAAGAAAAAACAAATGTATTTGTGCATCATGAACGTGATTTGCTTTATCTAGGCCTTGAACGATCCAAGATTCAAAAGCATCGAGAAAATCAAAACTGTAAACAGCACATTTATGGCTGCTTCTGGTCTCTTTGAAGAGGTTAGTTTAAATAATTCCTTTATGTTGTCTTGCTTTGTTTACTTTATCGTAGCTTTAAATTGGAATATTTGCAAAATCACTTCTAAATATCTTGTTCGAATCCTCAACAGCCTTCACCCAACAGAGAGAAATGGCAACATTTGATCGACCTAACCGATTTCGCCTTGACTTTAAAGCATAAATTGGACTGTATAAACGCTGAAACTTTTAACAATTTTGAGCTTCGAGTTGGTGAGTATATTTTTTCTTTTTTTTCTGTTTTTAAAAAGCTTTTCAACGCCCTCTGACTTTGAACTTCTATTGTAAGGAATGTTCCATGAAATGAAGACTGCATGGTTAACTTTACATTTTCAGAATACATAAGTGTTATGTTTTCCTTGCATGGTTTTGGAGTCGTTTTTGAATTTTTGTTTCAAAGGCATGGCTCAAGGACCTGTGGTAGCAGGGGTAATTGGTGCAAAGAAACCCCATTACGATATTTGGGGTAATACTGTCAACATTTCAAGCAGGATGGAAAGTACTGGCAAGCCTGGCGTGATTCAGGTATGAATTTTTCTATACTACGCAACTCTATTTGGGTGGGATGTAGTGGGGTTTGTGGGGGTCAATAAGTGCCGGAGGGCCTATGGGGCGTGGCTCACTTGTTGCAACTAGATCTCCATAGCATTCCTTAGTATAACAATGATATCTAAAATAAGGCAGCTGAATTTCTGAAATGATTGGTGGCATCGTGGATAAGAAGCTCAAATCCTTTAAAAAACCTTTGTAGCCACACCATAGCACCTCCTTCTACGCCCTTGAAAACTGTAGTGCCTCCAGCCTTTCATTCCCAATGCCCCAACTCCACAGTCCCTACATGCATAATGTTCCCTCACATTTAATACCTTAAAAACCCGGTGACCCACTTATGCCAAATGTCATATAATGAAAAATATCACGGTGTAGTTGGACGAAGACGTAAAACTTTCATTTGAATACTTTCACAGGTGCTGAAAGATACGTATGAAATACTCAACACCCGTGGATTCCAGTTTGAGCAACGAGGCTACGTTTTTGTAAAAGGAAAAGGGAATCTACTGACATTTTATTTGCTGCGGAAGACTTCTCCTTTCAATTAAGACTCTCCGCTGAAAGTTTTATCCATTCTGTTGTGAACACCATAACGAAGACTTTGCTAACTTGCTGGGCGAAAAGCAAAGGAACTTAACGTGGGGTCACGGATCCTGAGGTGCAGGAAGAAGAACGAAGGTCTTCCCCTTTTCTCTTTGATTTTCTTGTCTATAAACAGTAAGTTATGCAAAAGGACATTATAAAAGGCTTGATTAATCAAAAAGCTTAACCTTCTTAAGACTATTCGTAAGGTAAATGAGTGATTATATTGTAGATAGAAGGAACGTTCTGTGTATCGTGAGATTAATATTATGTTTAATTGGGTAAGAGGGTGCTTAATTTATAGATCGTAATATATTGTACACACAAATCAAATCTGGTGTATGTATCACCTAGTACGACATTGAGTTATTAGCTCAAAACAGTGTTTAGAACGCAGATTTCGTTGTTGTGACTAATCGAACGATGTTCACAATGAAGAATACAGGCTCTAGGTGCATAACACCAATGATGACGAGGTACCATTTCGTACAGGTGTATACCTTCTTGTATAGGTCTAACACAATTTATTGACTCAGGAGATTCAACTCATCCGTTAGTGCTCATATCGTTCAACTCGTCTTTCCTAACCAGTATAAGATTTTCTCTCTAAAATAGCACCTTGTTCTACATCTGTATTTAAATTTGATGTTGGATTCGTGGCAAGTTCATTTCCTCATCTTTCATTGAGAAATTGTATTTATGATAGTTCAGTGTATGTCTGCGCAAAAAAGGCAAGCAAATCCGGTCCGTATTCCTAACTGATTTAGGCTACAAACAATATCTCCTCAATTCTGTATTCTGCTTGTGACCGTACCGTACTTCACCTAAAGTCCTTTATTCTCTTCGAAACAAAAATAATTTCCCTTTAGCAAATACAATGGAAACTTTCAATTTGTTCATAATTTCCTCTGCTATTGCATCATTTTCAATGACTTTTGGCAGTTAGTTTTAGCCAAGATTCTCTGTTTGTAGATAGTCGTTTTCGTGTAACGGTACGTGAAATATTGCAGAAATTCTTGTTTCCTGCGTAAACAATAAAATAAGAAACTCTTTTTCAGAAAGTAGCAACCTTCCCCTGCTGCAATTCTCAGAATCAGTTCTGATTCAAAGAAGTAATCCAGCTCTGACTTTGCAAATGGCTGTTTTTTAAAGCATAGGAGAGCCAAAAAATATCTGCCTAGTTCAGTCTTGTGCTTCTTTGCTTCTAAACGGCTAATAACCATACTCCATGTGTCCATATACTTTTACATACATAAGAAGTACTACTCCCATCTCCAGGTATCTTGTACTAGAAGCACGGAAATCTTTTTAGATGAAATTTTAAATAGTGTGTGTTGAGTAGATTAAATAATGCACTTGAAATGGCAAATAACGAGAAATTGTAATACTTAACAGTTTTTTGTCAGAGTCTACAAAGAATTCAAGTGAATTAGTCTTCATTATGCTGATGCAAGTCTAAAGATTATACACAAAGTAAAAGGTTTGTCCTAAAGACTTTAGGACGCATGCTCTTTCAAAAAGTAGAGGTTTGTCACCTGCCTGTTCTTACTGAAGGGCTGTTCTCGCTTTTTGAAAAAAATTTGACCTTTTGTACGGGTCAGTTTTGATAAAAGAGTAAGGCTATAGGCTTAGAAAAATTGTGGAATTTATCGACAAAAAATTTTTTCTTAAAACATGCATCTTGGATTCCGTTTGATCAAAAACGAAAAAAATTGGATTCAGTTTCCGGCAAAAAGATAGTTTTTTAAATATGTAGACTTTTTGTAGGGGTTGATTTTGGATAAAAAAGTAAGGCTATAGGCTTAGAAAAATTGTCGAATTTATCTGAAATTCTTTCAAAATTAAAACAGGTTTCTTGGATTCCATTTGATCAGAAACGAAAAGACTTGGATTCAGTTTCCAGAAAAAAGATTGTTTTTTGAAATATATAGACTTTTTGTAGGGGTTGATTTTTGATAAAAAAAAGTAAGGCTATAGGCTTAGAAAAACTGTCGAATTTATCTGAATTTTTTTTTATTAAAACAGACTTCTTGGATTACATTTGATCAGAAATAAAAAGATTTGGATTCAATTTCCAGAAAAAAGGTTGTTTTTTGAAATATATAGACTTTTTGTAGGGGTTGGTTTTTGATAAAAAAAGTAAGGCTATAGGCTTAGAAAAATTATCGAATTTATCTGAAATTCTTTCAAAATTAAAACAGGCTTCTTGGATTCCATTTGATCAGAAACGAAAAGACATGGATTCAGTTTGCAGAAAAAAGATTGTTTTTTTAAATATATAGACTTTTTGTAGGGGTTGGTTTTTGATAAAAAAGTAAGGCTTAGAAAAATTGTCAAATTTATCTGAATTTTTTTTATTAAAACAGGCTTCTTGGATTCCATTTGATCAGAAATGAAAAGACTTGGATTCAGCCTTCAGAAAAAAGATTGTTTTTTGAGATATATAGACTTTTTGTAGGGGTTGATTTTTGATATAAAAAGTAAGGCTATAGGCTTAGAAAAATTATCGAATTTATCTGAAATTCTTTCAAAATTAAAACAGGCTTCTTGGATTCCATTTGATCAGAAACGAAAATACTTGGATTCAGTTTCCAGAAAAAAGATTGTTTTTTGAAATATATAGACTTTTTGTAGGGGTTGGTTTTTGATAAAAAAGTAAGGCTATAGGCTTAGAAAAATTATCAAATTTATCTGAAATTTTTTTTTATTAAAACAGGCTTCTTGGATTCCATTTGATCAGAAATGAAAAGACTTGGATTCAGTTTCCAGAAAAAAGGTTGTTTTTTGAAATATATAGACTTTTTGTAGGGGTTGATTTTTGATAAAAAAGTAAGGCTATAGGCTTAGAAAAACTGTCGAATTTATCTGAATTTTTTTTTATTAAAACAGACTTCTTGGATTACATTTGATCAGAAATAAAAAGACATGGATTCAGTTTCCAGAAAAAAGATTGTTTTTTTAAATATATAGACTTTTTGTAGGGGTTGTTTTTGAAAAAAAAGTAAGGCTATAGGCTTAGAAAAATTATCAAATTTATCTGAAATTTTTTTTTATTAAAACAGGCTTCTTGGATTCCATTTGATCAGAAATGAAAAGACTTGGATTCAGCCTGCAGAAAAAAGATTGTTTTTTGAGATATATAGACTTTTTGTAGGGGTTGATTTTTGATATAAAAAGTAAGGCTATAGGCTTAGAAAAATTATCGAATTTATCTGAATTTTTTTTTATTAAAACAGACTTCTTGGATTACATTTGATCAGAAATAAAAAGACTTCGATTCAATTTCCAGAAAAAAGGTTGTTTTTTGAAATATATAGACTTTTTGTAGGGGTTGATTTTTGAAAAAAAAGTAAGGCTATAGGCTTAGAAAAATTATCAAATTTATCTGAAATTCTTTCAAAATTAAAACAGGCTTCTTGGATTCCATTTGATCAGAAACGAAAAGACATGGATTCAGTTTCAAGAAAAAAGATTGTTTTTTTTAAATATATAGACTTTTTGTAGGGGTTGATTTTTGATAAAAAAGTAAGGCTATAGGCTTAGAAAAATTATCAAATTTATCTGAAATTCTTTCAAAATTAAAACAGGCTTCTTGGATTCCATTTGATCAGAAACGAAAAGACATGGATTCAGTTTCCAGAAAAAAGATTGTTTTTTGAGATATATAGACTTTTTGTAGGGGTTGATTTTTGATAAAAAAGTAAGGCTATAGGCTTAGAAAAACTGTCGAATTTATCTGAATTTTTTTTTATTAAAACAGACTTCTTGGATTACATTTGATCAGAAATAAAAAGACTTCGATTCAATTTCCAGAAAAAAGGTTGTTTTTTGAAATATATAGACTTTTTGTAGGGGTTGATTTTTGAAAAAAAAGTAAGGCTATAGGCTTAGAAAAATTATCAAATTTATCTGAAATTCTTTCAAAATTAAAACAGGCTTCTTGGATTCCATTTGATCAGAAACGAAAAGACATGGATTCAGTTTGCAGAAAAAAGATTGTTTTTTTTAAATATATAGACTTTTTGTAGGGGTTGGTTTTTGAAAAAAAAGTAAGGCTATAGGCTTAGAAAAATTATCAAATTTATCTGAAATTTTTTTTTATTAAAACAGGCTTCTTGGATTCCATTTGATCAGAAATGAAAAGACTTGGATTCAGTTTCAAGAAAAAAGATTGTTTTTTGAAATATATAGACTTTTTGTAGGGGTTGATTTTTGATAAAAAAGTAAGGCTATAGGCTTAGAAAAACTGTCGAATTTATCTGAATTTTTTTTTATTAAAACAGACTTCTTGGATTACATTTGATCAGAAATAAAAAGACTTGGATTCAATTTCCAGAAAAAAGGTTGTTTTTTGAAATATATAGACTTTTTGTAGGGGTTGGTTTTTGATAAAAAAAGTAAGGCTATAGGCTTAAAAAAATTATCGAATTTATCTGAAATTCTTTCAAAATTAAAACAGGCTTCTTGGATTTCATTTGATCAGAAACGAAAATACTTGGATTCAGTTTCCAGAAAAAAGATTGTTTTTTGAAATATATAGACTTTTTGTAGGGGTTGATTTTTGATAAAAAAGTAAGGCTATAGGCTTAGAAAAACTGTCGAATTTATCTGAATTTTTTTTTTATTAAAACAGACTTCTTGGATTACATTTGATCAGAAATAAAAAGACTTGGATTCAATTTCCAGAAAAAAGGTTGTTTTTTGAAATATATAGACTTTTTGTAGGGGTTGGTTTTTGATAAAAAAAGTAAGGCTATAGGCTTAAAAAAATTATCGAATTTATCTGAAATTCTTTCAAAATTAAAACAGGCTTCTTGGATTCCATTTGATCAGAAACGAAAAGACTTGGATTCAGTTTCCAGAAAAAAGATTGTTTTTTGAAATATATAGACTTTTTGTAGGGGTTGGTTTTTGATAAAAAGTAAGGCTATAGACTTAGAAAAACTGTCGAATTTATCTGAATTTTTTTTATTAAAACAGACTTCTTGGATTACATTTGATCAGAAATAAAAAGACTTCGATTCAATTTCCAGAAAAAGGTTGTTTTTTGAAATATATAGACTTTTTGTAGGGGTTGATTTTTGAAAAAAAAGTAAGGCTATAGGCTTAGAAAAATTATCAAATTTATCTGAAATTCTTTCAAAATTAAAACAGGCTTCTTGGATTCCATTTGATCAGAAACGAAAAGACATGGATTCAATTTCCAGAAAAAAGGTTGTTTTTTGAAATATATAGACTTTTTGTAGGGGTTGACTTTTGATAAAAAAGTAAGGCTATAGGCTTAGAAAAACTGTCGAATTTATCTGAATTTTTTTTTATTAAAACAGACTTCTTGGATTACATTTGATCAGAAACGAAAATACTTGTATTCAGTTTCCAGAAAAAAGATTGTTTTTTGAAATATATAGACTTTTTGTAGGGGTTGATTTTTGATAAAAAAGTAAGGCTATAGGCTTAGGAAAATTGTCAAGTTTATCTGAATTTTTTTTTTAAAACAGGCTTCTTGGATTCCATTTGATCAGAAATGAAAAGACTTGGATTCAGTTTCCAGAAAAAAGATTGTTTTTTGAAATATATAGACTTTTTGTAGGGGTTGATTTTTGATAAAAAAGTAAGGCTATAGGCTTAGGAAAATTGTCAAGTTTATCTGAATTTTTTTTTTAAAACAGGCTTCTTGGATTCCATTTGATCAGAAATGAAAAGACTTGGATTCAGTTTCCAGAAAAAAGATTGTTTTTTGAAATATATAGACTTTTTGTAGGGGTTGATTTTTGATAAAAAAGTAAGGCTATAGGCTTACAAATATTCTGGAACTTTTCTTACATTTGTTTTTGATAAAAATCAGGCTTCTTGTGCAAGAAAAACAAGATTTGAATTCAGTTTGGGGAAAAAAGTCGTTTCTTTGTAAACCAATAGACTTCTTGTAGGGGTCTAATTTTGATATAAAAAGTAAGGCTATAGGCTCAGAAAAATCGTCAAATTTTTGGGAATTATTTTCTTTTTTAAGAAAAGCTAATTGACTTCTTTCTGATTAGGAAAAATAAATATTTTAATTCAGTCTGGGGAAAAAATTAATTTGTTTGAAAGCCGTTTGTAGGGGTCGATTTTTGATAAAAAATTAACGGTATAGGCTTGGATATTTCTGAAAAATATTTCCACAAAAATAGGTTTATCAGTTACTTTTTGGTCATATAGAACAATAATTGAATTTAGTATTCGAAAAAAATGTTTTTCTGAAAAAATGGTTCGAGGGCTCGATTAAAAAATGAGTAAGGCTTTAGGCTTTAAAAAGTCGCCAAAATATCTGGAAAATATCTGCAAAACAGGCTTGTCAGTTACTTCATGTTTAAAAAGAATATGAATTGATTTTAGTATTTAAAAATCAAATGTTTTTCTGAAAAAATTCGATTTTTTTATAATAAGGAACTATATAGTGTATAGCCTTAACTTCTTGCAAACTACTCCGATGAACCGAATGAAGGTGGCGGTATTGCGCTTTTCAAGAACAGTGATTCGTTCCACAAAAAAACCTTTAGATCAATAACAGTATCACCTTCAATTTCCAGTGAAAAAATATTGACCTATCCTTTCCGCCTATCGACAGGATTTCAATACTCGTCATGTTTTGCGGTACAAAATTTCACAACATGACTTAAGCTTTTCATCTCACACTCTTCAGAGCATAAAATGTTAAGAAAATCAACATGCTTATGCACAGAAACCTCACATCATTCCAATAAATGGACAGAAAAATATAGATTCCTAAGACAAACTAGGACGCCAGGGCCCTGTATCTTGGCCTAATTCTTAAACCTTTTAAATGGTATCGAAACTTTGGAATAACAAAATAGCAGCGTGTAACTTTATCTGGCCGTTCTAAGGCACAAAAGATAGCTAAAAACCAATAAAGAATAAACTTGAATTCGCTTAAAGGCTAAGGCTTTGTTTTAAATAAAAGAAATGAGTTTTCCAAGCATTACAACCCCCAACAAACAAATCTTCTGGTGCTGTTTAGACTTATACAGAGAAAAAGGGCTATCAAAGAGAAAAAAGCAGGTCATACCATTAAGAATTAAACATACTGGCAAAGAAGACGGTGCTGCTAAAGAGCCGAGGAAATTACCACCAAAGAAGATGTCAACAGCCAACGAACTATACATTAGGTGACTGAAATTTTCTTCGAACGAACTACGAACGCTCGAATTTGTAACTATACTTGGTGAAATTGTCAAGCAACAAATGCCAAAGCATTTTCTAAAACAACTTGCAAACATACCTGTTAAAAAGTAGAGGAACGCATAACTTGTGAGTCACGATTTGTCTCATCTTGTACTTGACTAAAATGCGAACTTGTAATAAGGTTTCACCGAGCAAAGTGAGACCCACGCTATGTCGAGGCCATAAAGCCTAGTTCCCATAAGTCGTAAGAAAGTCAGCGACGGTCAGTATTCAAACCAAAAAACCCCAAGAGGACAACGTATTTCCACAGGAGGGCATATTCTTCTAGCATGAGTACGAGTAAACGTGAAGAACAGTCACAGGAGACCAAAACGAATAGCAATTAAATATCAACTGAAGATGAACCAATTCAAGGAAAAACGCCCCTCTTGAAATTAACTCTAATTAAATTTAACTTAGCATAAAAACAATTGCCAAAAACACAGGCTGTATATAGAAATAAAAATAGGGTCGAGGACGTAAGCTGCAAACCTGTAAAAGGTCCAAAAATGGATTTATCGACTATAGTTTCGATTGAATGAAAAGACAATCCACTCTCTCTTGAAGAATGCCGTAATTACTCGAATAACCTCTAAGGGAAAAGAGGAGGGGGATCTATTCAGAACAAGATACTACCCTTCTCTTAAAAGAACTCCGTTTCAAAACCTAGAAGCTAGAATCTGTCTGCAAATGGGACCTGATTCTTGAAAATAAATTGTGAACTTTTTAAACCAATAAAGACAAATGTTTTATTCTACTACCAGCAACATAAATAGATTTTGCTTTGACCAAAAAGTGGATATCGGATCTAAACATTCGCTTGGCTTTTAAACTATTTGAGTTCACTAACTGTGAGATGAGAAGAGAAGAATTATCTTCAAACACATTATTATCCTCGCGTATTCATCTACTTAATCGTGTCTTTAAAATGTCTTCGCATGCCATTTACAAAAAGACCAGGCAGGTAAAGCTGCTTAATGTTTGGATTATGCATATGCAACTATACGGATTAGGAGGACTAAACATGACCATCGCTTACTCTGGGTACTAGAGCATTAGAGAGCAAAAGGATTGCCCCTCTGAGGCTCTGGTACCAAGGGTAACCATCGCTTTACACCTCTGCTTTTTCAAAAGTACAGTATAGTAAAATTTTTAGAAATGATATGTTTATTCAAGAGGGTAGAGGATAGGAAAGCCGCTTTGCTGGAATAAAGTAATGCTGAATATTCTTATCCAGTTTGATGATCTTTACGGTTTGCCTATCCTATCGTGTGGTTTCATCGAAGGTCAAGTTCGAAGGCACCCTACACCCCTCTGTTAGAGAGAGAGAGATTAGAAGAAAATCTCACTTTTCCCAACCACAGAGCCGATGTACCAGTCCTTCCTACCACAAATACCTAAGGTATGACAGGGGAAGAGAAGTAGAACTTACTTGAAAAGAGCAAGGCTATCCTTAAACCGATAAGAGCGAGAGCTGTGAAAAGGATCCTGCTTTGAAATTAAACCCCACCTCTAAAAACCCTACTTGTTATATACCAACTGAAAAGAAATTAGCGCGAGAAAAGCACTGGAAGCAGGTGTCCTACTCAAAGCATTTGAATATCTCCAAGGGACAAGACACTCCTGCACAAAGAAAACCATAATTTCTGAACTCCACTACTCAACTATTTTCAAGGGCATCAAAGCAATACACTGGGTTTACAAAAGGCATCAGGAGAGCATCATCATCATCATCATCATCATCATCATCATCATCATCATCATCATCATCATCATCATCATCATCATCATCATCATCATCATCATCATCATCATCATCATCATCATCATCTTCATCATCATCATCATCATCATCATCATCATCATCATCATCATCATCATCATCATCATCATCAACATCATCATCATCATCATCATCACCATCATCATCATCATCATCATCATCATTCATCATCATCATCATCATCATCATCATCATCATCATCATCATCATCATCATCATCATCATCATCATCATCATCATCATCATCATCATCATCATCATCATCATCATCAATTAAACTTACAAGTACAATTAAATACAAGTACAAACTAAAGTACAATTAAATACTTAAAAAAGCTCTTTAGATCTAAATGACAAATTAGAGCATTTTACGCAAACGTGGAAAAAAATTACTTAATTAACAGCAACAACAACAGTACGAACATGATCAAGCGACAACTATTAAAATTTATGTAAATTTAGCCAAAACAAACAAGGCAGTACGTCGCGCCGTTCATTGGTTTATCGAAACAAAGAACAACGCTTCTTACTTGCTTTTGATCAGTGGTACTAATTTGTCACGCTTCTCTAACTTCGAGGACTCTCGAAATTCAACAAATAATTGCCAATCGGAAGAGCGACACTGCTTTTAAACCCAAATGTGAAATTAATAAAGCCTAATCAATTTCTACAGCATCCCTCTTCAAATTAACTCTCATAAAATTCATTTTTCTGATAAAATATCATTTGATCACCATTTCTACTGTCCCTAAACAATGTGAATAGAATCAACGACAATTAAAAACGCGCGCCTTGAAAGATTAAAGTTAATTGATTACTCTTATAGCTCTGAAATGAGACTGAAAGAGTCAGCTTTCCTCAATTAGCTCAATTCTAAAGGCTTTTTGTTAATCAAAAAGGTTCTTTAATAGATTGTTCAAACGAGGCTCAAAACCAAATATCCACTGAAGCGTGGGTGAAGGACAAACATCAAAGAGAATCAAGACCAACAAGATAAACAAATGAAAGATTATAAGCAGAGAACAAGACCACAGACGCACGGGTGAGTAGAACTGGAGCTGGATTTTAATATAAACCATTAATCGGGCTGCTGGCAGTGTTTCTGAGCAAGGATCACGATAAACTAGTTTTAGATAACCAAGAAAGGATGCTGATAGTATCAGTATTATTTCAGTTTGCAAAGCACCAAGGGTTGGGATGCGATTAGATAGCATCCCTTTTCAATTATGTAGTCATAGTGAAACATTGATGAATTATTTATGGATTTTTATTCTATATAAAAAACATGCAAACGATCGTTAGTTTGATAATCGCGCATTAACATCAAATCGCAGTTGAGCAGAGGCGACGCAGCGTAGTTCGATAGCAATCGTATTTCAAGGTATTTACAATATATCTTATGTAGTTTGGTTGCGAAGTGTTTTCAGGCCAGAAATACTATTTCTGAGAATTCGGATCATAATAGGCTTTCTGTACAATATTGTTTCCTTCTTATTAAACGGAGTAAGTATCATGAAATTACGCAATGCCTCAATCGGGATGCCACAAATGTAATAAATGATTGAGCTACGTGTTCGCATGAAAAAAGTTTTGTTCTTCTTCGGGTGGTCTGTATTGTAATGCAGGCATTGTGGACCAAAGGGTTGGAGGGGGGCTACAGTCCTCAAAGCCCCCAACTTTTCATCATAAGCGTTTTTCGGGATAGCCCCTTTTCTTTGTCCTACGGATTATCTCCCAACAGTATGCTTTGCTTTGCATCACTGGCATGTAAATTTGACCAATTTGTGAGGATTATTCCAGGAATTTACCCCCGGGACAACTTTCTTTTAACAAATTGATAAAAGAGGGAACGGGCAATTATCGACATTATTATCATTCTCCCCCCTTGTCACGCAACTCGTAATAAATGGTTTTTGTTATTTATCTTTAGTAGTGTGCAGACTTATTTACTGTTTTAGATCGATCGTTAGATCGCGTGCATGATCAGAAGTTGGAACGGATACAAACTTACTAAAATTGCAATTAGAAATCAAAGGAGCCGAGATGTGTGCGTTGATAAATACAAATATGACGTAAAAAGCAAAGGCGATGTGGGAGTTGATTTTTTGTGGTAGGAGGGGGGGGGGGGCGTAGTGACTAAAGACAGAACTACAAGTTCCTATAAAGTAGCAAAATTTCCGAAATATTCCGACAAATCTGGTTCTCTTCAGGCTCCCCAGCCACGACGACTATGAAGCAATAGGATAAGGCAATACATTTACGCACTCCTGGTAAAATGTTTAGAGAAGCGCCTATAAAATTTGAAATCAAGTTGAATAGGTCTTGTTTGTTTCTTACACTGAAATCGTCAATGCTGGTAAGCCGTAAAGAGTTGGACATACGGAAATTGCTGACTTGAAATGTTTTGGAAATGCATAAATTTTTTAAAACGGTATGCATCACAGTTTATTGCAAATTGAATGGCAGGCTCGACCGTCCTTGTAAGCTCTATTTATCTATTTAGTTTAGTTGTATATAAATTATATCTACCCAGCTTCCGAAGGTATTATGAGGACACTGAGGAGCTTCCCTATCAAGCAGTGTCCTGGTCCTACCTATCGATGTGAACACACCTCGTGATTCCTACGTCTGGAATTGCAGAGAGCTGGCGGCCCTACTCACTCCAAGTGAAAGTTTGGGCATGTTAGGGGATCGAACCCTAAACCCTCGGATCTGTGGTCTTCGACCCTAGGCACTGAACAGTCAGGTCACTTTCGTCCTTGATTCTTATGCGGTTATAGATACGGCTAATATCGGTTGATGTAAAAGTAGGCAACATCAGTAACAGTAGTAAGAAAATATTCAATATTTGAATGTTTCACACAACACATCAACAGAGAGTATCTTGCAGACTAATGTATATATCTGCCGTGTATAGATATATATTCCTGATAGGTGCTCAGGTTCCTTCGGTTAATTGTTATCGGGGAGTTAAAGGCAATCTGTCTCGTTGTGGATTGGTTAACGAGAACAATAGCTGGAACAATAGCCTAAACAGGATTCCAGCGCTCCGCCATACTTTTTACAATGCGATAAATTAAAGGGGGACTGGAAACAATAAAAATCCCTTTGCTCTTATAATCAATCAACGTCGTGACAGATTGCCTTTAAAAGCGTCCACCAGAACTGCTATGAACATTATTGCACAATGATCCATAGACTATTAGGTGTCGCTAGCTAAGGGAGGGCTATGACTTAATGGTTTTTCATTTAGCATGTGCTAATTAATGTTTATGCACTTGCTTTGCTAAACATCTTGGTATCTGATTTTTGCAGAATTCTACCTTCAAGAGCCAAATATGGATGCCAGAGTGCTGATCCAAACGATCCTCTTCACAACCTTTGCCTTCACTGCAACTGTTGGAAATCTTCTGGTAGCTCTTTCAATTATTTATATGAAACACAGACGAGGAACTGGACATTTCTTTATTTTAAGTTTGACATTGTCCGACTTGTACTGCGGTTTACTAATAATGCCGTTAAGTACGACCGAACTGCATGCTGGAGCAACAGTAACAACCACACCCTACTGGTGCAAAATGACTGCTGGCTTGGCACTGACGGCCATTTTGGGAACGGCGTGGAACCTTGTGTTAGTCAGCATAGACAGATTTGTCTCTATAAGAAAGCCATTGTATTACCAAGTGTGGATGACTCCCAAAGTCGTCATCACGTCAATTGTCTCGTTATGGGTTGTCGTTGTTATCTGGGCCTTCATGCCTCTAATGGGTTGGTCCAAAAGCATAGATTACCAAAGAAGCTCGCTCACTCTTTGCGTTTGGCCTATGATCCTAGATAACAATTACTTCACCATCACTTTAGTCTTGGTATTCATTGCCGTTTTCCTTGTTGCGATTCTTCAAGGAATTATTTTTGCCATTGCAAGGAAACAAGCCAGATCTGTTCGTGACAAGAGCAGTATTTCTAAAGACGAAAAGAGTAGAATGCGATTCGCAAGAATGCAAAGAAAAATAACTCGTGTCATTGGAATCATCGTCGGGTTCTTCATGTTAACATATTTACCATGGATGTGTATCTTAGCATATAATATGTGGTCGAGAGCTGTAGTTGGCCAAATTAGCATACTCATCGCGCTATGTCTGATCTACTTCAACTCGGTGGCAAACCCTTGGATCTACACGTTCTCTGATCGTCGGATTCTGACTGAAATAAAGAGCCTTCTGCGATGTCACAGGAGGCCTGAGCAGCAAATGCCAAGCTCCGAAATTAAGCAACGGTCATCTTTCAAAGAAGCAACGTAGCCAAAACTGTCAAGCAAACGACTGCTTCGATGTCTCTTTATATCAAAATGACAATATAATATTCTTTTTGTACATAGCTTAATACTTGTATATTCATGTTATTGCCTAAACCCACTGGACATAATAAGAGGGTGTTTTTGAGTGTTCCTGTTTTGGATTCACAGGGCTTATCAACTCATTACATCTGATTCTGTAATTCTCATTAAAATTTTTTCATTTTGGAATTCTTGTTTTGGATCCAATTCTTAACTTGTTGGTTAGTAGGGCTCTTCAAATGCAGCGTGTCTATTCAAATTGCAGTTGCATGCAAAACTTTCTGATGGAATGCTGACATAAACTTGGCTGATTTGTGATTTGATTGGTTTAGACTTAGCTACAAGTGCGTTAATTTGATTGATCCGAGCTACATGCATTTTTGAAGAATGCTACTCGTATAGACATCCAGACACTCTGCCTTTATGAAATCTAGGTGTTCTATGTAAGGGGCTAACTACTCAACTGGTGCCAATTTTCACGATATATATCAGAAACAAATCACTGCTACAGAAGAGAGAAAATGAATTCTATACTCTGTGTTAGTACGTTACAGACTGTCAGCGAAGTTCGCAAACCCTATTGCCCTTCCCCCCCGCCTTCTAGCCAGGGAACAGCCTTATTCAAAAAGAGGACTATTTTCAAACCGGAACTTTTTTGAGGGGGCCTTATTGAAGCACAGGATATATTTTAAAAAACAACTAGATTAGTCATCCAAAAAACTGGATAAAAAATGAGCTGTAAAATAAAACAAAATTAGAAGTTGTGAACAACTGGCTGCTTTTTAAATCTAAAAGCATAATGGTAAGAGGCCTTGTTTCCGGGGGAGGCTTTAATCATATCCCCGAGCACCTTTACTATAGAAGAGTCCCCCCCCCCTGTGGGTGGTTCTTCAATTTAACCGATTAGGAAACAACGGCGCTACCCTTGGAGCCAGGAATTCTTTTGTTTCCAGATAATTTTTCCAAATTATCTTTATTCTGGCACCGTGTTACGGAAAATTGTCCCAATTGTTTGATTATGTTGCTATGGATGATACCTTGATACCAGGCTATGCTTATTGTGTAGTAGTAAGTCCGTTGTCTGTATTGATTGGTCTTCTTGGGTCTGGAACAATAAAAGGCTATCGATGCCAAATGCCAAATTTGAATACAAGACCACCAAGCAAACGACAATCTGTGACTTTTGCTAATTTATTATCATTTAATAATTATCATTTGTGATTTCTCAGACTGGCTGGGAGCTGAGTTATCCGCTGTCGCAGCGACCACACAGCAATACACCTTTGCTGGCATCATCCCTGGACGCAGGGGTGAGAGGGCATCCAGGTATAAAAGAGCATACTGATCATATGCCCCGAAATCAGGCATTAATTTAAGAAATTTTCATCACTGCACAAAACAGCGTAAAACGTAGATTTTCGGAGCCAAATAGGGTGTGGCTAAGGGTGTGGCTTAGTTTTGACTGGACCTCTTTTGGACGGACCAAAAACGTTTTACATTGTTTTCAGGGGCATTTTCAGTGTAATTTGGCCTAACTACAGCTACCACTGATTATGTATAAATCTTACCAGAATATATCAAACCTGGCCAAAAGAAAACAGAATAGCAAACCTGATAACAGGGAATTTTTTCTTCATTTCCACCCTATGGAGTCAATATAGTATTTCTTTGTGAATGGGGGAAATGGAGTGGAATGCAGTTACTGTGTTTGTAAGTTATTGATTGATCCTTTAAAGGCAAATCAGCTGTTTCTAGATGTTTCTTTTGATAAAATGCTGTTTTTAGAGACTTGATCTCTAATCATGTTACATATTTCAATGTTCTAAGAACTGTCCAAAACACAGCCTTACTGTATATTACATATTTTTCATGTAATATGAGGTTTGTCTATATAATACAAATCTGTAACTGCTACTAATCTTTCAAAACTATGCCTGGCTAGCTTCATGGATACCCAAACCAAAAAAATTATTATCCAAATATAAAAAGATAGAAATGGTATTCACTCCAATTATTGTGGTGTATTGTGTTTCATACAAAAGAAGAGAAGCAGGCCGCCATTTGATGGTGGTAGTGGCATTGAGCCTTTTTGTCCATGCAATACAAGACAGCCCAGGTTGTCGGAGGCCCTAGGATTATCTGGAAGAAGAAGCTTCCCTGCGAGCGGAGCCAGCAGAAAGTTTTGTGACCACACCCCTTAGATTATCTTAAAATATATTTCAGAATATTTCTAGCAGTTATTTTCTTGCAATTATTTAAAAATTTTTGTTTTTTTCAAGGCATGCTTTTATTATGTTTGATTAATTCCAGTCTTAAAATTTACATAATTACTTTATAAGACCCCACAGACCTTGGCATATTCCTTGGAATCTTAGCCATAACAGGATTCATTGCACTATTCTTTTAATCTATTTCTTTTTCAGTATTCTTTCTTTTTTCATAAAAAAACACTTTTTGCATTATGAAGTGCGTTTGTGATTAACTGTATATTTTTTTATTGTTAAAGCTGGTTTCAGTTGCGTTTCATACGTAGGTTGATTCTATTATCTCATTTGACTCTCGATTATAGTTTGTATTCATTTGTCCTTATTCTAAAAACATCCAAATCAGTAGTATTTGGAGTAATTCAAATGAAAAGAGAAGTAATTCATCACTGCACATTTTCAATTCATCACTGCACATTTTCGGATCATCACTGCACAAATTGGTCATCACTCCACCTTAAATTAATCCTTGCCCGAAATGCTCTACCTAATGGATTGGCTTAGGAGCATGGATTGGCTGGGGATATATAATATATTTATATTTATTTATATATAATATATTTATATTTATTTATACATAATATATATATTTATTTATATACCAGATTGCGTTGTCTATTCTGACGTGACAGTGCTCGATGTGCAAAAGCACAGAGCAATAAATATAATGAAATAGAATATAGACTAGAAATGAGACATGTTCTCTGTTACTCCGAGTTTCGTGCTTGCGCACTCATCAGACAGACTATAATATTATCCTGCACCGAATTCGCTACGACTTTTGTTTCAAAAGTGTTTATAGAATGTTTTTTCATAATTATGACATATAATAAGTATTTATGACATAAATCAAGCAAATTTACCATGCTTTGATTGGTTATTAGCTGCTGCGAAATATTTCGCCGCATCTTATTTCGAACTCTTTTCGAAATCAAAAATCCAAACTGCGCCCCCTCGATAAATTCACCAGCGCTTTCGCTGCGACATTCGCCTCATAAAAATCAAACCGTGTTTTTGTAAAACTTTTTAATGGAAGACTTCTGTTTTGGGTTTGCGTAAACGCCTTTTCATATTTTGGCTAATGAGGGGTCATAGGGTCTGGTTTTTCCAGTATGTCAAGTATGAAAAGACATCCATTAATGGTGAAACTCTTGGAGACAGCGAGGGCGGTCTTCTGATTCCATTCTTATATTGATGCATAGCAACAACAATTACACAAAGATCTAAAATGTGCGATGCAGTCAAAAATGATAAAATTGCGGGGCAATAATGAATTGAGTTATTATAAATTAATAAATGATTGCTAACTAAAGTCAAACACTTCCGTGTCAAGTATTGGCAGCTCCTTCAACACATTAGAGGACAGGTCAGGTCTACAGAAAAAGTTAGGGAGCAAGCTCAGCAATACTATTCATCAAAGACTTTGCATTCATTAACCATATCATTATTCATTCGGTGAGGATCAGGGACGGATTTACCAGGGGATGTGGAGGGTGCGACATCCACCCTAATTTTTTGTGTTCTCCAGTAATTTTTGATACTTTCTTCATTTTCTTACTGAATTTTAAAAATAGGCGTTTCCATCAGTTTCTAGTGACCTGAAGGGTATGGAACAGAGTCCTAATTCTTGCATACCCCTAATTCTTGCCCTTAAATCCATCCTTGGTGAAGATACATCACATTTTTCCGATATTTATTCATGGAAAGTATCATCTATAGAGGAACGTGGTACTGAAATGGCACAAAAGGATACGGAATGTATCTGTAACAATAGGATATGGTCTAAAAAATATCGTTTGAAAGAAAACGAAGGACTAATTTATCATGACGCTGCGAGGACGCAATCATGATCAACAACAACAACATCCTAAAGAAAATCAGTAAATCAGCGAAGCTGTTTGTCTGGAGAAAATTTAGTTCGGAGTTTTGGAACCTAACTAGAAAAAAGTTAAAACTGTATTACTGACAGCCTGAAAGAAAATTATGAATGGGGATGAGCAAGATGTCAAAGTAAGGCCTAGACCTACTTCCTGGAAGCAAGAACCGCTTGCAAGTTCCGTTGATGCCAAGCAAAATGTTTCTACCGAAAAGCCCAAATATATCGACGATATGACACTATTTATGGCATGGCACAATTGGTACTTAAGCGAACAAAACAGATTTTTAATGAACCTATGCATTTTTCAAAATTTCCATCAGCAAACTGTGCTGCCACCTCCACCCGCTACAACAGCGCATTGGCAAAGAAGTAACAACTTAGCAGATGCAAGCCAATCGATAAATAACAATGGTAATGAGCTTTGCGTTCTTAAAATGGTTGAACAACCACGATTTCATCGTTCCATACAGATAAAATTATAGAATAGTGCAGGTTCCTATCAGGTTTCTAAGATGGCTTTCGCAAAACATTATAAACAAACAATTTGAAATGAGTAAAACTTTTTCACATAAAAAGCAGTTTAAGGCAACACCCCCAAACACTGTGAAGACCGCCCTAGCACTACACACTAAATATTAACAAAAATTGAAATATTATATTTTTACAAGTATCCTATTTTACTTTTACATAGTATTATGAATAAATAATACAATTTTTGTCACATTGGCTTATCAGACCAACGTAACATATTGGAAATGTTCATAAACTTTCAGTATATTTGTTTATATCTTGCAAAGGTTACTGATTATATTGTTTTTCTTTTTTGTAGTTGGGGTATCAGTGAAAGTTTCATCATTTAAAAAACGGATTGCTGCTGAGTTTATTGACTTTCTGTTTCTCCTTCTGGTCAAAATATTTGTTATTACTTATATGTAAGTTCAACATGAAATTTGTTTTCAATATGCATTCCCAATTAAACACAAGTAAGACTTTCCAATAAGACTAAATTATGCTTCATTTGAGTTTTTTTCTACATCTTTATTGGTTAATGACATACACAGAACTGCATTTTAACATTAATTTTTTGATAACACTCACACCTTGACATTAAAGTTATTATTAGTCAAAATGAGAATTAACATAACAATCAATTTGGGAATGTAATTTGATAGCTTCTGCTTGCATATTTCCTTTATTTTGCATATTATATGATAAAGCTTTTGTGCACCATTCTTCCATCTTTAGAAAGTATTGATGCCACATTTAGAACTTTGTTCACAAAATATTGATTAACTTTGTTGTTTATTTTTTCAGTTTTGGTGATCAATATATTGATAAATTCCAATATATTTTGGTCATTGATGAAAACACAACAATAGAAGACCTGCAACTGACTGTGCTTCAAGCATTGCTCTTCAGAGTTGTTGCTATAGCGTATGAGGTATCAATCAACATACAATCAACATCATATTCTTAAAAGTTGAGGTTTGCCAATGAACAATGATCCAAATATTTCAGTTTCCTACTACCCAAAAATCTCATAAAAGATACACATGATAGTCTCTCCGACAATTTTACACTGGCCATAAGCTTCTGCAGTGTAAAAATTAATGACAAAAAATCAAAAGATTTTCAGATATCTAGGTGTAGTTTTGTAGTTTTATTGCATATTGTAGCACTTGGCTAGCAAATCTAGCAATAAAGTTATGAGTTTCTTTTAAAACGGGGTATGAGATTTGATATACATGTATCTACTTTGTGCAAGATTTATTCAACTAGCAAAATGTAAGCTGGAGTTATTCTTTGTTAAGGGTTACTGCTTGAGTGGTACTTTGCCATTTTCGAATGGAGGCACTCTGGGAAAACGGATTATTGGAATAGAAGTCATGAAGTGTGAACTTGTTGAAGATATTGATGCTGTTCAGGGACAGGTCAGAGTTATCCCTGGTGGACATCTAGGGGCACTCAGGTAAACAACACATATTTTCGGAGAGCTCTGGAGCATATATTTATAGAGTTAAATTTATCCTCAAGTGGTATTTTGCAATCTGTTTTCCAGTTATCAAATGAATGACTTTCAACCATAAAAAAGTTTTCTGGTTAGTTCTAACAATATGTATTACTAGATTATAAAGTTATGTAATTTTCCAGCATGGCCTTTAAAACATAGTTTTAAGTTTTTCCTTGTCCATGCCACTTGATAATGAACACCCAACCATATGATGCAGAGCATGGGACATACTTTGTTCGTTTTCAAGGGACTGTTTTTTGGCTTTCATCGTGATCTTTTTGACCAGTAGCATGCCACAAATGATGAGACCTGGTAAACTTTTATAGAGTGGTGATAAAATCATCTACCTGATATGTATATATTCATATATATATATATATATATATTATCATGAATGAACTTTGGGCTACAATTAACAGTTGTTTAGCTACTTAACATACTTAACAATCTTTGCCGAAATTGTTGGACCTTCTTTTTTGAAAAATCCCTCCTACATGTAAATTTTGTTCAATTTTCTGTTTTGATGCTGAAAGTAAAAAATTCACTGAAAGCTGTATGAAGGTATGGCAAAGATTTTAGCTATTGCAAGGGTACTAAAGACTGAGAAATATTTTTCATCAGTCAGGCGAAGTGTCAATAATAAAAAACCTTTTGCAGTTGAGTCACTTGAATCAAATTTTTGCAAAATAAAATCCATTGATTAAATAAAGTTTTTTTATTTTCTGATAGGTCAATGATCCGCGCCACAATGAAAAATGTGATCATATCGTTATTCTTTCCTATGCTTCTACCTTTGCAAATGATGACAAGCTACAACCGTCTTATCTATGACATTGCAACTGGCACAATTGTGGTTGACAAGGTTTAGTCTGGCAAATGGAAATACAGAAAAGCCATCCAAAATGCAGCCATACTGAAGACACATACCATTTTCAAAGAGCGTCTTTGAAACTAAAAATCCTAGTTTTGATCTTTTTTCAATTACTCATCAGTATGTAAAAAATTATATATATACTCAAAATAATTTATTGTTAAAGCAAAATACAGTTGCATGCTTTTGAGTTGATCTCCATGATGCATTTGAAATTAATTTTTGTGGGCTGAGTCTATGTTTCATAAAATTCTCTCCATTTATTCACAACTTTTATGAGTTTAAATTTGAAATTATGATTACAGTGAGCTTTAAAGAATGTGATACAATGTTTATTTTTGTTCTTTGTTCTCTGATCAAATCCAATATAAAACCTGACTTGTTCATGCAGTTTCAGATTAGGTTTTACCTAATCTTCATGCTATGCCTGTGACTGCATTCCAAGGGATATTCCCTAAAAGTCTTTGGACAAACGCTAACACAATAAAGGAGGGTTCCCTTACAAAATGACTGTGTGTCAGATTTATGCAGCAAAACATACATAAAATGGATCCACAGCCTGAAAAACCAAATGTGGGTATGTTGGATTGCTTGTAGAGTGGTAAAGAAAACACATAAATGATCTGATATAACCATTTTTGACTTGCCCTTGGTCTGAGGTAGGAATAACAATGGATTGAAGTAAATCAGGGGTTTCAAGTAACCTTACTGTTATGATTCAAATTTGCACACACACACAGATTTATACATTGAAGATCACTGTTTACCAGTCTGCCTTAAAGTGCTTGATGCGGTATTAGCAGAGCTGTACAGGGTTTAGGTGTATAGAACAAGAGAGTTACAAGATGATACTTCGATCTTCACACTAAATGCTTAATGGCATTGCATTAATCATCAAACTCAAGAGTAGCAACTTTAAACTGTCTTGTTTCATACACAGAAAGTGTATATTTATACCTTGTATACATCATCAAAATGTTTGCTTTAATTCTAGCATGAAAACGTTTGGATGACATTAAACATCCATCAACTTCCCCCAGTTACTCTATTTAGCATTTTTAAAATCCAATTATATTGCTTGTAAACACTTAAGAAAGTACAAGTATTGTTGAATGAAAGCAATCGTATCGCATGGACATTTTCAAATTTGTTGTCAGACAGTTTCTTCAATGAAACAAGGTGTTGAACTAACTGAGGAGTGAGGGGCAGAAATCCTGAAATCCTGAAAAAAATTCCTAAACCAGGGACCCAGTCTTTTTCCAACAGGAGAGTACAATGTTAGGTGCGAGGATGGCTCAGTTGTTAGAGGCGCTGACTACAGACCCAAGGGTTAGTGGTCCGAGTCTCTGGCGTGACCAAACTTTCACCCAGAGTGGGGAGAGTCTCCAGCTTTCTGTAATTCCAGGCATAGGAATCACAAGGTGTGGTCACATCGAGAGGAAGGACCAGGACACTGCTCGATTAACCATAGCTTCTCAGTGTCCTAAAAACTACCTTCAGATGCTAGGTAGCAACAAATACAAATACAAAGTTTACAGAAAGTAAGTTATTGATTCTAACTGAGTGACATACAATATTTATTTCAGCCCTGGCATAAAAAATCAAAGTTAATATTGGCAGAGAATGCTGTTGATGCTTGTCTTGCAACTTCTTAATTGAAATGCAACTTCTTGCTTGGCACCTTTCTTTGCAGACTAAGTATGCCTTAATGAAAGCAACATTGCTACATGAACCAAAATACATGTTTTATCAGATATCATATGTAACATCTATGAAAAACTATTATCTATAGCGACCACTTTTTTAAATAAATAAAATAAAAAGTGATTGTATCAAAGGATAGTCAAAGGTGGTACTTAACAACTCTATTCAGTGATTCTTTAATTTGTCAATATCCCATATAAGCTGTCTTGTTTCATTAATAATATTCTTCAGCTGGTCAGATTGTTTCTGGATACCCTGTAAATTTTTTCCAATATTATAAATCTAATTAGTCACGAAAGGCAATAAATAAACAAATAAATTCACAGACTAATGGTTTCATTAGTTTTGAGTAACTTTTCATTTAGTGATAAAAACAAGATATTGACCAGCAAGATTTCAAGGTGTAATGATATGCCCAAATGGGCAGCCAATAGGGGCTAGGGGCCAAATCCACAAGATAAATTCTTAAGACAGCCCCCTTTGGATTGGCCCTTTTTACAAACTACTTGCTCTTTACATATTTTGTATCCTTAATTGATTACTTAAAAAACTAGTAGAGAAGGCAAGTAGAGCTTTAAAGATATGACAGAGGTGACAATGGAAGCTGATATGGTGGCACAGGGAATACAAGGAATGCAGTCTGAAACACATCAAACTTAAGGGTGAAAGGTGTCTATTAGAAAACCCTAACTGCTAATTATTTTGCTGATTCGAAAATAATATTTAATAAAAAATGTAGAAGATATTATGTTGGTGAAAGAATTATATAGATAGATTTCTACCTGGTACATATGTGAAATTTGGCTCTCTTGTATGTTGTTTTCGTCATAACTTCCAGTAGAGCCATTTTCCTTGAAAATAAGCGCACAAGTGAAAATAAGTGTGAAGCTGCTCTTCATACAACTAAATTGGCTACCAATCCACCAGAGAATTGAACTGAACACATTTTTGCTCATGTTTAAGGTTATCAATGACATGGCACCTAGGTATTTATTTGATTTAGCAACAAGAGCATTGGACGTACATGAACACCATACACATTTCTCAACCACTCTACAGATCAAGAGGTGAAGGCATTATTTATGTCAAGACATTCAAATTTTATGGAACCAAAGCTTGGAATTCTTTTCTTAAAGAGTTAAGGAATATATCTTTTTACCCAAATTTTAAATGTAAATGTAAATCTTACTTCATGGACAAATTTAAGGACCAATCTTTTCATAAATATGATTTTATTGTATAATTATATTTATTACTATATTATTGTAAATACATTTTACTTTAAGATATTTTCCCACCATTTATTTATAAACCAGGCTGAAAACAAGCTTTGCTTAGTCCTGTTATTTACATTAAAGATATTTATACAAACATACACTAGGTGAGCAAAACTATTGCACCACTTCGAGGAATGAATAATGGTGTCACTGTTGTGAACAACATGCCCTTCAAAATTCAAACCACTTTTGAGAAGCCATTAGACATCATTCCACGATTAAACTCAATCAAACAAAACTTCAAACCATTGACAATACTTTTCTTTTTAATTTTGAGAAAAATATCTTTTTAAAATATCAAAAAAGTAAATTTTTCATTGGACAGTCTTGAAGCGTTAAAACCCTTGTAAAACTTGCCAAATTCAATCAAAAAATTTTGCAGCAGGTTACTTTCAAACACCACATGATAAATTTGAATGAATATTGACAAGATAATATCTAGGTGTTTGAGATCCCAGAAAACATTATTTGCCTTGTATTTAGCAAGAAGTGACACTTTTACAGCTGTATTTAATGAAGACCAAGACATTTGACAAATACTTTAGAGACAGTCAGGAAAAATAACAGTTTTGGGCACCCCAGCAGAAACAGAGTATCTCTGAGTTCACCTTAATGAAATCTTACAGGTTTGTGCAAAAAAAAATTTTATTGCAAATATAGTACAAGTACTCTTATCATCAGAGCTCAGTTTTCGTATTTTCACAGTGGTCGATAAAGCTTAAAAATAAAATAAACAGATATTATTTTTGCATTTTTCAGTTTCATTACTATCCCTTGATAAACTTTTCATTATTATCCACCCTAACAGTCATCTTATAAAACATTGATTTAATTTGCTATAGCTATTTGAGTTTTTGTATGCTATAAAAATGTTGCAGCAGTGCTGCCATTTTGTGGCTGGTGGTGCAATACCTTTGCTCACCAAGTGTACATACATCATAGAGATAGGACATACATACATACATATATACACATAATTTTAAAAACCCATGATGATTTCACTGAAGTAACTGGGTGCTGACAAAACTGCTACGAAATTTATGGCTTTTGAAAATTACAGAAACAGACAATGCCAGTTAATATGTATACCTTGATATCAAAAGGGCAATCTGGAAGACAGTCATTATAACATTCAGTCAATTGTGCAAAGAGCGATGTCAATCTTTGCAGTACTTCAGGTGCTGATTTTCGTAGAAGGTTGAGGTCAGTTTGGCTTTTATCCTCTCTCATAAGTACCTGGGGATCTTCAAGTATTTCCAGAACATTTCTATATTCTTCTACAATGCTTCTTATCAGCAACTGACCCTTTAATTGTGAATTTTCTGTTTTCCCACTCATTTTTTGTATAAAATTCAAAGAGGTGGTAAAAATTTATGCAGCAGCCTCTACTTGAAAACGAGACGACAACAACAGCAACATTTACAACTACAATGCGCAAATTATTTATATAGACATATTTTTGAAACATTTTTTGAGAGCACCATTGTTTAAGAATAAAAGGGATTGCTCATTTGAAACAAAATATTTCTAATTTGCGACATTACTAAGGACAGAGACGATAAGAAGGGGGCATGTGGGTACTAGACTTTACAAAAGGGTGATTCTACAGTTCGAGAGAATGATAACTGCTGACCATAATTGAATCCTTATTTATTAATTTGCGAGGTAGCGAAAAGTAGCAATTAACTGGAAAAATATAAACGAGTGATAAACGGATATAATTCAAATTAGATTTTAAAACAATTTTGAACCAAAGGGCACTTATTAGTGTGGCCAACTTGTACGGCCATTTTTAAAGCCACATATGTACTGTAATGCTGCATCGGAAATTTTGAAGAAGGCTATGTTCAAACTTTCCGCGGAAGACACAAGAACCAGTCTTTTTTTAGTGAGACGTTGTCCTCTAAATCACAGAAAAGCCTTATATTATTTGAAATAGGGTTTTCTAATTTCTTTTGTAAATTCTAAAAATGGAAATTGGAGACCTAATGTTAATTTGTCTTAATAAAGTCATGCATAAAAAAGCTTTGAAATATGACCTAAGTAGATGCCCATCAAATCTTTGTCATCTCAGGGAATTAGCAAACTTGTTGTGGCCTTTTTTGTTGACGCTACTTCATCCGAATTCTCACTAACATGAAATCCAGTTTTACGTTAGAGATACCTGTAAAGAACTGGTATGTGAAAACTATTAACGAAACAACGAGCCATTACGCTGCGCATTTTCAATCCCATTTCTTAATATAAGCGTAACCTTAAACCTCTACGCTAAATTTGGAACAATCAACATTTTTTTGACAATTTTCTCTCTTTTAACATAAAGAGAGATTATGAGAGTATATCTTACCAGTTGATTAACTGTGCTGCTGAATAAATTGGTCAGCCATTCTTAACCTCCGGCCCGCAAAAGATTTCATCCGGCCCGCCAAATGCTTTAACCTCAAAAAATATTTTTAGGCAACACTTTCAAAATCTTGTATTCAATTTATCTTTGTTTTTTTATCCGCTCTGATATCTTCTTTTTCCCTGTAGCAAATTTTAATATGCGGTTTGTATACAGTTCTTGGTCCGAAAGAAAGTACCGAAATATGAAAAGCTTTATTTAATCATTTGATCGTTTTATAGCGTTTCATTAATTGTTTTTATCTATTTCTCTTCTCCATCTTTTACGGTGCTATGCTAAGATTATTCAAAACCCGAAAGACCCTTCCTTGTTCATGTCAACCTTAAAACAGGTAAACTATGGAAGCTAGTTAGAAAAAACCTCAAGAATATTGCATTGGGTTTTCTCCCGTAAAATTCCTTTTGAGGTGCAGTTGCTGGCCATTCCTAAACTAACATAATATAAAATTTTTCTTGCGTCAACCATTGTGGTGGTTTTTACTAAATTCATCCACAAACAGTACATTTTGGCCCTTCTTTACATTACCCTGTAGTCCCTGAACCTGACTTCAGCGCGTCAACCTAACAAAGAGCACGTTCTAGCCTAAAAATAGCACAAAACGATCTTGTGACTCATCCTGGTACAAGAACAAAGTTTTTAGGTTTATGTACTATGCTAGAGATAAGATAGGCAGGTAAGAAATAACAGGCCGGTCCACCTTATTTCTAACTTAGCCTGATAAGTACGAGACCTGGATTTCATTTTGAGCAGCTTTTTAACACAAGGAATGTAAATTACTAAAAAAATAAGAAAACAGAGCATCGGCAAAAATTACCTGGTTCTTATAAAAACTAAAGTGATATCATCGATATTTTCTTCCGAAGTTTGACTGAAGCACTGAAGCAAAAAAAACCCTGTTATTCTGCAACAAATTTGTAATTCGGTCAGACATGATACATGCAATTTATTAGTACAATGGGTTTTAAGGTCTATACATGATGTACACACACGACACCTACCCTATACAAATGAAATATACTAAAGAAGTGTTGTTCTGGTTACAATCAAAATCATTTCTTTAATCAACTTATCGCATTAGTTAACCACTGGACATATCAACAAAACACTCCTATCACTGGACCCATTAGTCACTGAATCACAAAGGCAAGCGTTGCTTCGAGTGAGCAATGCAATGCAGCTTAGCTGGTTTCAATCTTAATAAACCGGCGTAAAATCACACATCTGCTGACAAAGGTCCTTTTCTTGCGCCTCCCGTGGCTCAATGGTAGCTAGATCTCTGGGTATGGGTGCAATTCACTCTTGGAAATAGCGTACAGAATTTCCACGAAAGGTAAAGCATTTCAAGGATTTTCAGATAAATAATGGGACTTCAAGCAAAGGGGAAAGAGATTCTCATGGAGTGATAAGTACACGGTCCTGGTCTTTCGATGGGGAATGGGGGGGGGGGGGGGGTCGGAACAAAGAAAATAACCGCGTTCTGATATCAGGCTTAAGGACAAAAGCTCTAACGAATAGCCCTTAAACCTGTCAAACTCTTTGGAAATTTTAAGGTAATCAAAAAATGATAACAAGTTTTTATATAAATTGGTAGGTTGGGAAGTCATCTCTTCATATATCATAACATCAGGTATTATTGCAAGGGTCCACGCTAATAATATTATCAGCATTTTTTGTCGATTCTAAATACAAATTTCAATATCTACATTAAAGGAACACTAAAGCGAGTTGATCAAAAAAATGGGAAAGTACAATTAAGTGCAAATTATTAAATGAAAAAGGAGGGATTGGTCGCACGAATTATATTCTACACTCTACATTATGACATTAAATGCTTTGGGTGCTCTGATGCCAATTTAAATGATCTACATTGTACAAAAATTCAAACGAGTCCTTACAAGATGATATACATAGCTTCAAACATTCTGAAACCGTCTCATCGACCGTTGCCCAAGGTTTATTATGTATTCCATATCAGAGCCTATTTCTATGAAATTTGCAGCCACTGTGAGGTAGGGGTATAAATCTGATAAAATGCTAGGTAATAAAATTGAAAATAATGAGATGTACAAGGAACTTCGAAGAGGCGGTTTTAGAACGGGCGACGTCATAATTCAAGATAATATACATAGATTTTGTGCCTGTTCAAGATGACATCACAAGCCATTTCTGTACAGGATAACGGATAGGCAGACCTCGTTTTCATATCGCATTTACATAAGAGGGCAAAACCCAAATGTACAGTAATGTACAATAATTGACAAAAAAATAATTATTATTATGCAGAGCGATTCAAATGCCGGATTCACGAAAGGCAGTTAAATGCTTCTATACGATTATATGTCCAAAATATGACACAAAATATATGAATGAGCATGCTATGAACACAAGATATAACTAAAATAATAAAATCATAAAATGCAGAAGGCCAAGCTTGTCATTTAAAACTGGGAGTTTTTGGCAAACGAAACTAGTAAGCTCGTTGGCAATAGAGGAAAAGCAACTCACAGAAAACAATTAGCCTGAAATTGAAAACAAAATTCTGCCCAAGGTTGGTCGGGAATTCACATCTCCTGGCTTGCTGCAGTTTACAATATCCCTAGCTTACATAAAAATGTTAAAATCTAAACCAAGAAATTTTAGTCCTGTAATCAACAAAAGCCAAAGCTTCATTTCTAACTCAAAATTTTCTACAATGAGAATCAACTACAAAATATTACAATCACACTTTAAATGCACACCTTAAAAAACGACTTACTGAAGTGAGACTATCATAAGAGACACGATTGGTTTTGAATAATGAACAAGAATATAAATATAATGCAAAAATTACACGATTGTTAAATTGATATAAAGCTTGAATAATCATGAGTGCCTGAATTAACTTCAAGGCCAAATTTTGTCCTTGAAGTTAATTCAGACAAGTACATAAATTTTGTAATCACAAATATCAACTCAGGGAAAGACGTCTTTAATTCCCTTTCAAAATTATTTGAAAAACGATACTTTGTCACAATTTCAGAATATACATCCTGTGCAATATATCTAAAAGTAACTGGCTTGAAAAGAAATGGCCATCATTTACAATAAAAACGTGAAAGACAAATCAAATTTCGTGAATATCTGTCATGCTAGGCCTAGGTAACAACGATATTTTAAATTGAAACACAACATAATAAAACAAATTAAAATAAAGGCCTGTAGTGGTGGCCTACATAAATGTAAGATATGATTAAAAAAACCCAATGATAAATGCTTTATACTAAAAAATGAGAATTTTCACCTCTGAATTTGTCATATTCTCATAGCACGTGTCCGTTGGGAGGCAGAAATACCATGTCAACATTTGGCTTCAAGTAGAATGACTTTCCAAGCTTCTCCAATTTAGCAAGTATGTGTTTTCCATAAGTAAACTTACGAAGGGTCGCTTCGTGTGGTCGTATTTTGAGAATGAGCATTTTCTTCTGCAATGGCTCTGCGACATCAATCATCTTCTGGACTACGTAGTTTGCAAATTGGTCTTTCATCATTGCATATAAGGCACCCGGATTACTAAAAAGAGAAAGATAAACAGTCGGTGTGACTTAAACTCCAAAACCATTGTCATAAACGTCATGAAAAGGCAAGCTGGAAGCGAAAGGCAGCATAATTCGATTAATTTAATTTATTTTGGAAAATTTATCTCATAACATTGGATTCTCGTCGCCGTTTTGCTTTGTTTCTGAATTTTATCCTCATAATTCGATTAAACCTCCTTTTGATAAAGCCTCCTTATCATCATCAACTTCTGAATAAGTCCCCAACTCAAATAACATCACCCTTTTTAAGCTGTACAATTTTTAAAATGCAGCCAACTGATTACAATATTTTAAAACGCATTCTGCATTACAGCACCTATATGCAGTTTTAGGGTTATTAAATTGTCTATCCAGTTTTCTGGTAACAAATCTTGCCATTATAACAAATATTTTGCTTCGGAAATTTTTGAATCTTTTCGGCAACCCAGTCTTCTGAAAATACCCAAAAAACCATTGACAGGTTATTCCACATTTTCAACTATTTCATTATCAATTATATCTTACGAAAATAAACAAACTTATGACGTTTACAAATTGTCGTTTTTTCCTGCAGATAGAAAAGCACCCTGATCAATACATGGGAAAATATATATAAGGAAATTAACATACGCGTCATTGCAAACTTCGTCAATGAGGGCTGCTCTGTCGGCACGGCTTGCGTGGGAGACACATTTCTCAACAACATTGCTACAAAAAGAAAACGTCACTCTAAATACAAAAACCATTTAGGAGCAAGTACAGAAGCCACCTTAAATCTGTGCTAAAGTACATACTTCCATTGATGCCTGGTAGCTGAAGACAAACGTTGTCAGGTGTGCTAGTGCCTAATTACAGATCAAAGAGAGAAAGAAAAATAATAGATTTCTTCGCCATAATCTTTGCATTAAACAACACGAAAATGTATAATAAGAGAAATGCAAAAAAAAAGACATTTCTTAGATACCTAGCAAATTTGTGCTGACTCAGCTGGAGAACATTGCCCCTCACAAGAGCTATGATGGTTAGCTTATCATCTGGGCTGCCATGCTCCAACACATGCTGTATCACATAATTTCCATACTGATCTTGGACCAGGCGTTCCGTATTTTCATGCAGCTCAGACAAGATGGGTGAGGTTTGCTCAGGGGAGCAATGCTCCAGAATTCGCTGAATGACACGACATCCATATGGGTGAGTTGAAAGAGCAAACACCTAAAAACACAACAACACAATAAGAAAAAACAGAAAAGCCCTGCCGGTAAATTGGGCCTAGCTCTTAACTAAGTTTATATTTATGATGGGTTGGCTTAGGTTTTAATATTTCTTTAGAGTCCCATAATATCATGTAGTTTCATACTTTCTACAGTCCACTTAATTATGTGTCCAAAAAACCAAGCTTCCCATCACCACAGCGAAACAAAGATTACTAAATGAAACTAGACAAAAAACTTGATCACACGAACTGCACAACCTTAGCACCAATATTATAACCTCCAAATTGAACTAAATTTTTTCAAAACAAATACTTTGAAAGTTTTAAATGATTGAAGATCTTTCTTCCCACTTGTTAAGCCTTATTAAATCATCTACACCAGAAGGTAATTCCAAATGAGAAAACTTTGAACAAAGGTCAGCCAAAAATGCAATTGCTACAAGTACATAAAGCTACTCTGTGCTGCACAAAGCACAAAAAATGAGAAAGGAATCAAAGGCACCAAATGTATGTCTTCACACCATTTTAACCATCAACATGTCACAAAGTTTAAAAATCTACAATAAGACAGCTTAAACTCACTTGTCCCCTGAATGCATTAATTATAAACTGAAGGTGGGCAGCATCAACACATTCGATGCACTTCTGGACAACATGATTGCCATTCTGGTCCTTGACACATTTCAACACATGACCATCAAGCTCTGCCACCAAATCTTTCTGCAAAGAAACAAAGGGAAAACGATGAAAAACCATGCACCCAGTGTAAAAAATGATTTGTGTTGTACATGTCTTGCTTTGGTTTGTGTTGTACAATGCTATGGGGTTTAATATGCCTATTCAGCAAACAAATAGATTCATTAAAAATTGCAGTTTTGACTTGCTGTTTCAAATCATTTGAAAAATTGATTAATAGCACTGATAGATAAAAATCAATATCTGACATTAAAACACCAGAAAAAAGCTTTTTAACACTTTAAATACAATGCACAAGGAGATTTTTATAACAGAAAGAATTTTTCTGTCAGCCTCAAACCTGTACATTTTGTGGTATGGACTCCAAGGCCTTCTGGATTACTCTACAACCATACATCTGCAAAGCTAACTGCAGCACATGACCTTGAATTCTGTTTGCCAAAGCCATCTTCTGCTCTGGAGATCCAAATTCAAAGAACTTCTGGATCACATAGTTACCAAAAACATCTGTCATCAGGCTGTAGGCAGCTGACAAAATTTCATTGAACACAAGATTTTTCTCCATGACAGAGGCACGCTCAAGTTTCTGCTGAATGAATCTTGACCCATGTTGATCCTGAGAGAATTCAACTATATGATTTGTTAAATCACGGAGCTGAAGATTAGGGTAGCGGTTGTTCCTGAAATCTTCCAGCAGTTTACTTCTGCCACTGTCTCGGCCAGACTTGCGGTAAATACTAGTTGTAGATGGACCAAAGATGCTTCCTCCAACTAAACTTGAGGCACTGCTGCTGTACTTTCGATCTGCTTGTGCAGTCAGCAGGCTCATATAGCCTGAGAATCGACTGTTGACAGGACTGCCTAGATTAAACGATGCCTGGTTCTGTATTGGTGATGTGTTACTGTCACTTATATTAAGATTATTAGCCAATGGGGTGTTTACTGTTAATGAGTTGTAAGAACCAACCATTCCAGGGTATACTTGTGTAACATTCTGTTGCTTCATTGTCTCCATCTGCCCAAAGGCATCTCTTCGTGCTTGGATGCCACCAATTGGAGGAGCTACAGAAGAAGGCATGGAGGTTGACAAGTGACCACCAATAACACCAACTGGGCCTCCATTTGGTAACTGCACATTAGAGACACCATTCAATGCACTGAGAGCACCAACATTACCTGTTGACAGATAACCAAGGTTTATAGAAGAACCTTGTTGTTGCCTTGCTTGCTGAGACTGTTGTGATTGTTGTTGCTGTTGTGCATTCAGTAACTGGATTGTTTGTGACTGGCTTTGCATTTGTGGACTGACAGCAGTTTGTCCTGAGTTGTTTACCACCATAGGGGAGACCATTCTGATTGGCTGTCCTAGTGGGTTTGTTAGCTGCTGCGCCATTCGGCCATTGATTATCACTGGGTTCCCTTGCTGGTCATAAAATGTTGCTCCTGCAGGAATACTAAGCGGGCCTGGAATAACCTGGTACCCTGTTGGTGTAGTGCTAAGCTGTTGGCCAATCATCTGCTCCCCAGTGGCACGATTACCATTTGATTGCGTCCTTAGTTGACTTTGTTGTAACTGCTGTGGCTGTTGTTGCACATAAGCTGCATTTCCACTAGCATTGGCATATGCCCATGGTTGCATTCCATATGGAGCATACTGAGTTGGTATAACAGCTGGCTGGCCATTGGCATTAAGTATTGAGATGCTTCCATTGCCATATGGGTCTTGTGGTGGGTTAGTGACAAAGTAAGGACTTGAAGCCAATGCCACCCCATACTGCTGTTGCTGTGCATTACCTATAATGACTTGTGGCTGCTGCTGGGCTATACTGCGTACTATACCTTCTGGGTTGTTTCCTTGTAGCTGTGACTCACCATAACTGAATGGCAGGGTTTCTATACCAATGGCACTTGGATCGACTTGTGTAATAAGCTGAACTGGTGATGTCACTAATGATGACTCCGATGCAGATTCTACTTTACCCATGATTTGAATATCTTGACCATATCCGTTAGATTTAGGCCCTTCCTGTGATGACTGTGAATTTGGATTTGGAGACTCCTGGCGACTCCCTGGTGTACGGCTAAAAGAAAAAAGGTAAATTGAAAATTGCCTGTTGGTAGGTGAAATACCTAGTCTGAAAAGTCAAAAAACGCCTTTCCAAAATACTGCAATCAATTTTTTACAGAAAGGCCCTGTCACAGTCTAACAAAAAAGCTGTTGAACGAAAATTATCCTATAACCTCAACCTAAACTTGATAGCACATACAAGCCTTCTTCTTTGTACATAGCCATTGGGTACTTATGTATGAAAAAGACATACAGTTTAGCAACAAAATATCTTTGATTAGCAATACAACAAATTGTGTCAGTCTAACACTTTTACCACTTGAAAAATACCTCAAGCATAACCCTTAAAATGGTGGAGGGGGGCTGTGTCACACAGAACATCCAGTGTGGTAACACACCAATTTATTCAAAGTTGTTTGGGTGAAACAACCTGCGTTCAATAGGAAAACCAGTATAAATAAAACAGTTTTCTGCATCTGTGCTCAGCTCAGATGATAGGATCATGTAACAAGAACAAATTTCTCTACCATATGTCAAGAGGTAAAATAATTGTAATACAAATATAACAGTATCCTACCTAAAGACAAGCTGTGATTCTTCATCTTGGATTGGTGTACCAGAGTGGGAATTTACAGCTTCCTGTTCTTTCTGAATGTCTAGAACTGTGGGTTGGGCTTCAGCGGCATCATCATATGGAGACTTCACTCTCTAAAAAGTGTAAGAGTCCAACAATAGAAAAACAAAATAATTTATTTTGTTACTGTTCTAGTAAGGTTTTTGCAATGATTCCAGAAAATCTAAAACAGGTTTGCCACAGGCACATTAGCTTGCGTCTTCAGAAACTTTCAAGGGGAAAATTTTTTTGATACACCCATATTTAAAAGACAATTTTTTCTCTGCAAGTTTCACATATTGAAACTTTTTGTCATCAACCAAAGTACACAAAAAGTGGGCTGTGGTTGTGCTTGAGTAAAAACTTTTTTAAATTAGAACAAAATACTATAGCGGGTAGGTTACTTTATGTTTCTCTTTTGTTTGATGCATTAATTGTTGAAGTTTTATAGCCAAATCTATTCCTCTTTTATTAAGTTTCATAGACACCAGTTTTCTTCATAAAGAAATCACTATGCATGTGGAAAACCACATGCATTTTTTCTTCAAGGTACCAAACTTGCAAGGAACAGTATAAACAGGGTTTCAAATTGCTTAAATAGAGGGTATAAAACCTCAAAAGCAACTGAAATTACAGTGTTACTGTTTGAGTCCCCGGCAAATTTTCTTCACTTTTTAGATTCTGAAATGCATTATGAAAGTGACAAAAGGCACTAAAGTTTTTTGCCTGAACGTTGCCCTTGATTTTAAATCAATGTGGCAAGATGTTGCAGGCATTTGAGGGAAAAATATAGCATGCTTGCTTACCACTGCACGCCTGAAAACATCCAGGTGTGTAGTGGAGTGTGACATTTTTTTTCGCCAAAATTTAAGGTTATTCTGATAGATCTATATGGAAATTGCCAACATGACAATACTGACAGCAATAATTTCGATGAAATTTTTTCTTCCTTGAATTTTTAGTGTAATTACTTAAATCTAAGCGCTAGTTTCTTACCCAAGTATAAAGCTTACTCTATATATCAGCAAAAAACGGCACTACAAGTACAAAAAAAGTTTGCCATGTCACAAACTGTTTTCATCAGCTTCAATAATGAATCCTTAGCAGAGTCATCAAGGGCTTGGCGTTCATCTGGTTGTAATGGCCCTTTTGGCCTTTAAACCCATGCCACCGAGGGCCCTCTCCAACTTTCAGCATTATAAAAGTGCATATTTGCCATGTATATATGTCTTGCCGATGACAATAATGATTCCCCCGAGAAACTGTGATTATTAAACACCAGGAATAAGAAGACCAAAATAACGGTGAAAACTTTTAAAAAAGTTTGTCATATCGCAGAAAATTATGATGAAAAGACCTATAATTGGTTCGTGATAACGAGAGTTTGTTATATACGGGATTAGTTACACCAGGAGAATTTGTAGAATCCAGGAGGACAGAATCCAGGGGGACAGACATTTTTTGGCATACCATTTGAATATTTGTAATCGGTTTTCATAATATGGGGAATCCACTATATATTAGACCTATGATTATTCAACAATTTTTTTTATTTAATCCGCAAAGTAATAGTACCAAGGAAGGATAAACATTCAAACCCGTCTCAAAAACCCACAAAAACAGTGATTTGCTCTCAAAATAAAAGTAGGCATGTGATATTTTGCACTCCTGGAAAGCAGAAGGCATGCGCCGGGGCGTGCGCGTGCAATCACATGCCTTTCTGTTGAAAGCCTGATGTTGTGAAACATTTTCTTGACATGCAGTACAGCTATTTCATAGTCTGTGAAGCTTAATTTTTGGATTTACAGAGAGCCTGAGTGCTTGAGTGTTTTTCTGCTGTGTATGTTCTGAAAACAGTTGATGTTACAGGGCAACTATAGGGAAATATTGACTGATACAGTGGCATAGATAAAGAGGGGGTCAGAGGGTGCAAAAAACCCCTGTAAAGCTAAATTGCTGTTTTGTAGGGAAACTTCTGGTCTTGTTGGAAATTTAACATGGCTTTCTTTTTTATCTAAGTGTTACATATTGAGAGCTAAAAAATGCCTTCTGCAGAGGAAAAGACAAGAAAAATCTTCAAGTAGTACAATTTATGACATGTGACCTATATGAGGTCATGTCCAAACTTTTGAAAAAATAAAAGCTTTTATAAAATTTTTGTTGGAAAAACTATATAAATTTCTTGCCCCTCCTATAAATTTTCCTATCTACGTCACTTGATTGATAATAACCTTGATCATCAGAAGATCTATGAAAAAGCCTATCTTCCTTTAAGCACTTTGATCGATATTTACAACGATCACTGTGAAAACGGGAAAATAGAAGTTTTTGGCACTACCTGACGACCCCCGTTTGTCTGGGGAAAATCACAATAGGATGAAAGAAAAGGCATTATTCAAAGAATTAGCTGATGTTGCTCAGCTTATGAAAAACAATACTTCCAATATTTCATTGAAGAAAGCAATTTTATGTAGGTCAAAACAATGGTCAAATATACAACTTGTGCGTGTTATTAATTGCTTGCATTGGTGCCATGTGTGTGCTGATGCGTGCACATCGCATGCATTAAACGACAAAGACTGAGACACTTTATATAGTCAAGCTCGCTTGTTTTGCAACATTAAATTAAACTAATGCTATTGGCAACTTAGTAAAAGAATGATTAGAAAACCCTTACCAAAGTTCCATTGATGTCCATCCCCTTCATTGTTGCCTCCAAATCCCCACCACCAGGTGATGATGCAAGAACATATTCAACCATTCCGTAAACCCCAAGCCCATCTGCTGATCTTGGAGAAACAACTGAAGACTGTTGCTCTGGGGGGTTGAAACCCTGATTTCCTCTTTGCTTAACCATGATTGGCTGAGAAACTGCATGCTCAGATTTGTCTGTCTCTCCTTCAATGGCCCAAGGGGTTTCTTGCCACTGATGCTGGAAAAACATGGGCTTCTCTGGCTCTTTCTCCACCCTACTGTCATTGCTCCAAATTTTCTTTTTTGATGGCATTATCTAGACAATATCAAAAAATTAAAAGTAAGGCATAACATAAAACCTTTTAGATATAGATATGTATATATATATATAATTAAAGTTTACATTACTTTTTAGCAGAAACAGTGGTGGAAAAAGTACATGAAGTCATGAAGAGTCACCCAGAAAGAAGGATGAGAGAAGAAAAGACAGGGGAAAAAGAAAAGATCAAGAGGAAAAAGAAAAGAAGGAGAAATAGGGGAAAAGAAGGAAAAAGAAAGAAAAAGAAAAGAAAACAAAAGAAAGGAGCAAAGTTAAGAGAGGGCAACATTTTCCCTTAAAATCACCACCAAAGCTCTTTATCTTCTTTTTGGCTGATGTTGCTTCTTCATACAAATAAGAAGTATGGATGAGCTCTCTTATGTTAACGGATTATAAATTTTTTAGAAGCAATGAAATGAAATTCTAAAATTCAGCAACTCATATACATTGTCCAAATCAAGCTTCTACCTTTAAAATTCTACATTTTGACATGTGGAATGTACACACATAAACGTATATATATATATAACTCTGTTGAGTGTTCCAGAACTGGAAAGGTCTAGCACATCAGAATGTCTACAGACATTTCTGTCTAAGACACAGATTGTTTTATTTCAATTGATTTCAAAGCATATCTATACAATGTATTGACAGCTGAGTTAGTACAGAAAGAAATCTTAGCAAACTTCAAACAGTTTGAACAAAACAAAAGTAGCCTTTTAACTAAATTAAATGCATGTTTCTTAATAAAAGAACAGAATTACTAGCAATAACATTTTCATCAATTAGTGCAACTTGGCTCTTCTTAATTACTTTGCTTAATATGGAAGCTTTACATCTTATTAATGTTCTGATATCAAAGGGTGCTCAGTATACAAACCTCCTGTATTCCTTTCTCTTTGCTATCCTTCTTTGATATGCCTGAATAATCTGTTTCTGTACCGCCAGATTCTTCAACCTTAAATAATCAAGACCATTTTTAAATCTCAGGTTCATGTTCCATCATACATTAGAAAACATTTGACACTTCAGGCTTTCGTCGGAAAGGCGTGCAATCGCACGCGCACGCCCTGGCACACGCCTACCGCTTTCCAGGAGTGCAAAACATCGCACGCCTTCTTTTATTATCAAAGGAAAATTCATAATTATTGGTTTTGTGGGTTTTTGAGATTAGTTAATATATTTATCCTTCCTTGTTACAATTACTTCATGCCACTTCAAAAAGGCTTAACACCTTATAAGGATTGCAGATTAAATAAAACATTTTGAAATAACCATGGGACTAATCTACAGTGGAATCCCGATATTATGAAACCTGATCTGGCTACAAGTATAATTAATTTTCCGGCATGACAAGAGATATCTGGCCCCTTGATTTCTGCCTCCGCACAACTTCTCTCGGTATAACTAATCCCGTATATAACGAATTTTCGTATATTAACGAACCTAATTGTAGTCCCTTCATCATAATTTTCCTCAATATGACGAACTTTTTTCAAAACTTTTCACTGTTATTTTGGTCTACTTATTCTCTGTTTTTTATCGCTATTTCTCGGTGGAATCATTATTGTCAGCGACAAAACATACATTGGCAAACATGCACTTTTTATGATGCAAAAAAGGAGAAATGATTTGTGCGAACGTTTGCACCTTTTCAAGGCTAAATGGCATTTCATTGAACAAATTCAAACACAGAAGACTATAACAGACATTTTTGTCCCCAAATTTTAAGAGGAACATTTAGTGTTTTGAACAAGATTTTCATTTTCGATCGCAATTTTAGCGAAAGCAGCCGGTTATGCGATAAAAATTGGCCGATTTGCTAATGATGCGATAAAAAATAGCAGATTATTTGCGGATTTCGCTACCCACTACGGCCCCCTCTTTAGATATCTCTATGCTTTAAATCTAGATGCTAAAATGTAAGTAGTCATGGTAAGAATTCAGCGAAGTAAATTTCATCAAATTATTGCTGTCATCATTTTCGTGATGACAATTTCTCCGTAGATCTATCATAATTGCCAGAATGTTTTGTGAAAAAATGTCACACGCCATCACACGCCTGGATGTTTTTAGGGGTGCAGTGGTTAGCACGCCTGCTATATTTTTCCCACGAAAGCCTGCACTTACTTGAAAAATTAAAATATGTTTAGAACCATACCCTAGGTTCTAAAGGTCAAGAAAATATGTTTAACATTCATTAAAGCATTCTATTTCCTTGTTGAAAGCAAAAATCAGGTCTTTCTTCCTTCATATATTAATGAAATATAGTTTGTTCAAGTTTGTCAGTAATTTTTTAAGTTTGTATGTATAAGAAACAAATGTTTAAGTTTGTCTTTTGTCACTTTATAGTAACTTTTCTATTGTTAAAGAAATGCTTCAATGAATCTTTAAAGCATACAATTTTTTTCTAAATTAAGCTGATGTAGCATGATTCTTTGTTTTACAGTTTAATTTTATGAAATCAAAATCAGCTGTGAAGCATTATGTGGAAAACAATGTATTCAACTGGGCAAGATTTTCAAATAGTAAAAAGTATATATTCATTTGGTATTTTCCTATTATTTGGTACCTTAATCATTAAGTATTTTACGTTATTCAAAAGCCGTACAGTTTCTATACTGCATCAAGTTAGACCCTGTGCCTGTGAAAACAAATTAAAACTGAAGGCTTGATGAGATATCTGAAAAACAAGAAAACAAGGACATGGTAAATCAGAAGTCAACTTTTGCATTTGATTGTGGGTGCATTTGATTGGCATTTGAAATATTTGAAGTAGCCAATATTTCAGACATGCTGTTTATGTCTAGCCATATGCTTATCCTTGGATTTGTTCCTTGGCCCTAACCTTTCATATTGCAAAAATTGGTATTTTAATAGTAAATCATTGTCAGATCACCTAAAAAAATTTTATAGGGACTTGAACAGAATTCCAAATTAAAAAAGGAAATTGTACATGGATGTGCATGGATTAGACATGTGCTCAGGTGCAAAAATGTGCACTGACTATTACAGAATTATTAAACTTAACATTACATTGTTGTGAATTCAGTAATGGTTGTGAGATAACTTGTTGCTGGCAGAAATCTTTTGAAAACAGAAAATTTTTTGCTGATAGAAAATTTTCTACTCACAGAAAATATTTAATGGCCAAAAAGAAAAACAATTTTACGAAAAAACAAGGATTACTTTTGGTGGAAAGTACACAACCATGTTCTTTGACTTACAAGGCTCATGGTCCCCTGCCTAAAGTTTGACTTGTTTTACAGTTGGACCACCTGTTTTGCAGAGTCACTTATTAAAATTTTGTTACTACAGTAAGTGGATGTTGAAAATTGATAATGAGAAGCTAACTAGTTCCATCACTGAGTGTAAATTTGTTTTCTAAAAATAGAGGTACTGTATTTGTTGAAATAAACACCCCATTTTTGTTTATAGGGGTATATCTTCAACAGGGCTGCTGTAGGAAGCCATCAAAATATTTCTAGCTACCTGGTCAAGGGTTGTTGCACAGTGTTTAAACAAAAAGCTTGGTTTCCATGACGCATTTGAGAATTATTTTCAAATTTGCTAACAGAGATTAAATTTTTTGGGCCTACCTTTACGGACAATTTTTCTAAATATCTTCGACATATTTTTGCTATTGATATCATAAGAGAATTTTCTAAATCATTTCACAAAACAATATAAAGATAACATTTGCCAATCATATTGCGTTCATTACTGTGTTGAGGGATTCAATTTTAACCTAAGTATGGATACTAACAGTAAAATAAGTCGGCATGAACAATACGAAAAATGAATTGCCGTCACTCTTAAGTCAGGTACCTGCGGAAGCTAACAATCACAATGCAAATATGACGGGTAATGTTGTTAAGATGAGGCATCTGATAGCAGGAGACAACTCATCGATGCTCCTAATATCTGCTACGATACCTTAACTTGTTAAAATAAGTTTTGAATTCTATATGGGGAATTTCACAACGAGAAAATCTGAGGCAGAGCCGAAGAAATGAGATCCAAATTAATGCTGCAAATAAATGGGGTCGTCATGTCAATGAATGATCCTTCAGCTTGGCCTGTTTATTTTGCAATCTTTTATTTTCTAAGCTACTTTCCAAAATATGCTGAACAACAGTTGTTTGGTTTTAATGGTGCCTGTTGGTAATAGAAGACAAAACATTTAATAATAGAAAGATTCCTACAAACAACATAAATTTATCAGCCTCGATGTTTACCTCTTGCTGAGATCCGTCTGGTACACTCCACTGATCAGCACGAAAACCGTTCTGTGATGTCCGTCCTGGAAAGTTATCTGATCCGTTTGAGCGAAATAAAAATTGAAGATTGTTAGAAGATTGATTTTTAACCCTCAACACGTTTGCAAACTCATCAATATTTTGTGGTGTGATAGTTGAGCTGGCTGGCGACCGGGCCGTACTCATTCTAACTCTCTCCAAACCTCTGACATGGTTCCTTTGTCGGAAACTGCCTGAACTACTATTATTCCAGATAATGTCATGCATACCAAGAAGACATGAAAGGCTCATCGAGGGATCTGCAGAAAGGAAAATTAAAATTAAATATGCTTCACACAGTATTGCCGCAGCCCGGAACGAGCACATTGGCCTAAGCAACATCCATACACAAAGGTTCCACCTAGTGGTTCTAGAAATGAAAAATATCTAATTCAAGAAGACATAAATCAAAAGCTTAGCATTGCCAAGTGTAGCTAAACTGAAGTCTCCAAGCGATGAATTGATACAAACCCGATTAGCTTCGTAGACCCTCGCCATCATTTCGCGTTTCCAGAATATGGCCATAATCAATCCTTGAATGCCGCACCCATCATTCCTTGCGGCCGTAAATGACATCACAGTGGATTCAGCAGAATCGTGACTAATCTCCTCCACAACGACTAATTCACTAATTATTTACAATGGGCAGCGAGTAAACTATAAACAATGCTCTTGTTCAACAGAAAACAATATCTTTGTTTTCTAGCTTCATCTCAACTTTTCTCTCCACTTTCATCTCTACTTTCAGCTCTTCTTTAAAATCGAATTTTCTAACGGTATGTTGCCTTTTTTCTTGAAGATAGCAGGAAACTATCTTACTTTCGCATAAAATGTTCAAGGAATAAGGATGGTTCATGGGAATTAACAAATTTCAGAGGAAGGCCTATCAGTGCAAGGCTGGAAACACCCATTTCAAACATTGAAACTTCGAGATAAATATTGAAACGGGAGGTGCAGGAGGTGTGAAAACCCTCAATATTTCATGAATTTGTAGGAAAATCTTTAGTTGGTCCTCAAAATCGTTAGCTGGAAGGTAAAGTCGCCAGGCGTAAGTGAAATAATCATGAATTTTTTCATCGATTTTTATCGTGTGTATGTCCTCGTCGGTAAATTTTACTTTCACTAATCTCTCCTCCCCTACTCTGGAAGGTCTAACTACGCCAATTTGAGACTTGATAAAAAACTTGTAATGCAATATTATCGCCCATTTTTGGTGTTGGAAATATATATATACTTCAAAACAAACACATATCAAATAAGCTTGTAAATACTTTTAAACATCCCAGTATGTTAAAGCGATGCTATCATTTTTACAACGTTTCATTATTGAAATACTAAGCTTAAACAAACGACTGACACGGGCCTAATTTTTGCGAGAAATTAATATGGGCTTTGAACAGTTAGAAAGATCGTGAAACAGTTTAAATTTACATAACCCGTGTTGAATGGAATGAATGGAGGCCTGTAAAAAGTTTGACCTACAATTATAAGAGAAACAGTTGCATACACGCTGTCACGCAATATTTTGCTGGATAGATGAACAGGTCATTGCTAAGTTGATTGAGATGTTGGTCTTTTATTTGCTTTGAATATCGGGGCTGTGTATTTAAGGTAATTATTCAAATATAAGGCAATATAATGTTGGACAAAAGTCTTTATGTTGATGTTATCAATGTAATGATTTTTGAAACCTTTTATCAGGAAACTAATAGTTGGTAAAATATTATTTGAAATTCTTCAAAACCAATTGAAAGCTATTTTCACGATAATGGCTCAGGGCAGCAATCTGACGAGGTGTCTGGCAATTCCATGTAATACAAAAGCTATAAAATTTAGCATTTGGCTTATTTTCAGGAAGAATTAGTCCTTTCCTGCTGCATATTTGTGCTAGTGAATAAACACGGTTGCATTTAATGACCTGAGAAAATAAACTGATCTAATATATTCAAGCGACAAAGATCGTTTCTATATTTGTTGGCAAAAGTAATTAGTAAAGCCTATATATAAGAAACTTATTTTCTGTTCTGATCATTCAGTTTCTTATAAAAGGAATACATATTGAACAAGTCACATGTTTTTCTACAAAAATGAGTTTCTTATTTGATGAAGAAAAGCCTAGAAAATGAATTTTAACAAGTTTGGAGCTAGTTTGTTTCTTGAAAACTGCTTTTTACATTCATTTTAACTCAAAAGCTTCTTCTGAATAAGGAGTTACAAGAAAATGAAAAGCATAAAGGCTCAAAAGTTTCTTATAATTTGGTACATAATTTCCAAAAAGTCTGCCCGTTCAGTGAGTTTTCTAAATGCGGGTTTTTGCTGTACTGCAATATACAGAATGTATTACGAAGAATATCAAATGATCATATTTTTTGTATCTTCGCTTCGCGATTGCCATTGTTTTTAAATTCGTAATTCAGTAAGCTAGAGACGGCATGTGATATTTTCTTGTTGATATGAAATTACATCAAGTTTCTATTTATTGACGTAGTATGCATTCACTAGAAACGAAACGTTTACAGCAACGGTGAAGAGCGAATGGGCGATAAAAGGTTCTACTAGAAGCTTTGTAAAGATTGAAAAGTGGTAGACATTAAAATACGTTAATTTCGTTTAGACAGAATAGACAGTCAACCTGAAGACTTTTAATTTAACAGAAGCTTTAAAATAGCATCTTCCATGCATCTAAACAAAGTTTAATAAAAATAAGAGGTATTCACTCTTTGATTAGTCTGGTTTGCTGATAACAAGGATGGTTTGGTAATGAAGCATAAATATTTGACAGCAATAAGCAGAAAAATCTAGTCTAAACTGTGTATTTAAATTCACTTTGATTTGGCACCCTGCCTCGCAATTTTTCAGTGATAAGCTCTTGTATAATACCATAAATTATCATTTATCTTAAAATCAACTACGACCAATGATCACGGGCACCTACTAGCTCACTTAAGGTCAGTGATTTGTTTGGGTAAGTTATCTGCAGGGTTGCTAAAAAGATTTCCTAATGAAGTACTAGTACTAGCATTGACGTGCTTTTTTGAGTAAATGACTTTAAAAATTCTATAAATTGATCAAAAATAAATCGACAATTCTTAAGACCAACATTGATGATCTAATTGTGTACTTTTTTCATTGTAATGACTTTCAGGTCATTGGTTGGTTCATCTAATGACCGACCATTGTATTTCAAACAAGAAATACAAACCATTGCAAATCCGGTGACACGTTGCCCATCATCTTACACACCCATTTAATTCTTTCGTATTTCACTATAACAGCAAACCTCTTTGCTATAACTTCTAGAAAGGCATTTTAAGCCTGTCTTTATGTAATGCTCTTGCCACATGGATAACATTAACGCAATAGCTGGTGGTTAGAAAGAGAAAGGCAATTCATTTAATTGCTAGCCTATACAGGCCAAATACTAAAAGTTTACTTACCGTGTGTGGTATCACAGCAAAGGGAAATTCTAAGTACGCTTAGCAAATTACAAGCCAGAAGACGATGTTAATCCGTATTCTCAGCTATTCTGCATAGCAAAATACTTCTCATACTCTGAAACTTTAAAGAACTCATGCACGTATGTAACAGACAATGTTTTGATTTCTATTACAATGAACAACCCAAGAATAAATAGGTACCATCCGTTCTATTGTTTTTCTTGAAAAGCCCGTCTACTTAACCAGCTATTCACCTGTAAGTCATTGTTGAAACATGCTAGATCGAAACACCGACAATGTTTTCGCGCTTGCTTATTAATGCCCAGTCAGTACCTGTTTCAAAGACAACCCTGGATAAAGCTCAAAAAGTTACAGGCTAGCAAGGCAAATTACACTGACTATCAAAATACAAAGCCATCTTTGTTTACTACATCTTTAAAGGCGTTTCCCAGATTCATGTCAGACTTTGAGCGCATTAGCAAAGGCGAACGTTAAATATGACAAAATAATATAGACACAACAGCATTGACACAACAGGTTAGTCAAAGCAAAAGTTGTGGCACCGTTCTTAAGGATAACAAGTCACATCGCAATACATCGCTTTTTGTCTCCGTCATTCTGCATCCAGAATGGGTACGGTGATATTAATAGCTTCAACGGAATAGTCCGCACTGAATATACATCTTGATCAACTTGATCAGGAATGTTGTTGAATGTAAAACACACTATGTCACACTCTATTGCATGTAAATGTCTACGATTATAAAGTCTTGAGTAAATTGTTTAGTAAATTTGTGGAACCAGACGATCTTTAGTGGGGGATACCGAGGGAGACAATTCCTCGTTGGAGCATGCTACCCAGGGAAAGTCATGGGAAGCCGATGGAGGAAAATTTTCTTTTAGTAAAAAAACTATCGCGGCCCAAATGTATTGCAAACAATTTCAGCCCCTTTATTGAAAATTGTTTTGAGATTATTGGGTATCATCCTTGCCTTATAGATACGAATCCATGGGCCCCGCCCAAAAAACAAAGATTGTGGAGACGGAACGAGTTAAGTGTTATTACTTTTTAGACCTTACGTATTGCAAAGGTATCTTTGACAATGGTTAAAATATAGATTTTGAGAAATGTGTTGAAAAATTGCAAGTCTATTCTTTCATTCTACCTAAGTAACTGAATTCCTGTAAGCAAAAAGGTCGTTTCAATGATAAGAACAACTTTCGAAATATGAGTAGACCATTATTTCAGTTTTCAATGGTGTTGCTAATAATAGACTCGGAGATTTGATCTTTCAAGTACCTAAAACACATTTTGATCATAATCATAATCATACAAAATCATAACTTCACTCATTAATTTTTTAGCATGAAACTTAAGCAAGGGAAAAGGAGGCGTTTAAAAATGGGGATCCTAAGTTGTTAACAGTCAAAATTTATTCACTGACAAACCACTGAAAGTCATAATTAAGCATAAAACATGTAAGTTATGATTTGTAGATAAGATTTGCATTCAAGCTGCATGGTAAGATACTCATGTGCACAAACATACCGTTTTAGCAGAAGTAGAAGAGTTTTAAAAACAAAGACACAGCTGGTCACTATATTTGGTCAGCTAAGCAAAATTCATTCAAATAATCCTCTTTTGATGGTGCTATGCATAGCTTTTCAGAATCCATTATTAATCACGAAATTTCGTAATATAGCAAAGTTTTCAGTAAATGATGCTTAATTTCAATTTAAAGCTTTCTTGTTAAATATCTGTTAAATAATTATGACGAAAACCTTGATGAGAAAAGAATCATCAGATAGATTATAATTTCCTGGTTTTGTACGCGCATATGATACGCATTTAAATACATTTTTGGAACTTCGAATTGAAGTTTTCATTATCAGGAATTGCTGTTACTTTGATAACCTTGTTCCACAAAAAGTCTTTAAAATACTTGATGATTCAAGAAGAAAATTCGAAGAAAATTCTTCATTTACGAAACCTTAATCAATAGTATACTATTGCTGACATGTGTTAATACCAGGGGCGCAATCCTAAAAAGTTGGGTAGGGCCATGATGTAGACATATTCTAGAAGCCACAACCTAAAATCACATTTGTGTCACAAAAAATTTCTGTTGCATATATAGAATCATTCATACTTTTCACCGACTGAAAGAGACTGATAGGAAACTGTTCACTCACTGAAAGTTTATAGCGTAATAAAATGCTGCCAATGTTCTTGCTTGTTAAGGGGGCTGAGCCCCCTGAAATCTCCCTGAACTTCAACAAGGAGACAAAGCCCCCGAGCCCCCTTCAGGGCACCCATGGTTAATACTTCCATGTACATATAGATAGACGACCAAAAGTTTCACATTCTTACTGAGGACAGCGGAAAACTAGCTACTCTCCAATAGTCAGATTATTTAGCAACGAAGCAAATTTGTAGGAAGTTGCTTGTTGTGGGGAAATAGTGCAGACTCAGGACAGAAAAGGTTTTGGTACAGAAACACAACATAATGAAGGGACTTGGCAAAACTAATTGGCTAGAATTTCTAAGGCAATATCTGTGTTAACAGGGTTTGCATTGAATATATAGTTAATTTTAGAATTAGTTCTTTACATTACAGATTAATATAGAATTTCTTCCAAAACAATTAATTAAAATTACTGTTTTACTGGCTGTTCGCCTAGTGCTTTATACCGTATAGGCAGAGCTGTACACGCTATAATAGCACTTGAATGCATAACATCATGATATATAAGCATATAAATACTGTGATTGAAGGAAAAAGTAATAAGTCCTAAGCTTGTTCTGGTTTCTGTAGCGTGTGAATAAAAGACACAGCTCTGAAAGATACTCGATAATTCCTCGTAAGAAAATTAGAGAGGAAAGAAGGAAGAAAGCAAGAAAGACATTTATGTTCAAAATTGAGAAAAAATTAATGTATATGTGAAAATCAAAATCTGGCTTTAGACTTATAAGATCAAATAGGTTAAAATAAGGAATGAACCCTAAAAATAGAGAAATTAATGGTCCTATGTAAATCACGAATTTCAAATGCGCTTTATGGCAGACTTAGCTGATAAACTCTCTATATACCAGAATGGTACTTACATTAATTGCTTGAAATAGGAGAACGATAAAAATTAACTAGCTAAAATTTTAAGCATTCCGATTAGAATGCGCTGCTTTAGGTTTAAAACCTTAAAATGCTGGAGTGGCAGAGTTTATGTTGTCTTTCTACACAGTTGTAGAATTGTTGACGAGTTTCTTAGAGCCTCTTTTACATGAAAAATTTCAGGCCGGTCTGCAACTCAGATCGACCTGAAGTTCATTTCAGTCTGCGGTCTGAGCCCTTGGGGTGCTCACATGAAAAAGGGCGAAGTGAAACTCAGGTCGACCGTAATTCGTTTCGGTTGCACAGGCCGGTCTGAAAATTCAAGTCAAATAGAAATCCACATGTGAGCAAAAAAAATTTCAAATTTGGGCGAAATGGATCTCGTGCAGAAAAGCAGATTGCACTCTGGGATGAAAAGTAAAATTCTGGGATGTATGGTTAATGAATTCGACGCCATTTGACCATTGATTGGACAACTGCCAATATATGTGCAAAGTAGGATTTTTGTCTTTATGGGCAAAGCAAGAACGATTTCCTAATGGAGATTGGTTACTTGAGACATCACTCAAAGAAGCAAAATAAAATGAAGTTGCTAAAGTAGATTCCAATACTGATACAAAATAAAACTTTTCCGTGAATTATTTTGGGTCATGTTTGTTTTGATTTGAATTCGTAATAAATGCGGATCTGCAATGCCCTGTAGCTTTTTCAAACATCAAATTTCAAACCGATCTGCGTTTCAGACCTTGTTGGAGAGACGAGCAAGAGAAAGTTTTTAATAAGTGAGGCAGCCCTCCGTCATGGAGTCAAAGAGCATGCGCACGAAACAAAGTTATTATTACGCATACTCTTTGACTTCAGGACGGAGGGTTGCCTCCCTCATTCGAAGATTTTCGCTCGCTCTGCTCTTCTCTCCAACAAGATCGGCCTGAAATTGTCCATGTGAGGTGTGAGGGGGGTGTTAGGTGAAAATTATTTTTATTTTTTAACCATATTTTACTTTTCTGCTAAATCTCCTAACAAAGAATTATTTTTTACTCAGCTACCCTTCTCAGCTATACCCCCTCTTGTAAAATTCGTGGGAACCTGATTTATCAACTATCGCAGGGGTTGACGTTTCACTTCGGGTTGAAAAAGAGGCGAAAGAAAAATAACGAGGACGCACAGCAACAGCAACCACACACACCTCCAAGCGTAGATCAAAATGGCGCTTGCCAAGCTGGCACGAATAAAAAGAATTCAGGACGCGACAAAGTTAGTCCTGCAATCAAGGCATTTTCACGATGTCTCTAAAGCTGGAATTATTCAATCAACTATTGAGCGGGAATCTTCAGAGTTTCAGGTTCGTTTTCACTTTGAAAGTCTACACACAATCTTCGCTTTTTCCATCATCAGCATCATATCATACCCTGACATCATCAATTTTGTTCTAACTTTTTTCAGTTCAGTGTTTTTAATCAGGGAGGCTCTTAATCACAAGCTGGGGAGGACTCTTAATCACAAGCTTTCTAAACAAAACAAAACATTATTTTTATAAAATAAGACATAATTTTAATATAAATATTAACAGTTTACAAAATGCTAAAATGAATTCTGTAAAAAACACAAATATTGCCAGGCTCTTTAGAATGCTAGTTGTATTTGAACAATTTGAATACCAAAGACACATCAATTCAATTGCCAATGTACTTAATCAATTGCCAATGTACTTAATCAATTGCCAATGTACTTTATCATTTTAAGAACGAAAGTTTTTGACAAAATCTTTCAAATTGATTTCAGGAAAACAAAAAGAGTATGCTGAGCCTCGTAAAAGACTTAAAAGATATGGTTTATGTCATCAAAGATGGTTTGTTAATATAATGTTTTTGTTACTTCTGATTATATGTAATTGATATTTGTACTGTTTTTAAATCAGAACCCAAGACAAGAATATTTGTCTCTGAGAACATCAATATTGAAATTTTTCAATAACAGAATTTTTTGTGCAAATATGGAGAAGTAAAAAAATGCTTACCATGTTTATTGTTAAAGCAAAAGCTATAAACAATAATGTGTATGTTCTGGAGAGTGTAACCAATAGTGTCTTATGCCATTTTTCTCTTTAGGGGGTGGATCAAAAGCAAAAGAAAGGGTAACATCATCTGGAAAGCTTTTACCAAGAGAACGTATTGGACAGTTGTTAGATCCAGGGTATGTTTTCTCAAAATACAATAGTTATTGAAACATTAGTTAAATGTCATAGATATTTGCACATATTACCAATTTCTATTTGTTTCTACCTTCCGAAGATAGTTTTGAGGACACTGAGAAGCTTATGCTTATTGAGCAGTGTCCTGGCCCTTCCTCTCGATGTGACCACAACTCATGATTCCTACACCTGGAATTACAGATTGCAGGACTCTCCTCACTCTGGGTGAAAGTTTGGGTATGCCATGGACTCGAACCACTGACCCTTGGGTCTGTAGTCAGCGCCTCTAACAACTAAGCCATCCTTGCAATACAACTGAGCCATCCTCGCACATTACCAATGACTACACTTTTTAAGACTTTTTAAGAAAACGTAACAAAAATACATAAGCAAATATATCTTAAAATAGAATCTGCAAAATTGAGCTTTAGTTAGTTGGGAGTTTTATTATTAGCAGACTGACTTGCTCTTATTCAGATTGTGATTATCATAAGGTTTATGAAACATTTAAGAATTTTAAACATATAGCCATTCAGTTTAAATAATTCGAAAACAGTTGCTGTTTAGATGTTTAGTGGTTGTTTAGTTAATTGGTTCCAGCCTGCCTTAGAAGATTATTAAGATTAATGGCAGAAGGAAACTAAAAACATGTTATCAAGGAAAGCTTGTTTGTATATTATGATTTTTGATAATCTTATGATAAATTTTCTCAAATCTGATAAGCTACACTGGTTTTTAAGTTGATCAGCAGAACTGAAGAAACTTGAGAAGTATAAACTTTTTTATTAATGCAGATCTTGCTTTTTAATAGCTAATACATTATGTGATAAATAAATTCAAGATTATTATCACATTTTATTTAGGTCAGCATTTCTAGAGTTTTCCCAACTAGCTGGATATAAATTATACAAAGATGAAGTTCCCTGTGGTGGCATTATAACTGGAATTGGCACTGTCTCCGGGTTTGTTACAGATATTGTTCAGTTATAAAAGTAACTATGGTTCGAAGATGCATATCCAAGTTTTGTTGAGAGATAACTTGCCAGTTATTTGAAGGCAACTAGATGTTTTCTGGCTTCATTAGAGTTGGTTTATATTTATGTTAAATTGGCATTTCTTTCTACCTTTTGAAAGATATAGTGTTAACACACTTTTATTCTAGAAAAGGATCAAAAGCACAGTTAACCTTTTTTTACAATTTTAAAACAAACATTTTATATCTTTAAAAATGTTTGCCTGTGATTAGATGGCCAATGGGTTCCTTGTGCTACTATATTGCAAAAGAAGCCTGTTGGTTAAATACTGAAAAAATACTGAAAAAAGAAAGAAAAACAATTGAAATGAATATAGTAGTTTCTTGTATTGTGATATCAGAGGTCATATCAACAATAAGAAACATCATACATAAGAACCATTTTTTGCAAAACTAGCTCATAATGTAATTGTTTCTTTGTTTTTTCAGGACGGAATGTTTGATAGTTGCAAATGATCCAACTGTTAAAGGTGGCACTTATTACCCAATAACAGTAAAAAAGCATGTAAGGGCCCAGGAAATTGCAAGAGAAAACAGGCTACCATGTATATACTTGGGTATGTTTTCACTATATAACTATACATCTCATGTTCTTGAATATTACTTTAATTTTCTCCTTTAGAGTTATGTATAGAAACTTAAATCAAACTTATCATGTTCATTTTAGTTGATTCTGGTGGCGCATTTTTACCTTTGCAAGCAGATGTATTTCCAGATCGGGATCATTTTGGAAGAATCTTTTATAACCAGGCAACCATGTCTTCATTGGGCATTCCACAGGTAACCACTCCCATTTTAAATTCCAAATGACTGAAATTGTTGAACCAGAATTATTTTATATGCTATCAAACATAAATTGACTTTTTATTAAGCTTTTTCTGATCATATTTGATAATATATGCCTTTTTACAGAGGCCTTATGCTAGCCTCAACCCTTGCATTTCTTAGGCTTGCCCTGATATCTCTCTATGAATAATTTACTGTGTTGCCACTCAGAGTTATTATTTATCATCGCAAGTTTAATGCAGGACCAAAAAGGAGCATGATTACTTTGTTTAGTAATAGAACAGCCAAAAACAATAAAATTTTCAGCATTAATTATGTAATATGTTAGTACACTAATTGCCAAATGCAAAATGGTGATATGATGATTGCCAATATTTTGGAAAATTTGAACCCTGTTATAAAACCCTTAAAAGAATGAAATTAAAGTAGTCATGAAGCCTTTCTTGTGTACCTGGAAAATTGCCCCTTTGGCAGCCTTTTGCATAAGTGAGTTTTACATATATTTTAATATCAACACATGATCAAGATTACACTAAAGAGAGCTATTATTGAAAGGGTAGACAAAGCAGTTGACAGAACTGATACTTTGTTATATATTTTATGCTAGATTGCTGTAGTTCTTGGCTCATGCACTGCTGGTGGTGCTTACATACCAGCTATGGCAGATGAAAGCATTATAGTTAAGGAGCAAGGAACAATTTTTCTAGGAGGCCCTCCATTGGTAAGTAGCCTTTGATAATAAGATATCACTGTGTGGATATTGTCAGCTAGACCAAATGTTTATAGACAAATTGTGGTCGGCACATTCCAGTGTTGTGGCCAACATCCATTCTATTTATAAACAGAATTTAAGTCTGGTCACAACACTGGAATGTACTGACCACAATTTGTCTGTATATATTTGGTTCATCTTTTCCTACACATGGCCCAAAACATATGATCATTATTCTCAATCTTGTCTGATCTATTGATAAACAGATAAAAACCCTTCTTTCAATCCCTCCTTTATTCTCAGTACTTCCATATCCTGATTCACTTCCATATCTTTATAATGTTCTCTGTGGTCATTCAACTAGTCCCCTTGCTGGCTTCCCTTGAACTATCTTTATCAACCAAACTTGAAACAAGTTCCATATTCTAGGTACAAGCAGCAACAGGAGAGGTTATTTCAGCTGAGAAATTGGGAGGTGCAGATTTGCACTGTCGGTAAGTGTCATTTTAGATCTGACATCCTTGAAGAAATTTGCTTTTACTCTTTCGCATGGTTTCAGAAATTCAGGTGACAGGTTTCCTTTTTTGGCAGAAATGGATTGAACAACCTATTGTTCTCCAACATCAGCATGAGGAAGAACAATCATGTCTTTCCATGTTGGGACCTCTCGCGCCTAAAGCTTTGGGCTTCCATGGGTAAAAACAGTACAAACAGAGTGATGTGTTTTTTATTTTGCATCAATCATTGAATTTTAAAATAATCTAACAAGCAACAGGCCTAAAAAAATAAGCAAACAATAGATTCTCCCTCATAAACTAAATACAATGTCAAAAGCTTTTGATCAATTAGGAATGCTGCAAGTTCTTGCTTCAATTCTTATTTTATATTTTTCTATGAAAAAGCAAGTAAACTAAAACCAAGTAAACTGAAGCTCTCTAGTCTCAAGCAACATGGCAAGGTCCTAACATGGATGCTGCAATGTGGAATCAACCCTGGGCTGGAGAAGCTGAATTCAATCTCTTTTTGAAATCAGTGATCTTCACAAATGCTCAAACTTCCGTTTACTGAATGAAAATTTGGGGCATATATGTGACACACCTGTGAAGACCTAAGGCTTGTGCAGAGAAGGTGTGGTAGAATGAAAATGGGGATCCAAGAGCTTTTCTCAAACAAGTTTCCATGTGCTAGTAAAATATGCCCCACTGAACAAATATAAATGGAACATCTTCTTGATAGTGAAAATGACATTGAAAGATTTTTCTAAGCTCAAATAAAACCTCCCAAAACCCAGATCAGTATAGCTGTAGGTAAAGCCCTCAAATCTATCAAAATTGTATTTTTTGTAAACTTCAGTAACTCTACTGCTACAAATATCCATTTTTCATTTCTCAAAAACAATTATTTGAAGTTCAACTGTGTTAATATAAAAAAAAATTTTTTAAAGGAAAGTGTTAATTATTGATTACCTTGAGAATTCTTTTCCTTTTTAACTCTTTTATTACACTTGCTTCTAAACTGATTAAGTGAAAGGTAAGGAACTTCAACTGTTTCCTAAAACAGGCCCAGTTGGCTGGGCTTGCCATCTGTGTGAGAAAAATTTAGGAAAGACTTACTTTGAAATGCTTGAAACAACAATTACATCAAGACTGACAACATAATCTAGTAAATAATTGCCCTTTTAGGTGCCTATCCTTGATAACATTAGAAAATAACTCATTAGGAAATTTTCTTTAGAATAAATGGCAGATGAAGTTAAAAAGTCGAAGCTAGAACCTTTTTTCAACTCTTTGCAAACAACGATCTTGGCAAAAAATGCTGAGACTCTGGCAAAAAAGCTACTTACAAATCACCGGCCCCCCTTCCCCTCAAATCAATGTTGTGATTGGATTGGTAACAAATGTAGTAATCCCTACTTATTCTTTAACCATCTTAACCAACATTGACCCCAGGGGGAAAGGGGTTTGGGTCACCAGTGCATATAAAATTAAGATATAACACATGAATTCCTTTTTTGTTCAATTGTCTCAGCTATTTTTTGCCAATCTTGAAGTTGTCAGAGCCTTTGACATCAATTTTATTGAATGTAGATGTGATTTTTCTTTCTGCGTGAATTCCCAGATCTTTCATTGGTATTTCCTCTAACTGCAATTGATAGAAATTCTCCTTGCTTGTCGAATTTCATTTTCTGAAAATATTTCGGTAACAGGTAATATTTCGAAAATTATAATTCTCAAAATTATTTTACATGTATCCCTACATATACTTATGTCTTTATTTGAATACAGCAGATGTCAACCCCTATTAGGAATATAGGAAGCAGTTCCAAATCGGTGCATAACGAAGCTGGACCATTACCCCTCCCATTCTATCGCCTTTTAATGTATCCCACGCAATTAATTTTTTTACATATGCTTTTGATAAGGAATTCTGGCGTAACGGACCATTATGCCTTGGATGACTTCCACGCATTACATCTAGCAAGGCAATGCATTGGAAACTTGAACAGAAAAAAGGACATTTCTTTTGTAAGTTTTGTTTTCGTTTTTTATCCAAAGTCGATTCCTCTTTGGTCTCGACATATTTCTAAAACACGTATTGCCTGCTGATATTTTTGTTCACAGGCCTTCATTTTTTGCAGCAAAGAATTTTAAGTAAATCAACTCTTTTGCATTTCTTATAGATGAATGTTTCGGAGTCTATCGACCCAATTTACCCAGCCGATGATTTATATGGCATTGTTGGAGATAACTTGAAAAAGTCCTTCGACGTTCGAGAGGTAAATTATTCATATTGATTAAAAGACTTTAGAGTCAATAATGGATATTATGGTAAATTTAATCAAGAAACGAGGCAATGTCTTCTCTTTGAGACAAAAATCTTTTGTCGTGGGAAAGCCTATTGCACTGCGTTATAACATAATTTGTCTATTTCAATTAAGATTTGCAGAAACCTTCATTTACAGTATTTAATTCCATCAATTACAGGTTATTGCACGAATTGTCGATGGCAGTAAATTTGATGAGTTTAAAGCAATGTATGGAGACACTCTAGTAACAGGTAATTTCATCAAGCAAGACAAATTTATCTATATTTAAGAAATTGAAGTACCATTTTAGGTATTTAAAGAACATCTGCTTGTACTGTTATAGCAGATCTCTCTTCATTGCAAATAAACGATAGACCGTATTTCTAATGAAAAACTGTTCTGTTATTATCATTTCCAATCGCGTCTTTGCCATCCTTTACCATCCATCCATCGCTTTACTTCCTTCTTAAAAGGAACATCTCGGGCAGTGTGGAGTTCGTGGGGTTTATTTTAGCTGCTCTTTGTACAAGGTAGAATTCCATGAAGTGGCACGTTTCAATCCTAATCTTTACCCACGTAACCAAGTCTTTATAACGAAATAAAGTAATCTGGGCAATACCCCCGAAATATTTTAGGTCCAATAAAAAACGATTTCGCCTTGATATTCAGCGTAGGTGAATATCATCCAAAAAGCTTACTTCGTTCGTTAAGAAATAAATGCAACCTGTGGGTCATCAAGAAATATTTGCTTTCGAACCTGTGTTAAGAACTTCATTACTTAAAAACTAAAGCTTGCAGAGTTCTTTGAGTCAATAATTGGTATCCTTGAAAACAGGCACCGTTTGCCTCTTTTTCGCCTTTTATACCAGCATATTTCGTATTGCATATTTCACTATTCTTTCTACAAATAAAATGATGTCATAAAAATTTCATTCGCAGAATTTTTGAATTTTTACCAGATAACCTGAAAGAACATTTAAAAATACCTCTAAATGTGCCAAATCGCTTAAATGTGTCAAAGGCTTACTGAAATTTGGTCTCCAAATTTCAGTAATCAAAAGCTCTTTCCCACAACAAATCACTGTGACTTGATCGAGGTGAAATAGTCTTTGAACCAGACAGACTTTTTAAGCTAAAATTTTAAAAACCTGGAGAAGTTCTGATTTTTTCTTAAGAAAACCTGGTCTTTTGTTCGAAAACAAGGAATCATTTGAATTTTATGTATTATATAAATGACATACCTGTAACGCGTTGTGCTGCAAATAGTTGATGATGAAATTTATCATCAGAAACTTCTTCATAATCTTTTTAGTGTTGTTTTGTTATATTGTGGGCACTGACAAAAACTATGTGATGTAAAAAGTCTTTGTAACGATTTTTATTTTAAGAAAACCTCTGCTTAAAGAAAAGAGAGAAACAGGGGGGAATTTGAAAAAAGCGGGAGACCGTTAGACCAGAAGACCAGGAGAAAGCAAGCAAAACCTTGTGTCTCCCGGCGAAACCGGGAAAGTAAACATGTCTGGCCAGGCCAAAGCAGTAGTAGTTTATTAGCAAAACTCAGTTCTTTCGCCTGCTATATCTCAGTCAGTTTGCAACATATTTAAATGATTAGTGGTCTCTCAAGTAACGTGATAAAAAGTCAATAATTCTAAAACAGATATTTGATGACGTCACACTCTGATATCCTCTATTTGCTGAAATCGAGACAACTTTTTACAATTTATCTTCCTCTTTTCTTATGTGTGGAACTTCAAACCTCTAGGGTTTGCCTCGATTCATGGATATCCTGTTGGCATAATTGGCAACAACGGTGTTCTTTTTTCGGAGTCTGCTCTAAAAGGAACCCACTTCATCGAGCTTTGCTGTCAGAGGAAAATTCCACTGGTCTTTTTACAAAACATTACGGGTAAGAATGTAGAATTTTTGCTTGATACTGTTCAATGAATGCTATCGACAAAGTTCTTTTAAAAAACGATTCTTCAAGAATAAACTTCGCATGTTTCCACGTAAATTATGTAAAAGGCTGGATCATTTCCATGCACCGTGAAAACATCTACTTTGCGAAAACGGTTGCAAAGCATGTCAGTTCTACAAGAGAAGAGCTAACCAAAATTTTTTTTAGGATTTATGGTAGGAAGAGAATATGAAGCAAGTGGCATAGCCAAACATGGTGCCAAAATGGTGACAGCTGTTTCTTGTGCCAAAGTTCCAAAATTTACAGTTATCTTAGGAGGAAGTTTTGGAGCAGGAAATTATGGCATGTGTGGAAGAGCATACAGGTATGTTGATAGCTTTCACAGTTCTAGGAAATCCGTCTGCTACTGGTTTTTGTTCAAAAAGATATTGTTTAGTCCATCCCCAAAATCTGTCATATCCTTTATAAGGCCACTTCAGGAACGTTTTCTTCGTTCCTTTTATGCTGATCATAATAAAACGATATTTAATTATGGCATCTTGTGTATGTTCGTTCTTCTAAGGTTTCCTAAGATTGTAAATTCTACTCAAAGGTAATGATCACTTCACTGACCTCGTTCTTTCGAGAAGAACTAACGTAGCATTTTTTTAAATTTGAAAAATTGCTTCAATTTCGTTTCATCTTGCACAGTCTTTCAAGAAAGTCTGCTGATCTGTTATGAAAAATTGAATAGCCTGTTCCTAACCTTCCGATAACCCACATAGATCTGGATTAATTTCCATTGTCTTCTGTGGTTCAGATTTTCCATTCACATTTCGCTGTAATCCTCTGCTCTTCACAGGAAGTACCATTTCTCATATATATATATATATGAAAACAACAAAACAACAAACTACGCATTGGTTCTGCTTCATGTCTTGTTACTGTAAATCGAGCTTTAATTGAGATTTAATTCTATTTTATTTTCATAAAACTCTTTACTGCTTTTAAATGCAGTAACAGCTTCATAGACAACATATAAAATATCTGCTTTTTCATAGAATATAGGTATACAATTTAGATCAATTAATGCCATGTGAGCGAGTTATTTTTCCATTTTTTATTTTCTATTTTGCAATCATGACAGCCCAAGGTTTACCTACATGTGGCCTAATGCACGTATATCGGTGATGGGAGGTGAGCAAGCAGCAACGGTTCTTGCTACGATTACTAAAAATCAGAAACAGCGTGAGGGTAAAGAGGTAGGTGATATCAGAAGTTATCTTTCATACGATTTTATGTTTCATGAACAGGTTTCCACAGTTTTGGTTCTACTGTTTAACATCTAGTGAAGCTAACCAAGATTTTAGGCCAAATACACATCAAATCTGTGCTCGTTGCCAATTTCTCTCTAAGGGTTAATCATACCCCAGAAAAATTGAAATGCACCCTGGAGGGGGCCTGGGGTACTTCATAATAAATGGTATGCTATTATTTAAGTCCCCACTAGGCCAATCTGTTCGCGCGACGCGAAGAGTTGAGAGTTTTCGCATGCGTTTACTCGCAAAATCCTTAAATCGACTTAACTATAGGATTACCGCATACTTTTTGGTCCTATTCTAGACGTGGTGATTGCACAAAAATGAAATGGAAATTAATGATAATTATGACTAACAATCTCACTTTCTTTTCTCAAACATGAACTTAGACAAATTGATATATCAAATCAGATTGAGATATTTAATAGATTAAGACGGTTTTAACATTGTAGCTTATCTGAGTGTGCGTTTGAAGCTTAATCACTTTTAACATATACGAAAGAGTAAAAAGACTTTTACGTCAAACGTATGGAAAAATCATCATGGTGACGTCAAAACATCGTGGAGACATATTCTCTGAAAATAAGTGATTTTCGTGTCGAAAATCAGTTTCCTGATAACAAAGTTTACACAGTCTGATCTGTGACATCACTCGACTGCTCTTAACTGTATTTAAATTTAGCCTTTCACTTTTTTAATATCAAGCTGACTGAAAAAGAAGAAAAGGCAATAAAAGACCCGATTATTAAAAGATTTGAAGAGGAAGGCCACCCGTACTTCTCAAGTGCAAGGTAATGATTTGTGTCATTATCACCTTAATTCTTCCGTACTTACGTAAAAGCACTGTTTCATCTTCTAATGAGAACACGAAACACAGAGTATTAAACCAGCAGCCCACACTTGGGCACCTCTTACTACAGAATCAACCAACATCCATATGGAGGACTTCTCTATTTTGCTTGTTATTCATGAGAAAAAACTGCAGTTTCCAATAAGGGTGTCGGGAAGTTTTAAGTTTTCCTTGGAATTCTGCTTGATCACTCGTTGTCCTTAATTTGATTCAAAATTGACCAATAAAAATGACAAAACTTTCTTTGAGCAACAAAACCGAATGCGATTTGGCAAACAATGTAAAGACCTACGCCACCCACTCAAGGGATAAGTTGAGAAAAGTCTTGTAACTCTGGGGAGACGACCTAAAGCTTCTTTTGTGAAAATCAAAAATTAGCCAACATGCTGTGTCATTTGAGCATGAGTATGACAACAATCGCCTTGCCAACAACAACAATTTTGTTCTTCTTGATGATAATTTATTTGTCCGGAAATGGAAGGGATTTATTACTAAAAATCTAGAGGTTTTTTATTTGGGTTTTGAAATATTTGCAAAAACGTCTTTTCAAAGCCTGATTCATTTTTGAGGCGATACCGCGATGATAGGCCTAAGTCTATGCTCATTCTACCTTCCTTGTAAAGAAGATTACATTCAGTCTATCAATCGATATTTCATCTGAATCTTTTAACTTTTATTTTTCAGAAAGGCAATTTTTCTTTGTTTCTTCATCTTGCCATTTGTGTGGGAATTATCATATGATTTGTTTTTCATACACGACCAAACTCCCTTTGTTTGATAAACTGAATTTTCCGCGAATCAAGTAGTTTAACTACGCATGGCAACAAGACCAAAATTCTTGCTTGCAAGCTTTGTCTTGGACTTTCTCTAAGATGATTTCAAAAGAACTGCAAAATTCTAACTGCAAACTGCAGGAAAACTTAAAAGTAATATGCATGAGTTAGTAGTGAATCGTTCTAACTTTGCTTTCATTTTTCAGGTTATGGGATGATGGTGTGATTGACCCTGTCGACACAAGAACTGTCCTCGGCTTGAGCATCAGCGCTTCATTGAATGCCCCCGTTGAACAGACACAGTTTGGTGTTTTTAGAATGTGATTTATCTATTTCCCTGTCAATTTTTTTATCATTATTTGATGAATTTAAAACATTGTATTTGAAAACGTAATTCTCTAGCTTGAGCTTTTATTTATGACAATTTAAGACTCTTATAATCACCAACAAAAAACAGTCGTGTTTTCAAAGTGGAATATTTTATACCAAAACATATGATTGCTGACAGTTAAATGTTTAATACAAAATTAGAAGCAATAAAAGATACAGTTTGCATATTTGGTTCTCTCTGTGGCTTTTTTCATTTTCATGTACCATTCACAAATGAATTTGTGTTGAAGGCAAAATCCACTGCCAGAATCTTTTGTTATAGCAATCTTGCAACCAGTAGTTTGAAACATGCACTCGCTTTTGACGGCAAAAAAAAATGCTTTGCTAAGATGGATGAAAAACTGGGCGAACGATCATCCGCGCATGGTTGTTTCATTGGTTTCCTAACGAATCAGAGGATGAAAAACGCCAAAGAAGCTCGCAAAGTGACAAATAACACACATGAAGCTTACAAGCTATCAGTCCATAGTATCCTAAACGAGTTTCTTTTTACAATAAATAAATTCAAGAATTTACCAGGCAAAATCTTCTTTCACATCCATTTTGTGAAATGGTGCACTCGAACAATACCAAGCACCCCTCCTGATGCTAGCATTTGATGACTTCCGTAATTAGGGTTCCATTTGACCTATCAATAAAAAACTGTGTGTGACAGACCCTTTGAAATAATGTGGACCTCGATCTCGAAGCAAAATTTTTAGAGCTTAAAATTCACCAATGTAGTTCTATCAGAAAGTTTAAATTTTACAGTTTTCAACCAATCTTTTTGTGGGGACAGGGTATTACTGTATTCCAAGGTTGGAAGCTGTTATTTTACCAAAAACCTTATTTGACTAAGAGATGTTCCAAAAACTTTATTACATAAACATGTTTAAAGAATCATGGAGAGAAATTATAAGAGAGGCATGTCATGGAAAGAGTGCAAAATTTGCAATTTGCTAACTGCGTAAAAAGCCTCCTTGACCAGTTGGATCCTTGCATTCGATTCCAGTAAATTATGTTATCAATTTAAGAGAGACTGGAAAAGCCAAGGAGTTTATAAAGTTGTCTATATGAACCAGGACTATTATATGCATTAAATTATTGGTCATTAGGCAATATCCCTGCTTCAAGGTTATTCGAGAAAAAAAAATTGTTACATAGACAAAGAGTTTGTCAATCACCAGTCAAAATAATTTGCTTTCGATGTTCTGTAATTGGATTTGTGCACCTTTTCCGTTATGTAAAACCGAAGCTTAGAAGCATGTTTAAAACCAAAGGAAACCACCCCTCTACCCATATTTATCCTAATATCACCAGCGGATTAACTTGTTCGTATCAGACTTAACGAAATGATACCTTTGTAATTTGACGCATTTCTTGCTGACGAATCGCGGTCATTTGCATTTCTTTCGAATGTCGTAAACGATCCATTTCTAGTCCACATTTTTGCGGATTATTTCGAAACTCGAACTACAACAAAAGACCATAAAAATATGAGAATTTTAAAATATTTGTCTGATTTAGAAATATAGACCCATCCAAGGTATAAAAAGGTCAAAATGACAGCTAGGATCATCCAGACTAGGCAAAGACAAGATTGCTCACCAAAAGCATGATGATGAGCATAAAATCATCATTAAATTTGATTCTTATTTGTTAAAAAGTTTTTGTTACAGATGCTACAGACGCAAGCTTCAAGCCTTCTAGGGGCACACAAATTTACTCTCATCAAATCTAGATTGCGACGAAATCTCGGTTTTTGGCAACTCTAAAAACATAGCAAATCACACAAAGAGACATGAAACTCACAAAGTTGCTGTCTATAAATGTAAACTTGTTCTCCATAATCTCATCTTCTAGTCTGACAACTTGTTTTCCAACTTCTTCTTTTGCTGATATCAAGAGCTCATTCGAATGTCGCTTTTCTGGGTGTTTAGAAACTGCTGATGGTTCACATATCAGAGGTGATTCTGGTGTGCTGTCTTTGGCATTCTTAAGGCACTGTACCCTGTACACTGGCTAGAAAGAAATTTTGATCTAACTCACATTTTTCATATTACCGAATCATACCGAATCAGTGAATAAAATAAGAGATTTTCAATCTGTTATTGGAGATTTAAGACAAGGTAGAGAAAATTGAAGACAAATCAAAAAACAAAATGGTGACCAATGGGTATACACATTGACTTGCCCTACTGTCAAAAGCAGATTATTCCTAATGAAACAATTTTTTCTTCATAACGAAACGGAAAATTTTGTTCCTTATGAAACAAAATAATTGCTTCTCAATAAAACAAAACCTTTTTTTAATGAAACGGAAGATTTATACCTAATGAAAAACAAGATTTATTCCTTATGGAAAACGAGATTTATTCCTAAGGAAAAGAAATATTTTTTACTAAAGAAGGTTTTTACCTAATGCTCCTAATAAAACAAAATGGAGGCATCAAGATGATTGGAACTAAGGGAGGAAGAGCCAGATAAGTACTGGGGGAGTTTTTAAATTACATAATTGTTTTCGGTAATTGAAAATATAAATGGCCATTATTTCATCGATTAGGCAGACATACAGGCTGGAAATGATCTCAACAACATACCAATCTTGTCGTAAGGAAATAAAGGAAATGCTTGTAACATCAGCAGGGCCTCCCACTTTTTGCAAAGCGTTAGAGTTTTTTTCAAAATCTTTTGTTATCAGTGTTGAATTTTCCCTTAGCTCCTGCATTTTCCAACTTGTGTGGGAGCCCATGGTCATATGATATGAGACAATTGCGTTAAATTATATCGAAATTAGTTTCAGCTTACCACGCGAAGGGAGTTTCCGGCCTTTCCACTATTTTCATTTGCGCATGCTCTAAATACGACTTCACCAGCAGTGCATGACGTCACAAACCCATTTATCCATTCATTCTGCGACAAGCCCTGATGATACATCAAAAGCCCCAATAAAGCATTGTACATTTGTTCAGACATAAAAAAAACATTATGTGGAAAGAGCCTAGAATAACAGGTTTAAAGAAAGTAGGTCCTATTTACATAACAAGGACCACCTTAAGAAAATCTGTTAATTAAGCTACTGTCTTTATAATATTCCAAAATCATATTCATGAAGATTTTTTGATCAGCGGTCGATAAATGTAATTGTTGATGTCTAGAAAATTTTCTCTGACGGCAAAATGATTGTAAAAGTGACATTCTCAAGACGAGACGAAGCAAACAATTCATTTTGAGTCTGACTGATTTTTGACGTTAATATCATGATATGTTTTAGTTCGTAACAATTAGTGTTACGAACAATTAGCGTCATAGCAGGTTTAAGACCCCGTTTACACTACAGAAAGAATAACAGAACTCTTGGTTTCGTTCTTGTTTGGGCACGATACTACTTTTTTCATCGCGTTTACACTAAAGCAAAAAGGAACGGAACCAAATTTGACCCCATTTACACTTAAGTAAAAAGAATGGAACTTTCATGTGAAGGATGCGCAGTGGCACGGAAATGACGCCCGACATTTTTAGAAAGCCTCGCCCCAACCCTAGATTAAGCCCCGTTTTCAATCGTAACCAAAAAGTTACGTTCCTGACTGTTTACACTGAAAAAGAAGCACGATTTGGGAAAGAAACCAAAGAGTTTCGCATTTAAGCGAAACCAAAGAAGAACAAAACGGTTCCCAAACTAGCCCAGAACCAAGATGCCTAGTGGCCTAGTGTAAACGTCGCTTATTCAGGCAAGGAATCAAAGAGTTTCGTTCTTTTTCTGTAGTGTAAACGGGGTCTATGATTCGTTATCATCTCTTTAAAAACTCCCAGACTATGCAAAACAACACGATACAGATTCAAGAGTAACAGTGTTTCAAAAATAATTACTTTGCAGCCAGCGTTGTGTGACGTAATAAGGTCACTCATCTGTAAAATGGTTTTCTGTTTTGTACTTGATATGATGTCGATGTACCTCGACCCCGCTGGAATGCAACTAAAAACTTCATCTTCCGTCACAACAAAGCAAGCCAATCTTCGCATAAATGCACAATTCTCAAATAAATCTAGAATATAAAGTGAAGAAATATCAATATCTCTATATATGGATTATACATTATGATGATCGCATTGTCTGATGATCGCATTGTCTGATGATCGCATTGAGGGTGAAACGCAGGGTAGCAACTTAGAACCGTCATGTTCTATAAACCAAATAGCGTTTTACGTTATAAACAACTTCTTAACATTATTGCAACATAAATACGACTGTTAGCAGCAACTTTCCTCGCAACTATTCAAAATGCTGAACCTCTTAAGGCGGAATCCTTGCGCTAAGACTAAGATTTCTTTCAAAAAGAATAAAAGCCACAAGTTTATTAATTAATTGCTTAGCATTTTAGTTCACATCTGCGTTGTCTAAAAGAGAATATGGCGAATAAAAAAACATAGAAAATCCTGTTAGTAACGCAAAGATTTATCGTTTGCTAGAAAAGTGGCAACAGTTTAATCATAACTATGTCAATTGCCACGACTAAATACATCTTAGTTTCTTTGCCTATTATGATTGCGGGTGATCTACAAAATAAAGCAAGGATAGGGAGGGGTCAATAAGCTTATGCTTTGTGTGCTACTGTCTGTTGCCGTTTTCCATTACTTACTAGCATAGGCTAGACGAAAGAAGGACGGACTTAACCATATTAATGCTGCGTTGTCAATGATATCGAAGCTTCTATATCATTGTACGTGGTGCTCTTTGGGCGATCCCGAGGTATGAGAAACCATTTTCTAATCCCGGAATTTCACATACCATTTCTTTCCGCCGATGTTTTAAAACCTCGTTAGAAATTACAATTTTCCCCTACGGCTATTTAGCATAAGACTTCCCGGTTCAATTCTCAATTGACTTATCCCGCATAACATTTAATCATTGCGTTAATGGATCATAAAAACCTCGCACAAATTATTTGCTAAATTTCATAATTCAATACATTGAAATTATAAACAACAGTACTTCCAATTCAATAGCAAACAAGGAGAATTTTCAAATAACCTAATTACTGTTATCTTGTATTCTGCTTCTTAAAACAATGTTTCCGTTTTTGTTGATTTTGGAAAACCGAGGCACTTCCTGATGCTTCTTTAGCAGAGTTAATACTACCATCTGCTGACCGCATTTCTCACCGAATCGAAAGCCTTAGCAGGGATTAATGCCATAGAGACAAGATGTGCGGCAAGGCCAGGTACCCCTAATCGCATTGGGGAAAAGCGCTGCATTCTGAGCAGTATTATAATCTTCCAGTTCACGGTAATTAAAAAAACTTTCACAGCGAGCTTCTCTCACTAAGTTTAATAGTCATTGGCCCATTAGAACATGAAAAAAGTTAAACTTTATTTTTCATTACTTTTCTTTTTCCACCGAATTATGTAAGAAATTAATCCTAGCTTTGCGAGAACGAGCGGGCGCGTTTAGTTTAACTTCCAATTTACTAGATCTTAAACTTCGGGAACGGAAAATAATAAAAAAGCTTCGTGAATCTATGCGGATGCAAAAAGACTTTTAAGGCAATTTGAATGTTGTGCGAAATTGCTATATACGCTGGTGGCTCAAGTTCAGTACTACAGATAGTAGATAAAGAAGACAACGATATATGGTTCAGGCTCAAATTCTAATTCCAATAGAGGACTGTATAATTCCGTAGATTCTAACTTAGGTCTTCTCTAATCAACTTCAACTCAAATCTCTCCGAACGCATACTTCACGTGTACATTAAAAGACAACAACAGCAACAACTACTGTAGTACGTCATACCATACAATTTCTTACAAATGTATCACAATTTTATGTGAGTGTTTATGTTGTTTTGAACCATGCAAAAAAGAGCTGCAATGTTACCAGCGCATTCTAAAAGTGCTTCTCGCCCAGAACACAAGAGCGTTTTCTTGCTTCCTATATACCTAATTTTGTGCACTTGATTGTGAGAATCTCCAAAGAGGGGTCTGGTACCAATGCCGCAGGGTAACTAGCAAACCAAAGCAAGCCAAGGATGTGGCAAAAACCTTAAGTCACACCCACGTGAGGTATTAAACCGTTGTTATACCGAAAAGAACAGCTATGCTTACAATGCGACTTTTGTACATGTCGTATGCCGTTTGAGTCTGTTTAAAACCCTAGTCTCTGACTTCCCTGTGTTAGCATTTGTTCATTATTTTCTCCAACCTTCGAGGAAAGGCTATTCTCCCGTAACGTTTTATATATCAAAGGGCTGCGATGCCATGGCCATTTCGGTAGAGCGTCATAAATCAATGACAAAATTCCTCAAAAAGAGAGCGATTGCGATGGAGATAGCAGAGAATCAGTGCAATGGAACCAATGCACCAATACCTAGCAATTTTTCACCTTGAAGGATTAACATTACAAGGATAGGACTGTTACCTCATGATCGCATTTAGCGCGAGCCCGGAGTAGCAACATAGAACCGCCCTTTCTTTACCCAAAAAGGCGTACTTTGAAGGGTTCGATACATTCCTGGCAAAAGCAAAGACATGGAAGTTTGCATGTAGACTTATTGCTTTTACGGCAAATCAAGCATGATTTTCACTTACTTCTTTTCAGCGAAATTTCGGGAATCGTGTGCCTTCTGCGAATGTCAAATACCTTTAAAACCTTTTCGAAGCTCACTGAAAGATGAAAGTTTCTTCGATAATGCCATTTAATACCTTGAGCTTCTAACTTGTTATAGAAGAAAATGTTAGAATAAAGAGAGAGTTATAAAGACACAAGGATTGTCTACAACTAGACAGTAGCCTGACATGATTCAAGAAGACCATTCCGGGAATATTTGAAGAGCGGGGTCCCACTGAGAGATAGGTCTGATTAATAAATGAGCCAGACCAAGCACAAAACAATTGTATTCTTTAAATTACCTCAGTAATATCATAGCAATTTAAATCTCACCAGTCATCAAAAAATTCTCATCACCGGGGCACCAACTAAGGGAATTAACTCGGCAGTTGTGTGCACTAATTCTTGAGAACGGAAGCAGATCTGAAAAGTAAGAAACAGGATCGCCATATCAAAAGAAAGACTTTGCATTCTTGAAATAGTTCGTAAATAGTTTCATAAGAAAAATGATACTGAATGAAGCACGTTCATAGATCCAAGGTGAACAATACTCAGGTCAGACTTCCTATATCCATGTTAAAAATTAAAGGGCGACAAAAGAATGAAAAAAATCGACCATTTAGCCATGTTACATACAACGCCCATCTAAATTTCACGGAATGCCTTGCAGCTAAAACACTGTTTACAGCTCTATGTACACACTCTTTGCATAAAAGAATACCTAAATCTTTGTTGAGCCTCGGTATTATTAATTTTTATTATTTAAAGCCTGATATCAGTCTTGAGGGCCACAAAGCGTATTCACCTAAATATCAAAGAATTCCAATGTTTGGTTATGTGTTTCTTCATTATACCGGATAAGTTCATTTCAAAACATTAAGCGAGAAAGTCACACTTGTTTTCTTTTCTTAGAAAGTCGAGCAAACCAAAAATCTAGATCTTGGTTATTAAGCTTGAGCCATTCTTCCTCATATTAAGCGAATTGGAGCGCTAATATTTTATTTGGACCTCTCCCTTAAATGAATAATATTTATCGGGATCAACTAAAGCCCAGAAGAAATATCCGACGGTCAAGAAACGTGAAAATGGCCAATGAAAACAAAAGAAACTAAAGAATCACACCAAAAACGAGCCTTAATTTCATTGTCTTTATGAGAAAATTATATCAAGTTTGAGGGCAGTGTCTGAAAAAAGAAGACACTTTATCTGGATCTTGAAATCTGCTTGACAATAAAACATCTTTTTAAATCGTGTAAACAAACATCGTGGAAAGAAAGACAGGAAAAGTTAAATCTGTTTGCAAAAATCTGTCATAGGGTATCAGAAAGTTTTGGGAAGTGAATGTATCAATAGTTTACCAAAACAGTGGACTGATAATATTTATCAATCACCAGAGTAAGCAGCCAGCTTCAAAGTATTTCAGGCACAATGAATTAATAGCATACAGTATACATGTGAGAAAAATAAATCTACTTAAATTTACTTGTTGAGATAAAAAATAAAATGATGCTATACATGAAATTGAACTAGAACAAATGTACATTATGTACGTACATTCTGTGTTATTCTTTTGCGAAAAGTGACGGAGAAGCGATGATCTGGACGTCAAATCCCAAATGCAAAGTGATCCTAAAATTGAAAGGTATCCATGGAAAATTATGAAGTTCAGTCGCCAATCTCACATCTTCAGGACAATCATTTTGATGCATAAAAACGTAGAAAAAATCACTGTGTTAAAAGACTAGATTCAATATAATTCAACATATAAATGTGATTTTATTAGATATTAATTGGCAGTATAAATTAATCCTACACTTTTTCGCATTGCTCAAGTTCAAAGGATATTCGCAGGCAGTCTGCCCTATCTGTGACTTTAAGAAACATTTCAATAAAAATATTAATACCAATAACAGCATAGAGTTGAACCAGTTTGAAGTATGGTTTTTCTCTATCGTAACAAGTTCCAGTCAATTCAGCCTAATTTACAAAAAGCAAAATCCCTGATGTAAAAAATGGAGAGTAGATAATTTTGAAAACATGGAGATTTGTTAAACTAACCATCTTGAAAACCAGCAGCAATCTTCTTATGTCCAAGTGTCGGTTGCCATTGGAAACAGGTGATTATGTTTGAAGAAGGCGCTCCCGTGATGCTTGATCGAGATACCGCCAGAACGAGAACAGGGTTCGGCTTGATAAACACTGAAACGAGGAAGATCTGATTGATATTGCGATTGAGATTGCAAGCAACTCAACAGGATGAGTGATAAGATAAAAGAGATATGAAGATTTCTGGGCTTCATAACGACATTTTGTTTATCTAGATAAGAAGCTGTGTAATACAGACATTTGTTTGTAAAAATTGAACGAGATAATAGATAATTTTGCGATCTAAAGATGTGCGAGATAATAGATAATTTTCTAGGTTTATGTTACAAAGAAGGAATTGATAAACAAAGATTATCTTCTTGCATGGATTGGCAGAAAATAAAGATAATTTCTTGACAACTTGGATCAATACTCTGCAAAAAATCAGCCTTCAGGATAACTCCTGGGGCGTTCATATTTCGCAATTGATGCCAATTGTTTTTAGAAACTCTACTTTTATGTTTCATTCGTAACAAACAGTGACAAAATAACAAGAATGTAATGACGTAGAGAATAAGCGATTCGCATTGAAGAACTTCTCAGTTGCACATTAAGACAGGAAACGTAAAAATTTGTACTGATGTAAAGTATACAAAAGTATGCATGTTTACGCATACAAGGAGTTGGACTTGCTACAAGTCTCTCTCTATCAATTTAGTAATCTGGAGACTTGTAGCAAGTCCAACAAGGAGTACACTTGGAAAGCAACTACATTTCTGCTATGAAACTGATTTAATTCCAAACCAAAGTGCGCATATAAGACTTAGCTACAAATCTCAAATGTGGTGGGATGAAATAAACCGAAATGTAGATTGATGACCAATTCTATGATGAAAGTTCAGGCTACGGCATGTACTGTTTGTATCCCATTACCCATAAAGAATACCTACATTTTCTAAATCAAACCTAGGGAAAACTTACCGCGCTTAATAGAATCTGAACTGGTAGCATCATCTTCTTTGCCGCTTTCAGACTTTACTTTAAGGCAGTCTTCAGGGTGAGGGATGCTGAAGAATAACACGATCTGTGTCATTAAGCAATTCAAGCAATTATGCAATAATAATATCGAGATTTAGAAAATAGGGTACTCTGTTTCCTTAATAATAATGGAAACATTTCATTTTCAATTCAACTTAAACTACAACTACAAATCTCACTATTACAAGGTAATTTGCAATTGGCTAGCCTGGTTTTACAAGAAAAAAACTATAACAATCGTAAGGTAAAAGGAAAAACTGAGAAAAATAAAATAAAACAACTAAAGTTAAAAAGGATGTAATTCCGGATTTGTCCATGGCTTATTTTTGCAACAAAATATGTAGTACGTAGTAGGGATGGCAATGTTGGAAAGTTTAGAAATGAGATACTGTTTTTGTTGCTGATAATAATAATAATAATAATAATAATAATAATAATAATAATAATAATAATAATAATAATATGATATATTTAAAGTGGGTAGCCTATAATAATTTATCTACAAAAAGAAAAATTCTTTACAATAGGGCCCACTGTCAAAGTAACGTAAAAATTAAATTTTAAAGCTAAAAGAAAAAAAAGCACATAAAAGCATTAAAATCTTTAATATATGTGTCCAAATCAAATCTAAAAATATGACTTAAATTGTAAAATGCTACACAGAGATGTTATTCCATCGGGTAATTTGTTCCATATCTGAGTAGCTCTTGCTTTGAATGCTTTCTTACTCCTTTTTAGTTTCAGACAAGAAGTTCAGACCTTGATATCATTTCCTATCAGAAGTAGGTTCAGTTTTTCGATCTATAAACTTTTATCATATGTATAAAATTTTGCCAAGGTCATGACATATATTCATTCGAAAATGTTATTCAGGAGTATTTGAGAGTACAAGATTAATCAAAGCAAAACCTACCTGTAAATATGAATGCAACCATCTACTCCCGAGGCTGCAAGTAAACCTAGGCGTCTAATGGTGGCTTCTTCATTCTGCTAAAATGAGAAAAGATACTGGCATTAGCGGTCTCTGGTATTACAGGTAACATGGTCCACAAAGGAGCCAGTTTGTGAATATTTGAAAGATATTCTGAATAAAATGGCTACCCAAACTCTCTTAAATGCTTCCACCTTTTCTGGATGATTTTAAGGAATGCCTAAAGGACAAAGCATAAGAAAAATTGCAGATCTATTGCAAATTTGATTTCGCATTTGGGTGAGTGGCACAACGGTTCTAAACCGCAACTCCAAGTTCCGCCTATAATACGATCATCACGCAACTGTCTTGATAATTGCCATAAACGTGAAACTCAGAGTTGCAATACAGAGCTGTTGCAATAAATATAACTAGTTTCTTTTACATCCACGAGAAGCATCTCTCTACTGCAAATCTGAATGAAAGTTCTATAGCTTGTGTGGTCTTTACCATCAGTTCGCTGTTTCTAGATCTTAGGTTGTAAGTGATATCTATTTCCCTAAATATTGTTTTTATACAACTGGGATTGAGGTTCTATGTGTTTACATACTTCAACCAAGACAAACAAAGCAGTTACAGACTTCTTGGATGAATTGACACCAAACTGCCTTTTCCTAGCAACTCAACATAGTTGGATTCAAAGTCTTCATATGTAACTCTTAGAGCTCTCTCTTGTAACTTATTTCGCTTCTTATCAAGTTTTATATCACGAAACATCCAAACTGATGGGCAGTAGTTAAACTGGGACATTATGGATCATTTTTTTCAATTTCTGATTATCTATAAGGATTGATACATGCACAAAGCATCAATTATTGCATTTGACTTTTTGCAAAGAATTTCAGCGTGAGCCATAGATTCGACTTCCTATCTAAAAACACCCCCAGTGGCTTCTCGTGCTCATTTTCTTGAGTATCAGCATTTCCTACGAACAATTCGATTTACCCTTTTATCACATTTAATATCATATGTTTTTATCTTTCCTACGCAAGCATCAATCCTAAAAGCAACATAACAAGTCTTTTAGGGTTAACGCAAATCTACATTACGTCATTAATTCAACTGATTCCTACCTTGGCTGATCCCGACGGGCACCATTCCAAGCAATGCACTGGCCCGTGGTCAACACAAATACCCATGACAAATCCCGCTTGATCGCAGCTTCTGAATAATTAAAACAAATGCACTAAAAATGGCTGAAAAATTACAAGTAGCAAAGATCTCATTGAAATTCTTAGATGCCCAATACACCAGGGCGGTCTGAAAAAGTGAGATGGGCCGGACTATCAGAAACATTTGAAACATTTGATAAGTGGTTAGAATAACGGGAGTGGGGACATGAAGATGCAAAATAAAGGAGATAACATTGATACAGTAAATAAAACTCTTAAGCATTTAAAAGACTCCGGTCGATTCATAACAAAATTTTGATTAACATAAAAGTTGAACTGGTTGTGAATATCGTATATTGAAAGGAAAACCACGAACGCTCAGAGGTGACAGCTTGCTTGGGCGCTTGGGAAAAATTTGAAATATAAACCAGATATGAATTATTCACGACTATCATTGACATTCGATGGGGTCCATGCTTAGGCACCGCGGAGGAGCGTTGAGAAAAGTGAAGGGGGGTCTAAAAACAGTGGGGGGCTAAAACGTATAAAAAGAGGCTTTACTGGTAGTTTATTACTTAATATTTGGCATCTTTTGCAAAAAGTGGGTAGCTAAAGCCCCCCAGCCCCCAGCCCCCCTGCTCCGCGGTGCCTGATGCTGGCCACTTTTGAAGGTCTTCACCCAAGTTATTCTCCCGTAGGTGTTAATGCGAAAACTGTACCCTCAACTTACAATTATTATTTGATTGGAATGACAAAAGAAATAAAGTTGTGAACCGAAATAACACAGACGCTGGGAATACGATCGATAATCAAGCAGGATAAAATACCTTTTCTCTCTACATGCTGGAATCTTCCAAATTTGAATGAGACTTTTCTTAGGAACCTCTTTATCACGTATCAGAGTCTGTATGGATATGAAGTATAAAGAGTTGTTTGATGAAGTTTCTGAGAAAGCTGTTTGTAGATGATGGAAAATCAGACTAAATGGGAAATTGCAAACTATTCTGTGGTGAGGAAACCTTAAATAGAAGGAGGGTAATAAAATTGGATGTTATAACTTATAATATGAAGAGACATGGCAAAATTCGCTGAAAACATTTCATACATAAAATATGTTCATATTTTCGGGCATGCCTTTAGATGAATAGAAAACAAGTTTTGAACAAGCTTAATATCAATTTCAGACAGTATTTATATAGATTGCCTTCAGCAGCTATTTACGGCCAAAAAGGTAGTTAGAATGCAGTAGAACTTCAGGCCAATCCATTTATTAAAAGTATTCCCCGTCCTGTGTATTATGTAACGGTAGAAATAAGCTAACAACCTAAACCGTTATAAAAACTGACCTTCTCGGTGCCTTCGCAAGCACTGATAGCCAAATATTGGTCTGATGTTCCTAGAAAAGATGAAAAACCAAAAGAATGAAAAAAAGGATGGCAAAATCACATCAATAACTGAAATAAATGACAAAAATAATGGATATGACGTAATATAGCTATGAAACCTCAGTTGAACGATCCTTTCGCGAAATTCGTGAATTTACTAAAACTCTAACAGTTTATTCCCACGAAAGGTCCTATTCTGCTTCTTTCGCAAAAGTAAATTCCAAAATTTCGCACTTTTCTCCATTCGCGAAAATTTCTTCCCACGAAACTTTCTTCCCTTGAAGTACGTCACGACATCAGACGGGTATTTTCAATTCAATTCAACGAGGGTACCATACCACTCGAAGGAATTTTATTTAACACTCCAAAGAAGGCTAATGGTCTGCTCCTTTGAAAAGATTATGAGAGAAAAACGTTTGATCTCAGTTCAAAAACATTTCTCTAACTTTGATGAGAATTTTGGTGCTAAAAGTTGAATATGATGACCATTCTATATTCTTTTCGCGAAAGATATGATGCGAATATAACTCGAATTTGATCGTGTAATCCTTTCTTTACAAATTTTTTACCAAATTGAGATAAAGTATTTTTCAGATAAGCCAAATCTAGGGCCAAATTGTAGCCAAATTTCCAGGTGAGGCCAAATCATATATTTCGTAGCCAAATTGGTTACAATTAGACCAAACTTCTGAAATTAAACACCCAGCTTTTTTCACAATTTTATTTATCAAGTAAAAATGTGAGAGGTGTTAGATCAGCTCCTGATCATAAAGTGCTGACTACAAAATCAACATGACGAAAGAAACCAAACGATTTAATTGCGACACACACAACTGTATAGGCAATATAACTAAAAGATTACCCGTGCGTTTTCACACTTGTCTATTTTCGTTATTTTTAAATCATCTAACTGGATATAGAATTTACGTTACGTTAGTGGCAATTCATATATATTGACATTTCGAATTACAACGACAGGGGGACTAACGTGTTGATACTTACCACCTGTCGGACACCATTCCATTGCTAAGACTGAGCCACCGACGAAATGATTTGATATCTTGGAGCCTGTAATTATCAATATAGATCAATTAATACTTGTCAATATAGGGAGAAAGTAAACAATCATGGTACAAACTGGCGACTACGTCTTTCAACGTATCGTGAATGTAGCAAAGTTGAAAAAACAGCTTTCAAGAGAAATTGGGCTGCATGGCATCAGAAACAAAGGTTTATTTCTCGTAAAAAATTTTTGACTCAAAACGTATGCAGAAATATATATGTATTTCAAAGATATGCACCAAAATAATATTTGATGAAACAATAAATCCCTGGGTGATGGGGGGGGGGGGTCTAACATTAAACATGATAGCTGCAATAATTATTGCGGTGTTCCTTATCTTCTACACAGGGGCGGATCCAGAGCAAATTTGAAGGAGGGGCAGTTGGTAGTGGGGGCGCTGAAAAATTTTCAAAAATTGGTTACGAGAGTACGCTGTATACAACAATTTCAGATATCTTTTCAGAATAAACAACAAAACTTTGAGGTAATCCTTGAAGCAGATTAACCTATCGGTCCAAGAAACTTTTTCATCTGATTCTCATTCTTCAAAAGGGGCGCACAATTTCCAAAAAAGGGGCGCAAGACTTGCTTCAACTCGTTGAGGGAGGGGCAACTACCCCTAGTTGCTCCCCCTCCTAAATCGGCCACTGCTTCTACACAATAATTATTGCCCTTGAAAATCATCCCCAAAGATGGAGTTGGTCCCCGAAGAAGAAAACAATCTTTTTATGCAGATATTAGACTTTACTATAAAAGCTGACCTTCAAGTGGATCTGATGTCTGAAAGATTTCCAACTGCATCGTATGGGTCGAGCAGGCATGTTTGGAGGCGGTTTCATATACGATGTTGAAAAATGGCGACTTTGGTCGATTTGGGAAGAACCCCTTTGCATCGCTACAATACGAAAGTTACTCAGCATAAATGCAGTGAAAATAAAAACCCATTTGTAACGCTACAGTTTTCGACAAAAATTGTAGGGTAAATAATTGAATAAAGATTACAGTTTGGTGCAAATGAGGAGCGATGTGTTAAATAAATAAAGGGAGGGGTGTCGGGGTGTCGGGGATCAAATCCTCATGCTGCCACTTCCAAACCATTTGACTTATAATTTGTTTGCCCATTAGTTTTTTCTTATAACTGTTCATAGTCAATAAATTTCTAAATAAAGTAAACATTCCTTGCAAAAAATGAAACACACATTCAGCTTTTCCAGCCTAGTTGCTGAATGACAAGGGACCACTGCGCAGCCCCTTCTGCTCATGATTCTTCTCTAAAATTCTGGACATTTGATGATTAGATTCGCCAGCCTACCCCAGCAACCCTGCGCTCCCTCTTCAATGGTTAATAAATCTTGATATCTTTGCTATCAAATTAAACCGACATTTGTTTTGAATTGTGTGAGAAAGAGGTTGTATAATATCACATATGCATGCTACCCGGCATCAATGACGTAATTGAGGTATCTGGAGCCCAAAGGAAAAACTGAGGTGGGTCACTATTCAGGGCCGCCGAGAGGCGGCCTGGGCCCTGGGGCAAAGTCCCGGTTGGGGCCCTAGAGTCGGATACAACAAATTTTTGAGACCACGCCCTTTATAAAATGAAAACGCCCATTATTTCCAAATGTTTGCGCACGTTTGTATTTTCAGTTGCAAATTGATCAATGATATTGTCGTAATCAATTTGTCTTGCTAGTTCGTGCTCGATCGAAAGAGTCACGAGGCTTGATAGTCTGTCTTGAGTCATTGTTGAACGTAAGCGGTTCTTTATTAGTGCTAGTTTGCTGAAAGGGGCCCCAAAAATATAATATAGCTTTATGCAACGAGTCTAAATGCAAACATAACTCATTTGAACGGGCCATAGATTAAAACAAGATTATATGGGTTACCTAATTTCTTATCAGGGCTCCCTCCCCCCAATAAGTACGATTTTGCGAAACTCAGGGAAACTCAGCTTAAAAGATAAATCCGTAAAATATGTGATCCAAGGTTTATTCAGCTTTTCTCGGGGCCCCAGACTCAATAAATAAAGCTGATAGGCCTTAAATTCAAACAAGACTCAGGTACGGACCCAATGAAATTACTGCCATCATTTTCGATATTAACAAATATATCTTTAAATGCATTTTCAGTTTCTCAAAAGAAGATATTTTAAAAAAAATTTCAGAATAATTTTGGGGCCCCTTTCAGGCCAAGGCCCTGGGGCAAATTGCCCCCCCCCCCTGCCCCCCCCTCTCTGCGCCACTGTCACTATTTACAGTCTGCAAAAGGTCTCGTCCAAGGGTGTAGGCAGAGCATGTCAAACACAATAGCAAGTAATAAAAAACCTTTCTCGTTAACAAGGGAGTTGATGAGTTATTGAAAATAAGGTTAACCATAAAACATGATATAAATAATACTTTGAGAGCCCTTTTTGATCAGTAGTCTTGAGTTATCTAACGAAGGTTCCATACACTGCGTTACAGCACTGCACGAAATTTTGAGGCTGGGTTTTTCTTTATCTTTCTTAGATTTCGAGACGGTGTTTCTAAAAAATTTACTTTTCATAGTACCTTAGCCTGAGCTTTTTCGTAACTATTGACAAATTTTGAGGCTCGTATTCTTATGAAATTGTTATTATAATATAATTAAGATATTAACCTCTCTGAAACGATCGACACTTTGCCGCTGGAGAAATCCCATTCTGGATACAGCCAAAGAGAATGATTGACTTCAAACCTATAGAGAAACAAACATTTTTAGTTAGTTCTGATGATTAAATCGAGGGGCAATTCACTCTTGCCAATAGCGTACGAAATTTCCACGAAAACGAGAGGATTTTCAAGGATTTTCTGATAAAACAATAGGATTATCATGAAGTGATTTGCCCCTTTGATGAAATGCGTAAGGAACGGCGAACATGACGGGCGATGAAGAACTGAGATAACATCGCTAAAAGAAGGGGTCCAAAAAGAAAGTTCATATGGGTGACATGGAGTATTTCTGATTGGCAAAACATAATAAGTACAAAGGTTGGGAATGCGTTGACAGTTAGAGAAGCGTAACTGGTATGTGTCAAAAAGGATCAAAATATTGAAGAATGTGGGGCACTATTGCTTTGAAAGCGCAAATTTTCCTCAAAACGAAAAGAAAGATCATAAAAGCACATTGGAAGGCCGCGGTCACCTTATTAAACAGCTGTCGATCATGGTTTTAAGTACAACCTTTGAAATAACGTAAAATTCTCGCACATATGAAAAAGACCACTTTTTGCATGAAACAAATCTGAAGCAATCATTTGGTCCAGCATCCATTAGCTTGATCGCTGAAAATCCAAAATACCCTCCATAAATTAAATCCGATACTTGCAATGATCTCTGGTTCTGCAAATCCGTTTTAAACCCCCTAAAATCTACGTACGATCCGCATATAAAAATACGCACAGTCCGTGAATCCGTAGACCCCAACACCACACCCAAACCATAAGGTATTTGTTTTCCTAGCACATAAATTTGTTATCAGAAAACAAATGCCCTCTCTGACTTCGCAATTTTGTTTATTCCACCGGAGGTTATTCTATTTCGCAAAAAATTGGATACAGTATCTTTAAAGTTTATCATACAACATACATTTATCAATGCTAGATAATAAGCAATAGTGATTTACCAGCTTTTTAGCCACTGAATATTTTGCTTCAAAGGTTTGACTCTTTTGCAAGAAAGATTGCCAGAAATTCTTGAACTCGACGAAAATGTATGCCCTGGTGGCATATGCGTGCTGTTTCTCTCTAAATCATATTTATCTTCAGCGTGATTTTGATCATCATCATCATCATCATCATTATCAACATCATGCTCAAATTCTACAGAATCTTCACTCTCGCTCGAGCCTGCTATGAAATCTGTCTCCTGTCGAATTCATAGAATTATAAACAGCTTTAAAAAACTAGGTAGAACTTCATTTTATGTGACTTAGCTACAATATCTTCTTGAGAGAGTATACAGATATTCATGAAGAGAGTTGTGTCATTAATGAATAGGAACAAATGGATTGTCAATAAAAATATGGAAGTCGAGCCATTGAAGGGGCAATGTTTTTTCTCTTGCTGCATATTGCACTTAGGCCGAAAAGGTAACCAAACTGTGCAAGCGATTTGCTACTAGAGGTTTTAGGCAATTAAATAGTTAATAATCTGCAAGACTTTAGACTTCCAAAATAGCTCGGTTATAAATAAACTTTGAGAGCAGAAATAGAAACAAATCTTTTGGATATAATCCAGAGCAAAAATTGAATCACCTTTTTAGCTTTGCGCGATCGCTTTGGGTTCTCCTCAGTAAGGTCCAGTCTACTGATCGCATTAAGTGCTCTGGAAAAAATGTAAACAATGAGTTAAGCCAGGACATTAGTTTTGGAATAAGGAAAAGTCTATAACCACGCAAAGTTATCTGTGTATAGAAACTAATTCGTAAATTGATGCCTATACTTATCTGTATGTCAACAAAGAAATAAATAAACCAATAAATGCGGTTATCCATCACTTCCTTTAACAAATCACTTATAATATTCCAGATAGTCATTCAGAATACTTTGTTTTCTGTTCTATAATCTAGGAAATCACATGCATTACACTACTGCAAACATATTCCATTATTATCCACGTATTACATGGCAAAAAACTATTTCTTTTCATTTGTTGCCAAGATCTTGTCCAGGGCCCCTAAATAAATTGATATTAGCAGATCCCTAGCTAATATCAAGTAACGGGCTTGAAACTGCTTCGAAAATTGATAATCGATGATGTTGTGCGTGTTGCACGTCGAAAATGAGCATCATCAGGTCATGAAGAGTAAAGCTCAAAACGTTGTACCAAATATTCATTTTTTGTAAAAAGTCGTTATTTTATTTTATCAAATTTTGCTTCAAAAATTCCCTGTTACTTTGAATACGCAACAGCGCAGAAAAGCACGTCCAACTGGCAATAAGATTACTATCTTACTTGTTCGCATACAGAGAAGCACAGATAAAACGCAGGACCAGATGCCTTATAATCGCATTGAAGCAATACACGAGAAGCAATTTTTCAAGGAAACCATCTTGTTCTGCACACCAAATTAGAGCATGTATGACATACTGGTTAACAGTAATCCTCGTTCTATACAGATTAAATCTATACAGAAGAAAAGGAGGTTAACGTTATACCATGTGTCATAAATTCTCCTTCCCATCCAAACTTGCATCGAGTTCTTTATAAACTATTCTGGGCAAACTGGTCCCATACTAGCAATATCCAATGCTATTTCGATGTCTTGAACATACTATAAACTACTTACTTTCTTGCAGACTTTCTTGCTCCGATCCCGGATATTTCCAGCTGGCAGTTCGCACTTCCAGTGTCCCTTATCACTACATCCCTACTTTCAACCTGAAAGAAACATTTGGTTTTTAATGATTGGTAGACATTTATATTAGGAACTCCGAATGATGTAACAGTGTCTTAGATTGGCCTATTGCTCCAAACCTTTAAGGTCTTAAAATCATATAGAAGAATTTTGCTCATTGCTTTGGGTGGAAATTACGAGATTTTATCATCTTTGACAGGGTGTAAGAGATTTGCCCTTGGCATGAGTTTACTTTTAAAGTACTAGGTATAACTAACATTCTTTATTTTGGTGATACAACAACCTCTTGGGCGAGCTGCCTTGCGGCCCAAATGTCTGATACCAAGCCCTTCGAAAACAATACCAAGGGACACTTGAAGTTACAACAATAAAAGCAAGAGTTTACATGTGAAATATCAATAGGTCTCAAAGTATCAAGCAATAAAACATGATAAACAGGCATTCCAGAATTGTACTCACTGCAGGGCAAGAATGATTGAAAAAGTACTTTCTTGTCTTATATGTCTTCTCGCATTTCTCACATTTTACCAAACTGCCACAACGGCAACCATGTTCAATGCATTCATTGAAAGAACGGATTTCTTCCTGGCAAGTGTAGTTAAAACATTTCGTTAAATCACCAGCATCCAGCATCATAGAAAGATCATATATCTAGAAACAAGAAGAAAACATTATCCCCTTTTCACTGCTGTATCAATTTTTGATTGAATGCGAATTTCTAGCAAAGTGTGTCATGAAATTTCAACACGAGGAACGTTTGGCAAAAACGACAAATGAAACTAAGATCCTTTTCTTCATCCATGTTTGTGATTATCAAATTAAGTTTATGTGATGGATATTCTTAAAAAGATTATAGTTAATGGTTCCTAAGTATCAACAAGCTCCTCTTTCTTTGAAGCACTGACAGAGTGAGTTTGATTCTGAAGATAAAAATGGTTTCATGTATCATCGTCCTTCCCATACAGTTTATCTTATTTCCCAGGGCCTAGTATTTCTAATATTCCATTCTGTGTTAGAAACACAGAAACTACAGAATCATACATATTTAATGAATTTTAAGAAAAAGATCTATTCGAATATAGACCTGTGTCAACCATGGCAAACTGCAGTTTGATAGTACGGGCTCTAGAATGGCAGGACCAGAGGGGGAAAATAACAAAAATGAGACACTCTACACTTTACACAAAGGTAAATTTATTGGTAAAGCCCAATCGTTGTTCCACCTAGCAGTTTTGGAATCTATCTACATAAGCACGGAAAAACCGCTACTGTGTAGACAAAAGGAGTTCGTTTTCACCTTAGGACTCCATTGGTAAAATTCTCAAAAGGCAAGCGGCACTGATTGGTCAACCTCAACAGTCATGTGCTCGTGTTTCTGATTGGCCTATTTCGATCCACAACTGGGTATATAATTCCTAGCGTAGAGTTTTCGGTCTATGTTCTGACATTTTAAACTCTGAAGAGTGTCAGACGAAAAGCTTTAGTTTACTAAATGTTTGCTTTTTTCAAAGCCATTTTCAAGTTTTGTACCACCAAAAGATTGTTTACAAAGATAAGTATAATACAAGAGTTATCAAAATACAAATAGTTGGCAAAATACCAGCTCTAGTAAGGGGTTACAAAGAATAGTATGCTCAAACTCTACATAAAGGTAAATGTCACAAAATATTACCTATTAAAGAGATGGTCATATTTGAAATTAAACAAAGGTTTTGGTTGGAATATGACATGGGCATTTCTTTGGAAAAATTAAGGGATTAAAGTGACAACAATCGTTTGGTAGCTTTTTCAGTTTTGCTTAATAACTCAAAGATTATGAAAGCCAATAAGTGAGTTTGTTATTCTTTTCTTTCAAACACTTTTCATAAAAAGGAATATACTTTCATTGCAATTTCAAAGAGTTTTTGCTGTCAGCATAAAATGATGTCAGAAAACAAAAAAACTTGTATATGGATGTATTCATACAAAGCTCGAAATGGAGCCATGGTGATTCTTGTGAACAGTGTCTTATTACAGTGGCTGGTGAGCAAAGCCATACAAAAAATAATAAAAAATACTAAAAACTTACATCGTTGTGAACAACTCTCATATGCTTTGCGAACATGGGTCCACATGTACAAATTTCTTTACAAACATGACAAGGTACTTTCAATTTGGTGAGGGGAAATACTTGTTGCTCCGAATTGTGATTATTGCTGTGTTTAAACAAACCAAGCCATGTGTTGAACTCCTCTGTGCAGTCTGATATAACACATTTGAAAATGCCATTTGTAAATTCTTCTACCCACTGAGAAAGCTTTTCTTCATCAATTTGCAGTTTTCCCTTTGATGTTGATAACATTTTCAATTTACATTTTCCAACTGGTTTTTTTGGAGGTCTCCCTCTTTTCTTTATTATTTGCTCTTTTGGCTTCCTTTTTGTTGATTTTTGAATATAGGATTCATGTTCAAAAGACTCGTCTGATGATTCCCTGCAAAGACTACTTTCCAAGCATGACTCATCTTCTTCCATACTTGAAAGGCTTTCTTTACATTTTGAATAGCTTTTTCTCCTCTTAGATACTTTAGCATCACTTAGCTTCTTGGTCTTATGTGGAATTGTTATACCATGTTCACTTTCAAATAGACTGTTTGTAGCTGTAGACACTAGTTTCCTAGAGTCATTTGGTGGAAAACCAGATTGTTCAATCATTGATACATCCTTACTAGTCAGGACTTTTTTTGGTCTTCCTCTCTTTTTCGAAGGCTTTTTAAATTGACCATCAGTCTCCAGTACAGGAGAGATTAAATCGCTTAGCATAGTTCCATTTCCATCTGACTCTGTACTTAATACTTCACTACTATTATGCTGCAGTTTCCTTTTTCTTCCTCTTTTCTTTTTCAGCACCTTACAATCAGGATCATCTTGAATTTTTTCACTTTCAGTTGATGATGTAACTAAATGACCAGATAACTTGTAGTCCTCAGAAAATTCTTCATTCGGAATAATAACGCCATCATTTGGTATTTTCTTTGGTCTTCCTCTCTTTTTCAAAATGTTCCCCATTCTATCATGGATTGCAATTTCACCTTCCCTGGTTTGGCAATTTCCTAATACTGTTGATAATGTAGCTTCATTTATTTCTTCGTTTTGATCTGTACTTATATCATTATCACTACAAATAGAAACCTTCCTTGGTCTTCCTCTCTTTTTCAAAATTTTGCTTACTTTATTGGAGAATGTCACTTCATTTTGCATGTGTCGTGGGATCTTAAACCCAGTTACTAATGTGTCTACATTACCTTGGTCTTTGCCACCATCTGCAGATTTTGCAGGCATCATTTTATCACAATCAGGTAGTGCCTTCCTAGGTTTTCCTCTCTTTTTCAAAATTGTTCCTACTTTTTCTTTGTATACAACTTCATTTTGTTTGTCCTGAGGAGCCTCAAACCCTGTTGATAATATGGCTTCATGATTTCTTGACTTACAATCATCAACTGGCTCTTTATCTAAGCTACCATCACTACAAGCTTGCATTTTCTTTGTCTTTTGATTCTTTTTAACAACTATTTTTGCTTCCTCTTTGTCAGCCTTTTCATGATCAACCAGAAGATTATCTTTATTCATTTCTGTACTCATTATAACATCAGCATGTATTTTTCTTGGTATTTCCTTCTTTTTAGCAGCCTTTTGTGATTTTTCACTAACTTTCTCATTCTTCTTGACCAAACTTTTTTTCCCAGCCTTTACAGTTTCTGGTGAAGATGTAGCAATATCATCCAAACATTTTTCATCTTGAACTAATTTCGTGGTTTTGTTAGTGTCTCTTGGTGACTTACTAGGTCTCCCTTTTTTCTTTGAAATCTTTTTACTTGAACCAGCTTGAGAACTATTAGTTTCAGTTGGTTTTAGAGATGCTTTGTTTGGTAAACCGTCATTGCTACTTGAGGATAAAGAAAATACTGAGCTATTTTCAACAGGTTCATATTCCAGTATTGATCTATTGTTTGAATTTTCTGATGCACCACCATCTGATGTACTCAAAGGACCCTTTTCATTAGTAGAAAGCTTTAATAGTTTATTCATTTTCTTATTGCCTGTATTTCCACCAGCATTTGGCTTTTTGCTGCCTTTTCTCTTAACATCTTTATCATTGTTTTCAGGGAACAGTTTTGCTGATGGTGGATATATATCTGGTTGATCGGACAAACAAATATCTTCAGAACGTGACACTGGCTCCTGGCATTTTCTCTTCCCTGCAGAAGAACCCAGAATGCTTTGGTGCCTGTTTTGATTTTCTGCAGTGTCACTTTCTTCCTTTCCCTCGCATTCTCTATTTGGAGACGTGGGTAATTGCAAAGTGCCCTCATTAATATTTGGTACGTAATCATCGTTGACCATGTCAAAATCTGTGCATCCTCTAGTAGACCTTCGGACCCAGCTCTCCGCTTTGTGCCATTCCTTTTTCCTTTGCGCCATTCCTTCTTACTTTATATCTTATGTTTTAAAGTAAGCATATTCTTCAAAAAGAAAATATATCCACTTCTGCAGACTTCAACAAACATACTCCAATGCGATGCGATGGTATATTTTCTATTTATCTGACATTTTGAAAAAGCCTCCCTTTCAATAGATAAAAGTTCAAATCGAGGTTATGTTTCAGATCAAATGTTCTAACACTGCATTGATGGCTGCGTGTATAATTTTACCATTAAAATTTTGCAATTTAAAAATTAAGAAAAGGAAAGTTGTCTCATTACAGATATATGAAATTACAAACAAAAGCTAAAAGCGTAATCAAAAAACACTCAGAGTAAAAATGGCAGAGGTAGCATTAAAAATGACAATACAACCTTGTTTCCATGATGGTCCCTCCAGTGGTGCTTTCAAAAGAAATATATTCAGAAAGAAGAATTTTGTATCAAAAACTTTGAAAAACAATTATTCTGAAAAATTTTACCCAGAACCTTTTCGTTAGCTGTTTTTTGGTTTTCAATAATATATGTAGAGGCTATCATCTTGACTTTGAAGATCTTCAAAGAATTCATCTTTGATCTTAAACTGTTGATGTTCTTTGCAGGTATTTAGTTCTGATGGTAGATTGCTCCGAATTTTGGGACCAAGATATGAGAGGCAATTTTGCCCCATGTTTTTCTTTCGGAAAGGTTGATTAAGTTTGTTTTTAGATTTTCGAGTTATTCGGCTCTGGTCAACTGGCAAGAACAACTCTGACATGTAGGCTGGGGCTGAATTATAAAAAAATTAAAACATTGTTCAAATCTCTCTTTCGTGGGGAGCCAATTTATATTCTTGAACTTTTTTGTTCCTATAGGGGTCTTTATGGAAAATTTAGGGTTGCATATTGTTCTCGGGAGTACTGTGTTGAAGGAATAATTCTTAGTTCTTATGAGAATAAACAAAATGTACCTGAAACGCAGGTACAGGTAGACACTGGAATTTTGCATGTTTTATTGCCATGCCTATACAAGAACCGCGGATCATATTACAGATTTATGGGGCTAAATCATTTTGGGAGGGTAAACATGCTAGAAACCAAGAGCAAGGCAATTTTTGTATGATTTTGATACATTTATGCTAAAGCCCTCTCAGTATCGTCCGCCTCCGTGGTCCCTGGGCCTATGGGAAATGAAAGGTATATCTAACACTATTTTTAAAAAAATATTTCCTGATAGGTTTTCAATATTATGCCAATTTGCTCAACTTGACTCTGATTCAACCTGCAAGCAAATTATAAAGTACATTATAATAGAAGACTAAATTTTTGAACATGCAAAAAAATAGTGAGTTCGCGGTTATATAGAATCTCAAGGAACCGAACTCAATTATGTAGAATCTCAAGAACAAAATTGCTTTTATGGACCGACTTTTTATAGGGTTTTAAAAAATAATGTTTACAAAACTTTAATATCGTCTTTATTTATACAAACGAAATTGATGACGTCAAAGCTGCAAGCTGTTTCGGGCCCCAAACCTATATATAAGTAATAATTGCACAACAACTTGAAAATTTAGTTGACGACTGTCTGTGTCGTTTGAACAAACAACTGTAAAATTTAGATTCGAATTGTGTGAGATGACATATTTTTGGCTCTAGATTTTAGAGTTTAAACAGATTCCTGTTTATGCGAAACTTGAAAACGAAAGCCGTCCACGAAGTTTCATAAACCACATCCTTTTATACGTATATTACAAAAAGGTGTGGTTTACTTTGAGCGCCATCTTTGTTAATTTTTGTTTGTTTCATAATTGAAACTTTTGTTTATTTTCAATAATGTGTTTGTTTTTGTATGTTTTTTGCAACAATTTTCTTGATTTCTTTAGAACTGCACACTTTGTGTAGAAGAACTGCACGTTAAAAAAACCAAGCACTGCTTGCATAGTCAAAGTGGGGCTGAATTAGTGCGTTTGCTAGCAATCTACGAAGGAAGAAGTCACGATAATGTTGCTTTCTGTAAAGAAATTTGAACCTGCCATTGATTTTGCATATGATTCTGGTAGCCATTGATTCGCCAGACAGGCCCTGTTCAAGAACACAGCCTAGATACGTGACCGAAGCGTATTGTTTAATCTTGATGTCGCCTCTTCTGATGCCCAGATTTTCTGTCTGGATGTTTATTTTTTCTACCAAAAGGATGGATTTTGTTTTGTCCTCTCCGAAATTAATAGATCCCTAAACCAGTTATGAAAATTCAATATGTGGAACAGGGGAACTTGGAGGAACATTTTTAAACAGGTTTAAACCGTACATCGGAAGACATTGTACATTATTCCGAAAGAATAATTTTTATCTAAGATTCAGCAAAATTTTAAGAAGATTGCATGAAAAGGAGGAGGCTGGGGTGACCTAAAAGTTGAATTATTTCTAATTTATTAGGAAACTTTATATTTTAGGCATAAATGAAGAGTAGGGTTGCCGAATCTGATGATCCCTTTGGCAGAGGGCATGGAGTGTGCTCTGGGGCTTGGGGGAGGGGCCCTCTTAGGAAAGCTATGAACATCACTTCCCTGAATAATTCCTTTAATCATCCTTGGAGCCTTAGGTATACATTTTAATCAATCAAACATATTCTTATGACTCCGAAAAGTATTTTGATTCACCTAACCCTAGCTTTACAAATTTCTTTGCATTTCTGGAGAATCTCGGAGGGCCATGTTTTATTTTTTTTTTAATTCTGGAGTCTGGACCCCCTCCTTGCAAACTGGGTGAGTGGAGGATCACATCGTTGTGCTGTGATAAAAGAGTATTGTTTTTTTTATCTTAGACATAATTTTTCCTTTGTCTTCCATTCTAATTATCAGCTTCCGATAATTATGTTTGCTTTCGCCGTTTTTAAAAGCATTATATGAAAGCCGCGCTATAATTATTTTTTTTACTGTCATAATGCGCAGCCAACTGGATTGACGATAACGAAAACCAATATTCATAATAATTTTGCCGAGTAAATTATTCGAAAGATCATATCAATTTTATTTGTTTATGTTAGGTACTGCAATTCTTCTTTTTGCAACGGCACCCCATCTACCACCAGGAACAGTGTGGCAATTGATGGGTACCCCACGGTGAACGCCTCCCTTTGTGATACTACTGTTCGATTGTTTCGGCGAATGAATCACTGCAAACAGTGCGAAGTGACAATGTTTCATCTCTCCTTGTTAACTGACAGGAGATACACCGGAAAAACGTAATATGCAAACAAAAGCTTCTTCAAGCCTGATTAATTTTGAATCAAAGGAGTATTTAAGTCACGCATTGTCTTAAAAGAAATCAGCCAATGAAATGCACTGGCTGGCAAGAGATTGAAATCAGAACGTATGAATTAATCCATGATAAGAGTTTCACGACAAGTAAGCACACCAGAGTTTTGCAAATTGAAACAATCATCTAACATAGAGACGTAAATAAAGTGTTTCGTGATAATAAAGTAACTTGCGGAATACAGTTAGGAAGAATGAAGATGTGGTGCTCGTGGAAAGTTCATTTTTACGGCCTGCTCATGTTAGGCCTTGTAAGTTGCCAAAATGGCGATGCTAATCCGGTTGTCGAAGGGTCAGGAACGGGATCTGGCGAAGAACAAATTGCAACTACAACTTGGATATCGTCAACAAAAAGGCTTTCAACAACAGTTAAACCTGAAGATACAACAACTGATGCTGGTTCGGGTGATGATGAAGATACTAATACCACCAAAACTGTGACTCCGTTTACGACCACTGTAAGGCCAACAACTCGACCTACAGATGACGAGGACGGCTCTGGAAGCGGCAGCGGTGTAAATGAAAAATATACTCCAGAACCAGTTATAACTGTAGCTGGTGTTACAACGACATCACGACCAGAAGATACCACTGAATCATCTGATGATGTTACAACTGAATCAAGCACCGGAATTTCTACTCGTCGAAAAATTGATAAGGACACGAAAAAATTCACGCCGGGTACAACTATGGAAACTACGACAACTGAATCAAATTTCATCGAAAACGGGATATCAACTGCTGAACCAAAAACCGAAGGTGCGTCTCAGCCATGGAATGAAATCGAAATTATCAATTCGCCAACGACGAAAACCAACCAACCAACACGATCGCGAACTACAACAGAAATGTCGAATTCCGCTGATAAGAAGGACAAACGCACGAGAGGAGGGGAAAACGAAACAGAAGATGACATCAATGGCAATATTGCAAAACAAGTGGGACGTGAAAAAGGTTCAGATCCTTCTCTCTACATTAAAATTGGGATTATTGTCGGGGCCGTATTGGGTGCTGTTCTGATCGTTTATATTATAGTCCTTTTGGTGCATCGACTGCGAAAGAAAGATGAAGGCAGTTACTCGCTAGAGGAACCAATTACCGGATATGTTAAACAAGAGCCAGGTAGCCCAGTCAGTGGAAAGGAATATTTTGCATGAAAACCCTTTTAAACCACATAAAACACCCTCGTATTGCAAACTGGATTTGGTGAGTAAAAAGGCTATTCACTCTTGCCATCTGCTTTGTACCAACAGATTGATATGGTTTTCACATCCTTCTCAACTGTAATCCCAAACTGTATTTTATAGAACGTGTCATGTACTTATAAAGCGGGTTGTGACAACAGAAGTTTGTGTTGTTAATGTCGGATAATTCTTTTGAATTTATCATAATTTGTTCGAAATATTTTTGTAATTACATATGTTGGTTATATTTTCATTTAATTTTATATACATGGTATCAGAATCCAGTCATATCGGGAATCACATGGGAAACACATTATCATTTTCTAATAATTTGAAATTTACTTATGAGTTTTTGCAGATTATATTTAGGGTTTTAACTTTTTTGTATCTTTATTTTAAGACAATTATATTGTTTTAACCCTTATGTTTTTTGCTATACTCTTTTTTGACTAATTTTGTAACTTTTGTATGGTACCTAGCAACATATGTAACAATGGTTTCATATATAGAAAAGAAGTAGAAAAATTGCAGTTCAGGTATGTCAAAATTGTGAATATAACATCCCCTCCCTTGATCATCCAATTTCCCTTCATGGTTGTGTCAGAATATCATTTCCACGTTTCCATAAAACTATTTCAAATTGTGTATTTATATTAAATAAATACAATTTCAGTGTTTAAATACACTAATGCTAGCTGTAGGATCACAAACTCCCATTTTCAGGGTTTCCTTATTGTCGCAAATCTGTCTAAGGGTCAATGGAACTTCCAGAAAAGGGATAAAAATACTGAACTGACATATCCAGCAACCTCTCTGTTGACAATCAAGCTGACACAAATAATCATTATGGGGTTACTTATTTATTTTATCACTATTTGTATTGCAAACAAAGGATTGGTCTATAATGTTTTTCAAGGGATGACCCTGTGTATTGACCCTGGGTATTTACCCTGTTCCACCTTTTCTTTGGAAACAGGAGTGCTTATGCATGTTCTTTTGTACCTGTTGTTGTTGATGTTGTTGTTTTATAAGAGAGCCAAAAAGACCTCTCTTATCTTTGATTCTTATGAAGCATGTGGCTTTTAGCAACTTTACATGTTGTGAAAATGTTTTTTTCTCTGGTTTTTAGCCAAAATGTTATTGTGTTTTTTGACTAAATTTAACCTGTCCATTGTCCTTCTTAACATCTTCTATGCATATTTCTTTACTTTATAAATATGTATCCTTGTTAACTTTTCAGATGAAAATTCCAATGTAAAATAAAAGTGAATTGGCTTTGTTTCTCTTTGGCTGTTTACTATGATTCTTTACAATAAAAGCGACTCGGACATATCATCAATCTATCTATGTTTTAAATGATTCAGATAACTAGTTTAGTATTGCAGGAAATTGTATGTATTCATTTCTAAGCATGCTACTTGTTTTTATTCGTAATTTTCACTAGATATCAGAGACAGAATATTTATTACTCATGGCCTGTTGTTTTCTAAGTGTCACTCTGCTGCTGAAGGTTGAGCAAATCAATTTTAAAACTCTGATGTAGAAAAAAACAATATGTTTGGCATCACTACCTTACTGCAAATAAATAAGAACATGTAGACTGAGTTTTTACTTTAACAAAGTCACCCATAGAAATTAGTATATGAGTTTCTAGTTTATATAAGAATTCTTTCATTTTCATATAACAATAATGAAAAACATGCATGAGAATAGAAAGGAACAATCTATCAGCTTTGATTTCTCTCAAAAATGAATAATATAAATAAACTTTTGGAGGTTCTAGGATTTGCAATACATCGAGTTTGTATCTTCATAGATTGTCTTCCTGGCAACCCTGATAATATATTGTGCAGCTGTGAAAGCATGGTACAATTCAGCATGCAAAACAAGCAGAAAAGTTTGATCATTTCATAGATGCAGGTGTGTTCTCAACAAGGCTAATAATTAGGCAAGGGCATCGTGGGGGCCTATTATAGTTCGTTGCGGATTCACCCACCCCCCCCAACCCTATTTCTCTATGCCAATTGTACCTCGCTCATTTTCTCAATGATGTCCATTATTGTGCATCTCTTCCGGATTTCTTCATTCCCATCTCTTTTCTGATCATCAAATCTTCCTCTTTGCCTACGACCCAGCATTCTGCTCTATTCTGTGACGTAGCATTTAGAATACGTGCTGATCTGCACAGTAACATGTTGAGTAATAATTAAACTGATGCTTTATATTCGATCATGTAGTAACATCGATTGATTAAAGACACCAAAAACGGTTATATCCAATTACCCATGCACGATGTCAATCAACACGTCGCATACACCATGTGGTAAATATACAGATAAAGACGTTTCTTTAAATTCGGCATCTCTCCACTTCATCAGTCTTCATATATTGAGATAGGGGCACAACTAGAAATAGTGGTAACAACTGCCCCTTCTCAACGAAGCGGCCATACCATGTGGCCATACAGTCTTGGCGACATGAAAATCTACAGTAGTCCACCTTCTTTCATTACCCGTCTTTGCTATTTTTCTCCTCAAGGTGGATAAAAAATAAGACTGCTCCTGTTACTATTTTCTCACAGTCAAAAAAATGGATTCGTATTAATCCCTGTTTTATAAAAGCGGCACCACGAGGTCAGATTATTTCGCCGATGTCGTTTGTTGCCAATACAAGAATGTCTTCGCTTGCTTTTTCAATGAGTCAGTTACGGGGTTTCAGAACGGATTCTGAAGACCAATTATATCTGTAGCGGTGTAGTTGAAAGACTTGAGACTAAGAACTGTATTTGTAACAACGAGCAATCCATATAAACATCACATAGACAGGCCGAAGGGACGAAGCCCGTTCTTCTCGTGCGAACCATTCTGGAATGTCGTGGGCTAAAACCAAGGATTGTCAACTTTAAAAAACAATTCATGCAGAACAGTCAGTGGAAAACGACGTATGTGTTTGCCTGATATTATACATCGCTTCTATTTTCGAAATGATCCATCATAATCAAATATTATCATCATTCTAATCATAATCGATCATCATCATCATCATAATTATCGCTCCCGTCGTCGATGTCGTAGTCAAATATTAGAGACATCTCAAATTGGATAATATTGGAAGAAAGAAAAATGGTTTTTAAGGTCATTGGGATAAGATGTATAGTTCCACAGCAGAGAAATAAAAACAATTTATTTGATCTTTGAAAAAAAGCCCTTTAGCTGCAGGCCTATTCTGTTTTAATAATGAGTAGATTAATGTTCAAAATTTATTAAAATTTGTGGTTTCATTCGTAAAGGACCAAATTATACACTGTGTTATGAAAGAACTACTGTGGAAATAAACAAGCTCGCCTGTATAAACTAAGCTGAAATTTGTCAGTATATAATGGACATTTTGGATACATTCACATTAAATGTTGCTTGATAAGCTGTAACAATAAACGGAGTGTAAATTGTAATGGTACGATTAGAAAGTATCATGCGGCCTTATCAATTCAATTTAACAATGTTAGAACATTTTTCTACTTGAAGACAGCTCCTCAAAAGGATTTAAAGGAGCTACCACGTTGAAGTTTAGAATGGGGTCGGCGATCAAATCCACGATTTTTTTAATAAAAACACTGAGGCTCGATTTGCGAAAAGTTAAAAACAAGTCTAGCCTCTGATACAATTTGGTGTTTTCTAACAAAGTAATTTTGTTTGACTAATGAATGATATTCTAAAACTTATTTATTTTGAGGCTCGAAGAGTGTGCGATGATTTCTTAATGTAAAATAACTACGATTACACTTTTTTTATAAGAACAGTTTTATAAGAACCCAAGCCTCACAATTGGTCAAAAGTTAAGAACAAATTAAGAATAGGCTGAGGCTGAGCTTCTGCAAAATGCAATTTTGAACAACGTTTTATTTTAAAAACGAGGATCTTTTGCCATGTGTGGGTGCTTTTTCGGCGAATATTCAAACCTGTCGGCAAATGAAGGTTGTCTCACTCCCTTTGTTGGCAAACGAGGCCTGAACACCTCCCTAGAGCGAAAAAGCTAGCAATCCCATTACTTGCACCCTATTATTTTAAGAATAAATTAAGAACAATCCAGCATCAGATTTTCGAAAAAATTAAAAGCAGTCAGCCTGAACTTAAATTTACTGGTTCTCATGAAAAAAGAGTGTAGGCCACGGGTGTCAAATGAGAAAGGCTCCAAAAAGATCGTTGTACCAAACCTGAAAAAAGATCGTTGGATCTTTCTGATAACATAAAACAAAGAACATATCTGTCTGATAATTTGTCTACTTGTTGGCGTTAACAAGTGAAAAAGCTATTAGAAACGTAGGTTCTTTAGTTTCATAAAGTTGTTTCCAGGTTAAGTCCAACGAACCTAACCGATGGCATAGGTGTTGTTAGCAGGCAAAGCATGGCTTTTTTCTGGGATTAATTAGTAAGTATAATAAGTTCCGGGAATTATTTGTTTATAAATAAAATACTTACAGCATACTCATATCAATAAAATACAATCTTTTTAAAAAATGAGCAGTTAGTATTTGTCGAGAGTCAACGTCAGTATTTCTTATTGCTTGAGATTCTGATGTTCTTCTTATTTCAACATTGGTTTTTCTACAACTATAAACTATGTGTTGATTCTAAGATCACTAAATGAGAGTTTTGCATGGCAATCTTAGTAGAACGTTCATTAGCTGATAGAATCTGCTCTGTTTTGTAATTTGAGAGAAAATCTTAAAAAAACAAATCATTTTTCTTGAAAACTTTCATCTTGGGCTGGGTAAGCTCTTACGTTGTTTTGAACTCTTGACAAATCGAGCCTCTGCTTTCTTATAGAACTGTTCCCATAACACGCTGTTCTTTTAAGAAAGAGAATGCAGGCCAGACTTGCTCCACACTGATGAAAAACAATTGAATAGAATTGCCGATGCATGGGTACATGGACGTAAGGAGAAAAACTAATAGCTGGGGATAAATTATTATTCGGCTCTTCGTCAACGTCTGGTTCGTGACTTCCTTTAAGAAATGTTGCAAATCACGAACGCCCGTGAGGCTTATTACGAAACCACGACCTTCATTGTATGTAGACACGAGGATATGAAAAGAAGTAAGCATCAACCATTCTGTAGTTCGTTATAAAAACAATTAAAATGCGGCATTAGGCGTGGCACCTATGCTTCTTTTTCTAATTGGCCTACCCTGAGGTGAGCGCCATGTCTTCTTGGCTTTGGGGAGATTGAAGTGGGTTCATTATAGGGGGTCCGATACCCGCCTAGCCGCGCCTCTCGGCTCCAACTCCGCATAGCCGCGCCTTTTTGCTCCAATATTCGCCGACCGTGATATTCTTGGCAACATACGTATTCACAGCGATGCCGTTAATCCACTTAAATTAGTCCAACTCCCCGTAATCCCAAAATATAAGAAACCCACATCGAGGGGGTGAATCTTTATCTCAAGTGCAAGGCACTTCATACATTTGATATCAATCATTTGCTAGTTACTCTTCCGTACTTCTGAATCAAAAGAAAGCCTGCATTAATGAACAAAGGTATGTAAATAAATCCACTTTAAATTCATCCAGGAATTGCAGTGCGTTGGTGACTTGCCTCGTTACAAGTGAAATTGTGGTCATGTCAAGGGTTGAACCCTGGATGCTTGGATTTGTGTCAGTAGAGTAACGGAGGTGTCTGGGGCCCTAACGAAAAGACAGAGACGGGGCCCCTATTTGCATAGTACATTATTCGGAGTACAACTTCGAATATTATGTACTTTAAAAAATAATGGACTTACTGCCAGCGAAAATCACCATTTTTTCGATTGCAATTGTGTCCTCTCTTTGAATGTGTGACCAAGCTGTAAAGCAATATGAATTTAGTGAGAGTACATGAATATAAATTGGGCTGGCGTTGCTTTTGTGTTATTGGAAGATTTGGACCCCGTTTATACTACAGAAGAAGAAAGGAACTCTTGGCTCCGTTCTTCTTTGGGCACGATATCACTTTTTTCATTGCGTTTACGCTTCAGCAAAAAATCGGAACTTTCATGTGAAGCATGGGCAGTGGTGCGGCAAAGACGTCTGACATTTTCAGAAAGCCTCGCCCTAACCTTTGATAAAACCCCGTTTTCAATCGTAACCAAAAACTTCCGTTTCTTACCGTTTACACTAGACGAAACAAGCACGATTCGGGAACGGAACCAAAGAGTTTCGCATTTTAGCAAATCCAAAGAAGAACGGAACCGTTCCCAAACTAACACGGAACCAAGATGTTTAGTGTAAACGCAAGGCCTATCGTCGCTTTTTCAGGCTTGGAACCAAAGAGTTCCGTTCTTTTTTCTGTAGTGTAAACGGGGCCTTGAACTCAGAAAAAGCAAATTCCCAAACAAAATTATCGTTAAAAATTTTATTTAAACAATGATTTTCCAGATGCAAAATATGTTTCGGTAGCAGTACGGGAAAAACGTTTATAATTCAAGGTATCTCTTTATGATGCACTTGAAAGGCATTGCTCCTGTAACAGCAGTTGATATGTAAGGGGTATTAATACTATAAAGTCGATGTACAAACCCTTTTAATCGATAAATGCATTCACAAGTGCTTTGATAGCTGGTCCTATATAAAAAAGCAGCCAGCATAACCTTTCCGATCTTTCATTTACATCACTAGAAATAATTTTATGAGAGATAGGTATTAAACAACAACGCTAGTACATTCTGAAAACACCTCAGGTTTCAATTCTTTTTGGTGTTTTACTAAGGCCTTATCTGCGTGCTAACTAGGGGTGGGCTTTCCTATCCCAGGGACACATCTGTTGTTTCGGCAGTAGTTCATTGTGGCTTTTGAAAACAAAAAGGGGCGACTCCAAAATCCCAGCTTAAATTGCGCAAAAGTACCACAACTGACACCCTTGAGGATTGTCACTTTAAACGACTTAATTTGCTTTTTACTAAGCATCATCAAATGCAAAATATTAAAAGACCTTGATCTCGATATATCTACATTATGGAATTTTATTAAGTATTGGACAGATCTGGTAGCTTACATAACAACATCAAAATACACCATTTTAGAAGGCCTGCTATCTTTATTTTCCCAAAATTGATACCCACATTTCCTGAGCATTTACATGGCAAGAACAGCCTTTGCCTCACACGATACATCTTTTGGAAGTTGGTTATGTTGAAAACATTCGTTTTTGATTGTTTTTGTATACATCGGCAAAATGAAGGTTTTAAAACATGCGATTTGAAAACGTAACTCTCTATGAAGGTCTCGAAACCTTTGTGTTCAATTCGTTTTGGCACTTTTGAAAGGGTTAGTTAAAAATATATTGTGTTCAACTAGGGGCCTAGATGGATCTAGACAGAGCTGGCATTCACACAACAATAGGAAAAATCGCGGCACCGCATTCACCATTATCAAATGCAAACATTCCAGCCTCCAGAAATTGGGTCGTTTTGTATTTCCAGGTGTTATTTCGTGCCTGAAAACAACCGCCTCTTCAACTTTTTTAAGCTCGTTCAAAAATTGCTTTGGGTGTTCGTTAACGTCGAAAGGTTGTGCGATGAACGCTATGACAAGCCTCTCATTTCATTTCATAGGGTTGAAATCGTAAAGTTAGTTGCATGAGGCTATCTACGGTTGGCTGTTGCAGCATAAGAAGAAAATTAAAATCTAACAAACCTTTGTAACAAAATAAAGTGCGACATAAAATCAAAGACAATAGAAGCAGAAATATCCACTGACATCCTTTCCAAGGTAATTTGTGAGGTACTTTCTAATTCTAAGGTTTGATTTGCTTTCGTGCTTATGTTCCTAAGGAAACACAGTAAATGTACCGAAATCAGTTAATGCATAGTTAGAAAACACCTGCATGAAAAGTGACATTTATTCATTTCTTCGTCTACCAAAGCAACCTAACAAAAGACCGATGCTGAAAGATGCCTACTACTTGTGATGTTTATAATAACAACAAACTGTGGCAAGCTACAAAAAAGATTAATACAAGTTTGGTAAGAAATGTGGTGTTCAAAAAGTACAGGTGGCCTTTTTCTAATTAGATCAATGGCCAAAGACGATGAACCTATTTGAATTGTCAAACGCATCAGTTCCATAGTAACTCGATTTGGAGAGAAATGGCAACCCCTAAACCCAAACCTAAACATCACGCGTCAACCTAAACAAACGGGTGGCTAACATCAAACTAAAAAAAGAAACACATGGCGTGACAATAATGCAGTAAAACTAATTCATAAGAGCAATAAAATCAAGACATAACAAAAAATAAAAATCTAGGCTTCGTAGAGTAAGTCATTCAGAAAAAATAACAGTTATCAAAATTCGATGCGAGTTGGGAAATTTGAATTATAAAAAGAAAAATACTATCTGAACGAGGGGGCCACACATAATTTGATCGAAGAACAGAACAAAAAAGACGACAGTGAAAATTAACGAGGAAATTATTTCCATGAAAATGGTAAAATCATTTATAATATAAAGATACTATCAAAATACTGTTATCACCAAGTTCTATTAATTGGGTTTTCCCCATTACAGCTTCTGCAAGAGATCTTTATGTACCACGGTTTTCCAAATCTTTAACTTTGTAGATTCTAACAAGCCAGTGCTCAGTTGTGTAAGCTTCTTCCAAAACATCTAATTCGAATTCCTGTCATGAAGTAAAGAAAACATCAGACATCGAGAGAGAAAGAAGTTCATTGCCTATGGCACATATTGCCGTAAAAGAGATGTCCTTCTAACTTGACAAGCAAGACCCGATACAAGGAAGGAAAAAAGATTGATCAAGCATTCAACAGAAATGAATATTCTTAAGGTATGTATAATACAAAGGAGTTTTACAGACTGACTGGAAATTACATATCTAAATATAACCTATTAATTTACTTTATCTGATTGTCCAATCTGATAAATTTTTCATTAATCATTTATAGTATATTAATTTTATCAAAGTTAACTGGATTTCGAATTTGTTATTAGTTTTTCGGTAGAACGTTACAGCTCAGTTGCAAGAACTTGTTCAGTTCCATCTTAGCCTTCGGGCAACTTCTATTCACAAAATGAAAGCCATAATGTCTGACTTATCGATTATATTAATAAAGAAACTAGCTTTGGTTTTGCTAGTATGACAATAGTTTGTTTTCCGTTTCAGAGAGATTCTACCAGTTAAAAGTATTTTGTCAAAAAACAGTTAATATTGACCTTGTTTCCAATTTCCACATTGCGAACTCGGTCATATCCGCTTGGCTTTCCTGGAAAACAAAAACGTTGGAAAATTAAACAGGAATACACCAAAAAGCGGAAGCTTCTATAAGCCAGACCATACGTAATGCAAAACTTCTGCGAATTTCAAGGATTTGGTTACTTAAACAATGAAACATTCTAAGTGGAGATAAAATCCTTGCCAAAATCTCTCGAAAACACATCAAGCCGCTATTTGTAATTTTCAGGGTCACCCAACTGCCAACACCACAGACTCGACCTCTCCCAACTACGCAAATGCCGTTTGTCAAGTTTCTACCCTCTGAAAACCACTGAACTTTGAACACTAACAGTCATGTTTTAAAGGGTTTTTCTAGAAATTGACCTGACAGTTAATTTTGGTTTACTTAAATTTGTCAAACGCTCTTCAGAATTACAGACACCAAAATTTCCATTATCACACGGAAGCCACATAGACCCTTTCAGAGAAGCCTTTATTGTAGCCTAAACGAAACATTGGCCTAATTCCCCAAATACAAACCAAATAGCAATATATTATCAAAATGGATACCTTGCTCTGTGTAAACAGCGCCGAATCGATAGTAGCACATTTTGTACATCAAACAATTCAACAGCACAGGGGACCCTTCCTTGTCAACTCTGAATTCACCAGATGATGTGTAGTAGTCTTGCTCCTTAATATGTTTGCCCTTTTCTGTGCTGCCTCCAATTCGCACCATCCACAGGAACTTGTTGATGTCTTTGGGAAAGAAAAGAGGTGTTTAACATTATGAAATAGGCTGAGGGACCATTCCCCACACAACACAATGTATTATCTTGGCAATGTTGTTAGAATATGGAGTTAATGGAGTACACACTGATTTAAATCAGTATACGCTTATACATGCCCGCTGTTAATCAAATCTCGTACATCGTATAGAAAGAGCATTGGTGTATAGAATAGGATGAATGCATCAGTGTGACCATCTAATATAACGGCCTTGCAAGTACAGTATTGAATATATGACCCGAAAACATAACGAATTACAGTCGTTATTTCCAACACATTATTTCAGCAGTTTGATTTGAAGACTGTTATCACCGGGCACTAGCAGCTTATTATGTTTTCTCTATGATTTCCCAAAATAAGCGCTACATTTTGAGGTAATTAAAGAAAAAGGCTCGAAACGCGGTGAGATAAAGACACAGAACCATATGCTTGGATCATCTGATAAATTGACTGCAAAGAGTCAAAAATAGCAACAATGATAAAGTAGTAGGACAGGAATTGTTACTAAGATTATGAGTTCGTTTTTCGTTTCAAGATACAAGTGGCATGTACAATAATTCAAGATTTTATTTTTGCGTATGTTGTTTTCCATCACAATGAAGCAATCATATTTGATCGCTGGTCGCAGCAGTTTCATTTCATCGCGGAAGACTTTTAGAATGAAAAAACGTGCAGGGTATACTAATGAATGAGCCAATTTCTTCCTATTTAATAGAAGGTTTAGGTTACGAAGGAGAAAAAACACAAGGTGGTTTCTGAGGACATACTGTTAGTACTTTTGAGAATTCACGAAAAACAGTTTCTAAGAACAACTGACAGTTAACTTAATTTTATCGAACTGGGCAAAAAATTCCACAGGCATGTATTTGCAGTACTTCTGGTAGCAGGCAGGGTGAAACTTATGCAGCCATGAGGAAAGAATGCCTAAATTTCAATGCAAAGTGCCCTACGAATCGCAGAAGGTCCTCAGGATTTTGTTTAAAAGAAAAAAGAGAGGCTCGCTTGCCAAGTTAGAAGCCCCGCAGAGGTGATCTTCAATATGAGAAGGGGAGAGAATTGTTTCACAAGAAAAAACGGCTAGATACGGAAATCTTACATTAAAGAGACTTTCAGAAAGACTTCGGATATTTTTAAGAGACTATACACTTCCTAAAAACATAAACAAACATTATCCTAAAAACAATATTCCGAATTCTGTGAATATCTTGATGTTGCCAGTACGCTGATTCTATGAATGATTTTGGTTCGTTTTCTAGAGTCTAGTCCGTCTTTGTCGTCTTTGTTGTTCTCGCTCAAGTTGGAAATAGCTACGTTTGACAGGTTATAATATTAAGCACGAGCCTTGAAACGCACAGGAATATGTTGGTTTTGTATCAAGCAACACCGGAAACTTGGCGTACCATTTACTCAAAACTGGTTTAGCAGAATGAATAATTGAGCCATAGCCGAATTAGTATACGTGTGATAATAGTTTGAGACACTGTTAAACGAATTAGTCAATGTTATCTGGCTACGGTAGAGTTAAATGCTGCGAAAATTCTCACCATCTGATGCATATCCGACAAGGCCACCAAATATAACGAGAACGTAGTCGACATCAAGCTCTCTCATTATCTCATACGCTTTATCTTCTGTCGAAGACATGGCCTAAAATGAACACAATATGATCAACAAAATCCTACGCTCAATTTCGGTGGAATCTGTGAAGCAAATTCAACCGATTTCAAGGATTGATGACTACTCAGCGCATCTAAGGTTTAATTCAAATAACTGAACGAGTTGTGGCTGTTACTAGCAGCTCCTGACATAGGTTCGTAGTTTTAATGTTTTCTTCCGTATAAGCTCCGTTATTTTGTTTATGAAGAACCGTTGAGTATTCGGCCTTTTTCACGAAAAGATATAGACTCTGTGCAGGCCCTGGGGCAAAAGCGAAAGACGAGGCCCACTGAAAACTTTTGCGACCACACCCTTCAGGTTAGTTTAAAATGCACTTCAGAATATTTCTTGCAATCATTTAGAACACTTTGAAGGCTAAGTTTGATTTATTCAATTGTTAAAATAGAATTCATTACTTTATGAGACCCCCTAGACCTCGAAGATCTGAGGCAATTTGCTCCCATTCTCCCCCTCTCGGTGACCCTGTCTCTGTATTGTGAAATAAAAAAGCAGACAGGGATGACATGTCTAGAAGAAGGATATGCAAATGGCCGCCCCGTTTTCAGAAATTCCCGGAGTTTTAATGTAGTTTGGATTTTTTTATGCTTGTTTACCTAGAAATTTGAAAAAAAACAGACAAGTGGACACACATCCTTACAGTAAAAACGTACGATAATAACTGAAGGCAAGAAGGAATTTTAATCCAAGTAATGTAAAACAAAGAATGACGTATTTTATAGCTTCTTTATTCTGACCTACGGCGCATAGACCCACCGGCTTTATAAGGAAATACCAACTATCTGTTCATCTTAAAAAAGGTACCACGGCGCTCTAGTAGGGTGGCTTGTGAATATTTTACTAAAAAATAAACTTCAGGAAACAATCGGGGAAAAAAGATTAAGCTAAATAAATGAGCAAAATGCGAGCGGATATTGCGAATTACCTGGCCGACTCTGGAAATATGAGTGTTGTTCCATGTGTTGTTATCAACGAGAATTGTCCTATTTGCCATTGCAGTGATTTGGTAACCATAATCCCACCACGACATCACTTTTGCATCCTGGAGAGAAAGTTGAATTTACCAGCGGATGTACATTTAGAGTCTGGTTCACATCTGATCGCCCAAATCGTAATAGGTTAATTTAAAACAATGACAGTACCTTAATAACGGCAGCAACAAAATGAAGAATTTAGAAAATGGGGAAGGATTCTTAAGCTATTTGACGCAAAAAGGAACTGCCTAAATTTTCTAATCAAGCAGTGTTGTCAATGGTTCAAAGATGTATTCATTCACAAACAACTGAAACTGACATCATGGTAGTGAGCGAAAACACAAAAGACATACTGTTCTGTCCTAGCTAAAAAAACCTGAATTCACCAAAACATGTTTTCTTGATACTCACTTGGCTGTAAATAACGCCTACCCTTTACAGTCGAAGCTACGTATAAACTTACTGGAAAAGTTTAAAGAAAATTTTATACACTAAACATTTAATACACAATTGATTAGGGAGAGCCCATTTTACCTCCGGAGTATTTTGCCTCAGCCAGTAATATGCCTCTCTGAAATCATCGAAAATTATTCTTGATCCATCATGTTGCCTTGCAGATAAAACGATTGATGGGGATGAATATGCCTCTGACGTCACCTGTAAAATTACAAAGCAAGAACATTCAGGAGATTAAGTAATGAATAAGACTGGCCTTAAGCATTAACAGGGTTGTTCCTACAGCTCTATGCTAATTTTAGCCTGTATAACTCAACCAAAACAGACACGGCTGCCTTGCTATTACCCAGTAATGTAGATAGGAGAATTCATAGGAGGGGCGAGAAGTTGAGATTCTCCAACAAAAATCTATAAGCGTTGTTATTTTTCATAAATTTGAACACAGCCGAACTACATTAGAACAGGATAGAGTAAAAATGTTTGCCGTCGCCGTGCAAAAGGCTTTGGCGTCTGCAAGCTACGGTTAGAGGGCGACGCGCGATATATTTCCCGCCAACCGACCATGCGAACTTTGATTGCGATTCAGTCTTCCTGGGAGTGCAATTTGCATCGGTGTGGGTTCACCACAGGCACAAAAGTCATTGATCATGGCGGTATGAAGCAGAAGCTTGACCAGTTTTACAGTGCAAGTAAACCCCAATTACTGCCTTTTTTACTGAGAAAGAGTTCAAGATTTAGAGTAATCAAATCTAAAAAACGGCACCATGCCGCACGCTGGTTTTTTTATTGATTGATTTTCACGACCCAAGAAATAAGATGAAATTGGTCGGTATACCCGGAAAATTCGTACATTTTTATAATTTTACTGCGAAGAGACCTCACTTTAGCATTGTCGAAGTATGGGGGCAATTAGCTGGCAAGTTAAAACCGCAAAATATTTTAGGATATGCAGTAGATTTATGAAAGCTTTTAACTAAACTAGATTGGCTTTGAATGCAAGTAGTTGTTTCTACCTGGATTTTGAAATCGCTCTGGCATTTTTTGTACATTAAAAAAAATTAAACAAAAACAACACGGGGCAAGGTCAAAGTGGGAAACCATGTTCCACAATTTTAAAAAGGATCGTGAAAATTTTCCAACATGCCGCATCATGAACTTTTGTAAATTTGTAGAAAAAAGTTCAAATTTGTTAAATATCGCCTTCAGCGCTGGATGATTTGTGAACACTTTGAAATTTACTTTTCAAATTGTAAATATTTCCTTCTTTGCTCAATAGGTCTAGGCATAGAATATTTTCGTCTGGCAGTGTAGCATAGAGAAATAACGTATTTTTTATGACATTCTTAAATTTTGACAGGGCCCTTGTTGATAACAGTACTTTTTGTATTGATAAGGTTATCCTGTATAAGCAAGTATATTATTATTACATTATTATAAGAAATAGTATTTTCTAAGCCTTAACTTAATGCTATAAATGTACCCTATGTAGATAAATTATCTAACGGACTCCAAAAAATTGAACTAGAAAAAAGATTCGAAATCGAGTTTGTTTTCTAATATCTTTTAATATCATTCTAATCGGGACAGAGCGACACAGCTTTCGCGGGAAGCCAAATCATGTCAGTATGCGTACGCATAAAAACATTTTAGCTGTATGTTCGTTGGAATAGGAATAGAACAAAAGACAAACATTTATAATTTATTTAAGTCAGGTGTCAAAAATTATACTACTTGAAGAATTTCTGGTCTTCTCCTCTAAAAAGGGCATTTTAAAGTACCATACCTAATTGCAAAAGATTGCTAACCTGATTCAGGACAACGCGAGTGATCACTTAATTAACCTTTAAAATTTTTGGATATAATATAGTATAATAGATATAATATCAGTAAGTTTTCTGACAAAATAGCTGCCTAGCTTTACAGAAAAGGGGGGATGGGGCTCGCTTCCTCTGACTCTCCTTTATCTACAATAGTGCAATTTCCATTGTCAGTAGCATAACAAGTGATAGTTTCAAACATTTTTAAAATGCATCTAATTTAGCTTTTGCGACGCGAACTCTTACCCAGGTGCAATGGAAAGCGTATGTTATGAGAAAGAATGTCATCAACATGACCATGCCGATGGAGACTTCATTCTTGATCGGATATGATGTGTCGGCCATCTTTCTTGATTTCTTATCAGTCACTGGCTTCGGGGTCAACTCGACATTCTGTAACATTTGAAAGAAAAGGGATATTAAATTTCGATTACACAATTAAGCTATCTATTAAAACTCGCAATTCTTTAAAAAGGAGGAAAGACATTTATCAATTCATGGTGCGTTGTTAGAATTGTGGCAAGCTGATAAGACAGAAAATGAAAAATACTAAGAAAAATGAAGTAATAACCACTTTCCAATCAGATAAAAAATTGTTTGTACCCAAACTTTATCTTGGAAAGTATGTCTTATCAAGGAAAAACCAGACAACATATCCTTAAACAAAATCAAATTTATGCTTTTACTACATAATTTAATGATGTATTCAAATTAACAACTACCTTCATGTATGTGGAAAGGATTGATGAGATACCAATTCCTGAAAGGACGCAAGCAACTGGTGCCAAAACCAACATCAAACGCACCATGACACCCTGCAAACAGAGGATATCGTTACAGCAAACTTTGTATGCTATATGACTGTATGACTGTAGAATACAATTAAGAGTTCTCCTCCCCAGTACTGGGAGAAGCAGCGCCTGGAAAACTCTGCAAACTGTTCACAATAATTTGGCTCTAAGGTGATCTGTTATTAACTAAAGTTGAGTAAAGGTTATTCGTCGTGTAGAAGATCTGAAAAACCAGAAGAAATCACATCCAAAAAAATTCATCCAATCACATGTTTTTACAAGAAGAAATGTTTCTCTGTTAACTATTTAAGCTTTGAGCTAGAAGAAAGAATACATATTGATTATTATCTTATTCTTATAAACTATTACAACACGAATATAACAACACTAAGAGAGGTTGAAAGTTTCTAAACTAGATATTGTACGTGTTCCTTACCGCGAAGTACACACTTGTAATTCCATACATAACGATGAAAATATTTGCATCCGTGAGCTTACTGAAACAATAGTAAAGGCCAACAGGGAACATAAAGACGTGAAGCTGTAGATCAAAATAGAATGAGCACCAAGTTGTGGGCTGATGTTCAGAAACTGATGCGATGATGGGGATGTTGTTCTTCGCATAAGATGGATCGAGCAGAGAGTAGAACCTTCCAGTCCAGGGTGAAACTTTGCCTGTTATTGTGAGAATAACGCCAAGAACAGTGGCTATAGCCAAGCCAATCAGCATCAAGCTTTTAAAGAGGATTTGGAAGTAAGGCCCAGTCAGACGGTATCTCAAGTAGTCGATGAAGGCGTAGATTTGACACAGACCAAAGACACCGAATGCCTAAGAAAGGAGATAATGAATTGCAGAATAGCTAGTGCTACAAACGTTAAGGGCGATGAGAAGCCTTTTCAATAAAAGCCTTTCCATAAAAAAATTGCTGTTGGAATCACTTTTACTTTCCTAACTGTTAACGTCACAACACATAACCCCGAGAGAAATTCTAAGCATATTTTGAAGAAATAACGGATATTTTTAAAAGAAAACTTTAATTCTAAAACTTTCTGATTGTCCTATGTCGATGCAAAACTTGGCATACATACTTCCTCGCTTAGTATTTTTTATCTATGTTCTCACGTTTTGAACTTTAAGTTGTGTCAGACAAAAAGCTTAAAAAAAATTTCCTTCAAAAACGCAAGTTGATTATATTCCCATAAACCCCTTAATCTAAAGACAGATTGCGATTTTTTCCTCTTTTGTAGACGTTTTTGCCCTAAAAAGAGAATTTAAAGTCGATTGCAATAGTATGCTGTGTCTTTTTACAATAATATATTATGTGCGTGTAATAAGATGAACACGCTCAAAGTTTGTAACAGACAAAAATTGCGTAGCGTCAGATGTTACCACAAAGAATGCAATGATACTTACTGCCATGTGTTCACTAGACTGGACAGGCTGGAATCCTACAAATGATATCTGCATAGACAATATTGTGCCTAGACAATAAACCTGAAAGGTAAGAATATCAAAACTCAAAAATATTCAAATATTTTCAAATATATACTTACACATATTCAAATATTTTAAGATGATTTCTAGAACGAAATAATGCTGGATATAATGGAGAAAAATGTCTCCACATATCAATTAATATAAAGCTTTCAATTATGAAATCCTTGAGACAACAGATAAGTAATTCTGAATCACGCAGTGTTTTAATAAATATTATAAACGGATCTCAAATTAAGAGAGGTTTTCAAGAGAAGGTCATCTTTTGGCAATAAACAGTTTTGTCACAAATTCTAAACGATTTGGTAATGCCTCATAAAAGTGATCAATGTGCACCTTTCTATGATCGACAATGAAACGCGTCACAGGCTTTCTTGAATTGTTGTTCTACTGTATAAATGTCAATCAATGGGAAACTTTACTTCCAATTTTTAACTTTCACTGTTTTCTAACAATGAAACTAATTGGCCTACATAGCATCAGCTGCTGCAGCCTATCCAAAGACAATGTTTCATTTACACATATGTCATTAAAAACAAAACTTTGAAGCAAGAGAACAAAAGAGTTTGTACCGTGCTGTATGCGACGTAAATTCGATGTGAAAATCTTCCAGTCACCATGAGAATGAGCACGTGCAATGGAATTAAGTTGATCAAGAAAACATATCCTCCCCATGAAGAAACCTAGAATAAAATGGGTAAATGTCTTGTTATATACTGCTTGTAGGAAGTTATATACTTCTTGATAGACTTTTGTTGAATTTGGCAGAAATAATCTAATAATAAAAACAGAGATAGAGACAAATTCACCTGATTGCTACGTGTTTATACATTGTTAGTTGTTCCTTCAAAATTTCAGAGAGTTCTTAGTCAATGAATTTCGAAATACTTGTGTCATCACTTCTCACTAATTATGGAAAAATTTCACAAGAAATTTTTTATGTTTTAAATTGATAGGTATGCCAATGAATTCAAAAAGGATCAACTGTAAAAAATTGTATAGGGCCTTGAAAGGCAGTTTTCAGGGGGTTTTTAAAAATGAAGAAACAACTTACAGTAAACTGTTTAAGGTTGTTTTTTACCAATATAACTGAATAAGTTATCAAGAAGTTGCAGTAATTGTAAGAACAGTAGCTTTACTAAAAAATTCTTTGTTATACTTTTTCCGCTAAAAATATTATATTTGTTTGGGTATCTCTAAAAAATTTCTTTATTTTCGTAAAAAACTATTTTTTATATATAAACATATTTTATTTCACATTTTTTATATATTTATATATAACTATTTCATATATTTATATAAGAAACTATTTTTATGGTGGTCTTGACATGAAGTCAAGGAAGTAAACTCATGATGTGTATGCATAGTGAGTTTCAGTCTCATTTGGATCACTTTCTGCAAGTCTACTGCCAACTTAGCTGCTCATCCTTTTGAGATTTGTAAATAAGTGCAAATGGGGTTCTGCTCTAGAATTCAATATGGGAAATAAGCTGCAGGTCTATAACAGCTAGCACAAATAAACAAAAACAGAAGGTCGCACAAGCCTGACCTGCATTAAAAAATAAATCTGCATGTTTGCATGCTTTCATAAAGCTGAAAGTATCATCAACTGATATCAGGGTCACTTACCATATAAAAGTAAGCAAGTGCACAGAGTGATGACCAAGCAAGTGATCCTGTCTTGACAGATTTAACCCAAAGAAGATATGTCAACAACATGCAAAAGATGGCAATGCCTTCATTATCATAAGAACCGGCGACTGATCTTGAGATGTAGCCTACAAAATATTAAGAAAACAAATAAATTTTTTGGGATCAATATGAAAGTTACCTGATGATCCCATTAAACATGAAAATTCTACATATCAAAGTATGTACAGCTCTGTCTAGGCAACTCAAGTTTCAATTCAAAAGGAATGATAAACGGGTTCAAGTTTTTACTAAACCATGAGGGTATCCATATACGTTTTTCTAAATCAGCAGCCAAGACTATAGCAGAAATGGGAGCAAAACTGTGTTCTTGTATACACTCTTCACATGTAAAGCTTTGAAAAAAATCAGCTTCTTTTTAAAACCCTCAACAATATCTGAGTATCTCTGATAAGAATGGGTTTTGATTGGAAAAGCAATTGGAAAAGGTTTTAACAATTCTTTATAAAATATATATGGTTGTAACAATGTAAACTTAATTTTTTTGAAGATGATAAAAGGCCTGATTTTGTTGTCAAACACAAATGGCTTAGCTTACTCAAATAATCAAGAACATCAATAACTACACAGAGCTTTAATAGCAGTTTGTGCTACCATCCCTCCTAGACTCACACCACCACTACTGTTTAGGGTGGCTTCTCTTCAAAACATCGACTGCTTTCAACTGGCAGAAAACATTTGCAGATGGACAAGAAATAGAAATGTAGCAAATATGAAACACCGCAATACGCCGAGAATAAACAACAATAAAAACACGTAAATCAGTAAAGGCTAATATTTTGCCCCAGCATACGGGGCTTCATCAGAGCAAAAAAAAGAAATAGAAAATATCATGTGAAGATTACCTGGAACAATTGCAATCATAGAAGCGGCAATCAAACCAGCACCAGCATCCTGAAAGATAAACACGAAAATCTGAATCATTTCTTTGAAAAATGTCACATTTGCCTTTGAATAGCAAATCAGCACTGGCTGAAATGTGATTCATTTATGGTAGATAGCACAGCTGTTTATAAAATGATCCAATTCATTTTGAGCGAATAAAGTCCATCTATCATTAGCAAATGATTACATCTTATTGAGAAGTGCAAATTGGTTCATGCGAAAAATCATATTTTCTCCTAAAAAGATCAAACATATACAAAGTATCAATAATGTAAGATCAAACATATACAAAGTATCAATAATGTATATATATATATATACAATATATGAGAATATCTTCCTCAGGATGAAAGAACATAACTAAAAGAGAACACAAAAAACTGATAGATATAATTTTACAACAAAATTCAAATAGGGGAGGTAATATACAAAAGAGATGGAACCATTTTATTTTTCAACAAGTTTATAACCATGTATGGGTCATAGTTGATGAATAAACAAAACTTTTTATAATCGTGACCAATACCTTTAATTCCTTGGTCAGAAAGTAGGTGACAATAACAGTGAGTGATGAGAAGAATGGTGCCAAAAACACACACACATTCCTGACTTCAATCGTGATATTAAGGAAGTGCATGATGTGATAGAAAACAGCTGATGTCACCATCAATCCTGCAAAATAAAATTACAGGACTTAGAGTTTGATCAAAATTTAACTTAAGCAATATATCAGAAGTTTGTTTTTACTGCCAGTATAGTTTTATCTATGACCATGAGAACAAACCAAAACTCAGATTTTGGGATGGTTGGAGGGTCATGGTAGCCAACCAGTGTGACCAGATCTAGAATAATATAATGCTTTCAGCATAATATTGACCAAAAATCGTCATTTAGCATAAAATCTAGCATAATTTGGAATCTAGCATAACTCTGGCTCTAGTTTTTAAAAAATCGCTGTTTCCATTGATCTGTTGTCTATCACCACCAAAAGGAAACACTTTACACAAGAATGTGTGACTTTCCACTTTCAATGTTTAGCCAGTTGTTTGGAACGGTTGGCAGCCAAATATTTTATGGTTGGCAGCCAAATTCAGCCAGCTAAATTCAGTACACAAAAAAGCTAAATTTTTGACAATTGCGGGGAATGATAGTGTAATCAAAATTTGATTTGTAGGTTAGAAAGCTTTCATTTACTTTTATCTTACATTGTCTGTTATCTTTTACGTTGTTTCGTGTTTCTTTATTTGCAATTTTGAAATCATTCTAAAACAAATTTGAATATCATCTATGTAAAAAATTTATTTTCCTTTGCATTTTTTGTGATTTTTTGCAACATGCTGCCAGAATTCTGCCAACTTTTGCTTCTTCGGCCAAATCAATTTATGATGGCCAAGGGGTTGAGAAATTTGGATGTCAAAACCATTAATCTAAATTGCCTTTTTGTGTAGAAAAGATGGCAATTTTGAGTACACTGTGTTTTAGATTGGATGTCAAAAAGGCCAAATGGAAACTTTGGTCACTTTTGATATTCTGAGCATCATCTAGCCTCTTTTACAAGCAGGGGTGCCTTGATTTGAAATTTAGCATAATTTTTGCAAATCTAGCATTATTTTATGACAAATTTGGCATAATTCCAAAATTGAGATCTGGTCACACTGTAGCCAATCTTCTGATAGAAGATGGTACCTGATGATGATAGAAGGATACAACTTTCAATGGGTTCATCACAGATCACATGGTTTATTAAATGAGACCAATAAACTAGGATTTGTTAAAAAACAGCATAAATTACAGATTAATCAAAGAAGTGTTGTTAAAACATCTTTCCTAATAATATATATCACTTGATTATAAGCTTTTTGATAAATTTGTATAGCTTTTTAAAACACAGTCACATCAATATCTGATGAACTTATTTCCATTTAATATGTAACCCTTATGATGGCAACAGTGATGATGACAGGCGTGGGGGCTGGCACTGACACAGTAGGTGTTAAAGTAAAAATGCAGAGAGGGGTTGCAACCTCTAAAATTGGTTTGCCAACAAAACAACCTACTCAATGAGAAGGGAGTCAGCAGTGTTGGCTTAAATTAACCTCACATTTGTTGGCAACCTTTCTTAAAACGATTGCTGCAAAACGTTGTTTCAAGTGTGTTTTGCCCCCCCCCCCTTTACACGAAGACTGTGCTCTTTAACAGCTCCACTTTACCATTACTTAACATGTGTATATGTGCTTCAGTCTTGGGAATGACTGATCTGTGTGGCTCTTGGAAATCAGGTTAGGGACCAGGAAGGGTTAGGTACCTGGAAACACAAAAATAAAAACTACATATAAAATTAAATGCTCCAATTTTTTAACATACCTGGATAAATTGTGCCTCCTATAATCCTTCCGAGTGGGTACCATGCTCTGTCATCAAACCAGTTATGAAACTGATAAAAGCCTTCTTCGGCCAAATATTTTGTAGTTCTGAAGTTGAAGTACCTATAACCAAAATGTTTGTGTTAAGGCAAAACAGTGGTAATGGAAGCTGTGAGAGTGCCAAAGCACAAATAAATACCAAACAATATCATACCATATACCCAGGCTTATAGTGCTTTAGAAGCTCAATCTCAATTATCAATGCCAAAAAGAGGAGGTGTTCCTACTTTCGCTGTTTTTTTTGCAACATTTTGCATTCCTCCAAAAGATGCTCTGAAGGCAATTTTTCTAAATATGTGAAACAGAGTACCTACAGTTTCTTAGGAGTTTCCTTTATGGAAACTTCATTTTAATTTGAGCTAGGCCTGAGCAATGTGCTTTTATATACTTTGAATTTAGCGTTATGAGAATTGCTGCTTTTCCTTAATGCTGAGAATTGCTACTGTTTATTTCTTTGATGGTTAATTACAGTTGGACTGAATTATCAGCAAACTTTAATGAAGGCAAAATATGACAGATAAAAACAAACATAAAATATATAATTGAAGATTGAATATAGATTGCCTTCACTTTGGACAATGACTTAGAATTTTGCAATTTCTAAATGCACTTAAAGATACATAAACACATACAAAGTTAAAACAAAAAACAAACTTACGGATCAAACTCATGAATAACACTTTCAAACCGCAACACAGAGAACAATCTTGTAGAAAATGCTGGAAAAAAGCATTCATATCATTAGATAAAGACTTTAATAAATTCAAAAAATCAAACCTTCTTGAGAAAAGACTTTTCTATAATTTTGATAGAAAACATTTTTTTTTGATAAATGGCTCCAGTGGCTAGAACAGCATTGAGGTGATTGGAGTCTCCAGTGACAACACTTTGTCACATGAGTATTTTATGCTTTCAAAGTAATCATCCAGTTTCTTTTTTAATCAGTTCAATGATTTGGCATTTACTTTTCTCCTGGAGGATGGTTCTTTCCATACAAAACCTTGACGCATAGACATGCTTTTTAACATTTGTGTTATAGCTTCGTTGCAGAATTTTTGTCGACAGAGAATGTGAAACTTAAAAGCCTTTCAAACTTCACATATGTAGATTCATCAAGAAGCAAAGCAGCTTGATAAGCTTTGCAAAATTAGCTCCACGAGATTACTTGACGTCCCAATATCATTTTGGGCCTAGGCGAAAAAGGATGAGGGGGTAATCAGATGAAAGCTCACGCAGCAATGCGCTTACCTCCTTGTAACTATATAAAGACAAAATACCTTTTAGTGAAAATCATTGAGCATGAATGGCGTTAGGCAATCGCAAATTTCCACTAGCGCATTTCAAATTACATTGTTATACTTATGAACAACAATAAACAAGGAGAGCGTAGGTAACACGTTACGTAAAGGTAGTACTCACAAAGAATAACTGCGATGGAAAGAATAATGAGCTTCAATGCCAAAACCTGTTTATCGTGAGATAGCTTTGGCAAGAAAGCTGGGAGCCGTATTCCACTGTCTGTTGCCTTCATGATTGAGCCTTCAAGACAGAACCTACTGTCCACTCTCAACCTCAGGTACAAAAGAAATCAAAAATGGCGTAAATTCAAGATGACCACGTACATGCCAGCCTCTGTTTGAATATACCAACGAGGTTTCCTCTCAGTCATAAACAAAGAACATGAGAAAACTGTTTTTCCAAACAAAACAAAAAAATAACAAAAACTCTGAAAAATATTTTAGACTTATGCAATGGTTAGCCATCATAAAAAATGGCAAACCAGTTTATCTACAGATATAGCATTTTAAATGTTACTTCATTTCTTATGGTTTGCACACCATCGTCAAATTAGGACCCTGTAAACGAGATTGGTGACAAATAACCTCAAAATTGATATTTTCAAAAGAGAGAGATCCCCTTGACATGGATGACTTTCTCTTGTCACAAAATTCTTTATCAAAATGTCTATTTTCTCTCTAAATACTTTTTAAAGGCGAATTTTACACAAAAAATTACCAAACCTTAACCCCTTAACATCTGGTATCGATAAATAAGCACTCCATTGCAAAGAAGCTATCAGAAATATTAATGCAGCTGTGTCATCAGAGAGAGAATATGTAAACCAGATGCATATCCAATTTTGGTATTAACTTGTCACTACATGTAGAAGAGCTTGATCAATTCGTCTGTGACAATCTGATGTAGAAGATATCGTATTGATTCGATCAAAAGCTGAAGCAAATTGGGTTCATAGAAAAAATGTAAACCGCCCTTGATTCTAAGCCGCACCCACAGAATCATGCAGAAGTACTTGGTTTAAAGTGACGGACACAAAGTTGGATAAGAACCTGATTCTTACTGAAACCAAAATATCGACGATATACAGATTAGAAGTTCACTGAAGTTACTGAAATCAAAATATAGATTAGAAGTTCAATCAAAAACAATATCGTCCAACGTGGGATCATCAACAGCGTCCAGAAGATTTTTTCCGGGCCTCCTACATTACCACTCTCAGCTTCAAGGTAGTAGAAAAGGTTGACAGCACTTGGGTAAATAAAAGCTTACCTCGTTTATAAGCCACCTTTATTTTTAAGCCGCCCTTGATTAAAAACCGCAAACAAACGTGCCTTAAAATGATTATAAGCCGCGGCTTGTATTCTAATGTATATAGCATAGTGGAAATCAACTTGCCTTTGAGTCTCTCCATAAGCGTACGGCGGAATTTTTACAGGGGTTGGTGATAAGGAACTTCACATAGGAATATTTACATTACGAGTTCTTTTTCACCGAAATATCTAAAGTAAAAATAGTCAGTTGAGAGATCTAAAAGTTTGATCTAAGTTTCTCATAGATAAGGGCAGCAATGTATAATATTTTCCAATATTTTACTTAATATCATTTAAAATACTATTATTAACTCTTGAATTCGACTACAGTCAATAGAAATGTGAGTCCCGACCCTTTCTATGTCCAAATGTATCAATCATCGCATTCATGTCACTTTTCAAAACTTCTTTTGAAAATTTCCTCTCGATGCTAAGTAGTGCCATATTGCTCAGCCGTTCTTAGCCCATGGTTTATCTGAGATATGTTTCAACCGTCGAAGGCCACTGAATGACCGTTCAGCTTAGCAATGTTGCTTCATACAGGTATGGCAGTACTTGATGCAAACGTTCTTGAAACATCTTCTGGACAAGCATTGCTGCATTATTACCATAAGATTCAGAAGCGCTTTGCTTCTTGTAATTTTCAAAAACCATCTTATCATTTTTAAGCTACTCTTAGTCGATTTGATAATGCAACGATATTGACTCGTAACTTTCAGTCTTTGGGTTATTTGAAGATACCACGAATGTTCAACCAAATTGCCTAAAGTAAGTCCCATCACTTTCCAGGGTCATTTCTGCCCAACTATTTGCGGATAATTTTTGAAAATTTGCCCGACTGACATGGTTTTTCGAAAAACTGGGGGGGGGCTACCGCCCCCCAGCCCCCCGGTCCGTACGCTTATGAGTCTCTCGGACAAATGATTAGTGCAATTGGTAAGACATTTTTGCTGTTGCTAGTATTGGGTTAAATGCATCGGGAAAATTACAGAAAGTGTTTTAACTGTCCCCTGGTTGTAATTTTGCTGCTTGATTTGTTGGCAATATTTATTTGACTAAAGGTTGCATTTGATTTTTAGCTCTTGCATTATTTTATCAATTCTGAATTACTTTTGGCTAATAAGTTTGGCTAATTAGCGTTAAACGTTAAGTAAACACAACTCTGGAATTTGAAGAGCAGCGCAACTGTTGGTTAGCATTTTATGTTTGTATGGAATACAGTTAACAGCATGAGCAGAGAACCGGCTATCATAGGCCTAATAGCGAAAGATTTATGTTAAAAAGTGACAAAGACTCGAAAATTGTTTAATATACCAGGAATAAAGAAAGTAAAAGAGACAACTACAAAAGCCAACATAACATCCTTGCATATAATAAAAGAGGAAACTATTATAATTTGGTATTTCAGTAAACGTTAATAAACGGAAGATACACTATATGAGATAGGCAGCGTATTCTAATACGCCATAAATCTTGTCTCTTGTTAACTAAAGGTGGCTCGTTAATACCAGTCTTTATGTTTTAGCAATGACGACAACTCTTGCAGCAATTTTTCTTCATGTAATCAATGTATGCAGATGAGCGACAGTAACCAGCTCCAGCCCATGCACCACAATTTCTATTTTTGTCACCTGATCCACACAAATTGCAGCTCTTTCTGCAATTTGTCGACATATAACTTTTCCATTTTCCTGTACAGTAACCAGAATTGGCCCAATATCTACAATTTCCTTCTTTATCTTCACAACCTACAAAACCAAACGTAACGAATAATCAAATAACCCTATCATAAAGCATAGCTTTTTCTTTACAGCTTAAAGCTCCAAGTTTATGAAGAAAAATTATTGGTAAAAGACAATTGTTTTATTGCGTAAAAATGGGACTGAAGTTGTTTGTTAGCTAATTAAATTGCTCGAAATAAATTTTCAGAATTTCAAATACCTTTTTTCAAAAGTAAAATGCTGAGTTTTACACGTACATACAGAATGCAGAACGAGAAACAAGCAAAGTTCATGCTATTAACCAAAAATCAACCATTAGAGCAAAACCTCCAGGTGAGACGACCATATCGAGGTAACACAGACTAGAAGTCAGTTTCTTAGAAAAAACCACAAGCAGTTGTTCATGAAATCAAATGCATGTTTTTGGTACCGTTTAGAACTTCGAAAATCTCCTTAGGCCTATCATGCCACTCCGACAATCTCCTTAGGCCCATCATGCCACTCCAACAATCTCCTTAGGCCCTTAGCAATCAACAACAATCTGCTTAACTTAACCATTGACACTAGACTCGCTGAAGAGTTGACCAATATACACTCCATCTCGTCTATATAGTCACAGAACTTGAAATATATAATTTTCTTTCACTTTTCGTGTAAAAATATATTCTCTTTTAGTGCAACTTCAGAACGATGAACATACTAAAGGATACTCGCCAAAGTATTCACAATATAAATTATATAGCGACGAATAAAAGATTTCTGTTGTAAGAAACTTAGACGTCCTCAAGCTTCATGACATTAAGAGAACAGGATGGGTATAAGAGCAGACGAACCTGTTGGTACTGGTGGCTGTTCTGTGGGTTTTTGAGTCACTGGCGTATTTGTTGATCTTGGTTTTGGACTAGGTCTAGTCCCACCTACAGGGCAGTCCATGGCTGGGTCCGGTGGTGTTCCTTGAATTGCAATAAATGAGATTATTACATAATGTTTGTCTTGCATTCAGTAACTGCTCATCCTAATTAAGTGCCTTGTTTCATTCTAGCATCAACTAATAACTAATACCCAATTCAGCATCGCTCTATAGTGCTTCATCCTCTGGCAAATAAAAATGCATATTCTTCCATCTGCTATTATCGTTTACCCATTTCTCAAAATTTAAAGAGCAAGATATAGAGGAAAGGGCAATAATTGCCATTTCCTTCCTAAAAAGAGCAGAAGCATACCACAAGCCTTCTTTGCAAAATGGTTAGGCATCTGCATTTTAACTGGCTTTGATGTCAAGGTCAAAACATTATACTATTTATCTTTTTACCTTAAAAGCTTACTGTATGAGGGGCTCCAAAACCATATATCATTAAAGCCTCATATTGCTCACTAAAATGTTTACACGCACAGCATTCGTTGTTGCTGATTCAAATAGAACTTATATAAATGTGTGTGGTTGGAGCGAAAAACAAACTAACGTAAACTTAAGTAGGATGAAATTGATGCACATGAAAGCATTACCTTTGTAGCACCAATGATAGGTATTTTTACAGGGGAAAACTTCTTCCAGGACTCGATACAGTTCAGGATCATAGTTTTTTAACTTGCTTCTCGTGCTAATGCTGTTGTGAATACCATTGGGAGGGTCGACTGAAACATGGCAGTTGAAGAAGCTCTGTGCCCCTTCTGCAAAATACTCTCTTACTGTATCCATTGAGTACGTTCTTCTCCAGAGTCCCTTGCGTCTGGCATTGTTGTAACTTCGTAGAAGCTTTGCATACAAACCATCCAAGTCTCCATTGGGGCCACCTCTTATTGCAAGCTCCTATTAGAATTGAAGCTATTAGTGTTTTCACAAGCCATGATGCTGCTTAATTATACATTGTGGTTGAAAATGATCGAGAAGACATACAATTACTTCTAGAAGATGGATTTTTAGAAAAGGTACGAGTATAAGAGTCATTACTTCTATTAGATTGTTCCTGAATTTGAAAATACGATATTTTTGCATTGCTCAAAAGATTCTCTACAGATACATTATACAAGGCATGGATAGGAGAAATATTTGGCCACTTGAACCCCTTTGTCAACTTACTGCAACTGCATGTGCAGCTTCATGAAAGAAAATGTCGTCTCCATAGTAACGGTCCTGCCTTAGGCACAGAAGATTCTCCTCTCCTCCACAAGACACTGGGATATGGAGTGTTCCTCCGAGACCACGTGCACGTTGGTTCCACCACGCAGGTAGATGGCTGAACTCAGGGATCCGTGTCAATTCTGAAATTGATTTCACAGAAAGATGAATGCAACAAAGCATCAGAACCAGCTAGAATTACTGACTTTAAAAACGAGCATTCTTGTAGAAATTCAAAATTTTGATAATTAGTTCTAAGTTTTGGAAACATTATCCAAACTTGTTTACAATAACTTCAAGCACTTTAAAAGTATGGTATAAAAGTAAAGCATAAAGTGTAAAGTATACCTTGGTTCTTTCCAATAACTGCCACTCTGCCGTAATATTTATACATATTTTCTCTGATGTCGCTTCGATCCGCAAAAAGGAAACGAACGACGTAGCAAGCTCGCTTAACAGCTTCATCAGACACCACGGAGGAGGCTACCACTGGAATCCCATACGCATGTGTATACTTTGAATAAAACCTGTACCTAAAAACGAACAGAAGCATCGAATTTAAAGGCAACCGACAGATATCTACCTATAAGCGTGTATCACGCCCACTGATTGGCCAATGATTGATTGGCAGTTGGCTGAAGCCTCTTTAGTATTTGTTAATTGCCTTCAAGTTTAATGAATGAATCAATTGCCTTTAAGTAAAAAATTTTCAGTTTGAGTTTTGTATTATATCTACATGCTAGTTTGTGCCTTGATATAAAAAATATTTTGGGTAGAAAACAAAAAACTTTTCGACTACGCCCATGTTTGAGCGAACTTCCTCAGTATAAACATAAAGAATAGTAGCCTAAGCAAACAACCTTTGATTTTGAAGAAAAATGGAATCAACAGGTGATATAAAATTGCAAGAACCTACTAAAAGACGCAAATGAAAATTTCCTTTCGTTCATGAGAAATTGCCTTTAAGTAAAAAATTTTCAGTTTGAGTTTTGTATTATATCTACATGCTAGTTTGTGCCTTGATATAAAAAATATTTTGGGTAGAAAACAAAAAACTTTTCGACTACGCCCATGTTTGAGCGAACTTCCTCAGTATAAACATAAAGAATAGTAGCCTAAGCAAACAACCTTTGATTTTGAAGAAAAATGGAATCAACAGGTGATATAAAATTGCAAGAACCTACTAAAAGACGCAAATGAAAATTTCCTTTCGTTCATGAGAAATTCATTTACTCTAAGTACAAAAAGTTGATGAAAACCCGCTTGCCTCGTTATGAAAGTGAGATGTCTTGGGATTTGCTGGTCCACAATATCACATCTATGCGTTTTTGTAGCGCTCCCAGACCTCTTGGCGTACGCATAAGCACCTGAGTTTTGAGTCTGAAGTTCATTGAACACTTGTATTTTCACATTCTCGGGTACTTTTTCGTGTCTAGATACCGATTCTGTGAGAGATTAAGTAAGAAAAATTTCAGTACTTGATAAACTCATAGTCTTTATTAGACCAAAGTTAGTCTAGAATAACAGCTATTTTGAGTGGACTTGAATACACATTTCGAATGGGAAGCACAATAGCTTTTTGGCACCTGAAAAGATAACCAACAGTCTCGTTTCCGTCCCTTTATATTGCTCGACATATTCTACTCTTCCGGTGTCAAATTTTCAGTTTTACATTTGTTTCGACTTTCCCAATTTCTGCTGCTGTAACAGAACCCGTGATCAATTTTCTAAGGGTTAATCATATGGATTAATGCTCAAGCAAATACGTCATCATGTGGGTAGAAACACTCCCCATGTCGTCAATCTCTTGTGAACGACGTACATTGATGGTTACAATATTCCTTATCATACTGGATAATGGTTCCAAAGTTATATACAACACTTACTAAGGTTGTAGAAGTCTGCTCTTATGCGCTCTTTTCGTGATCCACAGCAAGCTGAAATGGTAAAAACAACACTCAAGCATTCATTGCTCTTAAACAGTGGGATTATGAAGAATTCTTGAATCTCAAAACAGCAAAATCATAGATGTCATTAAACTATGTACTTCCGCTATTTTCTAGCATTGGTAATCGGTTTTCATTGAAAATTGATGTTAAGAAAATAGAATGACTAAAACCAGGCTGTAAAAACAAAACAAAAAAATGAAATTTTGAAAGTTATTCATTGCCCTGTTTCACCACAGAATTAAAGTCTTTAAGTGATAACATTACCAAAAGCTTGCTACATAACCCACGCCATGAGACAAACAGCATAAATGAACTTTTCAAGAAACTGTACTTACCATGCGCTAAAACTAGAGCAATGCCAAGCAAAGCTTTGAATTCCATGACTTTCCTGGTTGAGAAAAGTTGCCACTTCCCTTTACCTGAAATATCTTATTCTACTGATACCCTAGAAGGTTTCGATGTTTATATCTAGCTCCGAAAATTCAGGGGGTTGCTGTTGTATTAGCATTGCTGTGATAATAGCAGTTATAGACTGAGTGCTTCGTACTGTCATGGGGAAAACGACGATGATAGTGATTAAAAAAGACTCTAATTACAGAATTCTGTGGCAACCCACATTGGCAACCCCCGGCGTCGCTAGGTGGGGGGCTGGTTGCTCCAGAAATAGAAATAGAAGAAAATAATAGTGCGATAAATCCTTTTACAGCATTGCCTTATTTCAAAGGAATTAGCCGGGGTCTATGGTGACCCATAAAGTAACGAATTCCATTTTAAGATTGAAATTAATTAAACGTAAAAAACCATGCCTTAAAAAAAGCAAAATGTTTGCAAAAAAGGACCGCAAGGAATATTCTGAAATGTACTTTAAGCTAGTCTAGAGGGCGTGGTTGCAAAAATTTTCTGCAAGGAAACCTCCTCTTTGGGTGTACCTAAGGCCCCCTACAACCTCTCGCTGGCCTTCCAATGTACCGCTAGCATAACGAGTGCTCTATAACATCATTACTGAGTCAGTGAGTCTGGTACCCAGGGTATAACATCATCGGCATAAAATATCGTTAAGCATTTCAGTGCGTTTTTCAAAGTTGGTTTTTTAGTCTAAAAATGTTATCAACTTGAGCCCCTTTACTTTGAATTTCTTGGCGCCGTCCCTGCAACCTATAGACTTTCTGTGAATGAGCAATTACCTGCCAGTTTTTGTGATTGGTAAATAGTTTGAATGATTTCATATACATGACATAGAGCCAAATGTAAGAGCATGGTAAGAAAATGGGTGTGGTTATGGGTTTCTAAAAGTTGCCTTCAGTAAAACCCTTCTCAAAACATTTTAGGATGGTACTGTAAAACCACTTAAAAAGGGGGTTTTACAAACGTGAGTTCGTAGGTTGTTCGCAGAAACGTACACGATGAATACGGCAAAAACTGTTATCCAATTCTCTATACACTTCTTCTAATTCATTAGTTCACGGCAAACGACTAAAAATATCTTAAATGGCTAACGGCGAAAATGTAACGGCAAACACAATTCTGCAAGCTAGCGACAAGGTACACTGAGTTCGACAAAGCTTACGGCAAGACTGAACCTAACTATAAAGCCACCCCTTTTATACCCTAAGAATAATACAATTTACAGCAGCTGGTGCAATTGCAGCGCAATGATGCAATTGTCATGTGATGTCCTGCAATGAATGGGAACCCTGTGTTCTAACAGTACCCTTTGCTACTCCCCTCTCTTACTAGCGCGTAAAACTAGTGGATAAATTTGAGGAGAAAGCTGAGAGAAGATCTTCATCTACTCCCCATCATCCTAGGCTCTGATATCCATGTTATCCCTCTCAAGGAGGTTTCAGATAATTCATTTAAAAAAATCAAAATGCATTTTTGTGGCACATGCCCCTTTCACTCACTGAGAAACCAGCATCAGAAACAAGAGACATACGGTAATTGAAAGCCCCAAAGATATCGTCCTCAATTTGGTTTAGCTGATAGGCAAATTGGTGAAAGTTAGGCGTTTCAAAAACTTTTGCAGGGATTTTGAGTTGGAACTTATGTTGCTGCTTTGCAACTTAATCAAACTGCCAGGTCACTGTTTGGAAGGGTTCGATGTTTAAATGTATCTGTACTGGTGCCCTTCCCTCTGACCAAAGCAGCATCTCTGCTTAAAAACCGAGAGTTGTATCGACAAAGAGCATTCCTTCAAGCAAACAGATGCTTGCCAAACAGGGTAAATGGCAAAAGAAAATGACTATCGTTAAAAATTTATCTAAATTAACTTAAAAGACCTAAAAGCCAGGAAGGCCATGAGTCGAATCCTAAAGTCCCAACTGGTGAATAATGAACTGCAATAGCATTAAGAACTCTGGAATAGGGGAGAGTAAGAGTATCTGTAGGTTTACAGGAGATACTCAGTGTAACATGATAGCCTAGTCAATTCATAAAGGCAGGTATTCGCGCATTTCAAGCTATACTTCCTTCGTTAATTTTTGCAAAAGTTTGTTTTCACTACATGCTTTCTTCTATTCTCCCACCCAAACTTTGCTTCAAATTCAATTTCTTTATCTTTTAATGCCTTGATGGAGAAACAATGCTTGCAAAATGAACGAATGAAGCCTTCTCCGGTCCCCAAGTTAGCTTGACTTAAGAGACCGTTGTTTGCCATATTATTTGGCTATGGAAAATAGAGCAAGTTAAGAAGGAGCAGATAGCAATGGGGAAAAGCATTGTATAATTTTACAATTTTAATGTATTTTTTCCATGTCCTCTCTCAAACCCAGTGCGGTCTGGTATAAATCGTCTTAGCTGAGAGAACATCTGTTTTTAGCTTTGTAGTGCCAGAGCAATGCCACGTCTTATAATTAGTAAGACTCAAATTCCCCTACCTCAGTGATCAGATCCTAATTAAGGTTTGCAATTGATATAGCGTGTGTTAAACAAAACATAAGAAATTACTTGAAATTTCGGGTTTTTTAAACCAGCACTCTAATTAAAGCAAGAAAACAAGATGCGAGACAAGCTTGTGAGCCCCCGGGTGTCATTTGACTTGCCTGGATTATTCAGCTGGTCGAAAAAGCGGAATGTGAAATAAGATATGCATCTTTTCCTGAAAAAACGTGAAAATGGAACGTACTTTCTCCCGATCGATTTTTCAGCTGTCAATGTTTATTCTAGAAAAGAAAATAAACAGAGTTAGAACAATTTTTAAGATACCTCGTCGTCAATAAATTATTGATTGTTCAAGGCACTGGAAAGTGCTAGCATTGTATAGTACATACCTTACGGTCCCTCCCTTGAAAAAGCCCCCCCCCCCGTCGAATAAGCTCCCACCCCAGAACTACAAATTGTCAATAAGCCTCCCTCTCGAATAAGCCCCCACTGCTACCGTAAATTCTCGAATTGGACCCCTCCATTTGATGATTGTTGCCATCTGAGGTTGCCTATATGGCGTTTTATTAAATTACCACAGCAAATTCATATTTTTGATGGTAATTAATTAAATGCTCATAACGAAATTCCTACTAAAATAAACGAGGTCTTTTCTTCACGTCTACAATAATTTCATAAGTCCCCCCTCTCATATAAGGCTCATATAAGCCCCCCCCCCCTCGAATAGGCCCACATCCAAAAATATCAAATTCGAGCTAATTCTAGAATTTACGATAGGCATTTGAAATACATTGATTAGCAACAAAAGTGACAATAAGAGAGTTAAGTGTACATCTTTAATTCAAGATGAATTCTGAATGCGGTTTGAAAACAAGCTTCTATTTCTCTATTGTATAAGCCAGAGGAGTGAGGCTTCACCAAAGTTGTGTGGACATGTCACTTGTACTTAGAGGCAGATTTAGGGGTAAATCCATAGGGGGGGTGGCATAATGAGAGAAAATTGGGGGCAACTGTTCTGAAGAATCCAATGAGTGTAGGGTCGATCATCAGTATTATAGGATATAATACAATACAAAAGATTTATTAAAGATATAAGCAAAAATTCCGATGGAAAAGTTTGTAGGGATGACCATATTTGCAAAAAAACGGCTTAGGCAAAATTGATTTTTGTTATTGGTTATTTGTTATCTACAAAATTTGTTGGTATGTCAAACAAGAATAATAAAGTTGTTGCCCTGTGGCAATTTTTTGAAGTCTTCGTAAAGGTTTTTATTATTTTTCACTCTCTTTGTCTTTGATTAGCGAAAAGTTTTAGGTTTCTGTCCCCTCTGTGACTTTCACATACACTTACCCTTTTCTCTCTCGCTAAATTTTTGATAAAATTATTAGCCTATCAGCACGAAAAAAAGCAACAAAATGTTACTTGATATTGACTTAATTTTCTACACGGGAGAATAACATCAACAGAGGATTGTTTTCACTTTGATAAAAAATAGCTCCCTTAGAAATAACATTGACCTCATGAAATTATGCATTGAGGCTACATGCCCTCATCACAGGGAGCAACGTTGGGCCGTTGGTGCATCGGCACAAGTACCCTGGGTACCAGGCTCACTCTATATAAAACAATAGAGACTCTCTTAATTTTTTTATATAGTGAGTCTGGCACCCACGGTACGGCACAAGTTGCTCCACCTTACTCCAAAAAATCCTCTGAACCTTAGAAATAGCTTGGTTAACTCACGTGCAAGCAGTTTTAAGTTCGGGTTAGGGAATGGAAAAGAAAAGATCACTTTTCCCTACTAGGGTGCCGATGCACCAGTTCTACCTTAGATTCCTAAGGTATGAGAGAAAAAAACAAAATATGACAAAAAGCCGGACTCATCCTAAACTGAAAAACAACAGGACCTTTTAAAGAATATTGTAGTGTAGGTAAGCTATAATTCCTAAGGAGGCAGTGGCGTGGTGGCAGGGGGGGCCAGGGGGGCCATGGCCCCCCTGAATAGGGGCGCAAATGGAGTTAAGGGGGCGCCAAAATTGTTTGCTTGTAATATTTGGCTAGTAACATCAAAAGTGATCGTACACGGGTAGAACACTTCGCTATAACTTGCTGTGAACAATCTAAAATAACGCGAGATTCTATAATCGAAGCACGTTGCGCTGCCATGACCCAATCAACATTTGTTTCATATGTTTTCGTTTTAACTATGTACGTGGCTTCATGTTTAGCACGCCAACTAACGAAGATTTCACGTATGCCAAAAATGTTTTTATTAGTTCGTACTCGGAACGCCAAAAAAGCCTGAGTGAACGCCACAGATCTTCGGGCCTAAGTACATGGAATGCACCCTGGCAATCAATACAGCAGCTTCTTGTTATTAACATCGATGTGAACCAAAGGTCACCCTTTCTTTCTTTTTCCAACGCATGAATCCTCCCTTCCCAAATTTTTTAAAAAAATAAAAAATCAATGTCTTTCTGAGCATCGTTGAACTGTCTATTCTGAGCGGTGTAGTGATTTGTTAAATTTTATTATGGGAGATACATTTTTAGCCATTCTAGAGGGCTTGATTTCAAAAATTTTCTTCCGCGTCGGACCCAACCATGGTGGGTCCTCCTTTGTCACTAAACTTTATCCTTAGCCCAACCCCAGATTCAATTTTGTGGCCGCCACCTCTGTCAGATTCAATGGTGCGATTCAATGCTCGAAACTTTCAAGTTGTTGAAAAAACTACTATTTAATAACTACTAAAGAATAACAAACTTGAACCATGTTTGTATATCATACATCATATATGCGATTACACGCTTATAAGCATATTCAAAATAGCTTGATATTTTACCGAACCACGATCGAGAAGGTCAAATGTTAGGATAACATAACTTTTCCATACATATTCGCATTTTTAGTCAAACTTTATTTATGAAATTTTGCATTCAAGTTGCAAAAATCGATTTCCCTTCTAGAAACACATGCTTTATATAACCACGATATTCTGTGACGATATATAGATAGGGCGCAAAAATTGACTTGGCCACCCCAGGGAAAACATAGCCACCCCGCCACTGTAAGGAGGGAGGGTACAGGAAAATAGAACAGCGCTGAAAAGTCTACCAAAAATCACGATAAGCCCCACCCAAACACTTGAATACCCTCATCGGAGCCAAGGGACCAACAATTCTGTGTAGACACTCAAAATATAGAACTTCTGCTGCCCTTTACCCCAAATGCATCGACAATGGCACACAAGGACCAACTACTAGAATGAAAGCATGATAAATGACACCCAAAGAGGAAAAAACAATTCGGATAAAAGTAAAACCCCAAGTAAATCAAATTCTACAGCATCCCTCGTGAAATTAACTCTCATAAAATTTCGTTTTATCCAGATTTTAAAACAAAAAACAAAACTCACAACTTTCAAAAAAACAAAACTCACAAGTTTCATATCATAGCCTCTTCTGCGGGGGAGAGAACTTCGCCTAAACGAGATCAGACGATAACAACATGGCGCTGGTGCAAAGAGCTTGGTTCTTCCTTATTTTCATAACAGTATTTTTAACTTTATGTGTGGTACGCCTAGACAGAGATACAAAGTGGCTTTGGCATTTGGTGTTTATTCCCATTTGGATTTTGGATGCAGTGGCGATAACTTCATTGATAGTATTATCCATAATGCATTTCAAATCAGGCCAAAATCCATACCCTGAATTCACAATTGGAAAATGGAGGAAAATTTGGCTACTTTATTTATATGTTTTGAAACTGATATTCCTGTTAACTCTTTGCGCCAAGCTAGATGGCCTAACAGATGCTTCTTACCTTGAGGTCTTTATTCCATTGTGGTTTCTGCTAGTCTCAATTGGTGTGGACGCCATCATGGCTACTGTCAAGTCTGCTAGAGCCCAGACTCATAGAGACTAGGAAGAGAAAGACACGTTTTAGGGCCTCAAATTTGTAGGAAAATCTGCAGAGGATCTAACATAAATCTCTATGTATAAGATGCCTGGCATTTACATTACACATGGTGCATGCAGGTTGCAGTTGATAACTTCCTTGAAATTGGATGGAGTTGTTGACAAAAATCAATTGCTTTAAGGCACTTCAATTGTTTTTAGATGAAGTTTTAAGAGACAATTCAGTTGCTTAACTGTCTACAAAGTAAAATCCTTAATTGCCTGTTAAGGGCCAATCAGAAAACTGTCGGAAATATGAAAATAAAACTCATCATAGCAAGATTGGATACTTTGATTTGGAAGGGCAAGCAAGTTAAAGACTTACCTTTTATGTGCAGTTGAATCAAAAACTTTGTGAGGTCAATTAAAGATGATCTATACAAACAGTAAACACAAACTTAATAGCAAAACAGTGTTTCAATATTGCACTACGTGAGAACTGCAGTTGGTTCTAAAATGTGTGCAAGTCCCAAGCAAAGTTTGGGGTCTGATATCACAGAGCATGAAATGCAGTAGCCATCAGTCTATGCTTGCAGAGTTGAAAAAATACTCTTGTAAACAGGCATATTTCCACCACAAACATCCTGATTAAATTTTATTTAGTGTCCCCCATTGTTTTTTTTACTGCATGTCACCTTAGCACATATAAATGTTGTATATCTTGCTACAGAAAACCTTCATAGCTTTCTTATACCAGGGGGTAAACAGTAGCTATGTATGCTAATTGACAATGAAGTTTTCAGGATTTGAAATCTCTTTTGTTACTTTATGAATATGGTTCAGAACTGCAGTTTGTTTCTTGGTAGATATCATTTTGTTGGTACACCTCAAAAGTTGCATTTCAATTTCAGTTTAATTATTAAGAATTCCTCTGCCATACAATTCCATAGCAGTACTTTGCATCAAACACTACAAGCTAGTTTATAGATTTGTTTACTTGTAAGTTTGTTCCAGAAAGATCTAAATGTACCAGAATCATTTATGGTCTAAATGCAATATGTAATGCTTTTAAAAAATGTCACCAATGTATATACTATATTGTTTTATGTTACAAAAGTCAGTTTTGGCATGTTTTCCAGGAATCTAGCTTCTGCTGTTCCAATGGGATGTTAATTGTTTATTTGTAAATAGTATTAGAAAACTTACAATACTATTAATTTTTGAGTACAATCAGCCTTTTATTGACTTTGAAATATATAAGGGATTTTTCTTTACAAGATCACACTATACATTTTATCATTTTCAAATGAGTATGATTTGATACTAAGATTCACTTCTAAGATTCTGTCTAATATATTGTAATTCCCTCCACATAGAGGGACCCTGACTGCCTGTAATCAAATATGGTGCTTTTACCTGCTCCTTTTGCAACTATATTTTTCTTCGGATTAATTGTATACATCAATCTTCCTGGCAGTTAAGGACAGATAATCAAACTGCAATTTAAACTAAAGTCCAATTAGTTGAAATTTAATTCCCCATATAAGTGTGATGCTTCACAAAGTCACTCAATGTAGATAATAGACCAAATCAAAGAGAAGCATTAGGTCATTAGAAATCAATGGCAATAAGAAAGCAAAAAATGGATTTAAACTGTTAATATTTCAAGGTAACGCATGAAATAACCTTTCATTTTACTTCTTATATTTCATCAAGACAAAAGGGTTTATTTAAAAAGTTGAATTTGGTAGCTGGTTCCTGGTTGTATGTGAAAAGAACTTTCCTTTGTTGCAAGAACCCTCCGAGTCCCCAAGTACACGAGAATCACTTGACAGCAAAATAACAGAAGACATTTTTCGTACAAAAACGCTACAGCAAAGGTAAAAATCTAAATTTGGTGCCTTTCATGGTCAGTATTCGTGCATGGCATCTTCCATAATGCAGTTTTATATATTAAATGAGTTCATATTGTTGGGTATGTACATACTGCATAAGGATCAGTAAACACGCCAGGTAGCGCAAAGCCCTTTCAAATTCTCCCCGCTCACGAAAGATAGAATGTAGCAAAAAAAGTTCTGTACTGTTGCCAGGTTTGTCAGAACTTAATCAATGAAAAATAATAGTGATATACAAGACAATGTTTGATAATTATCGGCGTGAGCGGTCAAGTCTTCCAAAGCTAAATTTAAAACCAATTTCGTTCAACAATATATTATTGATGTTGATGTTGTTGATGTTGATGATACAGTTGTTGGTGAGGCAAACGGCTTTAGATTGGATTTTGTCGAGGAGACACAAGAAAAGATATAGGGGAACCATCCAATATATTAGAGCAGTACTCGAAAGAAGGACAGAGTTGGGACTTATAAACTGTTAAGAGTTGTGATGATAAAACAATCTAGGTCCTCTACTGAGAGGAACCCAAGTTATTAAGATGATTGTTCAGCAATAGAAGAAACGAGAGACCAGTTAATGTTGAATGATAGAAAAAGGCCTTGTTTTCAAAAAGAAGCAAAAACATCTAAATCAGTAACATTCAAGGAAAGCGTAGGAATGTCACAGTTGTGATTATGTTAAAATACAGCCTGTGCGGATTTAGTTTGATTAAACCTAACAAGATTCACTTTATCCACTTCTCACTTAAATTGATGTTTCATATTCTTTTAATTGTCATAGAAAAACTCTTTACATGATGCACGTTGTATTCCCTCTTGCAATTTATTTCTCTTTAGAGTTTGCACGAGACATTGACTGTCAGGTTGAGCATAACCCAGTGCAACAGGATAAAAACAGGCGAGAGTATAAGCAGGCTGGCCAGATGACTGAAAAACAGTTTGCTGCCAAAATATAATTAATTCTTCATGCCACTCATTCATACTGATGAAACGCACAGTGTAAAAATATATACTGAAGGTATTATAGAATAAATCACACTTCAAAGCACATACTAACTTTACTTGTGAAAAATGTTTTTCTTGTTATATCTGATGATGTGCGCTGTGCACCTTGCAAACGACTATCAGTCGAGCAGTTTGATGGTTAAATATAAATGTGGCACTGGCACTATGGCTACAGTCCTTGTCAAAACCTCTTGAAAAACGCAACACGGTACTCTTTCTACCTCTTGGAACCAGCCAACTCCTAATAATGTACACTCCCCCTCAACCCCCCCCCTCCCTCAACACATTGTTGGTTACCAAATCTGATCTAAATTTGAAAGTGTCAAAGTTTAGCAAATCAAATATAATGTGCATAAAGCATCCACATAGAAATACTCAGCTTTGGTTAAAGGGAAAGGGGGCTGCATGCAGTTTTCAGGGAAGTTTTTCGACTGTTTTGGCAAGGATTGTATCATAAAAACATGGAATATGGAATGTTAAGGCATTGGACTAAATTGGAATACCGTAAATCCTCGAATTGGCCCCCCCCCTCGAATAAGCCCCCACTCTAGAACTACAAATTGTCAATAAACCCGTCTTCGAACAAGCCCCCACTGCTACCTTAAATTCTCGAATTGGACCCCTCCATTTGATGATTTTTGCTATCTAAGGTTGCCTATGGCGTTTTATTGAATTACCACAACAAATTCATACTTTTGATAGTATTTAATTAATTAAAAGCTCATAAAGAAATTCCTAGTAAAATAATCTTTTATAATGTCTTCTTAATGTCTATAATAACTTTATATTGTATAAGCCCCCCATCGAATAAGCCCCCATCCAAAAATATCAAAAATAAATAAACCCACAGGGGGCTAATTCAAGGATTTTCGGTATTGGAATGCGATTTTTACACTTGTATAACAACATGCTTAAATGTGCTTTGGGTTTTATGGTTCAAGGGCTTATTGAAAAGAAAGGCACTTCTTTCCAAGACCTAAATCTATATGCTTCACATTCCAACATTCCATATTCCAAGTTTCCAAGGTGGCACATCACACTATGCTGGTGTTGTTTGCAACAAAACGAATACAGCCAAAAACACATATATTTTAAAGCAACCCCTAAAGATAATAAATATATCCAAGCTACTAACTAAGTGATCCAAGTAAAGATATTCCATAAAATATATCCAAGTAAGATGAATTATGCAGAATGAAAATATCTATATGTTACTGAAAATCAGTGGAACTCTCAGCTGGCCTAACTGCCCATGCGTTTCCAGGGCTTGATTCTAGCACATCAGAGGCTGCAACATCAGACTGTATCTGCAAGGAAAAATTAAATGTGTTTGTCATCAAGTCCAACAAGTGAGCACCAAATGATATTACAATTGGAAGCCAGGGTAGGGATGGGAGGCTTTGACTCCAAATTATTTACAAACAGTGAGGGTTGATGTCTATAACAGAGTAGAAAATAAGAGTGACTGATCAATCTTCCTTTTCACACATTACCTTTGCTCTGAAAGTAAATTAATCTAAAGGAAGATGACAATGACTCACTTTTGTCTTGTAACCTACCAAAAAAAACCTATTTTAGATAATTTGCAACGATACCAGCAGGGACAGAAATTGTAGGGGCGTTAGGGGGGGGGGAGCTAAATTGTATGTTTAAACACAGGTTTTAGCGCTTTTGTGGTAGATTTTGTCATTTGTCTTCACATTTGCATGTTTTTGGAGCCCCCTACCCACCTGAAAAAAGAATTTCTTTCCCACCTGAAAAAAGAATTTCCGCCTCTGGATACCATACTTAAAGGCAGTCTGTCCCCTCAATGATTGACTAGTGCGAAAAATGGATTTTCACTACTACAATAGGAACACAATCGTTTGAATCCAAAGTGCTGGAATGAAAGTTGTCTCTGTTTGGCTTAAATCATCTAATTATTGGTCAAACTCGTCGGTGCGTGAATTTCACTCCAGTGAAAATAAAAGTTGAGTACAATAGGGGACAGACTGCCTTTAAGTTATACAATGTATAATAATAATACCTTTTTTACTGTTAGTTTGACAATAGTGTGAACACTAATAAACACTAACATGAAGCAATTTAAGAGATTGCATTATGGAAGTCATATAACACAGCTTAAGTATACAGAGTTTCGCCATGTTTTACATCGTTTTTTAAACAAAAGGCATGATGGAAAAAATCGCTTGGAAAAGAGGAATACTTATCTTTACTAAAAACTAATACTAAATAACCTAGTTATATCAATCCTGGTCTTTTAAAATACATAAGGCTTTGGCTAACAGACTTGACTTACCCCTGTTCGAGAATTATTATCTTGCGTTTCCTCTTGGCTTCCTTCACCCCGCCTTGGGGCATTTCTTGCAAAGAAATCTGTCTGTCCAGCTGATGCAGTGCTCTCTGCTTGACTGATAAAAAAATACAAATTTAAAAAACATTGAGTTAGAGATCAATCAACTAATCACCAGTAGAAGAAGCACGCTTTGATCATATGTTCGATACCAGCATAGCTACGTAGTGAGCTTGAAACTAAACTTCAATTGCTTTTTCTCTAGAATTGATGCTAAGACTAAAGTGCTTGGGAAAGTTGCAAGAGACACATAAAAGACGAAACAAAAAACTCGACTTCAATTGGTTTAAGTGGCATTTTGCTTTAAAGGCTTTCCTATCGTTATGGATACAGTAGGAAGCTGTAGGAGGATGTTTCGTTAAACTGAAACCATACTTTCTTACTATGACAAGCTGTTCTGTAATTTGTATACAGGTGCCAGGAAAGATTTAGGTACAAGTATGGATTGAAAGTTTATTGATGCAAGTTAGATCCGAAAAATTGCAAGTGGAGTTTTCTGAGGGTTGCATTGTTAGACCATTGAGCCTTTTAATTTTTGCCTACGGTCTGACAGGAAATGTATAATTTTTATATAATTTGAATTTTTAGATATTACATTAAAATCAAAACAAATGTAAAAGGAAACGGATTTCATACTCCAAAAGAAACGACGCAGATTGCTTGGTGTTACGATTAATTTTTGGCAGACATTCTTTAGAGTCCCTGAGAAAATTAAAACATGTATAAACAACAAAAAGATGGTCTACCTTTTATGCTATAATACAAATTTCACTAGAAACGGATCCCAAAAATCCAGGGGTGTTGTGCATTCAAACTAACAAGGAGAGTTCTTGCCCAAAATATTGCGAAAAAGAACAGGCAAGTAAAATTGGCGACTTTATTGCATTAACAAGCCAGGATCAGCCCCCTGAACCACCTTCCACTACACCCCTGCATATAAAATTCTAGCAAACGACATCAGACGAATACCCCCGCATCACTGTATCTAGGAAATCTCAAAGTAGTACAAAAGTTGATAATATAACGAAAGCTTCAGTTCTTGTCAAGATTTCTTCAAATATCTGTATTTTTTGAAACAGCGGCACAAAAGGTAGCATTTGAAATAGGAAGTCTATCATCAGTGTTCCAAGATTTTGTACAGCAAGATGACGTATCTATTCTCATCCATTTAATCTGGGATATATGGGTCTTTATATGTTTTTAAGACCAGAAGGGCAGAAACTGAGTGGCAAAACACAAGGTTATAGAAAAGAAATAGTTCTTATATCCCACAACTGGGTAGTTAGACTGTTGTGTCAAGTGCATTATAATATCTTTAAAAGCCATGTAAAGTTCTCTAAAATCTTTGAAACACACAAAATAGAGAACATTGTCACACCAACAACACCGACTTGGTTCATTCCTACTTACGAGAAAAACAACCCCCTGCTCCCAAGATGTGAGCTCGCATTATAAATCAACACATGAATTTGCACTCAACAAGAGTCTTCAAGCCTTAAAAACATCTTAAGATGCAGGGTAATACTTAAATAAATAGAAATTAATGTTTTGTTTAGGCGAGAAGGTAGGATTCAATGAAAAGCAATGGGAAAAGTATAAATGCTAAATTTACAAACTGTATCAAAAGTTCCGAAAGTTTCCTTTATTCTTTTTTAAACATGCAAATTCAAGCAGAATTTAGAACATAAAGATCGGTAACGTTTAAGGATGAAGCAAGCAGAAAGGGGATATCTTACTTTCAATATAATCATGATCCTGGATTTTGAAGCCAAACAAAAACTGTCAACAAAGAACCAGGTATGCTGCCTATGTTGTAACAATTGCGATGTTTGCAGTCTATCAAAGTCATTTACCAGCACATCTCGACCTTAAAAATATCAGCCTATACATGTCGATGCAGTGGTGGTAGCTGGTAGGGCCACTGTATCCCTTTTGATGTAGCAAGATCTCCAGTGGGCAATAGTGGTGGAAGTTGAAGAGAGGGATCTCCAGAGGGGGCTTGTTTCCAGGTCTCATGTCCAAATCTAAAAGCTCCTATTGCTAAACAGTCAGGAAATATGAAGGGGGCTGAATAAGGTTGGTCCAGATAAGGTTAAGAATGAAAAGAAGAAGGCTGGGTGTTTCTGTAAAATATTGAGCATCATTCATTGATGTTTACTGGTAAAATATTTTTTTTCAATCTACATAAGAAGAGGAAAATCAATTTGCTTTCTTTCATTTCTGATTATCTGAATAGATACGCCCTTGCCTACAAAACATTACTTTATAGCCAATAAACAGAGACATGACATCGCAGCCATGAGAAATTCAACCTCAGGCTACCCACATATTACAGGGAAGATCTTTGCTGGCAATAGAAGGTAGCCACTGTCCCCCTTTGGTTACTTCATTGCCCACCGAGCAGAAAAAAAGCTAAGGCAGAGAATTTTAAGATATCTTGTGGCAGCCATCTCAAACAACTTAATGGAGCACCGTGTCTCTTTTACCTAACATGATAGGTAGCAGGATAGAGACTTATGCATTGCAAGAAGCTAAGATAACATAAACCTGAAGAAATAGATGAAAACGGACAAGGCCAAAATACTTTGTCAAATAAAACTGTAAAAGGAATTTCTTAATAAAATTTGGAGAACAAATCAATGAAATTAGTACTCAAAAACATTTGTTGGATGAAAAAGGAACGTTTCTAGTTAAAACGAGCCTGCAATAAAGACATGCACAAACATGCTAGGGGCTAACAACACGGTAGGGGCTAGCAGCACTCTAACTCGATTGGGCCTGCATCTGCCTTAATGTTGTAGCAATGTTTGTTTCCAAAAGATAGAAAAAATATTTTTTACATATATTCTAGAACAGAGAATTAAAAAGGAGTGATACGGTTACATAATAACAACAGAAAGAGGCAAGTTTTTAAAAGGATGTTTATAAAAATATACGCATAGTTAACGTGCGTTTATGCCAGTTATTGGAAGAATAAACATTTGAATAATGTTTGCTGTGCTTAGTAAAGGCGACAAGTCTATAGGCAAGATGTTTAGATGTCTGTTTTTCTGTCATATGAACTAAAACCAAACAAAACATGAAGATAAAAGAGCAATGGCATCTCTATTTGACTATGGGCTTAGAAGGAAGAGCGGTATTTGAGATGCCGAAATCCAAAAGAGATTGGCTTAGTGGAGGTAAACATATTGTTTATGAAAACAAAAAAATGTTGAGTGGATGCGATGAGCATAATGAAGTGAGTTTTGCAATTTAACTTCGGTATAAATTAGGGAAAAGGACGGTTTTCGGCTGATCAAAGATGCTCTGATGCAAGGGCAAAGAAAGCTGCTCTTTGCTATTTACATGGTAGTGCTATAAAGAAACCAGCACATAGCAATTCTGAATACACTGAAAAGCGGAATACACAATTTGACTGCAAAGCATTTCCCCGTGTACATCAACTCAGGGCACCGATATTGCAATACTTAATTGCACGTTACTATACTAGCTACGTTGATAATTTTCACCTTGATTTCAAATATAAATAGTTACTAAGGAATCAACTTCAAAACATGTTCGCTGTTGTATTAAACTTTGACAGTAACACTTCTCTAGCTGTTATTAGCTCTTAGACGAGGATCACATTGAAGTTCGAGGATGCATTCTTTTGCTGCATATGATCAAGATAAAATAAGACAACTGTTTTCCACAGCGTATCAGTCACTATCGTAAGGTTCTAATAAAAAGAGTCATGTTGGAGAACTCTGAGACAAACAGATCTCAAGAAAATGTTTTCATAATAACAGTTTGTCATGGGCCTCGCTCTGTATATTCAGTAGAATGTAAGACACTACGATCAGAAAGGCATGAAGCACCCAAGAGCTAAAACTTTTTAGTAAAAGTGCATCAAAAAGAAGGTCCAAAGCGCACGAGTTGACGAAATCGTTCACAAATAAACAAAAAACGAACACAAATCTGTCTCTACACAACAAAGCACTGAAAAGTAAGATTAACGAAATTAAATGCTTTAAGAGGTTTATATGCCATCCTTAGAAAAGAAAACGAGTGATACCAATTGGGAACAGCATGGTCACCAGGAGAGAAAGAACAGGAACAGCTTTGATACGTGTCGGTGCAAATATCTCTCATTAAATTTACTGCAATAATTATTCAAAGAACCCTACCCCAAATCCTCTTAAATTTGCATTAAAACATAACAAGACTACTTCATTGCTTATTTTGTTCGCATTCTTTGATATGTCCTCTTACTAAACTAATTCGATTTTTGAAAATGTAGAGATTTTTCGTAGATATCTGGGGAATATAATCTAATATGCGTGAATCATTGTAGCTTCTAGAAACTGAATTCCATAATCGTTGCCCCAATGCCTCTGCAGCTAATGAATCTAGCTCTTCGAGCCTTTGTACAGTTTGTTTTCTAAAGATGCAGAGGTTCTGGATGAGACTTTGCAAATATGGTTGGTAACGCCCAAGCAGACGATAACCGTGCGAGAAGCCATCTTCATTGTCAATAAAAACTAATATACCATTCCTTAATTGCAATAAATTCTCAATCGGTTCGTTCAGGCTCTTTGAATACCACTGCATGTTGAACATATTGCTTACTACACGGTCAAAATTCCCAATAATAAAGTCGTAGACGACCATATCAGACCACTGCAATAAAAATCTTTGAGTCCGTCTATCCAAACCACAAAACGATGTGTTTCTATCTAGTCTGAAGTTTTGTTTTAAAATAATGTCTGGAATACGGACTGGATATAAGTCATCTATGAATTTCGTGGCGATAACGAGTTTCCCATTATCCCATGAACCATCCAGAAAATCCAAACGACTCCAGAATTCACTTTTTTCGTCTATTCTTAGAAGTTTAGCTTCTAAGACATTTTCTAATCCAAGAAGTTTGCTTGTATGATACGACAGCAATTCGCCTTGAATTTGCTCAAGATTTTCTCGATACCGAATACAAATCGCCGTTCCATCAGATAAAACTGCTAGTCTGTTCTGCATTCGACCACAGCCCTGCCTCGTCTCCTTGAGAGTTAAACCGTCTATATTTAGTTTCAATAAATACGACATCTTTCTAAATTCTTTATCAAGGTCGCCATCAAGATCATTATTCCAAAAAATTGTTCCCTTCTGTACAGTATCGTAAATATCACAACTTGGCATGCAGAGGCACAACATAGCATCGCGAAGGTAAACAGCAAAGAAAATTGCTCTCAGCATCACAAGAAAAGAAATGTAAGCCATTTTTGATTCCCAAGTTACTTAAAGCTGCAGCTGACAATGTCAAACAACAAAGGAGGCTCTGTGTCCTTTGGTTACTCTACAAGTCTTGAAGAATTACTAGCAACATATCTAAAACTGGATCGCTAGCGGCATAATCAACATCAGTGCAATGTTCTTCTTGTTTACAAATAACCTTCAAAACACATTAATTCACGTTAAATAGATAGACGACGGGCTTAAACGCCGTTGAGCCATGACCTCTAAGTCGGAATAAATTCGATGAAATAATCCCGTTTGATTTCTGAAACCACCACATTGAAAAGCTTCTCAACGTCGTTCCTCTATTCGCACAGAAACTTGACTATGAATAAACCTCGCTCTTGCACAGTTTAGTGTAATTGCCTTCGACAAATAAGCTGGATTTGCGGCTGCTCGCATCTGTTACTGCGCACGAGTGCATCAGTCTTAGTTCAAACACAGACCTTCACATGTAGCTTTACAAATGCAAATAAAAATTAGTGCCCAGTCTCTAAGGTCGTTATGACGTCATTAATTGGTGTAATACGAGCGAGATTAGATCAGTGGTAACATCAAATGAGATTTTCACCAGCCATAAATATCTTGTCGTAGTTTGGCGACCGTTGGAAAAACTGAGGGATAGACGCTACGTGTAGGAATGAACGTCGATCGAATTCGGTCACACAACCTTTGTTAAGACGTTGATTGTCACAGCAATCTGGCCTCAAGATGACGACTTTATCCGGAATGATCTGCTGTCAGAACAAGCATTTTGATTTATTCCTTATGCGAGGGAAACATTTGTTTGAGCCATTGTCACCCACGCCACAAGTGAACCTACCCACCTCCAAAAGTCCAAATATTAACTATCTAATATGTTTGCTTGCAATACAACACTCGCCTACAGATCCTACCTGATCCTACATCATTTTTCACCTAACCGAATGAAAGGACGATTCATCAGAGACGACGATCATTTTTTCGTGAAACAGCAATACGTTCAGCTGTAAACCTTTTCCGTTAATAACAAAGAAAACTCTGGAACACGCTACTAATTCTCAAAACGGACGAATCCCCCATATGATCCATAAACAAACCTGGCTAATCTTGAAGCAGAAGGCCATGAATTTTATTCATCTGACCAAAGATCAACAAAAACCAAATTAATATCATAAATGATCCAGCGTCAATCTATGTTTATGCAAGGCCAAGCCATCAAAATACCATGCAGCCAAAAATCCCTACAGTGACCAAAGTCCCTTGTTACATTGGAAAACAGCTGCTTATAAAAGGACATCCGTGGGTATAATTTATGGCAAAAACCCACACTACAACCACAGTGAAGACACCGTAACTAAATAGTACCAAAAACCCATTGCAACCCCCTGCAGTTTTAGCCATCTCGATGGTTAAATAAGTAGCGTAGAAATATAGAAAATTCTAGTGAAACCGTAAAAGTTGAATTTTTTCAGCGGTAGGAAAACAGCGTCCGAAGCAGCAGCTCCACAAACACCCCCCTCCCCCCTCCCGGTTGCTCCATATAAAGATATTGCAATCACCAAGGCGTCTACAAGAGAGGTCGCTGAAACTACAAATGAAGTTAAGTATTGCATGGAACTACCTTAGAAACATGATACCATGACAAAAATATTGTGCATTTCATTTTTTTATAAGCACGGTGTGAACCTACAAATGTAGATAACAATAAATCGAGGATAAAGATTCTACAGCACCAACTACAGATTCTACAATCTTAATCACTAAAAAAGTACCATTTGGACGTTTGCTAGATAAGGTGGTCTAACTTTTTTTATCCTATGATAAGAGAAATCCTTAAATAACAATCACCCTACCTCTTTTATCTCTAGACCGATCAAAATAAAGAACAATTCGTTAAAGATGGCGTCATTCCTCTGCGAAATAGCAATAGGCCTAGCCATAAACCAAGAAAAAGACCTAATGACAAAATTTCCTTAATAATAATAATAATAATAATAATAATAATAATAATAATATATCTCGCCAAATCTCCGTTTCGGAGCAGTTACTAAAGCACAAAACGTCATGTGCAGTATAGTAAGATTCAGAAAGATTCAGAATTGAGATTCAGAAAGATCGATTTAACAACCAAAGCCATTGAAACTAAAAAAGTGTTAGCTAGGGGTGTAGTGTTAGCTAGGGGTGTAGTTCAAGGGGGCTGAGTCCCCCTTGTTGATGCCAAAAGTTGGCAAATCTCTACTTTTGCTATTGTTTTTTACAACATTTTGTGCAAGAGCCCCCCTTGTTATTTTGATAGCAATACACAACTGGTGTTAGCATCCACTCAAATTCGATAATGATAACGAAAATAACAAGGGGACTTTCCAAGGCAAAATACGGTGTAATTTGCCACTAAATACGAGTGATGTTGCTTTGATTATAATAGGTACCACACCACACGTCCTGGAATTTGTCTATCCTTGAACTATCAACATCGAATAGGTTATCAAACCTACAAAACTGCAATCTCTTGTATCCTGCTAGCGATGAAAGAACCTACACAACTATCGATCGGTGGCTCTAATTTATCGATTCGTATCGTATCGATTCTCGATTATCGTTGCTGGCCACCAAAATCGTCAATGACTTTGGGAGAAAAAAAGCAGTTGAGTAAGAAGTGATAACAGACCATTGCTGCCACCTACAACGTTTTTTCAGTGACCCAGATTTGCATGAAATTTTGATAAGATTTGACAAGAGAGGGGAAAGTTGTACCATTGCTGTAGCAGTAAAGAGAAGATACAGAAGAACGCTAGCCTTGCTGCATGCATTTGGATGTAAATCTGTGCTCTAACCTCTAACATGGACAAAATAACTATAGAAATGCATATTAATGGTAGACAGACACTAAGTAGGTTCCAAACACAGTCTTTGAATTCTTTTTGCGCACAAAGAAGGATTCCAGCGCGACTAAGGTTACCACGTCATGTTAAATAACGTGAGCCAGACTAGAAGCGACACTGTAATAAAACGATAGCCAAAAACAGACATGCAAAGTGACTGGTCCAAGATTAGCTTTAAGAGAAGACGCCAGTGGGGCTGATTCAACATTTGAATCAATGCAGCGGCCTGTCTCAGACAATGCAAAGCCACATAATTTGCAACAAGATTGACTTTTAAACTCCTGAAAAGTATTTCTTTGTCAAATTTTGATCCTCTTAAAAAGGTAATTACACAATTACTGGATAAAAAGATTATAGCTGACATTCGTGTAAGGGAAGATAACTAATAAAAGCAACAGAATTATCGCAAATATAATACCTTCCCTTTCAAGGCTCCAAAAAAGGACACAGCAGTACTAAATATAGAGGAAATTGTGGCTACAAACATGCCCTTTTATCAAGATATGAAATTATTCAATTCAGAATCAGATTTAAAAAATGGGATTAAAAAATAAAACAAAGTTAAGCTGTATTCAAACATTAATCTAAAACTACCAGAAAGCATATTTCTTTGCTACATGCTGATGAAGAAATTAATTGAAAAACAAAAAAAGACGATTAAAAGGAATACCAATGAAAATGCCATATTTCAAGAAACCTTGATTGGAAAGGTCTGTTGGAAACTTCATCAAGTGAAATAACTTGCTATTTCATGTACAAAGATCTTGAATAGTTTTTGTTCACTGGCCAAAAGGCAAAAGCAGCAAGGTGCAAAATTAAGGATGGCAAGAAGCAGGAAACAACGCAGATCACCATACCCTAGAACCAGCATTTTAAACTCCTTTTTTCATAAGAATGTACTTATTTTCAAAGATACGATATTTTACATTGCTGAAAAATGGGACAAAGGTCAAAAGTGCATTGCCTTATAAGTGGTCGATTTTAAATTGGTTTGTGACATTTGTGCACCTGATATACAGACATGCCTTCAATGACAAAGATATTAATATTAGGGACTTTGGACGACCTATCAATGCAACAGAAACCCACGAAACGGACCAACCAACGACACAGGCGACCCAACGACACAGGCGACCCAACGACACAGGACCTAACGACACAGGACCTAACGAAAAAGGCTACCCAACCATAAAGACGGCCCACAACACAGAGAACACAAAACTTTATTACAAACATCCAGAATACGACTTTTGGTAAGTGTACTTTGCCCTATTTGAATATGGTTGAACACCAATCTTTGAAGATCTTTGATTTCCAGGCAAACGCCTTCGTTTGGTGGTCACAGTATAGAGAGTATCAAGAATCATCTCGGCGACGAAAGGTGAGCTGAAAGTTACAAGTTTTTTGAAAATGATATTATTGGAATAGCTGATAGAAATTCATATGTCAATTACGTTTTTCAACATTTGGGTAACGTATCGATGACCGGGTCAATATTGGGATAAGCAGCAAATCCCGCGCGATTTTCGATATTATAGGGTTTGAATGTAGACGCCGTTGCCGATTTTGAACTGTCAATGGTCTGGGTCATACTCAGAAATACACATCGATGTGAGGGGGGAATAGGGAAAGGTAAGACAGGGAGCCCTTCTTCTTCTGCTGTCAAGAGACATTTTTGGAGAGATGCTAAAAGATTAATTTTCACAGACACCATTACTGCTCAAAATTAGAATTGGTTGTGGTGGTGATTTTGGTCACTAAAGAACACCACCCTTGAAAGTAAACTATCAACCTGAGATTTATGAGGCCATCAGTCTCATTGTTATTATCATTACAAATAGTGTTCATTAACAATATTAACCGTATTATTATTAGCACTGTTTACAAGATTGTCACTAGTACTTTTAACATTGATACTGCTATCACTATCATCAAGATACTATCATCAATGCTGTTATTGCTGCAACTATCGACATCAAAATAATATATTAAAATATTTTGCCTTATTACCTTAAGTCAAAAGAAACGTATCCGAGCATGATTATTACTTTAGATAAAATTAAAATAATATTTATCAAAAATTTTATTGAATTTATTAATATCAGCACTGTTAACTGTAATAAAATTTTTACTATTAATATTACTGTTTCTATCTTCATTATTCCCATTATCAATCCTAACGTTACAACTAAATTAAAAATACTTTGCTTCATTAACTTAAGTCACAAGTAACTTATCTGAATTGTCAAAATATGTCAAAATACCCAAGGAACGGTTTTACAGCGAGTTAAGACGGCCACAGACAAAATACGTGCATTTATAAAGCAAGGTCTATATTGTTGAGTGTTAAATCGAGACATTTAAATTTGATAAAAGAATTTGCTTAAATATCACCTATGAAATCATTTTAGAGGTAAAGAATTGATTTAAGAGCACAAAATTTGATTTAAGAGACATAGTTGAATATGGAATACTGAATCATAATTTCAACAGTGTGGTCCATAACACATTTTACTTTATCCCATGGATTTCCTATCAATGTTCTCATGCAAAGAAGGATTAGCACCAAAAGATTGCTGATATAGGTTTCCAAGCGCCTTCTTCAGAGGATGACAGAAATGGGATTGTACGGTGACAAATTTATACTAGTTTGAGACAGACATTCTAATAAAGAAAATCATAATAGAATTTGATAGAATATTTTGGAAAAATATTAAAGAAAAATAAAGAAAAGCAATGGTGGTTCTGTACACGTCTCGTGGTATATGTGAATTAGACCAACCTAATGTATGGTTGGTCCACTGCAGTTGTCTTTTACCGCCATATTCGGGATGTTAGGGGGGGGGGGGGCTAAGAGAGAAGAAAGACATATTTTGTTCGCAATTCTGTACTTAATTAGAAAAGAAATGGGATGTTATTTGTTTAATGGTGACTGCGGCCGTAGCTCTATCTTTGATTTCGAGGGTTCTGGGAATAAGACAGAAGTGAAACAATTTGCTAATGAAAAACCCCATGTAGTAACGCTGGAGGTTGGTTAAACGGGAAGCGCTCACGGAAGCTTTGTCCGCACAGACTTGCAAAAATTTCAGCTATCCTAGACAGACAAAACCTTGAGCCAACCAAAGAAGAATCAAGCCAGGGGTCACAATATGAACGATAAGAATACGAATTTTAAACAGGGGATGTTTCGTGTTATTTGATAAAATTTTAATAAATGAAAAGGAGTAACGTTCGAAGTCCCTTGGAGTAGGGTCTTGACCTACAGCATCCCAAAGTAAAAATAACAAACTTGGCAATAGTAAGAATAACATTAAGCTACAGATCTGATTGTTTTACCAGTGATGTCTTAATTCCTATTTGATTCTAGGTTTGAGACAATTACATTATTCAGTCCCCTATCTTTATGATTACTAAAGAGCGTGAAAAGAGACTTGAGAAGGCTGACTAACGTAACTTATTGATATCTCTAGTATATTTCAAGTACATAAAAGCGTTGAACAACGATTTAAATGGTAGACTCAAAAGTCATGAAAATGAAATAAAAAAGATATAAGAAAACTGGAAAGGCTTAGAAAAGTATCGTGTAAAGTTACTGAATTGTGCTTGTCAAGAAATAATCGTAGAATAGACATTGTAAGCTAATTCATCATTCGGGTCTATATTTTGCTAGAAAAGGAGTTTATATATTGCTCACTGTGGATCGCTTTACCAAGCACTAGATTCATTTGCAACAACAAAATCTTTGAGCTGATTTAGATGCAGGCGTGGCATGTCAAAGTGACTCTTTTGCGCAACTCACAGAAAAGGAGGGTCCCTTGTGTATCATATGAGAAAGAGGTTCCCTTGCGTATTTACCAAAGTTAACAAGAAATGAAATATGCTTCGTTTTAAAAGGAGGTAATGACTCACTCAAAAATCTTGCTTGAGAAATGTTTTGGCTCTACACAGAGAAAAGATATATGAAAATATTATGCTAAAATGGAATTTTATTTACCGTTGCCATTGGTGATCATCAACAAGTTATAATATATAGTAATAGTATAATATCTAGTTATAATATATAATAATATAGTACATTAATTTAATCAAGCACACTGCACAATACTCTTTCTGGGTTGGATGACTGCTGCTTGGTTGATAAAGATGAAAGCATTGTGGTAGAAACAGAGTTCTAAACATGTCAGATAAAACATCTTGTTGGGCGAAAGAAATGGCTGATAGTGTAAAAAGTGCCACCCCAGGTGGTACTTCCTTCAAAGATCTCTCTGCAAAATCTATCCAGTGCAAAAATATAAAGAGCAACTTGATGAATCTTTGGCATGGGACAACAACTCCATTTGTACAAAATATTTGAAATTGTCAAAATGAATTACAAAAGACTATCAGTCCAGCAACCCATCCCTCTCCCAGCTTGAAATCTTAGGATTGATGTTTTAGATTCATAATGGCTTACATTTATTACTTCAGTGAAGAGTACAATTCTCATAAAAACTAAGGGTAATTACACGAACCTTCTTCAGACTTTAACACTGGCCATTTCTGCGAACTAGGATCCTGTAAATTGTATACAAAAGTAAATTTCGTCTGTGAAAACTTTATTTTGTGCGTAATTGGAAAGGGGGTTCCTTCGATGCTGATCTTGAAGGATTTTCTTCTAACAAACTTGCAAAGAAATGAACTCCTTCAAAATTATTTTGAAGGAAAGATTCGAACCGGTATATTCTCCAGATTTGAAGAAACCTAGCATATTTCCGGACATTTTTTGATAAACTCTTTTTAATGAAAAACAGCATCATCAATGAGGTAATGATCTTCAAGAATCAAGACTGACAGTATGCTGGGCAAAAACTATAAAGCTGACGTCAATTGAGTGAAAGTTCTGTTCTGTATTGACTTATTTGGGCTCCAATTGCATTGCACTTAATTTGAGGGGAAATATCCATGACATAAAATAAACATAATGAACCTAACAGTTAGTATAAGTAACAAAGACTTTAAGGTCGAAATTGAAATACGCTGAAATTTTCTAAAGTAATTCAAAAGCCTACTCCAATTTGTGAAACGCTTTCGAAATCCTCTTCACCTGAAAAAGAGAATTTTGAAACCTCAGGAACAAAATCAAAACAGTAGTAATGAGTAATACAGTTTGTAGTTCAATCTAAATATTCTTAGACGAATAATGGTGAAGGAACACAAACGGAAACTCCAGATCAAAGCTGGTTTTCAGTTATCCAAACAATGAAAGTGAAAGCAAGAAGGAAAAAATCAAAAGCCATTAGATGAACTGTCTGCTGAATCACCTGGACAGTAGGCAAGGAACTGATTGTCTTATGAAATAACACAGCAGAACGGTTTCGCAATCAGCGAGAAGTTTTGGGAGACTGAAAACAAAGCTTACTTTAAAGGCTCTTGCACAGCCGGCATGCTTTGCGGCTTGAGAAATTGATTGTGCTTTGTATTTCCATGGAGAATGGTATTAGGCCGGTTTTGAAAATATAGTCGCAAAGTATGATAATACACGATAATGGCAGGGGCCAATGACAAAGATGATGGATGGTTGACAAAACATGGCTGATGGAAAAATTCGGTTCGCATGGAAATGAAGCTGGTGGCCACCTCATGTGCATACATTTGTGAAGTCCGATGCTGAAGAACTTGGAAGAAAACAGATAATACAACTGATGTAATGGCCCGATTTAACAGTGAATTCTACATTGTTGAATCTCAGACGTTCGTTTAACTACGTTAAATATTGACCAATCGATCACGATTTAGACCGATATAAAATTGATTGGTATAAGCCCCGGCAGGGTAAATTGGGTTGCAGCATGAGATAGACAGGAACAAACACTGAAACCTTGGGATTATCAAAAGATATCTGAACCTTTAAGGGAATCTTTTTTAGCCAATCAGCATACGTGCCTGTACATGAAATACTTAACGTCATTACTTTGATTAAAAAGCAAACCGAGGGAATCAATGCAAAGAAAACTTAAGCAAGAACAGGATTAAATCGATTCTGTATGTTTGTCATATGCCACAAAATATATCTTGCAGCCTTAACTGCCCATTCAACTAAATAGTCCTTAATTAATTGTATTGTTGAAGGCATTTCTTGAAATTCTTAAGTTTCTTGTCCATTACAGTAGGTTAACTAGGATGATCAATCCAAGAGGATTATTCGAAAAAATATTGGTTTCCGATAACTAATTGGAAGTGACAGGTATACGCCCTCTTGTTCTTTGAAAAAGTCCGCTAGAGAATGTGAAGATAAATTATGGCTTGCAAGTGGAAAAGTTCCATTGAACTTAAATGAAGATTTCACAAGTAGTGTTCAGTTTGATATCATTTGAAACCAAAAGCTATCCTTTGTTGTGGGCAGAATCTTTTGGCTTGTATTCCGCCTGAGCAATTTTCACATTTTGTATTTGTGAATTCTGCAATACCAACCATCTAGCTTTTGCACTCAGAATAAGAAGCACCGTGTAGTATACGCCATTTTAAATTGCAGCACCACAACTAATACTCCAATCTCATGACATACGGTTTTTATCCTTTAGCTGAAACAGTAATCAAAGGAAGTATCTCACTCTGCATAATTTGTTCTCGCTTCGCTTGATGTGGTTACTACATATTAGGATACTATAGTTGTCCTGTTCCCTTTTCATTCTAAGCGATGACAGAACAAAAAGCAAGAGATTTCGATAATTTATTTCTGTGCAATCTGAATCAAAGTAAATTCAAAAAGAAACATTTGGCAGCTGTTGGATTTGCTTTAAGCATCTCTTTTAGCCAGCCCCTTGAAGTAGAGGGAGAGAAAAAGATTGCTCTTCTCTTTTTCTCTTTTTTCTCTCTCTATAACCCCTCTCTATGAACTCTCTCTTTTTCTCTCCTTCCAAAACTTTTAGAGGTAGACTTGAAGCATGTCCAGTGAGTTAAATATGGATATAAACCCCACGATACTTTCAAAATAGCTGTTTTTTGCAATAGCAAAGCAGCTCAATTTTAGGTAGGGTGGTATTTGATGTCTTAAATCCAGTATCTGTAGTGTTTTCCCATATGATCGCCCTTTTTTATGTTCATGTGTTAGAAGGAAGAACCGCTGGAGATGCTGTCTCCTGGATTCTGTGAATCTTGCGATGAGTTTAAATATAAAGATAAAATTCAGGAAGAAAGCAAAACGGTGACGAGAATCCAATGAGAGAAATTTTCAAAATGAATTGAATAGAACGAATACTAAAATTTCGCTTCGGCGTACAGGGCTTCACCAGCTTTATGTTCATGCACTTATAAGTAGAATGAATGGATGAATATATATTCAATTCAGGTTGGGATTAACACTGTACCCAAACGACATGTCTTTTTCTTAAGGAACATTTCAATCAAACTTTTGGTAGAAACTTTTGGGAATATTTCGGGCATGTTTTAAACTGTGTAAAATATGGATGGAAAATAAGTTTCCTAAAATAAAACTGTTTTCTTTTTCTGCTTTTCTGAAAAACTTACTTCCGGTTATGTCGGAGAGTGCTGTCTTCTGGGGTGATGTGTATTCACTATCAACTGAAAAACAACATAAATTATACTTATTACATCATAAACCTGATACCTCGAAACATGCAGGGTAGATCGAAAAAAGAATCGATAATGACGTATCAGGTCTATACTGGCTAATGGGTCGATTTGCAATGCGGCTTAGAAACCCCTATTTCTACTATAACCAGGACAGTTTGGCACAGATATAGAAAAAATAAAAAAGGAAGTGACTGTGTGACAAGACAACAACAAACTAAAGTGGCTTTTGAAAAAAGGGAAGCAAATTCGGGGTCAGAAGAACAAAAACAGAGAGTAAACCGTTCCCTATTCTTGTTCTAATTCTCCACTAAGGCAGCGACTGGATTGTTTTCTTTGAACATAGTACTCAATAAAAATTCCACCATCAACTAATGATGGAGAGAGACATGGCCAGAGCAATCTGTAGCGGCCACCACTCATTTAAATACCCTTGAAAGTCGGGAGTTTATAGACTGGGAGTTACTCTCAGCTGAAAAAAATACAAGTTAGGGAGTTTAAAGAGATAGAAATTAGTATGAGTAGCTTACTGTCCGAGAATCCTCCGCTCAACTGATACGGCGTTGTTGTCATAACCCTGAAAAAGCGTGATACAAAAACATGACAGATGGAAACGAAAAAGGATGGAGCAAAATAAAACAACAAGATTGCATCACTGGCCGGGCAGCAAACTGTCATCTATCATTCGATGAGAATCATCCATTGCTAAGGATCTTTATATAACAATGAAGAACGTCTTTGTATTCAAAGAATTCAGTTGACAGAGGTAGAGATACGAACACGAAGTGATCGGGCGTCATTCATTACAAAGTGTGTCCGGGAAATCACTAACAGTAATCACTATATGTAATCGAAGCAAATGGTGGGCAAAATACAGTTGCTCATAGATCTGGAGAAACATTGTTACTTGCATATTCACGAACAGAAGAGAACCTTCAGCATTACTGAATGACAGATTGGTTATCTGGACTCCCTGTGCCCTTTTTTATTGGCGCCTCAACACGGTGATCCAATGATCCAGCAAAGCAATATGTCAGTAGCTTAATGGCACTATGTCCCGACGCATTTCACTGGCCATTTAAATCCTCATTGGTTAGACTATACAATAGACCTATTGTTACGGAGCCAATCGGCTGATCTTCAATGTTTTCTCGATTTAACTCTGAACGGTTGACTGATGGGACATATGGCCTGACGTATCTTGTCTAAGCTCCCCCTTTTCTCTCACCTCTGCAGCCAAACAAGGCCTATTCCTAAGTATTATTTAAATGGTTTACAGAATTGTTTTGAATAATTGAAAATGGATCTTCCTGAGGTGAACTGGCATGATATCAGCATTATAATGTTTCTGTAGGTTAAGCAACAACAACAAATAGCCTACTCAGGGTATTTTTGCACACCTTTGACTAATACTGCTACAGGAAAATTTTCATCGGCTCTTTGGTTTACAGCTCTCAATTTTACTTGAAATATACCTTTTCATTGACATATCAATGAGTCTCGTTTTGAAATATAAATGTTAAACAAATGTGAAATGTTAAAGAAAAAAGCAATATAGAAAACTTACTTGGCACAGCGTGCACATATTTTTATCTGGAAGTTTGATGATTCGTCTCGGATTTTGTGACTCTTGAATAGAAAGTCGTTAATTTAGAGCAATTGGCGATAACATAAATATTTAACTAAAAGGATGATGATTCTACCATGATTCAGGCTTTTTGAGAATTTCCTCCATCTGGCAAAAAAAACGACAAACATACCCTTTTCTGTGACGCAAATATCTAACAAAGAAGTAATTCAATTTAAATGAAGTAGCATGATACGACTAATTTTAAAGCTTTCTGTTTAATGAAAAGCTCTCCAGATGCACATAATTCTTGCATAGCACCTTTAACAGGGACACTTACTAAACAAACTGTCAGAGAGGACAAAAACGGAAGACAGTTCCTACATGAATATTGAGACCGTAGAGTAAATTCGACATAGGAGGGGACTATAACTGCTCCTTTTTTCAACAGGTTTTGGGATATGGTAAAGAACCCCCACCAGGCCAGTATTTTGTTGGCAAATATCGCAAACATATTCTTCAACTTTGAAAAAGCTAACACGAAGAAGAATTCGTGATAGCCTGTTACGCCTGAAGTTAGGCCAAAGATAACAGTATGGATTCATTCTTGTGTTGCCAAAAATGACAAGCTACTGTAAATTAGTTTCGTGCTACAAAAAGAATAGAGTGGGCTCTCACAAAAAGAAACTCAAAACCTATAACAAGAAACCGACCACGTTTAGCATTCATAAAGAGAACTGAGCCCATCCAAGCCCCATGAAGCCTCTCTCTTCTCTCTCCCATTGTTCCAAACAGTCCTGAAAAAGTATCTTTGCGAGCTGGAAAAACTTAGATATCAATCTCCGTATCAATTTCCAATTGCTTTTTTGCTTAAATCATTCTTCTATGGAAAGTCAGAGTAAAAAAGATAAATTCCATCTCACCTTGAGCTTGGATCCAGCTGTTTTTGCGTTGCAAACGCCCTCGCCTTCGAGATCATCAGCATACTCTACAAAGGAACAACAAGCTCATACTTTTCGCGAAGAGAAAATGTGATACGATCAGAGCAGGAAAGGAACCCGCGACCAGTGACACTGAACACAACTTACTTACTATTTAGCTAAGAACACAACTTAACATACTCAGGTTTTTGAGTTACAGCCAAGCCGATGACTGATGGAAAACTATAATCCAATGTTTCGTAGTTTTTTGCCGAATAAATTTGCTTACAAACCATTATTAAGGTTGTTACATTGAGTCTAATAGGCTGTGAATTAATCAATTATATGTAGTTTGTAAAATACGCCCGTTGACGTTGAAAACATTCTGAAGTTAGGGCGGGGGCACTGACTAGAAAATCGGCCACCCAACACCCTATCTGAAGCTGTTGATACAAACCCTTAAACACCTGCCCGATAGCATGCATGTATAATCCAGCACCTAACACGTCCCCTCTCCCATCCCCCGTTCAAAAGTATTTCGTGTGCGCTTTAAGCACAGCTCCAATATATATATCAACAATGAAACTGGGGGAACAGGTCCCAATTGCCATAACCGCCTATTCCTGGCTGTACATCTAAAGGACCTTCAAAAAAGGTCAGCTTAAAAATTTAAAAGAAAAATGTGTGCAACTTCCTGGGATATGGGGGTTGCAGGCCAGATGCTGATGCTGATATTTAAATTATTGAGCCCTTCAATAGAACAATTTTACGAAAAATTATCCACCTTCTGTTAGTATCAAGGGAAAACCTATTCAAAACAGTGCGCAAAGAGCAATTTATAACAATTTGCTTTTAAGAACTTACTGGTCCTTTTTTGCCTTCAACAGGTGGTATTTTCGACCAGTACAGATCAGTTCAGATTGAAATCATACTGTTAGTGCGAATAGCCCTTGGTCGTTGAGTTAAAGCTATTTTTATCTAGCCTCGTTTTCACATTGCATTGTTTTCTTTACGCCTCTTAGTATACGTTTCATTAGCCCATATTTGGTATTTCCGTTTTGCGTGTTCTTGCCTTTCCTCGTTTACTTCCGGTAGCTATAAAGGATTTGCACCCCACGTTTTGGGTTGGTTATTAACTCGTCTTGTATTGCGCTGTGTTGGGGGCAGTTTTCTATCGTTTTTACGTGCAGTTTTTGGCCTGGTAGTTTCTTCTTGCTGTGTTTGGCCGTCGTGCAAAATTTTTATGGCTACGAGGACTAATAGATTGTAAGTTGTATGTATTATTATGTAGTTATTTACACTTTATTTATAAGTAGCTCATATAAGTAGCTCATATAGTTGAGTTTCTACGTAGATCTATATACTGCTAACATTTATTAACCTTTGATAATTGTTCGTTTTCATAATATTGTAATATCAAGCTTCTAGTCGTATTCTCAACTTATAACCTTCATGTATGCTAATTGCTAACATTTTTCTTTAGCGAACCACGTTTAACACATCACCTCAGAACCTGTGTTGCTTCTTGCTGTGTTATCTGCTAGGGATTTAGGTGTGGTGCGTTCGATATACCAAAGGTAGTCAGAATTACAAATTGTGGATTACACATACCTAATACTTCGACAGCCTCATCTGCAGATTCATCCCCATCGTCAGAAATGCCATCCATTTTCTGAGCTTCTTCAGAGAGCAAGGCCTTAAAATTAGTCAAGATAAAAGTTTATGTCAGCAGAATAAACACACTAAGCCTTAAAATCGAAGGATAAAGGAATTATCTTGCGAAAACAAAAAGAACCTCCTGTTGATGAAAATACGACAGTTGATATTTCTATATATGACAAGCTACCTTGAGTATCTTCAGAGATAAACGAAAAATGAGAGAATACATTAACACTAGTATCAAAAATGCAATTCAAAATAAGGAGATCTTCGTTGTTTCAAGCCATATCCTGTTGTTTTTTTCAACCAACAGTCCTATATGATTTAACCAACAGTCCTATATGATTTAACCAACAGCCCTATATGACTTAACCAACAGTCCTATATGATTTAACCAACAGTCCTATATGACTTAACCAACAGTCCTATATGATTTAAAAAAGGCAACAGTCACCAACACAATGCAATATAAGTTAAGTAGATCACTGTTAAATGCAGGGATTGAAATTGTGGAAAATGGTGTCAAAAGCTAGGATTTTTGTTACCCCTGTAGCCGAAAAGGTGTAAAATGGAAATTGAAGTCTAAAAGAGTTTTATAATGGGTAAACTGTGTATGTGGCAGGTACCAAAATCCAAATATAATAAAAGATTTTTGTTATACCTCGTGACGTCATATTAATACTTATTTCACGCGAAATATTATTGTCGGTTGAGTTAATTTTATCGCTTATTGTTAATTCTTTGATGCCATGTAGATAGGGTTGCCCCTACTTTTATGAGTAGAAAAAGATAGTTCTAAGTTGTCTGCTTGAGGCAGCAACTTTGATTTGTTTTGCTATACACACCAGATTGTAGCAATTAGCAATTAAAATCGTTACAATAAAATTACATAAAACTGAATGCAAGCAACAAACCTTCAGCTTCATTCGTTTTTCAACTGCTTTTGAGTGCGGCTTTGATTTCTTTTTATTATCTGGCATCTTAGCACTGAAACCGAACAATCAAAAACTGTCATAACCCCCAAAATTGTTTATCTGTCAGCGAAAACCCCTTGTCAGCACAATTATAGTCAAACTTTAATATTCGACACGTTTTGTGAGAAAGTGACCAAAGCATATTTCAATTATAGTACTGGCCTACGAACCTGACGTTTGGCTGTCTTCTTTAAACAAAATTAACATTTACAACTCCGACACCTAGGCTAGTACATAAACAGAAATTTAGACGTGAAATCAAAGGCAGACGAGCGATAAAAGATTGGAGACGCTAATCTATTGTGCTTCCAAAATGTTTGTCAAGGTGTGCCAATGTTTTAACAGATTTGCTGCTGATTTTGATCCCGTTTCTTCCCTAGCGAGAATGAGACTTTACCCACGTCAAGATAGGAAAATTTAGCTTTTTTAAAACTAAAAATCTGAATAAATACGGCTATTACGAGTTTTCCGCATTATGTTGTGACATAAAAATTGCACAAAATCTATACACAATGAAACAATTTAGCAATTTTTTGTCGAATTTTTCCCATTGAAATTCTACCAACTTTAGTAGAAAGTAACCTTTTGCAAGAAAACTTCAAAGTATCACATCCAGATTTAATTTTGACTCACTTCATCATAAACAAACGATTGAAAATGATTAAGATTGAAAAGGTTTTACCACTTTGTAAATAGTCGATTTTCTATGATTTTTCAGTACATAAAATAGAATGCGTAATTCAAAAGATCCAATCTTTGAGAAATTTTGGACAAAAACAAGGGGTCACCGAGTGATGACTTTGGTTTTCAGAGGTTACTTAGAGTGGTGTTACCAAAATGTCTAAAAACAATGAAAGACAGTTAAAAAGAGCACTTAAATATGAAAATGCTTTAATGGCTGTTTCTTTGCATTTAAAACTTTACGAAAATTACCTCAAGTAATAAGGTTCGAAACTATTTTGCCCGAAATTCTGTCTAAAGATAATGAGAACTTTTCAAAAAACTCAGCAGTATTATACTGCAAGGACCCTAACACGGAGGGGGGGGGGGCAGGGGACCTTGGCCCCAAAATATTTTAGTGGCGAGAGTAAAATACTATAATATCACTAAAAATGTCTATTGTTGCACTCCTTTGTCAGGGCTGCCCCCAGCTCCCCCCCCCCAAAGTGGAAGTTGCATCTCGATCCTTGCGGTTCACCGTATACTGTGATGATGCTATATTGTACTATTGAATACATGCCTGTCTGTTTCCATTGGCTCAAAATTAGATTTTGTAGGAATGCTTTTGAAATCCATTTCATCATTAGAGTCCACGACGGACTTAGCCTTCTGAACCAGTTTCATCTGCCTATTCTGTATGAAAAATTTAAAAACTTGCGAAATGAAATACGCAGCAAGAGAAATATGGGATAAAAGGATGGAGAAACGATTGTTAAAATGTTTTCTTAGAGAAAAATTAGAGGAAGTATTTTACCTATTATTAATACTAGTATATAGAAAGTATATATTTACCGGTGGCAAATTCTCCTCACCCGCAGCCCAAGACTTAGCTGGAAATGTATATTAGAAACCATTATGAAAATGCTCTAAATACAACAAAAATTCTTGATACAAATTTTTGACCGAAATATTTCAATACATTAAATGAAAACTGTTTTTTGATTTGATCATTACACTGAGAAACACTAAAAACTAACGCAATATCAAATTTACTACAAGAGGGAGAGATATAATTCAATTTTTACGCAAGATTTTCTACAGAACAGTATTTATCAAAACGAAGAGAGGACTGGAGAAGGTGACGTTTGCATACAACACGTCTTAAATCTTCAATAGTTGATGAGCATTTCTGCATAAACTTGCTGTTTAGCAGCCATTTGTAGCTCGAGCCCCAATCTCCTACACAGTTTTTGCATTTTTATAACATCCAAAGGTAGTTTTTAGAACACTGAGAAGCTTATGCTTATCGAGCAGTGTCTTGGTCCTTTCTCTCGATGTAACCACAACTCATGATTCCTACGCCTGGAATTACAGAGAGCTGGTGACTCTCCTCACTCTGGGTGAAAATTTGGTCATGCCAGGGACTCGAACCACAGACCCTTGGGTCTGTAGTCAGCGTCTCTAACAACTGAGCCATCCTCACACCACACAGTTTTTGCAATGAATATACCATTAGTATCATTAGAAATAAAAATAATAATCAGTTCATAGAGAATACTTTAAGAGATTAAAATTATTAATATTTTAGCATATTCGTAAACGATTTCTGAATCTTTTATTAGACAATACTTTTCCATAAATTTTCACTTTCTTGCTCGTCTTTGTGGTGCTCTTTATAGATCTGACTGTGTTTCTCTAAAAAAACTTTTGCTAAGCAGTTAAGTATTGTAACTATTTTTATAAAGATCAGAGTATTAAGAATTGTATGTTAACTTGCCTCCTTCATAATTCTTCAGCTTTTCGTGCTCTGAATTTTGCGGGGACAGTGGTTTGGAAGTTTCCTCTTGCTGTGTTTGACGAAGTTCATCAAAATCTTTTGCTTTAACTTTTGTATCGGTGTTCCAGTCACCTTTTTTCTTACTTGATGCTAAGAAGAGACAACTCAAGTAATTAATTTGTAGAAATAACTGCATAAAAATGCACAAACGAAAAACGAAAACCAATCAGTTTGATGACAAAAAATTCATGCCACAATGATCACTGCACGGGTTTTTACCAAAAATGACATTATGTATTAACGATTTCTAGTTAATGTTGTTTTTTTTAAAAATATCAAGGACGATATTGAATTCAATCATCCCAATTTGTTATTCAATGCCGATTTAATTATCAAACATGTACAGTGTTTGATCAAAATTCCTGATTATCAGATACTCATTATAAAGAAAGCGACAAAACATTGTCGTTTGATCTGATAATCCAGCCTAAGAACCATCACACAGGTTTCATTTGCTTCCCATAAACAGGCCTCCCAAACAAATTGTTGTGCCTGCGAGCACAAACTGTTGTGCAAAATTTGCCTATATAATTTTATTCATCTGTTGTTCATAGAAATGAAATAGTTTAAATGAGAGACAAAAAGTCAGGTTTGATGAAGCTTCGTATATGAATGTAGAAAATAGATTCATAGGCAAACTGATTTATTAAAGATAGATAGGAGGGAACAGAGGAACCTGTCGTTTCTTAAAGGCGAACATCTCTTTTCTTAACGGAGATCAAAGGAACATTTTCACAAGAATTCGAAAGTTTTCAGCGAAAATTTATAACAAATTTTATAAAATTTGGGTGATTTGTTGAAAATTTGTAGAAAACACAGACGGCCTCTAAAGCGGTCTCAATGACCAATTAAATAAACTTGCTTGCTACAGCAACGCAATCAGAATAAATAATCCTTTTAATATCTGCAACATCTTGCTTCTGCTGCCAAGAAAATCTTTTATTCATGAAGTTGTAAAGCAGACTTTTGCAGCCGTCTCAAAATTCTCTAAATTTGAATCGAAGTCCATAGTCAAATAAAGTTTACATAATCAACAAAATTTGTTTGCAATTTGTGACAACATGGTGAAACTTTTGGCTGAAATTATACGAATTGTTTTCCGAAATTCTTAAACAATTGGGAAAATTGAAAAAGATCTACAAGGTTTGCTTTCGAGCGCCGTTCTCCCATGGTGAGGCTTCCCCATAAATCTAAAACTTAGTTAGAAGATTGCAAAGAATTGCTCATCTCAGTTAAGCAGAATTCTGTAAACAGCTTCAAATGCAGAGGCATCAGAAGGCTTGTAACACGCGAATTTGTATAAATGTTTACCGTGATTTCAAATACTGCATGGAAACCCTCCTGGCTGGCTCCTTTCCTCTATTATCAATTCACAAGAACATATTTTTACCAGAAACTTGATTTCTACATTCAATTATCTTGAGCTCATTTAAATAATAAAATATTACTTGGTCTCTCAGTTTTCTTTGCTGGTAGAAGACTCTCTGACTTGGACCCAGTTCTTGACCCTGTTAGCCACGGCTTCTGATAACCTCTTTTTTTCTGATCAGCGGAGGGTGGTCTTGCATGGGATGCGCTCAAACTTGTTGCGCTCCATGCAGAAGCACTGTTTTTTCCACCACCTGGCAAGGCCACTAAAACAAAATAAAACCAGTAGGAACATTTCAAAATTTTAAATTAAAAACCATAAAAGCTCAATTAATTCCCCGGGGAACTTATTTATTTTTTGGGTCGTAGAGGGGGCTTAATAGAGAGGAGGCTTATGAATTATTCAAATAATCATAAATATCATAAAAATGCCACAATGCTCTGAGATTTCTTTCAAAGAATAAACATTAGAATCCTCTTGGCTTCTAAAGCGAACAAGGTTCTTTACATGGGCTGTATTCAATCCACACAATCTTATCGTCATCAAACCAGTCCAGA